TGAGCGTGGTTTCTTATGCTTATCAAAACTGCATTCACAGTTTGGAATGCCAAATTTGGGCCATTTTTCGAAAATTTTGATGATGATTTTTTCATCTATTTTCATCTATTGATCATTTGGAAAATACACTTTGGAGACTTAAATCGAGGAAGCTCTCTATCCCCACATGGCATTGCCAAATTAACTGTTACCTGGCGGGATCTTGGAAGCAGTAGGTGTGACGGGGCGGGTCAACTTCTAAGTGGGTCGCTTGTAGTGCGGCCCATTGTCCAAGGACACGTGTCATGTGGAAGCTGATGAAGTGGCGGAGAATGGGAGACGGTGGCAGTGGCCACCGATGCCAATGTCCTGTGTCGACGTCGACCCAACAACATCCGTCGTGCTGTATGGCCTTCTAATTGAATAAATTCGAGCTGTCGACTTCCCATCCACCCCCTTACTTTTGTATGTTTAGCCGCATTGTGTTGAGCCATACAAATATTATATCCGAATGAATGCATACTAATACCCTGATAGAGGCGACATCTTGGTATTATCGCAATAAGTTCCTGGGATTTCGCACTGTATTACGATTTTTACATACAATACGAAAGCTCAGAAACTAACTGCAATTAACTACCGTAAACTACGGATGAGAACGAGTTTCAACCCGAGTTTCAACAACGAGTTTGAAGCCCAAATACCACGTTACCAACTATGGTCTAAGGTTTCCTAGGAGACTTAAGAATTGAATACTTGAATTTAAACACTGCCTACATCCCGTATGTGATATGATCCCGATACGGATGTGGGGATCGTTTACATTTAGAGATTCCGGAAACTTCGAATAATCGAGGAAAGCATCGAAACATCTGATGCAGCGCCTTGACATTGGCGAGGCCAACTCCAATGTCGAATCGAAATCATTGGATTAGTTCTCATCAATGACTGAGCCCTGTAATGACCAACGTACCATATCTTTATATCCATATCCATGTCCAGTGGAAATCTACAGGCCACCAACCCAAGGTCTGGTCTCGATCACGCGGGTATCTGCATTTGCATTTTGTATATCTGGTGAGATATTCACGTAGTCGAATTCAAGCCTTGGACCGAACTTCGATTTCCTGATATGATTAAAAAAGTTAATAGGAAAGGAAGGATTAAGCTATAAGCAATGTTGATAACAGTGGTTACTTTAGGTCTCCTTTTAGAGCGCCTTTCACCAACAATTTTGGCTGTCTTAGTTATTTCTTTAAAGACCAGTTTGAGCTCGAAAAATATTAAAAAATGAAATAATTAACTAAACTTTAAGACACATATGTTTATTCAATTTACATTTTAAGAACCTTTTTCTAAAATCTAAAAATCTAAATCAAAATGTGATAAGAAAAATGTCCCCACATATTTATAATTTAATTTTCAGTAATGTTTTGTACTTGGGCTTGTACTTGAAGCTGTTTCTAAAATGATTAAGTTTTATAAAAGCATTCCATGTGATAAGCATGAATCATTTCTGCGAAAAGCTTAGCGATGATTGTGAACACAAAAATAAAAACAAAAAAGGAATTCAAATTGCAACTAATGGGAGAAAACGTAATAAAAATGGAATCTCTGGATTTAAAGCGATATGCATATTTGTGCTTTCCTTCGATATCGATGTTGATACTGATGCTGTTATGGTTGAGCGCTATAAGCGCATTTGTTATTGGGGGCTTTTCTCTGTGCACATTAATGAGCTGCTTGTACGCTTTTAATTTGCATATGTCTGTAAATGCCGAATCGATAGATAGATGGGCTTTTGATTAATTAACATATATAGGCGCGCACAATCGCACACTGTCCGGCAATACGGCATTTCTGGCTATCTGACTATCCGGGTCCGGGTTTCCAGCTGTCCAACTGTCCGTATATCCGAGACCATTCGCAGGAAAAGGATGGACGAGGAGGAGGCTAAAGCCTGAAGAGCGACATGGCCAAAAACCATAATTGATTGTCGATAATTCATGCGAGCTTAAATTGCCAATTGCTTGTGGAGTTGTGGAGCGGAGCGGAGGGTTGCTATGGGTGGGCTGTTGTGGGTGGCGGTCAGAAGGGGCTGGAGATGTTATAGAGTTGACGGTTGGACATTGGACATTGATGACGGCTAATGGCGAACATACAGACGCACCCATGTGGACACTGGTGAACTGCATATTTATATACTCCAATATTTGCAGCACATATGTATGTACATATATATATATATGTCATATATATATATATAAATATACAGATATATATATGTATATGGAATTTGCAGCAGACTTTTGCCTGGAAATTGGCTTTTGTGGGTGTGTATCGGCCCGTATGTGCAACGTGTGTGTTTTCGAACAGAGAGTCTGTGCCGCAAAAGTGGAGAAAACATTGAGTACCCATAAAAATCCATGAAAATCCTAGATGCCATACAATATTGGAAATAAAAAGGAGAACGACTATCAAAGTATTTAACTTTCTGCTGAATATTTAAGGACTAATGAGGCTAATTAAACTAATTAATAAATATGTTCTTTAGCAGCAATTAACATTTCTTTATAGAATACTATTCAAGGTCTGAATTTTTTAAAATATTACTGCTTTTGCTAAGTTATCTTTAATAATATTGTACCCTTTGGGCAGGTAAAATATGATTGCCTACCTTTAAGATCAGCTTCTTGTCAAATGAAGTTTTGAATTCTTTTCTAAAATTTATTCATTTTAAATTATTTTAGTTTCAACCCAAATTCTACATATACTCGTACACTTTATTAATTTAGAAATATTTTCAAAGATAATAACCTAAAAATAAATAACTGTCAGAGCAAAAAGTGAAAAAAGTTGAATAGTTTAAAAGTTCCTAATCTAGATATTAGTCTAGTTTTTATTTGGATTATTATTAATCCGATTTTAATATGTTTATTGACCTTAAGAACTTGCATAATATATATAGTTTTTTTTTGTGCCAGAGTAAAAAGGCGAGAAGCAACACCGACTAGGACTGAGAATAGTTGCAGCTAAACTGGAACTCAAGTCTCAGCTGTCATATTCATTTGATAGTTATGACAGTGAGGATGGGGTTTCTGGAATAACTGCAACAATTGTGAGCAGTGAGATCGAGTTTATCGCAAGGAAACAAATGACAAAGTAGTGATAGATCCTGGTTGGCGGCACAGCCAGCAGTCGACGCCGCTGGCTAACGTTGTTCACGATACACCGTGTCCAGTGACGTCGATTGCAATTGTGTAGACGCAAACGGCAGCGGCAGACATCTTATTAAGTTTTGTTTTTATTATTAATATTAGTACATAAATATTCGAGTGTTTTACAACTTAACGAAAAACAAGTTGTGTGTTGTGCTTTGTAGAATGGCAAAGAAGAAGACATGCGGGAATGATGGGGAAACATTTTCGTTAAATGTCCAATTGGTGCTTTTTAAATTCATTTATCTAATACTTTCTTTTTGTCTTCCAGATTCTGACTTTGACCAACGACTTGTCTTTAGCCCATGGCATCCTTTACACATAGTTTATCAATCTGCTCCGTGTAGAAAGCGTTAAAGTTGATGCGATGCACGAGATTCAGGAAACGATCGGCGGTATTCTTTTTGGCCATGCTATTGATTTGCTTGAGAAAAGATAGCAGCAAGCCGGTGAATTCTAGATCAAAACGTTTAACGCGCTCCGAGAACGTATCTGCTGGATCCAACGAGCTCTCCAACTAACAGGGGATACAAAAATCACAAGTTAATCATCGTAAATTAAATAAATTAAAATATTTATAGCAATATTTTTCGTAGATATTCTACTTAACTTAACTTAAATCAATCAATACAAAATATAAATTCTAAAATGTTCTAATATAAAACGGAAAATATGTGGTAACATCCTAAAAGTAAAATGATGTGACCCACTTTTGTTCAAATTAATGAACATGCATTTAGATTTTAAAAATAAAATAAAATATATAAGAATATAGCTAAATGAGAAATAACATGCAACCCGATTTCGGGAAAAGTAAAAGGTTACTGAGAATTGGGGGATCATGCATCCAGCTAACAACACTCCTGGTAGTGGAACGGGGGCCACCGCCAATAAAAGTACAAACGAACTCAGGAATTGATACGAATACGGTAAGCACAGGCCTACACAATACCTGTGGATGATGCTTGCTCTCCGGCTCGAACTCGCAGCTGTCCGCGCTGTCGGAGGTGTTATCACATACCATCGACTTAAGCTCGGCATCCAGGAAGAAACGCTGCGACCGCTGCGAACGTGGGCATGGGAATGTATGTTTTGGTTTTTAAAAACATATTTGGAGTTTAGAGGCGTTTGGCAGGCGGGGTAGGTATTATATTTATAGAGAAAGCAGAGCAAGGAACAAGGCAAGAGTATCGGCAGGAGCAGAATTTTAATTTGTAATCCACATAATGCCCTGGCTATTGGACTCACCTGAATGAAATCGCAGAACTTAAGGCAGAGCTTGCAGATTTTAAAAATGCTGCGATTCAGATGCGATGACTCTGTTAGCATGCAGTTCTTAAGGCACATGTCGAGGAAGTCTTGATGCAGTCGAAGCACGTTGTCCACGTTCTCCACTTTCTTCATCTTTTCGATAAAGATGTGCCAGTTGGGCTCAATAATCTCAATCATCATGTAGTATTCCAGATTCTGAATGGCATTCATCATGCGTTGGCGCAGGGTAAACGCCGATCGATATAGCTCGGCTGCTTGGGGCGAGAATTTTTTGGCAATCGAGTTCTCTTTCCAAATCCTATTTGCAAAATAACATAATGAATAAGAATTTACTTGAAAGAAATAATGAAGAGGGAAACTCACTTGCAAAGCTGACGCTCCACGTGTTTGCAATAAAAGAGCTGCCGGAAGAGCATCTGATACTTGGATATGGCGATGTGGTTAAGCACCAGAGAGACCGGCCACTTTACTTCGTAAGTGAAAGCGAAACACTCAAGGCCGCTGAGGTCAAGGCGTTTCTGTGCCAGCCAGTACTCCTCCTTCTGATTCATTATCTTAGACATTTGCGTGACTAGGTCGTAGGGTAGAAGCTCACAGTGCAGATCGTCCTTATAGGGATCGTTCCGTGCCGAGGAAAGGCGGAGCGTCAGCCCCAGTAAGTTTTCTAGTGTCATGGGCAGCACGTGGTCCACGTTCTTTGAGAGCTCGTCTTCGCAGGCGTCCATGAACTGCATGGTAAAATCGCCTTGGTTAAGCAGCAAGTAACGCTTTACAGACTGTAGATGGCCCATAAGGTCGTTCTCTGTTAGCAACACATCCAGCAACATACGTGCGGCAAAGTAGTAAGCGTCATTAATTACGGACACATGCCTCTCGCTGGTCGGATCGTATTCAAGGCGCATCTCCTGTGTGGGCATTACCCGCTTGCCGCACTGCCGGATCACATTAAGATACTTTCCGGTGCGCAGAATCTTATCCGAATATTTCTCGAGGAACGCTGGGATGTTGTCAGAGCGAACTGTGTAACGCTTAACCCAGTAGTCATCCGAATAGTGTTCCGGCATCTCATCGCGATGAACTACCTCGTTATCCTCCACGAGAAACTCCCGGTTGCGGTCAACAATCACGCCCTTCTGGATCCATAGCTTCAGCATTCGCATATACGGCTCGGCCGCTTTGCGCGCCAGCCCGATAATAAGTTGCTGCGCTATCTGGTCGCCTTCCAGACGCTTGATCCGCTCGTGTAAGTACGTCAGCACGGCGGCACCGCGGTGACCGTTTAGCTGAATGTCTACCAAAGCAGTCCATATCTCTTCCATCACCCAAAGCGTCGGTTGCAGATAGTATAGCAACTTCTGTAATGTGAGCTCTTGTTTCCGCAGCTCCATTTCGGTTTGTACGATCATCAACTAGATTTCAAAGAGAAGAACCAATTAGCTTGGCATTTACATTCACAAGGATGCATACTTCTTACATAAAAGTCGTGGGTAAGCTCCTGCAGTGCCTCGATGAGCGAGTTCATAACCTGACCCTGGTGATCACTTGATGAAATAATCTTCTGAATGCCAATAAAGTAAGAGGCCAATGGCAAGATGTCCTGCACCAGCTCTGCCAACGAGTGATCGAGCTGCTTGTTTATTGCGAAGCTCGTCTCATACCTGGCTATACCATCACTAGTCGGATCGGGCTGAATGGGCACTATGAAAGTCCCTCGTACACCCGTCAGGCAGTGCAGCAGTTCGTCGAGTATCACATTCTGCTGGCTTGCCATCGGCAAGGCTGCGATCTCCGTCTTTGGCAGCTTGTTCCCGTCCACCTTGTAGAAATCCCAAAGCGAATGGGTGCGGTACTCGTCTGGCACGCCGGTTGGCGGCATCACGACGGACATTGGCGTTCTGATATTGTTAGACGATTTGCTACTGGACGCTCCGATAGTCAGCGAACGGTAACTGTTCAGCGATTGGTTAGATACGGCACTCATCACGCGTTCCTTAATCTGTAAGGGATAGGTTTGCTTTAATATGTCAAGGAGTAGATAGGCGAACAGCACTCACCACACTTAATTCACCTCGTTCCCGATCCTCTTTGTTTCCCTCCTTGTTTCCCTGACTCCGTTGAATAGGGCGCCGCCTGGAGAAGCCTCCACCGGCAGAGCCGCTTTCAGAATCGCCGGGCTTCCTGCTATTAACCGGCGTCGAAGTGGGAAAGTCTTGTGTCTGAGGCAAGCTTATCCTTGAGGATGAATTTGGTGCGGATAAATGAGCTGTATTAGGTGCGGATGAATGAGCTGAAGGGGGAGCGCTTGATGCATATCCTGATGAATATTCGGTTGAACGTGCTGACTGTGGGGCTGAATTGAGGGTAGAGGCTGAGCCGGATGAAAATATTCCCAGCGGCAAGTTTGGCATCTCCCTGCTGCTCTCAGATCTAGCGGTAAGATTCGCGATAGTTCTGGGCGATAAGCCGTTCGGACTGTATCTTTCAACGAACACGAGCAATGCATACATAGGATCCCTCCTGTTTAGTACATCTGTGACTTCGTTGGTCACGTCCGCACAATTGGGTCGTCTCCCGCTGATGGAAATTAGCATATGGAGCAGCTCGTGGAGTGGTAGACGCTTATCAGTGGTGGCCCGGAATTCTCGTATGATGTCGTCTGGCGAATACTGCGCCCTGTCGGAAAATAATGCATGTGGAAGAAGAAGAGAACGAGAACAGTAGTAAGAAGGAGCCGTTGGATCGACTGGCCACCTGTGCAATCAGTCCACTTACTTAGACTCCAAAATCAAGTCGGCGAGCACTTGACGCACCGGATCGTTTTTACTCATTGCGGATAGATAAATTTACAGTTCTGCGCTTCGTAATTTACAGTTAATACTGTCAATTGAGCTCGATTTTGAGTGAACTTTCCTCTCTTTTTTTGTTTGAGTGCCAAGGCAGGGTTGTCATTGACCGCTTAACTTCTGGTTTTTAATATCATTCGTTACGTTGTAGACGCAGCTGCTCATTTTAGGTAATCGCATCTACTGAACTAAACCGAAATCACTTAAGCGGGATAAACAACTTGAAACAAATTGGAATCAGCCAGCAAGTTGGTATTTAATTTTCAAGCTGTGGTGACACTGGTCGCGGTGGAAAAAATATGGGCACGTTCAGCAGTTTTTGCTAGAAGTATGCAATTTCAGTATCTACTGAATCTCATAATCACAAAACATAATCGCAGGAAACATATAAACAGAACACACTTGAGTATTATTCTATATGAGTGTACCGTCCAAAATTGTACCAAATATCTTTTTAAAAAATAATTTTGTTATTTCAATGATGGTTGATATACTTGTCATTTACGGGGTAACTCAACGTTGTAACGTTTAAAACGAAAACTACTTGTCATTTTAAGATTCTTATTAAAATCTTATGTTTTGGGTTATAAGTTAAATGATTTCAACTGGTATAAATATTTTGATACCATATCAATTGTCTATAGAAAGGCAGCGCAGTGTGACCATGAAAATTGCATGGCGCAAGCGCAGGCCAAAATCAGCTGTTATTGAGCGCCCACAGTCGCGGCTCTGATCTTCTGCAGGCGAATTCTGTGGGCGTTGCAGCAACCCCGCCAACGCACCGACGAGTCGAGTTATCAAGGATACGGAATTCACCAACCTGAAACCGCAGGTCACCAGATCACACGCTACTTCACTTTTGACGAAAGGAAAGGAGCATGTTCCCCCACCTAAAGGGTCACGGGCAGCGGGTTAATCTGCAGTTGCTGCAGGAAGCCGCTTGCCGCGAACTGGTGCAACAGTTGGAGAGCATCGAGGGTTCCAAGGTTATCGTGTTGGACGATGCCATGATTGGACCACTGGATTTGGTTACGAGGCCCAAGCTTTTCGCCGACCGCGGAATCCGACTGCTGGCTTTAAAACCGGAGCTTCACTTGCCGCGGGAGGTGGTAAATGTGGTGTATTTGGTGCGTCCGCGGGTGGCGCTAATGGAGCTGCTTGCAGGCCACGTAAAGGCCGGTGGCCGAGCAGCGGCTGGACGCCAGTACCATATCCTGTTTGCCCCTCGTCGCTCATGCCTCTGCATTAGTCAACTGGAGGTTAGTGGCGTTTTGGGCAGCTTCGGGCGCATTGCGGAACTGGCGTGGAACTATTTGCCGTTGGACGCTGGTTTGGTTTCCATGGAGCTGCCAAACGGCTTCCGCGACGTAAGCGTGGACGGCGACACCAGCTCGCTCTACCAGGCAGCAGTGGGCCTGGTGCAGATCCAGCGGCTCTACGGTCGCATCCCCAAAATCTATGGCAAAGGCGAGTTCGCACATAGGGTGTGGGAGCACGCCAAGCAGCTAGGACGGGACGAGCGTACTCTCTACAACGGTGACAAGGGCGTCATCGATCAGATGATCCTCCTTGACAGAAGCATCGACCTGATCAGTCCGTTGGCCACGCAACTCACATACGAAGGGCTCATAGATGAGTTTTACGGCATCCGGCAAAATAAGCTAACCCTGCCCGCCGAGAACTTTCCCTCTGACGGATCTATCACCGGTGGCGGAGGTAGTGGCTCACGAGCAGATGAATCGCAGTCTCTGCTGGGTGACTCCGAGAAGAAGACCATACTTCTACACTCCGGTGAGCAGTTGTATGCGGAACTGCGTAACAAGCACTTTAACGAGGTAACCAAGCTTCTAGCACGCAAGGCGCGCGAAATCCATGTTCAGATGCACGCCACCTCGCAGGACAAAAGCGTTCAGGAAATCAAGAGCTTCGTAGAGAACCTGTTACCGCAGCTTATGGCCCAGAAGAAGGCAACGTCAGAGCACACGGCAATCGCAGGTCTTCTGCACGAACAGGTGAATGCTGTGCGTTTCGCAGATGATTTAGCCGCCGAGCAGGAGTTTATGGTCTGCGCTGATATTGATAAGCCAAGCGCATACATCGAGGACCTGATTGCCTGCAAAGTGGAGTTGCATCGCGTCCTACGACTCATTTGCCTCCAGTGCAATGCTGCCTCCGGGTTCAAGGAGAAATTGCTCAACCACTACAAACGCGAGCTGGTCCATGTCTACGGCCTCGAAGTGCTGCTCACTATCAGCAATTTGGAGAAATCGGGCCTCCTCCACCTGCAAACGGAATCGCGAGCCTACAGCGTTCTCCGAAAGGTAAGTGATTATCTGTAAATCTTGTTTGTTCCCGGCAACTGTAACATTTCTTCTTACAGACACTTCATCTCACCGTGGACGACAATGTAGAGGTTGAGCCGAAGGACATCAGTTACGTACACAGTTTTTACGCCCCGCTAACTGGTCGAATAGTGGAAAACTCCATAAAACCACTAGGATGGCAGACGCTCAAAAGCCAGATCAACAATTTGCCCGGTCCGACATTCGAAGATTTTCAAGCTCAATTGGTGGGAATCGGTGGTCGGCACACAGTCACAACGGTTAGCGAGGGATCGCTGCTGAATGTGCCACGAGTTGTGTTGGTCTGTTTTGTGGGCGGATGCACCTTTGCCGAAATCGCTGCGCTGCGGTTTCTATCAGCCCAGGAGGACAACAACGTGGAGTTTCTGATTGCCACCACGAAGGTGGTCAACAAACACTCCTTCCTGGACAGCCTGATGAGCTCGTGAGGGCGGCGGCTGAGCCGCTTGGAGGCCCACCGCCTGTCCAACGACCACGGCCTAACACGTGGATGAAACGCATCGGAGCCGCTAAAGCCGAGACCGAAACGAAAGGGCAAACGGCGCAGCGCGGCGATTGTAATTGCGGATTAGCATTTGGTATGCTAAGAATGTTGTGAATGGCTTGGTTAACAAGCGTTCGCTGGCACGTCAAAAGTCATAAATAATATATATATTTTTCGATCGCGGCTTTTATTCTTGTATTCTATATATATATCGTATTTTAAAAATGTGTATAAATACATGCATATATTCATATATCCAAATATGTACATTTATGAATTATAGAAATTAAGTGACAAAGATTCCAAATTAAATCCATTCAAATTTCGTGCAAGAAATGATTATAGTTATAAGTGTAACGAATTCCAAATTAAAATCACTCAAGTTTGTGCAAGAAAATATTGTCCTAATAAAGTATTTAGCCAATGTTATATTATATTCCTAGCTAGTTGTAAAAGTTACAAAGTTATTTAATCGCATAATCGGAATATGTATGAGCTCGGAATGAACCACACCCAAATTCCTAGACAGTCTTTTGGTTTGACATCAATTTGAGTAAAAAGTAATGAAATGGAATATTTTTAATGCAGACGTTAAAAAACCATTTAATTTCCTTTATTGAACTTAGAATCGATTGGTTGAATTGGTTTTTATTTTAAAAATATTATTAAACTGCAATTCGACTGTATACTATGTGAGTGCTTAGGAAGACAAAACGAAACAAATTGATATTTCTAATTTTTTGCAATTAAACTTTTTGCCATCTAAATTCGAGTATAAGATCAAACATATGTATACAGGAAAACCAAAGATACCTGCAAAGTTTTACGTTTGAATTTGAAGTGAAACGTTTTTTATATGCATTTTTCAAATATAAGATTCTTATTGTAAACCTGTATTGATAAGGAGTTGATTACAAATGCTTGAAATATTTTTATCAGATGTTATTTAATTTGATGTGAATTGTAATCTTTAAAAATTATTTCAAATAAATGTCGATAATAAATGCCTGCAAAGTTTTACGTTTGAATTTGAAGTGAAACGTTTTTTATATGCATTTTTCAAATATAAGATTCTTATTGTAAACCTGTATTGATAAGGAGTTGATTACAAATGCTTGAAATATTTTTATCAGATGTTATTTAATTTGATGTGAATTGTAATCTTTAAAATTTATTTCAAATAAATGTCGAATATTAGAACATAAACTTTTGGTATGCTATTTATCTGAAATATTGGGTATTATCAAGAATTGGAGTGACCCATAAATTCTGCAATGGAGAACTAAAAAAAAATATCAAAATTATACTCATACTTCTCAACGTTAAATTAGTTTTAATTTACAAAGCCTTACAAACTTGAAATCATTATTATAAGGCATAAAATGAGAATTACAAATATATATTTATTATATCTGTTTCTATTAGGTAATTTTTATTATTATTCAGCTATACCATATATGCTGCCCAATCAAGCCGAAGACGAACTTACAGATTGTGTATTTTTAAATATGTTTTATTTTATTGACATTGATGTGCATCAATTTAATTGTTATTCGTTTTTCTTCTTCATTTACCATAATTGCAAAAATACAATTTATATCCATATAATATTATAATAATAATAAAAAAAAACAATTTCATAAACATAAAAAATATTACATATATTGTGTTCCCCGTGCTTGTTTAGCTATCTCTATCTCTCTCTTTATCGTGTTTACCTTTATTACGCTCATGATCTCTAAATAGGTTTATATATACCAAAATAATACGCCTCCGTAATAGTATTAATGATCATCGTGGTATCATTGGTATCATCATATCATTGATACCACCCTGCCAATCCCAATATCAACCAAATTACCGAAAATGTATTTTCATTATTTCTCCTCTGTAATCATAGAAATTTGTATTAAATTTAATTTAATTAATGACTAACGAAAAAATATGGTTGGGTATTTGTTTGTGTTTCTTTTTTCGTTATTCTATGTCGTTTAGTAAAATATTTTTGCTACATATTTTCGCATTTGCCGAGCATTTTATTCTTGTATGGATTTCCTTCATAAATGTTAGGTGTCTGTAGTGTGGTTGGTGTTTCCATTTAATTTGAATCAAAATACGACTGAAGGAAAGCAATATTTCCTCGTAAACATAAATCATTAAATAATTAAACGTTTATATGCTTTAATTTTCTATACAATTTTTATTGTTTTGACTAAGCATTTTGCAATTTGCATTAATTAACTCTAAAATAGGCTTATTTTAGTTTTATATATATATATATATTATATCCTTTTTGTTATAACAAACAAAACTAAATTAAGTGTAAACAAAATGAAACTTTTAGCATTTTAATATTTACTGGATTTATAATAATTTTGGCCATAAAACTTATTGTACAGCAAATAAAATAATAAATTTAATATATTTTTCTTTTATAAAAAATACTTTTATCTGAATCGAGTCAAAATAGTCAAAAACATAACGTAAACCGAAAATGTTGAACCTAACAACTTGCAAAAAATGGCAATCGATGTGTGTCCAGAACTGCGATCGCAGCCCCTTTTCGACTATCAATTGAAAAATAACATTTAAAATTCTCGCTAATCCGAATACGAACGCAATTTGAATGATCTAGTTTCCGCGAGTTTTAACAAATAATACACACCTAGTTCTGTTCGTGACATTTTTGCAGTGCGAGAGCACAAATATATATATAAATGGTTAACAAATCAAAATAGCGATTGATTCAGTTATTAGGTAATAATATCAAATTAGAATTTAAACGTAAATTTAAACACTTTGCATATCAAAGTTTGATGTTGTTCTTTGTTTGCTTGTTTTCTTGTTTGTTTGTTTGTTGTGTTATTGTTTGTGTATGACATTTATGCTTACATATATAATTATTTATTTATGTTTGTTTTCTTTTTCTTTGTTTTTGATTGATCTTGTATTAATGGTTTCAAATGTTAGTATCTTGTTGCCTCCTCCAATCGAACTTCCTTTAATACAAAACTATTGCAGCTTTAGCTTGTTATAACTTTTAGAAAATACATGAGTTTTCATGTGTTTTGATGCAATCAACGAATTCGATAATTGATTGCCTGGTTGATCCTACGAAAACACTGCTAGCCAGGACTGTTTTTGCTATTGTTGTTGTTTCAGCTGCGATTTTTGTTGCTTTTGTCGGTTTATAGTTGTTGCTGTCGTACTGTTGGCTTTATAATTTCCATTAAAATTGATGTAGTCTATATTACTAAACACTTGTTGTTGTGGTTGGCCGTTTTGTTGTCTATGCTATAGCGAACCAGCCGGAAAACTTGTTGAACTATTGCTATGGGCTAAACTAATCATTGAACCAGACAGACTTCCCTCCTCATCTGCATAGGCTTCACGGGATACCTCAATTAGTGATAAAGTGCTGTAAAGAATATCAAAAAGTTAGCATCCGTTATGGAAAATGTTTTAGTCCCTCCAATTACCTGAAACCTAGGGCAATTGATTCATTATCAAATGCTTCCAATTCTTTAGTATGCTTCTCGTGTTTCATGCGCAAGCGCTCGGCGCGTTCCTGGTTGAATTGCTGCAACTCGGCGTCCATCTGTGAAAACAGAAATTATGTATCGGAGGTCAAACAGTCTGCTCGCTCCGTGAATATGGATAAAACGCTTACCTTGTTTTCGAGCAGACCTCGCCGGACACTGACGCGGTTTTCAAGCTCTCTTCGCTCCCGGTCGCGCTGCTCCTGCGCCTGCTTCTTGTTCTTGTTTTGATAGGCAGTGAGCATCTCGAGCTCGTACTCTAGCTGTTCGTGGGTACGTTGGCACTCGATCACTTGGCTTTCGTCTAGTTTGTAGCTCTGACTTTGGAACATGTCCGCAATGCTTTGCTCGTACTAAAAAACAAAATTATTAAATCAATTGATGATTGAAATGAATGTACTATGACCCAGTTTGTCTTTTTAATAACAAAATAAAATGGCAATCTCTATGAAAGTACAACAACCCCGCTTTAACTCTTCTAAGTATAATACTTTCGTTTGTAGGTTTTATAGTCGTATCGCAAATTGTTGTAGTACCCCATAATATGGCCTGAAACTAACCTGTTCGCCTAGCAGCGTCAGCTTGCGATGCTTTTCTTCTTTCAACTGCTTGATGACCTCCTTCTGTTGCTCCTTTGGTGTCGTCTGCAGCACTTGCGCTTTATAGCGTTTGTATTGCTTCGTCTGCGTCTTGCATGTTTCCCGGAACTGCTTGCGTATTTGGAGCTCCTTTTGCTGCACGAGATAAGGGTTATTACAATCTGAATATCCCCCATTTGACATATAATATATCTGTACCTTTAAGCTCTTAGGCTGTTGTCTTAACTCGACCGCATGCTTGCGCACCAGCTCCTTCTTGATGCGGTCCATGTAGTCTTTTTGATTGTGCAACTCTGTATCGTGTTGCTTGTTTATCTGCAATTATATGGAGGGAAAGGGATTTGTATGTGTTTGTGTCAATATTGTAGAGGTCCGTGGGACTCACCTGCTCTTCGCGCAACTGGTGTACGCTCTTTTGCTGACGGTACTCCAGCTCCTGTGTCTTCTCGTGGTGCTTAAGGAGCATAGCATGTGCCTGCTGCAGCTGCTGCTCCTTCTTCCCAAGTTCCTATACATATAAAAGTGTTAGGCTATAGAATCCGAATTTTGGGAAGTTCACTTACGTCTCGAAGCTGCTGGTCCTCGTGCTCGTGCTGCATGATCATGCGTTTGCGCTTGAACTTGCGCATCTCCAACTCGATGTACTGCTTTTGGGCTTGCAGCATGCGCTGCTCTTCCTGCGCCTCATGCTGCTTTAGGTTGTCCTTCTGCGATTGCAGGGTTAGGTCGCGCTGACGCTTAGGCGTCGACTCGTCCATAGATAGCTCACGCTTCCAACGCTCCTTGTTTGCCTTGTACTCCTTCTTGCGATTTAGGTCGTACACCTTGCGGTCGCCCTCCTGCTTCAGCGTAATCTCTTTGTGTAGTTTCTTCTCGGCGGCACTCGTTTGCTTTAACCGCCTTTCTACGTCCTGCTGGTGCTTGGTCTATAACCGATTAATGGTCAGTTAGTGGTGCATCTAGGTACCCCGTACCCTATACTCAGACTTACCTCAAGCCGGTCAAGGTCCCTTGTAAAGTTGTGGAGCAGTGTGTCGTACTCCTTGTCCAGGGCCGTCTTGTGCGTCTCCATGTCCACCTTGCACTTCTCCTCCAGCTTGACCAGGTGGGCCTGGTGCTCGCGCCGCATACGCTTATAACCGGACATCTGTTCGTGCATCTCCTCCTGCCGGATCGTGGATGATGTGATGGCGCACAGTGGGGCAAAGAATGCACATGGTTAGAGGAGTGGAAATGCGAATAGCAGCAGCTGGACCACTACGGCAACTTTTACACTACTTTTGCGACTAACTGTAACTTACAAAACCGCTGCCGAACTCCAGCTCAACCATAACCTCAACGGGCGCAAACCTTGGACATATCATTGGGTCCTCGGCCTCTTGGTTTCCGTATACGGATTCTTACTACTAGCTAACTATTTTTAAGTTAAAAGCGCAAAAGAGTTGCTGAAGCGGAAAATGCAATAGATCTACTAGTTTTCCACAGTCAACTTAAGCTTTAAGTAACTCCCGCTTGTAATGTCGAATGTGGTTTGAAGCTTGGTTTTTGCTAGTGTGACCTTCCTTATCAGGAATTACGACTTGGATCGCCTTTAAATCTTAGCACAGATCTAATTAGGTACTTCGATAGAAAAAGTACCGTTATCACTGGGATAGAGTATACATATATACAGTCGAAATTCCACGCGTAAAACTATAAGATCAAAATTTAGCAATTTTACAATAAAAATATATTTCTTTAGTACATATTAAGAAATTCAAATGAAAAATTTTGACCGTGACGATGGGCTTCTAAAGAGTTAATTTTAAACACAAATTATATTTTAAAAATCTCTAGTTGAAAGTCCTCGGACTCGCTAATTTTCAAAGAATACCACCAGCAAAGCAAAAATAATTGACTTGTAAAAAAAATACAGATTAAGGAAGAGATAAGGTTGAATCCAGCAGAAAAGCATCCAACATAGCACCATTCCATAAATCAAAACACATTGTGTAAGTGTTTTAATAAAGCTTAGGATTGTTTCTGGATACACCATTTTGATCAATTTGCCGTCGAACTAAACATATTATAGTAGTTGAAAGATATTCCTTTTCGTTAAAACTTGTCATTTCAAACCTTATTTTAGAACAGAGCTAGAATATAGCTTTTACTTATGTAGATATATATTGTACCTAATCAATTTTTGAACTAAAATGCCCAGTTGTCTTACTGTTTCTTGTTTGTTAAGTTTTAAACGAAAAATCGAGTTTACTGTGTAACACGAGTATTGGTATGTAATAATAATTAATTAATAATAATTATGAAGTTATGGAAAGTTTAACTTATGGAATTTCGACGAATAGTAAGAAGCAAAAATTGACTTTTTAGATTACTTGGGACTGTGGGGACCAACAAATAGATAAGCGATACAAGTATACCAAATAAAATAAACAAATACATACATTTAAAAAGTTATGATTTGTAATATCATTGGAATGAATATTTATCGTGGCACAATGTCTGAAAAAAACGGTTCCTAAGTCTAGAGCTGACCAAAGTTCAACCCCCAAACCGGCGACAAGTTGACATTGCTATTGTCTGGGCTGTTGCGGTGTATTGTGGTTGATGGACTGGCCTAGCTACCAAGCATATAACAAACCAATTGTCAACAAATAGAAAATGCTTACATTTGAGCGACACGTAAAACAGATGCGTTTTTTAAGCCATGAGGGCGTGCCAATGACCAGGGACAGTGGTTGGGCGGAGAGCGTGGAAAACGAGTACAAGTGGAGAGAGGCTGGCGAGAATGGGGCGACTTCGGTTAAAATGTGATGGCGGATGCAACTGCAACTGCAACAGCAACGGCTAACTACAGTAAGTACATGGTACCGGCAGCGACTGCTTTTAAAACTTTTATTTCTCAATTGATTGGGCGCCTCCGCTCTGGCTAGGAAATTACACAGGGACAGTGGCGTTTCGGGTCTTTCTTGCTGCCGGTCTTTTGCTTGCTCTCGCTCCGCCGGCTGCCGTCGCGGCATTCGCTGTTGATGTGGTCGCCACCACACAGCTGCGAACAGAAGTTATAGCGCGCCTGTTCGAGGATGCGGGAGTAAAACAATAAACACAACAAAGAGCTTGTAGTAGAGGGCAAAAGTTAGAAGACATGGGGATAGCTGAAGCGCTGCTGCGAGCTAGGAAGGGGAAAATGGATTGGCTAGCCGACGGTTGACTCCCGACTAATTGATGCGGACAGGACGGGTTACACACAAAGGCACACGCGCAGGATGGGATGCTTGGATCGGTGCTTGGACCGCGAAAACTTAGGAGTGACCCCGTCGAGTGCCCATGGAGGTGGATTATCTATGCTGTATCCAGGCGACTCTCCTGGACTCAGCCCAATGAGAGAGCGCACACAGAAATCTACGGCCAAGGCAGGAGTTTTAATAAACAAAACGTGAAAACGCACCTGCATGTGCTCCTTTTGCTGCTTGGTTACGATACTGGTGGTGCGTATGGTGGCAAAGTTGTTTGGCCCATGATCGTTGACTGCATTAGAGATGGCCTGTTGCGAGGACGCGGAGCTGGCCGCATACACGGCCGCTTGGGCGGCAGGCGTCGTCAGATAGCGCGGCTGGATGGGCTGCATGCGATCCGCCAGGGGTCCGCCGGATGCAGGAGAACCTCCGCCGCTACCACCGGTTCCTGTGCCTCCGCCTCCAACGTGACCCATCGCACTCAGGTGCGGTAGAACGGAAAGCGGCGGCGGGGGAACCGGAGCAGGCGCTGGCGCCGGTACCACCGAGGCCGAGTTGGTTGGCGTAACATTGTTGTTCATGCTGTGCATTATGTTAGGCAGCGGCGGCCGGTTACGATGGCGCGACGAGTTACGGGACACTGCTCCGGGGGGAACGACCTGCCCCTGTTGGCCGCTTGGCCAGCTGGGAGGCGGTTGCTGGTGTGGATGATGATGGTGGTGCATTGCCGCCGCCACAGCGGCGCTAGCCGCCTGCTGGTGGTGGTGCGCAGCGATATGGTGATGATTCTGTGCCGCAGCCGGTATGGAATTGGATGAGGAGCTCTGCAAGAATGAATCGAGTAATGTGGGTGGCTCAGTATACAACAAACGAAACGTTCAGAACTTATCCTCACCTGACTACTGGCTGCCGATACACCCACCGAGTGTATGGAGTGTTCCGAAGTAATACTATTGCTCTTGCTGCTGTCGCCGCCGGCGTGGTCATCCTGTTGGTCGTCGGCGTCGCCCACGGCGCTTTCCGTCTCGCAGGTGTCCACCATGAGTATCTTCTTCATCTTGCGGTAGTTGAGGTTGTCCAGCTCGCGCACAGCGGACTTGGTGCGTGCAATTAGTTCCAGCAGCACGGTGTCAGAACGCGGTCTTGTCACGTAGGCATGGGTCAGCAGCTTTGCCGACGAGGGTCGCTCCGCTGGCATCTTCTTGAGGCACAGTTCAACAAAACTACAGAACGCATCTGACCAGTCGTTCTTCTGCAAGGGTTAAATTTTCAAATTAATTAAAGAAAAAAGTAAAGAAAAAAATAAAATATGTTTGTATTTTAAGTAAGAACTATTTGACATCTTTAGAGTTCACATAATCGAATTGAAATACATCTAGATGGTGGGTTTCTAGATACAACCAAGGATTCTAAGGAAATTATTACACTTCAGTTACCACTCACCGGAAGAGTCGGAGACTCGTTCTGCGCAATGTGATAGAGCGCCGACATGGCGTTCATATTGAAGTAGGGAGGCTTGCGCTCCGCCAGCTCGATGCAGGTGATGCCCAGAGACCACACGTCTACCTTGCCGTCATACTGGCCCTCATCCATGGCCAGGATCACCTCGGGGGCCATCCAGTAGGGCGTGCCGACGAAACTATTGGCCGGGCACTTAATGGCAGCACTGCCGAAATCGGCCAGCTTAACTACGCCGTTGTCCGTGAGCAGAATGTTGCCCGCCTTGATGTCGCGGTGGATGCGCCCCAGCGAGTGCAGATAGCTCAAGCCACTAAGCACACCGAGACAGATGGCGGCGATCTCGTCCTCGTGCAGTGGCTTCTTGTGTACTTCGATGATGTCCGAGGCGGAGCCCACGCAGTACTCCATCACCAGCCACGCGGTCGATTCGCGCAGATAACACCCCTTGTATTCGATGGTGTTTGGGTGATTTAATTGGCGAAGGAAGCTGTTGTCATGTCGTATATTAATGTTAGTTGATTAGATACGCATTTTCGCTGTAGATTGATTCAAGTGTGTGTACTAACCGTATCTCTTTGAGAATGTCCTGCCACTTCTCCTGGCTCTGTTTGCCGGTGTAGGACATCTTCTTAATGGCCACAATCTCCTTAGTGAGATTGCAGCGGGCATAGTAGACCGCACCGAACGATCCATGGCCGATTTCGCGCAGGTCCTCGAAGATTTTCTCCGGGTCATGCTTGTTAAACAGGTCGGCTATTTCCGGATCCTTGAGACTACCAGGTCGTGCCGAAGGCATGGCTCTCTCATGCTCTAGCCCAACTCACTCAGTGGTCGTCCTGCGTGCTCTTCTTTGACTGCAGCTCCAGTTGACGACTCCGCTGGTCTGGTTGTCTGTACGATCGGGAGGGGCGAAAAGAAGGCGATTCCGGTTAGTCAGTCGCAATCACAGTCACAGACTATGCCCAGTCTTAGTCATTTTCAAAAGGGTCGAGATTTTTGAGGATTTCAGGTTGAAACACTGAAAACAAAATGGTTTAATGGGCGGGGCTTGCAGGGCCAGTGGTAACTGTGTTTTGGACAGCGACTGGACAGACGGGAAAAGCCAAAAGCCGACTATCATCAAATCGATCAAGTGATTCACGCTCACACACACTGTATAAATCATTCGGAACTCAGCATTCCACACGCAGAACAGGCCTTATCGCAAATATTTTTTTTATTGCTGGCGTTTCTTTTGTGGCTATTTTCCTTAGCTTGTTACCAAATTGTCAGCTGCTTTTTGACCAGTTCTGCGTCTTTTCTTAGGGATGTCAGTGCAGGGGATGCACATGTGATTCAGGGTATCCAGCAATCGGTGTGACATTTAACAGTTCACTTGTTAAGTTGTGGAAAAACTTGGGGTTTTCTTTGGGGTATTACAGGGTTAAGGAGGCGGTTGATAGTGCAGGGGATGCACACGTGGTGTAGGGGACATTCTGGTTGCTAAGGTAGCTAAGGTTGATAGGGTATCGCTGCAGGATATTTATCAGTCGTTATGTCCGAGACACACTTTGGCGCTAGCAAGGAGTAACGGCACCGAAGGGGTGCATTTGTCGCCGTTGCGAATCCACACATACATCGAAATACATACATACGTATGCACATATGCGGAGGCGTTTTGCGGGCGTCTGCAAATATCCGCCGGCTAAAGATGCGGATTTCGGACCCCTTCGGAGCTCCGGTTTTCCATTATCAGCTTTGCAAAAAAATATACTCAATATAATTAACCCGCTGTTTTGTGCGACTGCAATTATTTACTTGCGACGCGAAACAGAAACACGCCTATTTTTCATAGCCACACACTATTGCACAAAGAGCAGCCATGTCGCTCACGCATACACATACACATACGACATACATATGCATATTCATGTAGACGTGTGTGCGGTTTGGCTGCTTGTTGTTTTGCATTTTGGGCGACACAAATTCAATTCAATTCGTGCTTTTTCTGGGGCTTTGGCTTTTGTTTTTCGCCTTTTCATTAGGTTTGTGGCAGAAAAACGAATAATTTTTCGATTTGATTTTGTATTGCCACTTTTTTTGGGTGCGGACCAAGGCACACACAGAAAAAGGCGTAAAATTAAGAGCGCACTAAATTGATGATGCTGCGATAGTTGTTATTGTTTTATGTTTGCTCCGGATTAAAAAGTTGTTTTCGAGACCAATTTGTGTATGAAGATTAAACTGATGTATTTTGCATTTTGCAACTGTTTTGAATCGCCTAATTTTGTTTTGCTTGCACACCGCACGCACAAACACACTCACGCTCGTCGGGGGAGCAGACAAATACACACACAATTGCAACGCACTTGTATGGGTCGATCTGGTGCTGTCTTTTTCTCACACATTGAATGGGAGTCGTCGCACCGAAATCAGATGTAGCACTTAAAATATGCAAACTCTTAATGTTTGATTGAGATTTTCGGGGAAAATGTTTGGTCGAATTGGATATTACGAGGGACAATCAATTAAACAGGGGGAACACACAAAAATTCGCATTTATTGGCCAAAACGCAAACGCGAAAAAGAACAGTATGCACACACACATACAAACACGAGCGCACAGACATACACGAACACACACAGGGATGGAGACAGTGGAAAATGCATAAATCTGGCAAAAAAAAATATAACCATTCCAACTTTTCCTGCTTTCGATGGCTTACATTTGGAAATTAATTAGTGCTTGCTTGTTTATCAGCGCGGCTGGCTTTTGTTTTTCGCATCTGTATGCATTTTTCCTCATGCGTCGCTTTCTTCACTGCTGCTGTTATTTGCCCTGCTGCGATTGGGAATGGGAATTAATGCCCTGCACTGCACACGCGTTGCGTTCACGATTCCGCATTTGCTACGCATTTCGAGGTGCCGAGCGCCAAATTCAGAGGAACTTCGAAGATCCCATCTACGGCTAATTCGCAACGATATTCTTTTCCAACTTTTCTTCACTCGTTTTCTTAATTAATTTTCTTCGATATCAGGAGGCGTTATTTGTCTTGGCTTATCGGCTATCGATTTTAGGATACCGTATTTGTTTGTAACTCGATATTAGTATATATCAATTTTGGAAAAAATGATTTACATATTTATGAATGATTTATTGGGAGGGATGACTCTTTTTCATAAACTTGTATTAAACATTTTCAACGCAATTCAAAATAAATAAAAATTAATAAAGTTTTTTTTTGTGTTGCCGCCAATCGATATTACGATACCCAAATGGACTGAGACCTACCGATAGATTATTCGATAGGTAACAATTTTTAAGTTACAGCAATTAACAGAAAAATAATTTAAATTATTAATAGGTGAGAATATAAGATTATAGCAGTCAAAATGATCAAAATCACATATGTCAGGATAAATTGCTTTGTTAAATGGTTAGAAAATATACACAATAGCTTGTATAATATTTATTAGGTATTATTAAACTGAATGAGCTTTCATAAGTTAGAAAATCAAATGTTTATATACGTACAAAGTTTAAGAAACATTTCTTTAAAAAAGTGTTATTTATATAAACAAACTCTATCGATATTTTGTAAGTTTTTAAAGTACCATCCTTGGAAATTTTGGCGCTCTTCACTAAAAGAATATTTATTTTTCTTTGCGTAAGCTTACGTTAAAAAACGTTTTGAAAATTAAGTTAGTGCCTGACCTGTTTCTCGTAAATAATAGTGGTTATCGAGGGCTTAAAAACGGCCATTATTAACAAATTTTCAAATACTTTATTTCAATTATAATTATTACTATGCAAAACTGGGAATAAAAAAAGTATACTTATATTTATAACTAGTTTACGGTCAATTTTAACCGCACGTTGCAATATATGAGCTACGATATTCCGAAACTGTGACTCGTTGTCACATAAAAGGTAAAATGAGAAACTATACCGCTTAGTTATAAAAGTACTGCTGATGATTGGGAGTCGGGAAGCGGGTGATGCTGCCAAAATCAAAATTTGAGAAATAGCCCTGGGGTGATGCGGGAATTCCGGGTGCCGTAGGTGGATCTTGCTGTCCTGAAGGCGGTGACCCATAGTCGCTATCACTCTCGTAGTTGACCAAAAATCGCGGAGCAGTTGAAGCAGTAGGAGTATTAGGTTGAGCTCCATCAGCAGCATCTGCATTCGCACCTAAATCCGTATCTGAAACTGCTACGGAATCATCTCCACTGTCCGGGTCATCCGCCGCCTCCGCCTCGGCTCGCGACCTAAAGAAGGTATCTGCAAAGTGTCGGAGAGAACCCAATTGTACGGCAGTTAGTTAAAAGGTTTCGTATTTTACCAGTAGGTTGTGCGTACTGATAGATAAGTCGACCCCCGAGCTGCCGCTGTTGAGGATCAGGCTGCTGCTGCGGCGGGCGAGGACGTGGCCGTGGCCTTGGGCGTGGTGGAGCGGCAGGTGGTGGGGGAGGAGGAGCTTCAGTGGGGGCAGGGGGTGGTGCCGGGGCATCATAGTCGTAGTCATAGTCATAGTTCGGCGGAGGAGGCGGTGGCGGCGGCGTCGGGCGAGGACGTGGACGTACGCGTCTGGTCGGCTGCGCAGCGGGCGGGGGAGGTGCTGTTGGTCGTGGCGCTGGTGGATCAGCCAAGTCTGAGTAGTCAAGTGGTAGGAAACCGGAACTGAAGAACGGATGCCAGAAAGGTTTCCGGATCCGTGGCGGAGGAGGTGGTGGTGGAGCTGGCGTCGTTGTAGTGGTCGTGGGCGGTCGGCGTGTGGTCCGCACAAGATTGGCCTTGGCCGAGGACAACTGGGCGCTCTTTAGCAGCAAATTCCGCAGGAGCAGCCCAAAGTCCAGAGTTACGGTGCCCCGTTTCTCCCGCGTCACAGTATCGTCAAGCTGTGTATTCTGGGATTCAGGATCTGCGGAGATATGTCCCAGAAACACACCCAATAAAGCGGTAAGCAATAAAAGGCGGGAATGGCTTAACATCCTGACCGATCGATTTGAATGCGGACTACGGACTACAGAATACGGAATATAAAGCGCTGGCCGTACCGCTCGGAAGGCCGTTCCAATCAGAACTGGCACTGGTCAGCGATGGAGCCACATGACTTTACTCAGGCGGAGTGCCAACCGAGCCTGGGCGTCGTGGATTAAGTGCCCCAAAATCAACTAGTTAGACGGGTTAGCTGTTAGGCTGACTGTCCGTCTGGATCTCGTAATCGCAGACCCCGACTGCCGGCGGTTATCAACGAGTTCAGTGCGTGGCAACAATTACTTTTGCACTACTTTTGCGGCAGTTTATAGATCGTAAGTGCAACACAAACTATGCATAATGCTTAGCGAACAGTGCATTTTCAAGAGGTGAGCTTACACGCACCGTGGGTTTACATCCGTAATTTTGAAGTTTTCCAAATTCAACAAATCGTTCAAAGACCTTGTAAGTTATGCATTACACCAAAAATATAATAATTTTCTTTAATAAATTTTAAATCTTGCAAGATTATCTTTGTTTTGAATTTAGTTTCATATTTATGTATCTTCGCCCCTAAATTTGGTTTTAAATAAGAGATTTCAAGATGATAAAGCTTTAAAAAGTTTAACTAACATCATAAATTTGTATATTATATTGGTACTGATAATGATATGCAAGATAATCGCTCTTTATAATTACGTGCTGACAGCACGCATATAGATTAGAAGGTATTCAACAAAACAGAAATGTATATTACAGCTATAATTAACTATCTCTACAAGAATAATAAAGAATTTACAATGAAACTGTGAAAGTTGCTGGACCATTTGAAAATGATTGGGCTTTTTTAATGGGTTTGTTCCACTATGCCAAAAATAAGGGGCTGTCACGAATTGCTCTCATAATAATATGAATTTCAATTTCAGTCTAACTGCGGCGCTGTTGCATTTGATTTTCAAGATATATTTAATCATTTCCACAGTAATTAACAGCGTTGGCTTTTTTATAAGTATTGGCGCAACTGAATTTTCTTTGCTCAGATTGACTTGGTCTGGGGGCCTGGACAATTGTAACCTCTCGCTTTCAATTCACATTCATACTGAATCGCCGGGAAACCAGTTTATGCCATGAGTTTCAAAAATATTTGACGAAAACTGTGGCAGTTCTGTATGCAAATAAACCATGGGTTTCACTGGTTGGCTAACAAGTTTCAAAAACCTGCGTGCATAATACATACTAATTGCAATTAGAACTTAAATTAAGATCTGATTACAGTAAAGGATATGTTACTGTCCATATAGTTATATGTAGAGTACAATAAGCTTTTAATCAGACTAAAAAAATATATATTTTGCATCCCGATATATTCAGAAACAATCGACCTTCTAATACAGTTTTGAAGTGTATTATAATCTTTAATCGTTATATAAAAAAATTGGAATATCGTTTTTAAGGAGGTAAAAGCGTTTGAAAAACAGGACAGGTATCAAATAGTCGGTTCATTTGACTATATCATTCTTACTTGTTTTAACCTTGATGTATTGCGTAACCCAGAAATGTGAGTCTGGTCAATAATGTGTCTGAAAACCTGTCTGTACCACTCCCCTGGACTTTTGCTTGGGAACCTAAATGAAAAAGTGAAAACTTGTTCCAATTTTAATTTCCCAAAAAACGTAATCAAAGCTAAACAAAATATACAGGATATCAGAAATAAAGAAAAGCGTTCAATGTCCAAGACACTGGAAAAGCTTGGCTCTGAAAAACGATCAGTTTTCGATTGTCGGAAACAAACATGACGGACAACTGACAGACAATTTGCTGGACACTTTGTTGTTTAACTTACTATATACAAGTTTTATGGAAAACTAAATCGATTATAAAACACGGCTGCTGTAGCTACAGTGAATTGGGCGTATTTCAAATTATATCCAAATTAGTACAAGCAATTACTTTAAGCCGGTAGTAATAAAGTTTATACATAAGATCTGAGCTTTAATAATTTGTATTTATAAATAACCTATATACATATAAAGATTTCACAACATTGCCATTACTAAATTTCTTGTTTAAATTGTGGTTTGAAACTTGAAATCCTAAGAAAATTTCATAAAATCTAATACAGCAGAAAAAAGCTTATCTGGTTGAGTATTTTCCCAAATTCTATAACGGCTAGGCGATTAACAAACTAAATAGAATTGGACAAGGTCTGTACTCTAGCTGTGATTATTGAGAACTGTTAACATATACATACTTTCGGTGTTTGGCAGGCTTTTTATCTATTCGTAATAACTTGTTGAACTGTACAGATAAAGATTTATATATAAATGAGCTATTCAAGAGCGATTAGCAAACAGTTGTTAACGGAGGCTCAAAAAATAAAGATGATTAGGCTAGCGGGAACTGTGTTAATCATTTGGTTGGCGGTAGCCAAAGGAGCTTTGCCTACCCAGAATATCCTTTCACAGGAGAATGAAGTTTCCTTCGTGGCAAACCATGAACGGCTCATGGATCTTCGTTCCTTGGGAATGGAGTTTTTTAGAGAATTCCGTAATATGTCAGCTACGGACTTGCACCTTCTCGGAGAGCGGTACGACGCACAAGATTTGATCTGCCTAGCAGACATGGCAAATTTTATGACAGCCCTTACAACACCCAAGAAGTGGGCCTTAACAAGTGGGTGAAACTCATTCTTTGCCTTGATCTCAGGTTTCTATAAGACCTTTTTATTTCCAGTGCTTGATTCGTGGGGCTCAATTCCGGCCGGTTATCTGTATGGTAACATCGTCGACATGGGGAACTACGATGAGTGCCTCAAAACAGATGGGACCATAAGTGATTCGCATCAAATCAAGGGAAAATATTGCTTTCTGGAGCTCCCAATTTACAAGTGGCTGGGCTACACAACACCATTGCTGGCGATGACCAACATGAAGACCGCAGTGTGCTTTCCCTCATCGTGCTCAGCAAATACCATGGAGAAGTTCTTCGAGCAGCTGCTACAGAGGCTCCTGGCCATTAGCGATCCAAGCGATTCGTTTTCGATTAGCGAGCAGACATGCAGGACCAATGAGAGTGAATCCTTTGATGGCCTTACTATATGCACCATGTAAGTAATGTCAACAGATGATTTATCCTATTTAGACTGATCAATTGGCTTTCTGGACCAGCGTATTACTGTCCATATTTTGCACTACAGTGATACTTTGCACCCTCTACGATTACTTTTTGTGTCCAGAACAAGGTAAGTAAAAAGCGGAGTCCAATGAAATGTGTTTGATTATTATCTTCTATCTTGTAGGTAAGCTACCTTCTTTTGTAAAGGCCTTCTCAGCCCGTGCCACTTCACGTGACCTGTTCACTATTGTGGACAACAAGATGAATCCCAATGTAATCCATTGCTTGAATGGTATGCGATGCATGTCTCTCGTTTGGGTGATATTTGGCCACGAGTATATCGTCGCCTTAAAGGCACCTGCCATCAACCCTAGGGATAACTTGAAATGGATGACGCAACCATTCACCAACTTTATACTATACGCTCCATTCTCGGTGGATACGTTCTTCTTTATCAGTGGCTTGCTACTAGTGGCCATAGGATTACGCTCCTTGGAGAAGTAAGTAATTTGATATAGAAAATACAGTGTTCGATTTAGACGAACTAAAATTGCTTACAGAACTAAAGGAAAGTTAAATGTTCCTCTGATGTATCTGCACCGATATCTGCGCTTAACTCCGATTTTAGCCGTTGCTATACTAGTATATGTCAAGATGATACCAATTTTCGCCGATGGCCCCTTGTACGGTTCGACGGGCTTCTTTGATTACTCCATATGCGATAATACCTGGTACTTGACCTTGCTCTATGTGCAAAATTACGCCACCGACAATATTGTTAGTTAAATACCTAATTAGTGTTCTGTTTTGTTAATTAATGAATGATGTTTTTTAGTGTCTTGGTCATAGTTGGTACCTTGCTGTGGATATGCAACTCTTCATTTTATCACCGATCCTGCTAATTGGCCTCTTTAAATGGGGAAAAAAGGCAGCGGCCGGCATCCTGCTGCTCATTCTGCTAACTTCCGCTTGCCTGTTTGCCACTATAGTAACAAATAATTATGGAGTTATATTTTCGTAAGTTTACAATACTGACATTGTGTAATATACATGGCTAATTATTTACTCTTTGTAGAGATGGTTCACACATTCCGGAAGTCCAGAAGAAGATCTATTATGCCACCCATACCCATGCAGCACCATGGTTAATCGGCATCCTCTTCGGTTACTTTCTGCACCTGATACGTGGCAGGAATTTCCAGCTTAACCGTCTCGTAGTCTGGACAGGATGGTTCCTCTGCTTGGCCATGTTGTTCACCTCGATCTTTGCAATGTATCCATATGCCAAGTTACTGGGTAAATCACCCACAGTTCTGGAAGGAGCCTTCTATTACACACTGACCCGAATTGGCTGGCCTCTAGCCCTCTGTTGGGTGGTTTTTGCCTGCATCCAAGGCTACGGTGGGTTGGCTAATAGCTTTCTGTCATCGCCTCTATGGCAACCACTCTCAAAGATTTCCTATTCCGCATACATTTGGCATATCTTCATTCAGGAAGTCAACCATAAACGCGTCCGAACACATACATACTTCTCTGACTTTGAAGTGGTAAGTGCTTACTAAAGTCAATCCAAAATATAAAGATATTGACCTGTTTATTTTAATCATTACAGATGCTTAGCTTCTGGTCCACTTTTGGGTTCACTCTGGTTATGTCGTATGTGCTCTACGTTATTATTGAGGCTCCCCTTGATGGTGTGGAGCGCATGATGTTTCCCAATCGAAGACCATCGCCAGTGCCAGCAGTCAAAGACGAGCAGGCCAAAATTGAGCCCAATGCGGAGATTATTGACCGACACGAGGTCGATCCAGATAAGCAGACTGATCTTGAGCAGGCTAACCCGAAATTGGTTACCAAGAGCGCAGAAAAAGCCGACGAGTCATAATATTGGACTCTTAGTTAGAAATTAAGCTTGTTATCAGTTCCTATTTAAATTTTAACAAAACCTACTACTACCTAACTATTAATCTAATCTTGAAATACCAAGGCTTTAGTAGTTTCAATGTCGAAGTACTTGTGTTGAAAAGGAGTGCAATCAAGAATCTTTCAACGATTCATTACGCTTATCACAACAAAGTGCAAGCAATTAACTATTAGTCACAGGGTGATGCCCAACTTTCAATTGGTAATTCAAATAAATGAATCATTTAGGTGACGCCTAGCTTTGTGTTGATATATAATAAAAACAATCAATCAGTTACAAAAACGAAAACATTTAGTACTTACCAAGAACTTGTTAAGAACTTTATCTACTTTTTCGGATTAAAAAAAAAGTTTAATCTCATCATCATCAATCATCTTAATTCACGCTCATTTCAGTGGTATACAATTTGTTAAAAAGTAAAAAAAACTTGGATATACTACAAATAATTTGGAAAAACGAAACTGTGACTACTTGATTATATTTAAATTCTATACTAAGCACTTTTTATTTTAAGAAAATTATCATATTAAGTAACACGAAAATGATTAGATACTTTGTTTTTATCCATAAATTTCAATTCTTCCACACTCTTATTGGGTGTTAAACAGATGTGCAATCATTAATAAAATCATTTAAATTTGTTAAAAATTATTAGGAATTTACTATATATTTTATAGATTATTTTTTAAAATCCTAAGCATGACATCTAAACAGCAGTTTTTTCTGGATCAGTCGCAAATTCGTTTTCATTTGGGGTGGGTATAGCTTTTGGAGTTTCCTCTACTGCAGATTCCTTGGCTGATGTCTTCACTTCTGGAAACTTGGATTGCGCTACTGCTGCTGGCGTAGCACTTGGTCTCTTTGTGGGCAACAGAAGACTTTCCAGACCAGCAAATGGTGCTTCGATTAGGATGTGCATGAAGTAGGAGAAGAGTAGCGTAAAGCCAAAGTCAGACCAGAATCGAAGCATCTAAAGGAAAAAATAGGGTTCTTTTAGTTGTCAACCCGGCTCTAGTATCATCTGAATACCTACCACTTGGTAGTCACTGAAGTAGGTGCTGGTCCGCGTAATCCCACCGTTGAGACTCTCGATGAACATGTGGAATATATAGGCGGAGTAGGAGAGCTTGGAGATGGGTTGCCAAAGTGGAGAAGAGAGAAAGCTATTGGCCAGTCCTCCGTATCCATGCATGCAGGCAAATACCACCCAGCAGAGACTCAGTGGCCAGGCAATCCTAGTTAGGGTCACATAGAAAGCCTCCTCCACAATAGGCAAAGTATTCTGGCCATAGACCGCGAACATGCAGGTGGCTATTAGTGACAAGCCAACAAGCCATCCCAAGAGGGCAATGAAGAAGTTCAACTTGAATTCCTTGCCCCGATTAATGTGTAGGAAGTACCCGAATAAGATGCCAATGAGATAGGGTGAGGCACGGGTGTTTGTTGCGTAGTAGAGCTTTCTCATAGATTCATCACCTTGTGCTCCACTGAAAAATGCTTGGGGTTACATGGGGTGCATTCTTATTTCATAAATATACTTACAGGGAGAGATCTTTAATAACCATAATGCTAAACAGACAGCAGGCTAGAAGTAGCATAAGGATAAAGATTCCGGCGGCTGCCTTCTTTCCCCATTTGTATAGGGCTATAAGAAGAAATGGTGCAAAGATGTAGAGCTGCATGTCGACGGCCAGGTACCAGGAATGACTTAAGCACTGCAAGAGGTTGAGGATAATATATTGGATAGCATAGAAGATAATCAGAAAAGCTTACCAGTTTATTGGTTGCCACATTTTGTACATATAAGAGTGTCAAGTACCAGGTGTCCTCGCAGGCTGAGTAATTATCAAAATTTACTGATCCTTGCAGTGGACCATTTCCCAACAGAGGCAGAATCTTCATGTAGATGAGTATGGCAAAAGCCAGAATGGGCGTGAGCCGAAGATAACGATGCACATACATCATGGGTATGTTAAGCTTTCCATTGGTTCTGGAAAAAGTTTGGATTAAAGTCAGTGGCTAAACAAAATAAATGATTTAGTCCACAACCAACCTCTCCATTGACCGCAAAGCAATCAGCACGAGCAACAGTCCGCTCAAGAAGAAAAATGTGTCCACAGCATAGATACCATGCAGTACAAATTCGCTATAGAAGGAGTTAAGCCACTGAAACATATTGATAAGTTAATACAATTTTCAATTTTAAATATATTCAGCTTACTGTTAACATGTCACCCAGATTAATGTTGGGTGACTTGGCAGCCACTAGGTACTCATGCCCATAGACCACCCAGATGAAAGAAAGACATCTGATTCCATGCAGACAGTCAATGACATTTGGGTTCGACTTGGTATCTACGATGCGGAATATAGCTCGCGAATTGGCACGTGCCGAGAAAGCTTTGACCACTGGATTTAGCGTTTCTATAAGTAAATATTACATATTATTATAGAAAATAAAGTTGTACTGGGAAATACTTACTCTCATCCTGGCTAAAAAAGTAGTCATAGATCGTGGAGAGACCCACTAGAGCTCCCATTATGGATAGGATGACTCTGGAAGTGCACGTTGATATACATATCATAAATTAGAAACTATGGTAGCTTTACTTACATGGTGAATATGGTTAGACCATCGTACGGCTTCTTCTCCGCGGTCTGACACGTAGCCTCGTCCACAATCTGTTTGTCTGCGCTGATCTCCACGTTTAGAAGGGTCTGAAACAGTCTTCGCATCATCGTATCCATGTTAGCGGCGGAACAGGAGGCGGGAAAGCAGACCGCTGTCTTAATGACCATCATCGACGACACGCTCGGAGCTAGTGCTAACTTGGAGAGGCAATATTTGCCCTTAATACTGTGAAAGGTGGTCACAGCGTGGTCTATAGCAATACACTCGTCAAAATTACCCAAGTCCCACCAGTTTCCCACAAGCACTCCCGATGGTAACAGACCCCAGGAGTCAATCACTGTACAAGGATCAAGCGAGTTTGTTTAAGATTTTCTTGGTTAACGCAGACTGGCACTTACTCTTCAGGGTCCAGTATTTAAAAGATGAAAGATCCTTGGATAGAAGAGCCATATCCGCTAGGCATTTTATATCCCCCGCATTTACGTTTAGATCCAATGATATGTCCGCCAGGGAAACATTAGAGTAGTGATCAAAAAACTCCACTGCCAAGCTCCTTAGCTTGGAAACATTTAAATATTGTTCCTCAGCTAAGTTTTCTGCGTAAAGTTGTTTGTTGGTAAGAGCAAATATGTTGGTAATATTGGCATTGACTCCGGCTAAAGTGAGGAGGCTCAGCCACAGGGTTATTCCTAGCCTAACCATATTGTTCAGTCTATGGTCTAAGTGATATTGATTGGAATGCTCCCGCTGTAGAGGCACTTATAATACAGAGGACTCCACTAGCGATAATGAATTGGCCATATCACTATAGAACTTAGATTCTGTCATGTCAAATCGAAAAATGGCCACAGTTTTCAGATTAACATTGAACGAAAATTCTAACTTAATTGAAGATTATTTGACGGGTACTAGGAATCGCCCCCATACGGTTAGTACTGATAGGGCTCTATTCCATGGGCTGTTCCATCAAGTCTTAATCTTCAAATCTATTTCAAATTGTCAAGCCTTTTAAGAGTCTCAAGATTATCTTTATAGTATTACTTAATCTTAATAATATTATTTTCGGTAATAATATTACTTTAAAATATTTTATCAAGATCAATTTAATAATTTCTTATTTAGACTTAATAATACAAAATTACTTGTGCTAATTTCATCTTATGTGAATGTATATATAAATACTTGTAATAACCTTTTCTAAGACCAATATATAGTTGGCATATATATATTGCACATTTTTGACCGATTTCAAGTTCCTCAATGCCGGGGTCATCACTCAACTCAGTTGAAAAGCAAGAAATCAATTACCCAGGTATTAACCCTTGAACGGCTAAGATTAAAACGGGGTGAATGATTTTGAATAACACTATCAATAAACTTAATGATAACGAACAGTCTCCAGTGGCATTCTGAGTAATACCAAAGCGCCTGTGCATTATATGGCACTAGTAGGTGACTCGAAAAAGTACTTGAAGATTATTGGGGGAACTGTCTGCTATTATCAATGATTATCAGTGGCTAATTTCAAGGAAAGCTGCCCAACTTGATTGGCATCGTCTTAAATAAACCGAATTAAGTCTGTAAGGAACCATAAATAGATTTGTTATTCCCTCTTATCGGTGTATAAACAATTCCTTTTAAGCAATTCAGGTTTATTGTTCGGGGAAGTGATTTGCTCAGCATAACCATTTTGATATGCATATAAGCAATAATGAAAACGAACCAATCGCACTTTAATCACCCAATAATCAGAACGTCCACTTAACAAGCTTTCTTTGGAAAAAAGGGCGAGACGATTAAACTTTGCTGTTAAGATTTTGAATTATTTGGAAAGGATGGTGATTATCATACCACCAAAAAATAGCTATGAGATTTTATCTATATATTATATAAGAGTGCTACAAACAAAATTTTAGAAAATAAATATACTTAGATATTGTGGTAAACCAAATTAATTTATCCTAGCTTTTAGTAGCTCTTTAAGTCATCCTTATCAAACTACATGTATATAGCTAACGCCTCTTTAAGAAAAACAACATATTTATTTTTTTTTTTATTATTCAGCCCTCGACTACCGAAAGTATGAATTAAGCTGAAATTGGTTGTGACGAATATTGTTTTTGAATAAATTTATGATTACCAATCCAGATAGTATTCCAAGTATTATGGTGGTCTATCAGATTAGCATAGTTCAAATGAACATACATGTAATTGTTTTGTTCTTACCTTTTTCTTGTCCCTGATGCCTTTAATACCTACATACATATATGTTTATGTAATATAAAATGAAATAGTATAATAGAATACCCAATGCATTCCACTAACTTTTGCTGTCGGCGAAGATTATAGAGATTATAATGACTACCCAATCTTTGATCACAATCTAAACATTGCTCAAGGAACCTTAACTGATTAAAGTCCAAGCGATAGCCGACATTTCGTCTGAAAGGAGTGATTTTCTCAGTTCCACAAAAACAACACTTCAATCCATTTGTTTTCCAAAATATTTCCACAAAAGCGTCTCGTGTCGTCTAGACCAAATTTATGGATTCGTCGAATTATTGGCGACTACGACTAATCCACTTAGTTAGTATTGGAAAAGTTAGGAATATCTCAAGTCACCATTGACCAACAATTTGTTTAGAAGTGTTGCAGAAAGACCTATTTGGACCTGGACGTAAAAGCGATTATCAAACAATAACTAAGATTCTCACTTTTCCATGATAACATTAATAAAGGCAGCCCTTTTCTTATCAAAGTCTCGGCCTTCGATATATAAGAGCGTTTGGCAGCTAATGCAACCATATTATTGTTTACTTCAGACCAATCAACATGGTCAGTCTAAGACTAATTACTCCGTTCCTGTTTTTGTTCCTGGCGCTGGCCAGTGCAAGTAGTAGTCTGGAGATAACAAAAGACTCATCAGTGGATTCACAATCAGAATCCTACCACACCTTATCCAGGCTCAGACGTTTGGCAGTGGAGTTTTTCGATTACTACCAGAACATAACGATATTCGATCTGACACAGGATATATATAATAATAAACATTCGCGACTGCCTTCTGTCGAGGATCTGCGCTGCTTGGCAGATCTCCAAATACTTGGAAACGATATGTCGGCATCCAAGGCTTGGGCCCTGAGAAGTAAGTTTGTGATAAAAACTAAAAATAGTTTTAAAGATAAAAAAAACATTACGTTGGCCGTTACACTGAACTGAAATTGTTATAGATGCCAAAAATATTTATCAATCTTGGTAAATATAACATCAATGTATTTAACACATATTCCATTCTTCACAGTGATCGACTCATGGGGCTCGCTGCCTTCGGGAATCCTCTATGGAAATCTGTATGATCTTGGGAACTATGACGAGTGCCTTGGCATAGATCATTCTGTCACGAGCAGTCACAATGTCCAGGGAAAGTACTGTTTCGCTAAGATTTCACTGGCTCCAAGTATCTCCAGCTACCTAAAACTCAAGACAGCGGTCTGCTTTCCTGCCTCCTGTTCTGCCGCCCATATGGACACGATGATCCGAAAATTATTACAGAATCTCCTCAATATAGAACTGAATCAGGAGGAGCCACTAGTAAGGGAGGATAAATGTCAGACTGCAGATCGAGAACCTTATGATGGCCTTACTATATTCACAATGTAAGTAATCTTTGCAAATACCCCGAAAAAGAACGAAATTTTCATCATCCAAATACTTGCAGTGTTGTGCTATCGATATTGGGTGTGCTCGTTACCCTCTCCACTCTGTATGACTATATAGTTCCCAAGAACAAAAGTAAGTATTGCATAATGATTATATTCTAATACTCATTAGCTTATATGATAACCAACCCTCTGGTAGAACCCCTTAATCTGTGGATTAAGGCTTTCTCTGCGCGGGCTAACTGCCGAGTTCTTTTCCGGTTAGTGGACACCAGGAGCAATCCCAATGTAATAGACTGCCTTCATGGAATTCGGTGTATCTCTTTCATCTGGGTTGTCTATGGCCATGTATATCTCGTGTCTGCATTCGGTCCCAATATGAACTATGTTAAAGTCAGTAGGGTAAGTTAAGTTAAATTTTAATATTTTTTGACTATATTTTTAATTATACATTTTTCTAATAACAGTGGCTAAAATCGCCCTATAGCATGTTTATACAGCATGCAGCTTATTCGGTAGACACTTTCTTTTTTTTGAGCGGCCTTTTACTGGTGGTGATTGCCCTCCGAGCAATGGAAAGGTACGTACGGGCTTATCAAAAATCTCTAGAGGTTTTATAATCTATGAAAATATGCCATAAAGTCTGTAGAACACTGTTTAAGTTGCTTTTAAATCTCTAGAGGATTTAGTAGCACCGTCGTTTATGATCATTTTTTATTGGATTAATGATCCTTATCGGCATACATGTTTACAGGACCAAAGGAAAACTCAACATACCTCTAATGTATCTGCATCGTTATCTGCGTCTCACTCCGGTCCTGGCTTTGGCCATTATTGTCTACATGAAGATATTGCCCAGAATGGGTGACGGCCCACTATACGGATCGGTGAACTTTGATGATTATTCCTTGTGCGAGAACACCTGGTACTGGACACTCTTGTATGTCCAGAACTATGCAACCCACGAGATCGTAAGTTATTATATTTAGTAATCATTTTCAATCATAATCTTGCTAATATCATATCACATTACACAGTGTCTGGGTCATTCTTGGTATCTCGCTGTCGACATGCAGCTCTACATCATTGCACCCCTTCTTTTAATCGGCCTCTATAAATGGAAAAGGAAGGCAGCCGCAGTGATCTTTGTGTCTATGCTGCTCCTAGCCGCGTGCCTCTTTAGCATGATGGTGATCAAGGACATTTCTCTGTAAGTATAAATATTTAAAAATGTAATAGAAATTATTGTGAATTTAATATGAATTACCTTGTTTTCTACAGTTTGTCGGTTACCAACGATGCAATGAAGAAAATCTACTTCTCCACACACACTCGGGCGTCCCCTTATCTCATTGGCATCCTCTTCGGGTATTTCCTGCATGTTAACCGGGGAAAATCCTTTAAGCTCAACCGCATTGCAGTTATTTTGGGTTGGCTTTTAAGCTTGGCGTTGCTCTTCACCTGTTTGTTTTCGATCTATGGGTATACCAAGAATTCGGAGACACCGTCAATTTTAGAAGAGGCCTTTAACTTGACTTTTACCCGTATTGCCTGGCCATTAGGCCTCTGCTGGGTGGTATTTGCCTGCATGCAAGGGTACGGAGGACTAGCCAACAGCTTCCTCTCTTCTCCACTTTGGCAGCCGATGTCCAAGCTCTCCTACTCCGCCTATATATTTCACATGTTCATCGAGGGCCTCAACGCCGGCCTTACGCGCACCAACACCTTCTTCAGTGACTACCAAGTGGTAAGTTTTAAACTTTACATATAAATAAACATCTGCGGTGTCTAATTGGGAATCCTTATAGATGCTACGATTCTGGGGCGACTTTGGATTCACAATGATCCTTGCTTTCGTTGCTTACATCGCGATTGAGGCGCCCTTCGGAAATTTGGAAAACCTCTTGCTGCCTGCGAAGAAGCCTAGTCTTCCACCTGTGGTTCCTTCCAAGCAACCAATAGGACAAACAACGTCTATCCCACCAATCGAAAATAAATTGCCACTACCGGAATAGGGATCTCGAAGCTCTTAAAATACGTAAATTAAAATAGATTAATATATTTATATTAGGTTAAGAAATTAAATTAAAATAGATTAAGATATTTGTATTAGTTTAAGAACTTTTTTTAATAAAAGCTTATATTTGTTATTCAAGAAATGGTTGTAATTATATAAAATTATTAAAACTTAAATAAACTTAAAATAATTATTTTACATAATTATATAAATAACATAAAATATCTAAGAATTTACTGTTCAGTTTAATATGATTTTTGATTAGGCATGGTTTGATTGCGGTTAAAACAAAAATTAGACTTACAAAAACTTTTTCAAACATTGAAGAACTTGATAAAATAAAAATGAAAATAATTTTGAGACTTACAAAAACCGATTTAAAATTTTAAAAAATGTAAGAACTTGATGAAATTAAAATGACCTTGCGGAATGATAAAAACAAATTTGGTTAAATTATTAATTAAATAAATTATAAATAATTATCATTTAAAATTTTTTATCCCTCGTATCTTGAACCGTTCTCTTTGCGAAATGAAAACATAACGTTTACAAACCGTTACCCAAACAAGCGCTTGTGTTGCACCGACTCCAATTTCCGAGTCGACTTTACAACTGATTTTACATAGTGTTTTTTTAATAATTTATCTATTTATTATTATTGATTAATTTATTTATTTTATATTATATAGATAAACTTCTTTTAATTTTTCTCAAAGTTATTAAGTATAATGAAAAAAATGTCTTATTGCGGTAATTTCGATATCGATAGAAACGTACTTAGTGTGCTTGCAAAATTACTATTTTGCTAAAAAAAAAACATAAACAAGTGGGAACTGCGATTATTGGACAACAATATCATATCGATAAGTTTACATTTGCAAAAATAAATAAATGGTGTGGTGTATACACTAGCAATTTTTCTCTTCAAATTGGTACGTTTGCACTCGATACTTGACAGTCCGGCAACTTGGTCTCTATCGAATTAGCTGTTTGATCCTTTAAATAATTTAGTCTAAATGAACATAACATTATTGGGTTATTTCCAGAAAATGGAGGCTTTAGTTTTTCAGAAGCAACGTCTTAAACTTAATTCCTTGATTTGTTTGTGATTTTGAACCGTGGAATGTGCCTAAGAAAATATCGATGCATCGATGGCGCGTCGATTGTTGGGACATTTTCCCATAGTCCGGCCACGCTGCCAGCCGTCTTCTTCTTTTCATCCCTTCCGTTTCCCTTTCTTTTCGTCTTCACGTTTCCGGTGAGTGCGTGTGCTCCGCGATTTGTTTTACTAAAATTCCTAATTTAAAACCTTTAAATTCTCTTTTACTTACAGCGGGAGTATTACGATACGTTCGCGTTCGTGTAACTTTGTGTTTGCAAATCAATCCAGGTAATCGTCGTCGAATAAAACAGATTTTTAAATGGTCGCACCGGGAAAATATATGCCCAATGTTGTTCCTGAGTATATGTACACATTTATTTTTTTTTACTGTGAGCAAAGAGCCGAGTTTCAGACACTCAATAAACAATGTGTGAATTGGATATCAGATATATGTGTACCTAAACTACCCTGAAAATCCCATTCTAATTCATTTTTTTTTGTCTGTGCAGAATGTTTATGCCAAAGGCCCATCGTGTCGCGATCTACGAGTACCTCTTCAAAGAGGGCGTGATCGTGGCCAAGAAGGATTTCCATGCCCAGAAGCACCCGGAACTGGAGTCGATCCCCAACCTGCATGTGATCAAGGCTCTGAAGTCGCTGCACTCCCGCGGCTTGGTCAAGGAGCAGTTCGCTTGGCGCCACTACTACTGGTACCTCACCAACGAGGGTATCGAGGAGCTGCGCAGCTACCTCCACCTGCCTCCCGAGATTGTCCCCTCGACGCTGAAGCGCCCAGCCCGCTCGGAGACCGTCCGTCCCCGTCCCGCCGCTGGCGGCCCACGCGGACCTGGTGACGCCACCAAGACTGGCGAGGACCGTTCCGCCTACCGACGTGCTCCCGGCGGCAGCGGAGTGGACAAGAAGGGCGATGTTGGACCCGGCGCTGGCGAGGTTGAGTTCCGCGGAGGATTCGGACGCGGATCGCGCAACTAAAAATGCGCTTCAGTTTTTTTTCTAATGTATAAAAATTAAACTCAGTAAAATGTTGAACTGAAGATCCAAACCATCAACAAAAAAAACATCTGAAAATGTGTGTGTGTTTTATGATATGACGAATTATAAAGCAAACGCAAGTGAAAACCGTGCTCTTTTTTTTTGGTCCAGTGATTGTGGTGTGCAAATGGATTACGACTAATAATATCAATGGTATTGAAAAAGCTAATCTCTAGGAAAATTTTGGCTAAACCTACTGACAAGCAGTGAACCTAACACGTTTTTGCAATAAACTACTTTATAGGGTCTTTTTGGTTAGAATATTTTGTAGCAGTGAATAATATATGTATATTTTTGATAAGCAGCATGCGATTCTATTCAGATATGTTAGCAGTCTTCCATGTGATTTAGTCCAGTTCTGTTATCCAGTTCTAATCTATCTCTATGAAACTTTCTTTAAGTACTCTTTTGAATTGTTTCGCTAATTGACTGAATGTTCTTTCCAGAGGGCATACATTTTAAAAAAGATAAGTTTACTTATAGATGGATTTTTTTACATTCTAGCAGAATTCAAAATACAATTTTAAAATTACCATAAGAAAAGGTTTCTAGAGTCCTGAGAAGTGGGAATATTTATTTGGCAACATCTATGAAGCCTATAGAGGTTAGCTAAAAAGGTACAGACTTTAATAATCTGCGTTCACATTGGTTTTTTTTTTTTTTGGAAACGAAATCTACCAGTTTGTGATAAACACAAATATTTTAGTCACAAATTTTATTTTGAGCTTTAAAATATAATCTAAATCTTGTGGGAATATTTTTTTGTTACTTTTTAGACAGGATTTTATGCTTTTAATCAGTAATATTTTTTAACATTAAATTATTTACAATTAATTTATCGTATAAAATGTATTAGAAATTTAATGTGGTCTTTTCCACTAGATTATGATCTCTTTGTGATTGTTTTCAGTTGATACTTATCAATTTTTGCATTAAAAACAATCCTAAGCATTTTATACGAGTATTTTTTTTCTAGTTTAACATTTCCACATTGAGGATTCTTACATTTTCATATAATCATTTATTTTTTCTTAAAGATTTTTATGTTCAATAAAATGTATTAGTCGAAGTTACAATTTCTTTTTATATTTAGAGCTGAATTTTCAGTTTCTTCACTTATTAACAAACTATTTACTTTTAAGTTAAACGTTTAGGCGTATCTGTTATTCACAGAAATGTGTATCAAAACTACATATTTTTGTAATTTCCTAAACAAGATAATCTATTGCATCTTAAGACGCTAAAATAGCCGCATAATTTATATTTTTAGCCCATTTGAATTATATCATTGTTAGGCACAGTAAGTATGAACACGTTCTAATGACATTTTCAGCCACTAAACAAATGCAACTCATTGTATTTGAGAAAAAGAGTAAAGATAGCACTCCGAAAGGGGAAATATTACATCGTGGATGGCTTACATTAACCAAAAAGAATAAGCGGACTTAAAACTGGTTTACCAGGCGGGATCAGAGCCCCGCAGAAGAATAAATATTAGCACTTTGATACTGGTTATGATGTAAAAGTACCCCATTTCAGCCACTAAATGTGGTATTGCAACTGATAGAGAAGAGTCCAGGAAGTTAATCGTGACTCATTTAATAAAATTCTACTTGTATACAAAATAATTGTTTCATTATTTACAATTTGTAATATTCGTTAAGGAAAAGTGTAAAGTGTAATATTTAAAATCTAATATACGGCTACGTTCGTACCAATAATTTTATGAAAATACGTCTCTCAACCGAGGTAGCGGGGCAGGCGTGATGTGAAGGCGCCCTGCCCGACGGCGGAGCTATCGCCGCTTTATCGAGATCTTGCCTTTGGCCAAATGTGACATGTTGATCTTGACCTTCGTCTCGTTCGTTCGTTTCACCCACACCTTAGAGATGCAATCTTAGAAACAGGGGTAAAGGTAATAGAATAATGGGAGTACTCACCACTTCGTTGCCGATGGCTGTGATTGTGGCCGCAAACTTACTCATCTCCTTTCCTTCAACATAGACCTGTTGGCCGCGACAGAACCATCTACGCTCGTACAGCAGCTTGTTGTCCTCAATACGAGTTTCCACATAACTGCTGTTAGCAGGTGGGTCAGAGAGTAGACCGTGTACCGGTTGTTGCTGCTGCCCGCCGCTACCATAGGATCCGATGCCGTTTTGCTGCAGGATTGCATTGGGTGCCAAAGGTTTCCCCCGCTGGATGATCTTGAGGTCTGACTCGATCTCCTTGTCATCTAGCTGGTAGACGAGCAGCTGCCCAGTGGCTGGTTTACGGCGTTTTTCGATCACCGGCAACGGCTCGTTTGGTCGACGTCGCAGCTTGCGCGTGACCGTCGTCTTGATTTCCATCGAATCATTGGTCAGTTCGAGGCTGAAGCGTTCGTTTTCAATCTGGCGCTTACGGTCTTCGAAGTCCGAGATCAGGTTGTCCTTGAGGTCCATCAATTTCTCGTCGTACTCCTTCTGGGCTGCCTTTTTCTCTAACACATAGTCTCGCTCTACGCACTCCCGCATGTACTCCTTGTATATCTCGTTCAAGCGTCGCCGTTCCTTCAGCTGGTTGTCCAGCTTCTTGACGCGCTTTATGTACTCCGGGTGCACCAGTTGGCCCAGTTCCTCCATCTGCTTCTGCAAGTTAAGCAGCTTGTGCTGGTACATTCTGCAAATTAGTAATGATGAGGGATGGTAATTTCGTAAGGATGCGTATCCTGCGACTACTCACTGTTCCTTTAGTTCACTATTGGTGCCCATGATATTGCTGTTGGTGGTGCCATTAGTGCCGCCGTAGCGACTGGGACTGCGGAACTCCGTCTCGCTGGCGTCGTCCGTGTCTGGAAGGGATTGGGAGCACGCAGGATGCGGGCCGTAAGTGAAGCCTGCGGCAGGACACCCGGGTGCGTAGTCATACTCACCTTCCTCGCTGCGCTCGTCACCGATCGACTCGTCGTCGTAGTTGTCCCCCGTGTAATGGCTGTAGTAGGCGGACATAGTGGCGTAAACAGAACTCAAGATCTTGAAATCCAATTCCTAGGTATTCCAAGGAAATTCAATTGTTTATTTTCCTTGCTTCGATGCTAGATATACACACGCATACAACTGGGTTAACAACTCAAAATAATATCGATACATCGAATCGAAATCGCTGGGATCTCAGCTCTAAGTCACAGTGTGACCGTTTCGGCAGGGGCAGGGTTGTCATTGTGTGCTAGCTGCCGATAGTACTATCGATGGAATATCGATTGTATAAGATGGGCGCGCAAAATACCACGTTTAAATTTAAATACAAATATTTTTCAAATTACAAAATGATAATATCCTTAAAAAAACTCTTATTTTTTTCGAAAATAAATCTTGTTGACTTATTTTTTAAATAGCATTTGATGGCCCATGATATAATCGTATATATTTAATTTTCCAAATGACTTACAGCTAAATGGGAGATATTTAATTGAATAATTTACATCTGTTTCGCAGTACCCATACTTTTCGGAACGATCAATTGCCAGAAAAATCGCTATTTTGCTTATTCATTCACTTCTAGTTGCTCGAGCGTAAAACAAACGATTTAAGCAATAGGAGATTTAAAATTTTAAATGAATTAACTTTAAACAATAAATTTCAGGCTGTCGTTTTTGCGCATCAATTTACAGCGGGTATTTGTAAAGTTTAATTTGTGTATCTTACCGCCTATAATTAAATACGTACCCGCACACTGCACCTACAAAACTATAGTATATACATATGTGTACGTTCGTAATACGTATTTTCATGTACATATGTGAAAGCTTGCTTTTGTTTGAATATTAACAGCACTTGGTTTTCTGGCTGACACATATTTTAATGCTGTCGTCAAGCACAGCAGCCAATGCCAATGGATGCCGCCCACGCATAAGGAGATCGCTATTTGCTGCTCGCCATTTGCTCGAGCTGAAAAATTAGTGAAGTCTCATCATCAGCCAAAAATTCCATGCTAAATCATCGCGAGCAAATTTTGATTGATTTCTGACTGTGCGGGGAAAGGGACTTTCAGTTTTTGGATTTGGATTTGAATGGACGGACTACGAGTTGAAGTGGGATGACATACCGGCAAATGACTAGAGCACTTTTACATATACACTTGTTCTGTTTTCTGTTTCGTTTGTCGTGCGAGAAGCATTCGAATATTCTGGTGACGTGGGGAAAATTTGTTTTCCCAATATCTCGGTGATGATCCTCAAGAGGTACATTTTTGCACACAAGCGAATAGAGAGCAAGCAGAACAATGATACCGCAGACGTTTCTTTCTACATATGCTTACTATTTATTATTTATTTAGTTTGGCAAAGCATTGTATTGTTCAAGCTTATAATAAAATTTATGATTTTTAGTTGAATTTAAGAATTGTTTTTACACAAGATACTTAGAAATATGTATGGGTTAAAAATAATCAAAATTTAAGTTAAGCACGGTTTGTATTAAATATGGTGTCTTAGCAACATCTAGAGGTTTGAAACCACTTAAAAATGTATCTAACATTATACAAGAATATATTAGTATTAACGAAGATTCAAGAATAAGAATATACTATCACGCATATTTTTATATGTTATCAAATCTCTAGAATTTTTATAACACTACCTATGGCAAGCTATGCGATTTTAAGCAATTTTGAGGGCATCTGTAGATGCAAATATGTACAACGGATATAGATGCGTTTGTCTCCCCATTATTTTCGTGGATTGCCGACTGGCGGCTTAGTTGAGATTCTGGGGCCTTCAAGGTCGATATTTTTGATGAAAATGAGTTTATTGTTTGGACAGGGGGCATTAGCGGCCGTCGCATCCATGTGGGCGCTGTGAAATATAAAAACCAAATCACCTCAGCCGCAGCGGCGGCAGCAGCGGCGTTGATCACCGATGATTGTCATTTTATTTTCGTAATTCATGATTAAATCTATAATTATTTGGATGGCTCTACTGCCGTTGCCCCCGATGGAATTCGAAATGAAAACGGTCACGAATTTCAAAATACAGTTGAAGCTCCCTCGACGACAAACTGTCGAAGTGAGAAAAGCGAAGCAATGTTTAAAAATATATCTATGTACATACATCTATTTTTTCTGTTATGGCAGATTCAAGCAAAAACCTCTTTTTCATTTGCAAATTGTATAGTAAATATTTTGTCATGGTGAAAAATGAGAGCAAATTATGGATTGTCTTAATGCTAAAAGCTTTATATTTAAATTGCTAAAAAATAATAAGTAACTCATCGTATAGAATGTCTCACATCTTACAGTTTTCTCTGTAGGTGCAATATGTTGCTCGAGTAATTGCGGATCCCATTTAATTCATTTGCATTCCAGCGGCTGGCACTCCGTAAAAGGACATCTCTCGACTCCCGATTCCAGTTCCGAATCTCGACTCCTCCGACTGCCAATGTCACGCGCCTGACTCATTTTTGCATTTGTTTACAAACAAACCGATGCGGAGTGGGTAGTTCGGTGGATGTTTTTGTGTACACATGCAAAAAATAGATATATTATATATATTAATAATATAATAATATATTAATTTGCAACATATTGCTTCATATGTACTTTACAGTTAACTATCATATTTACAGCCAAACAATTTCAAAATACTATTAAAACTTTTTGATATGAACTTAAATAAACCGAAGAAAAATATTCAATATAAATCTAATTTTTTCTTTGTGTATAAGCGACGCCAACGTGGCCGCCCACTAGGTCTAATATTTGGATTTATCGACTCTGCACATTGGACGGAATTGCCTTTTTAATTTAAAGTCTTAAAATGATGAGGCGTAGATGTAGAAAATTCTAGGATTATGATCCAAGTTTCGTTATTCAAAAATACTCATTTTGTTTACCTTTCCCAATTTTAATTGCTATACTAAATAGACGGAATACTATTAGAAAACATAAAATATCTTTTTATCTTTTCAATATATGAATAAAAAAAATAATATTTAAAAGAACTTAGTTATTTGAGTTCGTTTTATAGTCAATGTGCACCTCTCTCTATCTCACTTTCGGGTCGTTTTCCTAAAACGGTAGAAAGCGTTGATCTCGAACCGGTTAACACGACCGCTTACAGTGCCATTTGAACACCTACTTCCACAGCCTTCCACTTTTGCTTCCACCCACCCACCATTCGCTCCACGTCAGATAACTGTTCGCTTCCAGTTGGCATCCAAATGGGCTGGGAATAGCCTGCACTTGGATTTCAGATGCAGGCCGCAGTTCGAGGAACTCACTTTCAAGTCATGATTGAACGGCTCCCACGCAAGATATATGTATAATATATCTTGCGAGTGAGTAGTTTTAATTGCTTGCACCATTGAAGTATACTTAAATAGTTAGCTTTTCTTCAAGCTGGACAAGTTAAGCATCAATTAATAAATTCGGAATGTCGTTAATCTTTTATAGCCAATTAATGCAAATTAAACGCTTCTAAGGTATGCTATGTATTTTCTAATAAGATCCTAGCGTCGTTTCTGGTCCTTTTATTTGATATTATCAGAATAAAAAGATGTTTCAGGTATTCTTTTTTTTATATTAAAGATATCCAAAATCGTATCCTTATTACCTTAATTTCAAAATAATTAGGAGAGGGAACTTTTCCTTCGGTCGATATTTCCGGCTGGGTAGGGTATCCGGATCCGGCAGTAGCGAGGGTAGGGTATCCGGTAGCTTTAGTGCCCGTCGCTCCGTCGCACCGTCGCTCTCCCACTTCTCCCACTCGATGGCCATTCCAATCAGACATTTCAGACCTTTGGGCCACTGGCAAGGCATTGTTGTTGCGCCGAGAGAGCGCCTTTGCCTCTGCCCATCCACTCCACTCACTCTCTCCGGCGCTCTCTTTGGCGCTCTCTGGTGCTCTTGTACTGCGGTTGCGGTGTGGCTATAAAAGCAAAGACTCCCGGAGAATGCAAAACAGTCGAGAAATTGAAACGCGGCTATCTGTGCGATACGTCCAACCCAAATACACACAAACACATACATACAGCGACGAAACCCAAACGTCTCGAGGTCCAAATACATATAGAAAAACACATCGTATTCCCCTCTTTATTCTTATTTTTTTTGGGTTGCTCCGTCGATTAGCAAGTGAACAAGCTCGAAAGCGCGTTGAGCAGAACAGAACAAAAAAGAACCGAACGGTATACGAGATTCGAGACCCAAGAGTCCCAAGCTAGCGAAGCAACCAACCACCAACCAAATAATAACCACCAAACCAACACCGTACAAAAATGGCTGAGGCTAACAAGAGGAATATCCCCATCAAGCTGGGCGACTTCAGCGTCATCGACACGGAGTTCAGCAACATCCGCGAGCGTTTTGATTCCGAGATGCGTAAAATGGAGGAGGAGATGGCCAAGTTCCGCCACGAGCTGATGAATCGCGAGGCTAACTTCTTTGAGTCCACCAGGTGAGTAACGATGAGTGATTCAAACTTTGGGAGGATAAATGTTAGTTTTTTTTTTATATTTCCCGCTGATTCGTAGGGAACCCATATATTCTCATTTCATAATTCTTGGGCTCTAAATATAGGCACAAATCTTGCCACATCGGCGCCTAACTGTGGTCTCTGGAGCACTTCACTCTTCAGATACAACACACACAGATGTACACACAGTACGAAAAAAACAAAAAAAAAAAAAACAGTGGGCTAAAGGCGGTGTTCCGATTTGCGCCCCAGAAATATGTGTTTCTTTGCTTTCGTACTGGGGGAGGATGAGTCACGAGTTCTAAATTCTCCGCCGCTGTCTCCGGCCAAGAAACACATGTGTATCTGCTCCGCCACCCGCTAGTAATCCCCCCCGTCGATCTCTGTTCCCAGTCGTTTATGCAACCGTTATGTGGGGCATAACGGAATTTTTCAAAAAGTTTTAAGATTCACCTGTGCCAAGATTGTGGGTTGTACGATTAGATGTTTGCCTAAATAGCTAGAAAACACATGTAATTTTTTTGACAATTCCATAAGATATAAAGATGTGTTATTTCTAAATGATATTTAATGTCAGATCTATTTTAAAACGAAAAAGAAAAGTATGGAATCGATCCGCAAGAACGTTTTCGTTATACATTCAGAATTATTTTTAACCTTTGTCCTAATTTACCTGGTGATGATGATTGCTCATAATTTACAATTCAAGCACTCATAAGGTGTGCAAATATGAATTTTGTTTACCTTGAACTTAACTTTATTTACTCTTTATTTGCAAAACAGTATTACTACTTAATCAATTTTTATTTGCAAACCAATTTGGTAATTTAATATTTATCTCGTTTTTGGATTAATGAAAAGCCTGAGTAAAGCGTTATATACATACATATATAGGCTCTTGGTCGAAATTAAAGATTAATAAACAAACAATGTCCGAAGTATATGGTAAATATTACGTCTGACATGACACCGTCGCGGTTGCGCGCCTCGTTAGCCTTTCCAATCATCATAATCACTAGTAACGTTGCGTGGGCGCCAGTTTTGGTTGCTATTGGAACGACCTCGTCCTATGACGTAATCGAACTGATGGATTGTTTGTTGTTGTTGTTGTAGTTGGTTGTTCGCCATGGTCGCCAACTGCATTTGCATGGCCACAACAGAAAAACTTCGCCTCATTTCGTGGCTAAAGCCCAACTCAACGCAACTTCTATTAAAGTTGGGGGTTCTCCGAAACCCTGCAGACCCCTTTTTAACTTTTGCCATTCAAAACTAAAGTTAGCAATATAAGGAAATTAACCCAAATTGGTTTAACCACAGACATACACACATGTGTTAGTGTGTTGCAGGTGCTTTCCTGGTAACAAATTTGATTAAACAAATACACAGTGCCAAAACAAACATTGTTGTCATAAGCTCAAAGGTTAAGGTTTCGATCGATGATCTGTTATTAATATGATTTTCAGGAATATCATAGGTTTTGGCAATGACTTCACTCTATACATTAACCAAATAATATTCCGACACAATCGGTTTATTGACCTATTCACCTATAATTGCTCGCTGCCCACTGTCCACACTATCCACACCACACATCGTCGTGACCTTTGACATCTGCTGCTATGGCGTGTCGCCGATTAATCCGCTGCGTGATATCTGAGTGACTCAGCGGAGAATAAACGCACACCTCAACATAGGGCCATTAATCTATATAGGTAGGTTTCCTCCTTCTGATTTTTGGATTGGATTGGATTGCCAACAAAGATGTTTGGCATGCATAAGACTAGCCAACAAGACAACACATAAACATGTACACTAGAAAGCTGCGGTTTCGTACCACCGGTCGGTTTTACCCCACCCTTACCCTACGTAAATATTTTTGTAAGATCCGATTTCTTAGAGAGTAAGGGTTCCTGTTAAGAAATAAAGTTTTAAAGAACCATTTTTATCTGTCAAGTCAACTTAAATGAAGAAATGAGAAAGAGGGTGGTTCAGAGGCTTTATTGAAAGCGAATTGCGCCGTTTTTGCGACCATAAACCGCACTTTATTAGTGGCGCCTTCTCATTGAAAATCTAAAGAACCAGAAGTTGCTTAAGATTTGGTTCCAATTGAAAATCAAACGATATGATTATCTTGATGTTCGATGGTTTATATGTACATACAGTTTCATGAAATGTGTATTGGCCAATATTAGCTAGAAAACACAGGCAATACCATCGATCTGTTCAATTTATAGACTCATTAATCGGCCTTGCGAATGGGTGGGTGTGTGTGTGCATAGTTTAAACAAATAAGTACGCTAAGATCATACACATATATTTATCATGCAAATAGCGCTGTGCGAAAAGCTTTCACACACACGATCCGTTGAGATGAGTACACACTGCAGCAATTTAGTTGCCAATATTGGTTGCTGGATGCTGATAATTTAAATGAGCAACGGACTGCGATGATATCATTTCAATTTTTAGCTATTGCGCTTTTCTCAAGCGCAATCGGACACTGGATCGATGACAAAGCTGCGATCACCGCCGGTAATCGATATTTGAATTCGACATTTGTCTCACATACATATGTATATACATAGAATCGATGGCAAACAACAAAAGAGAACCATTTTGTTTGCGCCTGTTCTCGTTTATTTTCTGTTTTCTTGTGCCTGTGTTTATTTTTGTTTCTTCTTTAGTTTCCTTTCGTTTGGCTTTTCAATAACGAAAAAATATGCATGACATCATTGTCATCAGATGCCAGAGAGATATAGACTCACACATGCGGACATGCACACACATGTCGGTATGTGTGCTGGCAAACAGAGAGAGAGAGAGAGAGGAGAGTGCTAAAAAGGAGAGACATTCAACGGGATAGGGGAAAGTGGGAGTGGGAGAACAGGTGCCTCAATATCGCTTCTTGCTTCCTCAAAAGAAACTTTGCCCAGACTAACTGTTATTGGTACTTATCATTAGCGTGATATTGATTTCTCTCATCCTCTCTCTTATTCGGCGGGCGATCAACGTCCCCTACACCTGGAAAACCACGCAGCAAGGTCGACAGAGGCCCACGCACACTCACGTTTCGGCTTTAATTTGATAAGCTTACTCTGTTAAATTCGCGGTGTGTCAGTTGATGGCCGCTTATCAAAACACTCTCACACTCTCATACAAATGTAAGCTTTACTGAGATACACTCAATGATTTAACGGTCGATCAAATCGTTTCATTTCCGAGTTCCCTATTTTTATATTTATGTCCATCAGGGTGGACCCAAACCCTAAGAATTTAAGTAAGGAATGTATTAATTAAGTGAAGTGAAAAGTGAAGTGAGCAAGTTTCAAAGGAACCTGAAAAAATGCATTCAAGTTACATAAGTATTTCTCATTAATTATTTTAAATAAAAAGTAATCGGATCACAAAAGAAGAATAAAATGCCAGGTAAATTAATGACTTAAATTTTAAATTTGTATTGTTAATAGCTTCTTATATTTTAGATGTCATTAAATGATTGGAGCTTTTAAAATGAAGCATGATAAAATATTTTGAGTAATGGATGTAAAAAACTATTGAAGAAAAAATATGGTTATATTGTATTAAATAAATGTATAAAAGAAAATATTAAATATAAGTAAAACAAAAGAAAATGTAGTCACATATTTTTTGGGGTTATCTAAAGCTGTACTTAGCTCATAGTTTCTACCAGGATTAATATTGGTATTGATTTCTAAAGAAATACATGTTGTTGATTATATATATTTACCTTTGACCTAACTAAATATATACAAATATTTTTCCTCTATTTCTCTTTTCTCTTTCTTGCCGCTTGGAAAATATTAAACAACCGCAAATTATTTCCAAATTATAATAATCTCCTCTCCTATCTTAAAACAAAAAGCTCTACTAAAAAAACAACAACTACCAGGTACAAAAATGTAGAAAGTTTACCAACTAAACTTTTAATTTCTGTTTATCTTTAACGTTTTTCCTTATTTTGGTAACTCACTTTATTTGTTTGGTGTAGCTGCAATCCCCGCACATATTCACGAAACTAATCAGTATGAATCCTATTTGTTTTTCCTATCCCTAGCATGTACATATAACTGCAAATCTTAATTAATAAATTTACATTTATCAACTTATTTAACTTGCTAGATAACAGACGTCTAAATAATTTAAATGAAAGTGGATGCTAGCTAGTATAGTACAAAGTTCTCTATAAAGAAAAAAGTCGAGAGAGACAATATATAATATTTTGAGAGGTGATGTTATTTTAAGGGACAATCACACGATACTTCTATTTATATAATGTTACAGCACACCGTGTCTTAAACCATGACTTATTGACGTGCATATATGTATGCATGTTAAAACCTTGAAGATTCCCTCGCTTAAGATAGTTTCCTTGTATATAGATCCCTAAAATTTAAAATAGAATATATATATATTGTTTGCACCCAATGCAGACATCTGGGCATCTTTCAAGAGTGCCAGCTGCTCCCTCCAGATCCGATCCATACATAGCGCTTCGAAACGGAAGCCATATCTATTATTAGATGGGCTCCGGGCATCACGGCTTCATTTGAGTTGGGATCCCGGCAGCGGGATCAGTTACATCCTAGACAAGCATCAGAATGGAGGCTTTTACGCGCACACTTCAAAAAACGTTTCGTAGCACTAGAACCACGACTACCACTACTACTACCACCAATTCCACCTCCAGGTTCCTCACCAGCATCCCTAACAGTTTTAATTTCAATTCGTATCTTTGTATATGTTATTTTCGGTTCCATTTGAGTATTTCTTTGTTTTAACCTTAGTTTTTAATTTTTTGCAGCTCAACGACAAACTCGGCTCTGCCATCCCGAATCCCAAAGCAACAGAACTACGTTTCCGATATTAGCTCACCCTTGATTCAGGTAAGCAATCACGGAACTAAAAATAAAGCCGGTTACTAATGCAATGAATAATCCTAATGATTGCAGGATGAGGGCGATAACAAAGTGCTGAAGCTGCGTTTCGATGTGAGCCAGTATGCTCCCGAGGAAATTGTGGTGAAAACCGTCGATCAAAAACTATTGGTAAGTCTTCGGGCTGTTAGCTTATCCGAATCTTAATCCATGTTCCATTTGGAATTGCATTAACAGAGTTTTTTGCTTTGATTTAGGTGCACGCCAAGCACGAGGAAAAGTCGGACACAAAGAGCGTGTACAGGGAATATAACCGAGAGTTCCTGCTGCCTAAGGGCGTCAATCCCGAGTCCATCCGCTCGTCCCTCAGCAAGGACGGAGTCCTCACCGTGGATGCCCCCCTGCCAGCACTCACTGCCGGCGAGACACTGATTCCCATTGCGCACAAGTGAAGATCCTTAACCCAGCCCACTTATCCAATCACCACGGCCTGGCCCCAGGCGGAGAAGGAGTCGAAGGCTACCGCTGATCAGATTAAATCATACCACACATTGAGTTTAATCCAATCCTATCTAAATGATTAATTTTTTTTTGGTTCTGACGTAAAGCTAAACTATGTTACTGACTTACTACTCATTAACTTAAATATAATTCAAATTATTATTAAATTTGATTAATTTAATTCATATTTATAATTTTCGCATTAAACGTAATCAATTTTGTCGTAGTTCTCCCCTGCATTGGTTTTCCTTTCCTTTCCTTACATCAAAAAATAAATCAAGATTTATCCAACTGATTGGATTTTGGTCAGTATAATGGGGATTATTGGCTAAATTCCCCAAGCAAATATATTTTAACTGCGGTTTCTAAATAATATTTCGCTAAATCTTTTTTGCATTTGATTTTTTTTTAAGTTTTGGAATTTTTGGGGAACATTAGAGCACGTAAGTACGATTAACTAAAACTATATGGGTATATGAGCTAACTTAAAAGTTATGAACATGTCGCCTGGGCTTGACATTTTACTTTAAAAAATTTTATAGTTCAGAAATAAACTACGGCTCAGAAATATTGTGTACAACTTACCAAATTTTAGGCGCTGCCCGGGGATGTCTTCCCCGAAGACCGGAGGTCTTGTCTTTCTGCAATCAACCTAACTTGGTTGAAAATAAAAAAAAAAGAAACACACAAATTCCGATTATACCAAATTAGATATAAAGGCACTAAACGCAAGATGCCATCAAAGTTTGAATCCCAAAATGAAAAAAATGGATTGGAATGTAATGAGATGGATCCGCTGCGTCTAACAACATTGATCCTGAGTGCAGATCCGCGGTACCGCATCAAGCCAATGCAGCAAGTCGTATCTGCACTTATCGGTGGCCTAATCACGACCTTAGTGGGTGAGTAGGCAGAAGAAGATCTCGTAGCTCCGCAGTATTATATTTTTTCCCGGCCAGTTACGCCATTGGAGGTGGTGAAAACGCGTGTGCAGACTCAGCACGCGATCCGTCAGCCACCAACTGTCTCTAAGCTATGCTACGTTTTCCACAACGGCCTAATGACGCACGTTTGTCGCTCCAGCGACATTTGTATCCCAAAGCTCGGTCGGGACCCCCGAAATCTTCAGCCCTTGCGCGGAGCCATGGTAAGTCGGGGGTTTCTGCTTCTAATTGAAATCCCTTACATTCACTTCGCTTATAAAAATGGATATTTATATACACTTTCACGAGCGCAGGACGCTTTTGTCAAAATCATTTGTAGCAGCGGTCTCACCGGCCTGTGGGCGGGCCTTAGTCCCACGTTAGTTTCAGCCCTGCCATCAACGATCATTTATTTCTTGACGTATGAATATATCAAGAATTCCCTTTCCCACTTGTACTTGACTTCACGCAAGCTCGAAGAATCTATCGCAGATGACCATATTCCGGGAGCTGATGGTGGAGATCCTCTAGACCAGGTCAATTGGGGGCAGCACGTAAGCGCTACAGCACCGGTATCCAATGCAGCACTGCCCTATTACGTGCCCATGGTTTCGGGTATCTGCTCGCGAACCATTGTGGTGACTGCTATCACTCCCATCGAAATGGTACGCATCAAGATGCAGTCCGAGTACATGACCTATTCGGAGCTGTGGCGAGTGCTGCGCTCGCTAATACGCCAACATGGTATTCTGGGGCTTTGGCGGGGATGGCCACCTACCGTTATGCGGGACGCCCCATTCTCCGGCACCTACTGGGCGGCCTACGAGGCGATGAAGAGGGCCTTTGGCGTCACGGAGCCCACCTTTTTATTTAGCTTTCTCACGGGCGCCGTTTCCGGAGCGGTGGGTGAGCAGTGTGTTGCCGGACACAGAGCAGTATAACCATATAAGTTATCCTTGCAGGTGGCTACCTTTGTGACAATGCCCTTTGACCTGATCACAACCCACACGCAAATTGAACTCGGTCAGGACGTGCTCTACGAGGAAGTGGCAGTGGGAACAGGGGCAGCCGCTGGTGCAGGAACACGGACACCGCCCAGTGTTATCCCCAAGCCATCGATGATCTCACGACTCCGAAACATATACCGGCAGCAAGGAGTGCGTGGTCTCTATATCGGCGTTATGCCGCGCATGCTACGTGTGGTACCCGCCTGCGCCATTATGATCTCCACTTTCGAGTACAGCAAGTCGTTCTTTTTCCACTACAATCTAGATCTCCAGGAAGCGGGTAGGTAAAACGGTATACGGTGAAATGGGTTATTCATTTTGGGTATGTCGTTATGTGGAACCTAATACATTTAGGAATAGTCGTTGCTTTAATATAAATATAGCGTCGAAGAAGTCGATGTTGTTTATTTTAAATTTAGCACTTTAAACTATAAACCGTTTGAGAAATTGAGAACCAATATCTTTTTGATAACACTGCGATAGTAGTTCTGTTCCGATTTTAATATCGATGGTGCGAGCGGCAACAGCTGATTGCCTGGTGAGCGGCAGCTGTGCATCGGAATTCGGAACGGAATGGAAATGGGACAACATTGCGAGCACGGTGTTTTCTTTTTGACCTGGACACTATTTCACAATGATAAAGGGGTTTGCCTGATTGTCTAGTTCGCGTTTAACAACAGACACACTCCAGAGTAGCACGCGCAACTCACCTTCTCATTTCATATCTCGCTACATCTCTCATCAATTCCTGCCAGCTTACCGGGGCTCCAAGTGAAACAATTACCGCAAGTCGCGTGCTCCGGCAGCAAGAAAGATTCAAGCATTCTGTCATGGCCAAGAGGGAGGCTTGCGCCCACTTTGCCGCTGCCAGTGCGGCAATGGCAGCAACTCCCAGTCAAAGCCAGTCGAAGGCAACGATGACTGACCCCCGGTTTCGAATTCGGCCCCTGCAGCAAGTGGCATCCGCCTGCACCGGCGCCATGGTGACCGCCTGCTTCAGTAAGTTGTCCCAACCCTTATCCCTGGGCCATGTATAACTGATTCATTTTTTAGTGACCCCCTTGGATGTTATCAAAACCCGCCTGCAGGCCCAGCAGCAGGCACTTCTTTCGAATAAATGCTTTCTTTACTGCAATGGTCTTATGGACCACATATGCCCTTGTGGCCCGGACACGCCCAACCCAGCAGCCGCCAAGCCGGCTCCCCGCTTTTCTGGCACCATTGTGAGTAGTAATATAACAGTAAAACAAAAATCCCAATCTAACCAAACGTATCTCCAGGACGCATTCATCAAGATCAGCCGCGCCGAAGGCGTCGGCTCCCTATGGTCAGGGCTTAGCCCAACATTAATCTCGGCCCTGCCCTCCACAATTATTTACTTCGTGGCCTACGAACAGTTCAAGGCCCGCTTCACCGACATTCATTACAAGTACAGGCGGCACCTAGACACCAGCGGGCGCGACATTCCACTTCCAATTCCAATTTTGGTGCCAATGCTGGCTGGTGTATCGGCCCGCATCCTGGCTGTTACCTGCGTGAGCCCCGTTGAACTAATAAGGACTAAGATGCAGTCGCAACGCATGACGCATGCCGAGATGTTCGGTACCATCCGACAGGTGGTGCAGTCGCAAGGCATCCTGGGTCTGTGGCGCGGCCTACCACCTACTATCCTCCGTGACGTGCCCTTCTCGGGCATCTACTGGACTTGCTACGAGTACCTTAAAAGCTCCTTTGGTGTGGTGGAGCCGACGTTTAGCTTCAGCTTTGCGGCGGGAGCGATTTCAGGATCTGTGAGGCCTTGGAAAAAATCAACCTAAAAATGTAAACTCAATCACTATTTATTTACAGGTGGCGGCCATGATCACCACACCCTTTGATGTGGTAAAAACCCATGAGCAGATCGAGTTCGGCGAGAAGTTTATTTTCTCAGGTAGGCACAATGTGGTTCAGCTTTCTGCAACCAGATCCCGTACCAGCATTGACAATGGTTCGGTTTGCATTACGGCAGATAATCCTCCCAAGCAAGTGGTCACCAAGTCGGTGGCGGCGCGCCTGGAAAGCATTTACCGCATGGGTGGAGTGCCCGCTATTTTCTCCGGACTGGGTCCTCGGCTTTTTAAGGTGGCGCCCGCTTGTGCTATCATGATTTCGTCCTTTGAGTATGGCAAGTCCTTCTTCTACCACTATAACATTAGCCAGCATAATCGCAGCAACCAGGTACCGACGTCCGGATCGTGAACAACTCACGGCGTTGTCAATGTTGATCTATGTAAATATGTAAATTAATGCCAAAGTTGCCAGGAAATTGGAGGGCAGGAATCGACTGCTGAGTTTGGCAAGCCCGGTCGAAATTGTTAAATTGTAGCAAAATAAAATTTTATGTTTTTCCTGGTTCAAAAACAACAAGCTGGCAATTCCCACCCACCCAATCCTTTGCTCTATCACAGCTAGTCATAAACTGAACCATGGGAAACTGGTACAATCTTTATTTACTTTAATTCAAAATACAGGTTGCCACTATATACAAATGTCTGTAAAAGGCACAGCGCACATAAAACAAAATAATTTGTTAATAATATTTGGTTCCAAGTTCCTGGTTGAACACAAAAATAAAATTTTCTTTAAAGAATAAAAAATGTCTTTCAATAGAAAAGTTAACAAATTTTTGTATAGGTAATATGTTTGCCTTTTTTGAATAGCTTAAGGCCTTAGGGATACGAAACTTTCTAGCAATATAAAGACAATTTTGGAAGAATATTCACTTATTAAATTTATTTTATTATTATATTGAAATCAATTATTAGTGGCGCCTAAAGGTAATCGAAGGCAACCCTCGATATGTAGTAACTTTAACGAGCACACATGTTGTTATCGATAGACGATCAGGCGACACGTGCATTCTCTCAGTGTTTATTTTGTTTGCATTTTACACTTACCAGCATCTTAATTCCACAAAATGAGTGAAGCTGTACCCGAAACTGCGCCGTCAAAGACAAAGTCAAAGGCAAAGAAGGCGACGAAGCCGGAAAACAGCATCCCACGTGGTCAACCCAAATCCAACCGGCCGTGGAAGACGCCCAAACAAAAGTAAGTGTTTTCTAGGTTCCTTTCTGCTTGCTAACCGTTGAATACCTGTCTCTACTGTTACAGATTTAGCAAGATTAAGAAGACCGTGAATCGACTATCCTTCGAGAAGAAGACAGCCTTACGCGACGAGTTGCGATACATCAAAGAGCGATCCAAGGAGATCAAAGACAAGCGCAAGGAGGATGCCGTTCAGAAGCACCAGCGCCGCGTGGAGAACGCAGAACGCCGACTGGCCAACGAACGTCGATCGGAGGTCGTCCAGATCATTAAGAATCCTGCCAAGCTAAAACGCATGAAGAAGAAACAGATGCGCATGATCGAGAAGCGCGATACCAGCCAGGTGAAGGTGGTTTAAGGTGCTGCCCTAGAATTAACTTGTATTTTTTGCTAAATAAATCTAGTTTTAATGCCAAGGAAGCGTTTAGTAACATATATATGTATGTCGCTATGTGTGTGCCATACTAACGAATTTAGCTTATCTTAGCCTAGTTTAACAAATTTACATAGTAATCCAAGGCCTCACCGTCGCTGCCTCCCTGTTTGTCGCCGCCCTCTGACCGGAATCGTGTCAATATTTGTTTTCTCCTGTTGTTTAGTGTTCTTCCCGCCACACCCTTGTCTTCCTGCGGTATTCCGTGTAGTAGCGCCCCGATGCGCGACCTTAGTAGCAGGTCCAGACTGTGGACCAATGACTGGTCCTGTGGTTGTGTTTTTAATGCTGATGGCAGTGCCGACAATGCGAGTTTTGCGGGCATGTCCGTCAAGGAACTAATGAAAGCAAGTGTCGTAGATGCTGTGCAATCCACATTAATTTCTTGAAGTTTAATGCTATTGCGTTCCCAGGCTTCTGAGCCTGGTGGCTCCAGCCTGTCTTTCATCTGCTGTATCACGGACGCTGGTACACGACTTGAACCGCTTCTCGTTGAGTTTCCCCGAATGCAGGAGTCAAGAGAACTGTCGATGTGTATCTGTCCGTAAATGCACCCAGTACTGCGGCACAGCTGGTAAATATTGTAGCGCATGCTGCGGTAGTAAAAATTATCGTCGCACAGGATGAGATGGCTTCCGTTGATTTGGCTACTGCAAGAGGCAATGCGACGGATTTGAGGCGGCCAATCGGTATTTTCTTGAATGGCGGTTATAAGTTGTTCTATTATTTTAAGTATGCTCCAGCGCTGTTCCTTGTAGGGCAGCTTAGTCAATGGTCCGTCGTCAAAGAAGTCGTCGTAGCAAAGGTGAACGATGTGGCGGAAGTTGAGGGAAACCGTCTGGCTCAGCAGCCAGGTGCATAGAGAGGTCTTGCCCGCTCCTGGCAGGCCGATCAGCGCAACTAGACAAATGCGCAGCATAACGTGATTGGTAAGTTGATTTTTGGTATGAAAATGACGGGTAACTATGTGTGGAGGGCGGGTTGGGTTCCGCAATCAGCTATCTAAGATTGAGAACAGCAGCTGCGGCGTGGCATACCACCCCGACGTCTGTTGCTACATGGACAGGTTGCCGGTGACAGGCGGTTGGACAGGAGTAAGTACTGATGTGGCGGCCGCTTGTTTCAGTCGCTCCTTTTCCTGCTCCTTCTGCTGCTGTTCGGCTTTGCGGGCGTTCTCCTCAACCTCCTCCATACGCTTGGCGTTAATGGTGGTCTGCACATCCACATAGACTTTCATCATATTCTGATTAAACCGGGCGAACTTGGTAACACACCTGTCAACACAGATGTCCTGCAGAGGATTGCACAGATACTTAATGCTGGGTGTCCTCTATGATGTCTTAACCGGCTACTTACTTCTTGGCCGCCGAGGTCCCGCTGGTTTAAATTATCCACACATCGGCTAAAACACAGTTCCGTCACTTTGTTGTATAATGTGAGAAAATCTTTGAACTGAAAAGCATGGAAGGTAAATATGTATCTGCGGCTAATTCGCAAACATATGAGCTTACATTGCGCAAATTGGAATCCATCGGTTGTTGATGTTTTGCGCCTAGCTTGTGTTTTTATACAGCAATTATACAATTTAATTTTACAAACAGTCACGTTAGTAACGAGAACAGCTGATTATCTTTGATTTGGAAAAACCGATAGCAATATTTAATCGATAACATAGCAATCAATACAATTAATCGAGTTCAAAACTAGGAAACTTTGACATAAAAATGATAAGTGAATATATTTTTTTTGCGAATAGATAGTTTGTTATATAAAATTAGAGCTCCTATGTGCCCTGTGTACCGTCTGGATTCGTTCCATCGGCCGTTGCAGGACGACTCTCGCAGCTGTCTTCGCCGCTGCTCGTTGTGGAGGCGCCTTCCTCTGGCGAGGTCTTCACCGCTTCATCGGCCTCCTGCTGCGTATCCGTCAGTCCGATATCTACCTTACCGCTCTCCTCAGGATCACCTCCCTTTTTATTCTGCAAAGGAAACCAATTCCCAATTTAAATTAGCGTAGTTTGGTAATCCCCAAACCCAGAATAGCTTGGCATCACAGTTGATTAAAATGAAATATGAAATTAGCTTACTTTTTTGCGCTTTTTGGGCTTTTCGGCCTTGACAGCGTGCAGTTCCTCTTCCTCCTGCAGTGCAGACTTATAGTTAGCAGGAAAGAACTGGGTGGCCTCCTTGTGTCCAATCACCGAGTTGGTGCTGACATAGCTGGGACCGTAGGCCATCAATGTGGGAATGGTTGGACTACTGACTTTATTTACCTTGAGCACGATTTTGTCGGTACTGTTTCAAATATTTCGTAATTCAATCGAAAGACGGATAAAGGATCTGGTCAAATAAGCACCGTACTTACGGAACATATGGCTTGGCATTGTACTTGTCCACCGAGTTGGCTATGAACACCGCCGTCTGTGGATTTTCACCATTAAAGAAACCGTACAGCGGAATGTCCTCGCGACAAGTGTCGAGCAGAATGGCCAAATCTTTCTTCTTGTAAGCGTCGAAGATCATCACAATGTGAGGTGGTTCCGGCACCGGATCTGGCGGAAGAAATGTAGAGGTCTGGGCCCGAAAATACGTGTAGATAAGTGCTGCATGGGTACGCTGATCACTGGGTACCCATATTGGGGGTATCCGAACAGTCTTAGTTTTATTCTGATCGGCCTTGGGAACGGTAGTAGGTTCGACTGGAGGAACTTCTTCTGGCGACGCCTTCTCCTCGCCATCTTCTACATTTTCGGTCTTAGTATCGACCAACTGATGTGCATCCTGATGCTCCTGGTCTTCTTCTGTTTGCTCTAAACAAAAACCGCTCTGTTAATAAATCTGTATGATAGGGGCACATCGCACTTACCTGGCTCGGGAATTTCTACGCTCACCTCCATCGGAACAATCATGGGTGGCACGATAATCTCCTCTTCGTTGAACTCATCCGGTGGCTTGATTGTCTCCTTAGTTAGTTCGTGGGCGTACTGACGGAGCACGGTCGGTGGACTCCCCAGCACCTCCTCTACCTTCCAAAAGCACATGAGTAACTCCTTTTCATACAGCAGTTCTATGACATCCGGGGCCAGTGGATTCTCTGCGGCGAAGTTAACAGTCGCTATGTCGCTGGGCAGAATGGTAAAGACCTTTCGGTCCTTGCATTGGATCTTGAGCGGATCGGCCGGCTCTGAAAGTTTCTTAAACATATCCCGATTTACCTGTGGTCCGAACACGGTAATCCCTATATCAGGCAGGTTGGCCATGATGCAGTCAGTAACGCTGTGAAGGTATTCCAGTCGCTTTCGCCGGCTCTCCGCCAGCTCAATCTCCTCGGCCTGTCGCAGCGCCTTGTTTCGCACCTCCAGCTGCTGCAGCTCTATCGGCTGCAGTTCGGTGATCTCGTAGCTCAGGTGCGACTCCTTGGCCATCGTCGACTGCAGCATTCGCGTGATCATGGCCACGAGCTTAGGCACGTCCGTGCCGAACATGATGCTGATTGCCTTGCCATTCTGAAATGTTCCGAATTAAATTTCAAAAACCAAACAAATTTGGCGACCAACGCCTTATGTTTATTCCACATTTGAAATATTCGTTCCACAAATATTTCAAATTATTATTTTAAAATGTTATTTTTTAGTCTTCAAAATAAAGTGGTTTTTGAATAATACTATGAATCTTAATCTAAAGCTTGATTTTAATCAAATTTAAAATGTTTTTCCTGAGCGGTATAAAACATAAAAAATGTAATTTAAGAATGATAATATTTGATATATTGCAAAACTTGTTTGCAGTTTTTAACTACACCAAACTTAGTCGAAATGATTTTGGTTGAAAATTCACAATGAACTTTTAAATTTTCACCTGAAAATTAATTATAAAAAGAAAAAAGAATATGGTTAACTCACCGTGACGAACATCCAGGTGGGCTCGCTCTTTTTGTTAAAACGATTCAAATAGGATATGGAACCCGCCTTGCACTGATTTTTCAGAATATAGTATTTAAAAGTAACATTTTTATGTTTAAAGAAATGGAGTCTTACGATTGCCAGTTGGAGATTATCTCCTCCGAGCTCGAGCTTAATCTTCCGCAGGCTGCCAACCATTCCCAGGCAAGGTCCACACCATTCAGAGTATATGTCGAGCACTGTTCACCAGTGCAATATGACATGGCAAAGTGGGTTAGGACGGTCCACTTATCACTTCCATTCCCATTTAGTACGTACCCAGCAATCCAGTTCGCTGCAGAAACTTCTCGAACTCTTCGTCCGTGGTGAGGTCCGCCTGAAGCTGCTGGACTCCTCCCTTCTTTGCCATTTTTTGCGCACTGAGTCAACCATTAATCAGTATCCAAAGTGAACACCAGGTATTGATTAAACGGTGGTTGTCAAGAGTGAAAGGTCGCGCAGGATTTGCAAAACATCTTGCTTTATATGTATATATTTATGTTTGTTAAATGAAGAACTATTGTTTTTTGGACTTTTGCATAGAGTAGAAGAGTTAATGAGGTATGAGGAGCTATTTCCTCACCCCATTGAGTAGAAAGTAATAAAGTACCAGTGTGGATTTGGTAAGCATCCGATTGAATTAGGATCCAACTTATTTCCGAAATAAGAAAGTTAGCTAAAACAAATCATTTTTTTTTTTGCACGGATAACAGACCAAGTATAACAAAAATTTGTTCAGTTCCTGTAGCGACCTTTAAAAATACCACAAATCAGTTTTATACATTCTTTCTTGATTTTGTGGACAAACTGAGACAAATAATTAAATGTGAATAAATTTCAGTTGTATATTTCAGTAAAAGGGATTTCTACGCAATATGTTGGTATTTGGGATTCGACAAGGCCGGTATAGTATGCTTATACATATTTATCCACTGAGGTGATGTATCCCATTCAGTGATCGTGCCGCATTTGCCTGCGCAGCTCGCGCATGGTGATCTGCAAAAAACGTGCGGCAACGTTAGATGATTATGTTTGCGTTGACTGGGTGGATATATCGATGGCGTTAGATACTGGTCGTCATTTACATTGATGAAATAAACATATTGCTTACGTTATTTACCTTCAGAACTGTGGAACAATCTTTGAATAACAGTTATTTACTCATCGGCTTACGAAATCTTTAAATAATTTCAAAGTCAATAGAATTATCGAAAATTCGAGCTTAATTTTGTAACGAGGCCGAACATGTACTTAATTACAGGTATTACGTTTTGGTTGGTATATGCATGTAAATGTTGCTGGAAAATTTGGTTCACAAGCAGGACATCGGTTAAAGTTGAATGGGATGTTATTACCGAGATGATTAAAGGATTACGGATTATTTACATAACTAAATTAACTAAGAAACCAATGGGCTGCGAATTGATGCGCTCGCGCCCGTTAAAAATGGTGGATCGGGATCAGTTAGACATAAATGCGATTTCAGGCGCTACTGGGTTGATATCGTATCAATTCATATCTATATCTTCCAGTCGTACAGGCTGCGTGTACGGTATGACCGACTTCTTGTTTACGTCCCTGGATAAGGCCTTTCTCATGTCTGGAAAAATGGAAAACGATGTATCAAGGCTTCTTTACAATAAAGAAATCTAGCTTGGTTCCTTACCGTACGCATCCTCGTCCTGATCACCGGAGTAATACTCCAGTATGGTCCGGTAGATGATATAGCCGAGATTCGTGTACATGTTAATCGCCACCTGATTGCTCTTCCTTACAAACAAGTCAACGAAGTATGCTCTCTTTCTGGAAAAGGCCAAACAAAATAAATGTAATAAGATTAGTCTTGGGGTCGTCTTGTGACCTTACTTCTCCGAAATGTCTTCCAAAAAGCTCATGAGAAGTGCTGCCAGGCCGAGACGCCGATAGTCAGGCGAGACTGTCAGAGCCGTAACATGCCCGTGCCAATTGTCCAGATGACCCTCAACCTTGCCCATGACTACAAGATAAACATTAAGTGGTTTAACCGTGATACCAATAATAAGCGGAACTTACTGTAGCCCATTATTTGGCCGCTAGGAGACTCCGCCAGTTGGAAGTACTCCGGCCACTTGGCCAAGTAATGCGTGTAGAAGGACAGACCATAAGTCTCCGTAAGTGGGTCAAAGTTTCTAATAAAACACCCCATGATATTATTAGAATTAATGTAAATATGGTTGCTCTATTCGATACTCACACATTATTAAACTTAAAGAGGTCGTCACAGGTAAAAGGTCGAAGTGTGGTCATTTTACTGAGGTTTTTCGTCTAGTTTTCAGATATCCAAAAGAATCAAAACACTAAAACTCTCGTCCCATATGTCCACCGGCAAAGTCTGCAATGTGCACAGTCGATATCATTGATGTTACGGCCAAGTAGTTATCGATACTATTGTGAACGGATTTTCCGTTGAAATCCGAGCCCCCGTGGTGATGCGGTCACACTAGCACTTCCACGTTTCGTCCTTCCGGCTGGTATCTGTTGCCTGGCCATGAAGCAGTCTCAGCCGCAGGCGACGCCCTCCTCCTCAACTGGGGGTGGCAAGCCCCAGGACTCTGGGGTCCTGACGCGCGAAGACTTTAACGGTGGACCGGTGAGCATCGATGAGGTGGACACGGGCCTCTTTCTGGGTTAGCATCGACAGTAAGGACCATGCCCAATAGATTTTTCAAACTGTTTATTATTAACCAGGCAACCTGACGGCGGCCACGCATATGGAGACGCTGCGTTCCTTCAAGATCACCCATATTCTAACGTTGGACTCTGTGCCCCTGCCGAAGCACATCCTGGAAGCCAGCTTCCTGACCACCAAGTACATTCAGAGTAAGCAGCTCGATCAATAGCTCCAATGACCAGTGATCAGTGTTCCCATGTTTTAGTTGCAGACATGCCGCGTGAGGACATCCTGCAACATCTGGAGGGATGCGTGGATTTCATTAGCACCGCCTTGGCCCAACAGGGCAATGTCCTGGTTCATTGGTAAGCATCTTTGACCAGACCGTCCAAGCATATGGGCCAATCAATTCTCTTACTCTTGATGCCTTCTACAGCTACTTCGGCGTGAGTCGCAGCTCTTCCACGGTAATCGCTTACATGATGAAGCGCCATAATCTGGACTTCCTGCCTGCATACGAACTTGTCAAGGCCAAGCGCCGTTTTGTCCAACCAAATGCTGGTTTCGTCAGCCAGCTGAAGCTCTTCCGACGCATGGGTTGCAAGATCGACCCAAATTGCCAGCGCTATAAGATTCACCGTCTGCGCCTAGCTGGTGAGCAGATGCGCAAAGCGAAGATTCTGCCCCAAAGCTTCCATAGTGTAGTCCGTCCGGATCCGGATATCACGCGTGAAAACCCAGAGCCAATAGTGTTCCGATGTCGACGTTGCCGCCGCGTCCTGGCCTCCAAATCACACGTACTAGAGCACAAGCCGCGTGACAGGCCGCAACCAGAGGTGGTCCCAAAGGAGAAAGAAGCCACTGGCCAGACCCAGGATCAGGAACAAGCTGAAAATTCAAGCGGACCTCGCATGCTGGAACAGCTGTCCGAGCGCATCCGTCAGTCGTCAATCGGATCGCCCGGTCACGAGGGCACACCAAACTATTGCCGCAGCATATTATTCGTGGAACCCATTGCCTGGATGCACCGTATCATGCTGAACACCCAGGGCCGTTTGTACTGTCCTAAGTGCGAGCAGAAACTGGGAAACTTTAGCTGGATCAACGGTTAGCTTTTTGGGATGTAAAAGAAATGATCGCACCATTAATTCCTCTTTCCGTTACAGCTTGCAAGTGTCCGTGCGGGGAGACAATGACGCCGGCATTTTATCTAATACCTTCCAAGGTAGAGCTATCCAAGGCCGTGCAGAATGTGCAGACCACAGTTTAGGTGTAACATGCACGAACAAGAACGAGATGGCATCAGTGACGGGATTATGGAATGCCAGTGCCAGAAAACACAGATCGGCAATCGCCCACCTAAACTGAAATCAATGGGCACCGTCAACAGGACACTTTGATTATTGCTTGTATTTTTTAGAAAGAGCATCTTTAATAGCTTATGGGCAATAAATTATGTTAATATAGTCCAATCTAAGAACAATGGCATTCCTAATGCCCTATATTAACATAATTTTGTACTTTAAACCACGCATTATTGCCCAGCTATTAACAATTTAATAATGCTGAAAACTTCCACCAATCTGAGATATTTGAGAAGCACGTACTCACCTAATTATACCATCTTCGGATATCAATCTCGAATTGGTTATAAATCCACAATTCAACTCGGAGATAACGTTAAATAATATAACATTTGTTTTCAATGGATTTGGCCATAAAATTATTTAAATGTGAACTAACATATCTCAAAAACTAACTTCGGATTCAATTTAGTGAAGAGAAATGCACTTTTCTTAGAAATAAGAAATAATCTAACAGTATTTATTTCTTTCCAACTGGCAATATAACATTGACGACAATTCGAGTTAAGTGAAAATCTGTGAAACTAAAACTGACAAATAGTCGATAGTTTCATTAATAGTTGCATAACATACGTTATGGAATATTGTTTCATTTTATATAGTTAGCCAATGAATTTGCCGATATTATTAATTATACACCTATGTGCAATATATGCACCTAAATTTGTTGGATACCATTGATAAAAATATCGATTTTTGCTGTTCCATATGCATTTGCATAGCTTTTTGCATGTTACCAACACAAACTATAAATGTATTTTAGATATTTTAACCTTTTTGGAAAGTATTTTACGCAAAACAAAAGAAAAACAAATATTTTCAATGACAATATCTAAATTTACGCGATAAATGTTATAATCAAGAGTTTGTCAGCCAAAAATAGAAGGTCAGGTCTGGGATTTTCGACGGAGCTAAGGGTTTTGATCCCCGAAGATGACCGGAAGTGCCCCGATGCTAGTTTCGATGGGACACGTTGTACCCTTAAACGGTGGCATTACCTTATCGATATTGATGTGCTTTGTTGACCCATATGTATTGTATGTAAATGAATGTGTATTGATATTAAAGTCAAAATTGTTTGTTTTCCATTCTCAATATGTTTTCAATATTAAAGATCATCCGTTTGGGCCGTTGCCTTTCGGGTATTCGACGCGGTCTAAGCCAATCTAACCCGCTCACACCTCGCATACTTGCTGCCATCGACTTTGACAAAACCATCATAGAGCAAGACTCATATGTGGCAGTAAGCCAACTGTTACCGCCCAAGCAATGCAAGGAACTGGTGAACCTAATCCCTAAGAGTGGTTGGTTGGGTTTCATATCCCGAGTGCTGCAGCTATTACACAGTGAGCACAAGGTCAACTACGCGTCGGTGGGAATGCGTGTGCGCCATCTCCAGGCTGTTCCAGGGATGCTGAGGGTCTTACGACAGTTGGCCAGGAACCCAGAAGTTGACCTGTGCATCGTCAGTGACGCCAACTCTTTCTTCATCGAAGAATGGCTAAAACAATACGCCATTGAGTGTCTCTTTGCTGGAGTGTTCACCAATCCCGCCTGCATCCAGGCGAGCGGTGAAGTGCTGGTACTACCATATCAGGAACAGACCGACTGCGAGCTGTGCCCATCCAATCTTTGTAAGGGGTCCGTGCTAGAGGAGCTCATCAGCAGCGGACGATATAAGCGAGTGGTCTACGTGGGCGACAGTTGTAATGACCTGTGTGCTATGAAACGGCTGCGGGCAAAAGACATTGGCTGTATTCGACGTGGGTACGAGATGTATGGGAAAATGGCCGCCCACGCAGGGGACCTATCCTGCTCTGTGGTGACCTGGCGCGACGGCCATGAACTGGAGATGCTTTTGATGCCCAAAATCGTATCATAGAGTTTGTGGTAAGGCCAGGTTATTAATGCTGCTGTTTTATTCGACTTAAAAATAAATCATTTAGTATGTATACATAAGAATAATTTCACTTAATAAGGACTTAAGCTTTAAATTCCATGGAAAAGTAGATTACCGAGGTCTCTTCAGCGTCTGCAGCAGGACCCGTGTGTATATCCACTTTGTGTTAAGTAGACTGAAAACTTATCGCTACCTATTCTGCGGCGGTATCAGAACTGTTTGCCTAATAATATTTCACACATGGTTTTTCATCAATCTTTGCTTTCTCCTAATAATCTTCACTTGCCAAAATTGTATCTGTTCTTGTGCTTTCATCTTAAAGTTACTGGTAATATATATATATATATATATATATATATATATTTCTATAATTTGTTTGCCTGTGGTGTGTGGGTTTGATTGTTGGGTATGTGTTAGCATAAATTACATTTATAATACATTCTTAGCCATACAATTACAAAGTATAACTGGCTTCCTTCTCGATCAAACGAAGGCCATTTTCCGCTTATGAATCTATCGAAACTAAACGAAAAAAAAACAAGCAGCTACCGCACATGAAGACGACACTCACTTAGGTTTTGCTTAACTACTAATATGGGATATAGAGCTGTTCTCCTTATAAATACATACATACATATACATAATCAAAAAATTCGGGGTATAAGACATTTAATATAAAAAATAACGGCCACTTTGCGTGTAAACATAAATAAAATATAGATGCACAAGTATATAGTGGCTTAGACTCAGAAATAGACTCTATTTCGATTCAAAATTTAAACAGTAACACGGAACAGTTAGTCCTACAGATATGGACAAGGACACGGGAATACAAACAAGGACGCACTGCTAAGACAGCGTTCTCTTTTCATTAGTTAAAAACTGAATTCTTGTTGCGCAGGCGAGCAATTGAACTAAAATGCTTCAAATGAATTCTCTAGAAACAAAATGAAGTTGTGACTTAGTGCTAGGCTATTCAACTTAGGCGTAAAATAAGACTTAAGCATAACGTGGTCTACTCGGTGATTTGGGTGCTTGTCATGTGTGATTTTTTTTTATGTGGTTTGGTTGTTAACATTAGCAAAGTTAAGTAACATAACTATAATAGGAATATTCATATATATATATAAAACATTTGCAATACGATGTACTGACAATAAAGAATAATCATAGTAAAAAAAAATCCTTAAATAGTTTCTCCATTCCGGTTCCTCATTTTGTCGCATTTATTAATACTATGCATCTGTATGTTTTCTGAATGACACCTGCGGTCTGCGGTTTGTGGTCACGAACACGCTATTAAGCTTGTGTAGGAGAGGCGCGTCCGGCGCTTACTATAAGTCCGTTAGAGTGCGCTTGGCACAATAACGTATGACCCCCACTCAGGCAACAACCGGTGGCGGAGCTATGCCGATGGGATTGGCAGTTGTTACTCCTGCTGACGCAGTAGCCGTTCCCGCTGCCGTGACAGCCGACGCATCCTCAGACATCCCGTTCCCACTAAAGCTGCTACTGCACTGCATTGTTGTGATATTAACCGCACTCCCCGGCTGCCGTCTACCTATCGTTCCTGCAATATTTGTGCTCACTGCCGTGGCTTCTAAAACGGCTGGCAGTGCAGCCACGGGAACAGCTGCCTTTGGGCTCATTGCCGTCGCCGGCGAGTGAGCGCGTCCGCCATTGGTCGACAAGCCAGGCCCTGGTATCGGATTGGCATCCGGGCTCGCTGACGTGACCTCCGAAACGGATGGGACTGTTGCAGCTACTGCCACCGGTTGCCGCTTAACGGGCTTGGTTCGCGCACAGGGTACGCAGAACATTGCAGCGTGCTCTCGCAGTTTCGTCAAATGGTCGAGGCGATACTCGTGCACCCATTTCAGCCGTTTACCGCGCGTCAAAGCCTTGGAGCGATCCCCGTTGGGCGACGGTCCTCCGGATGTCTGGGATAGGGCGGCCACCTGTGGCAGACCTTCTGGCCGTGTGGCTCCGCATCGCATACATACACAGCAGCGTTCACAACTCCACCGGCCTAAAATTTGTTAATTATTTATATGGTTATTATTAGGCACATAAATTCATAACTTGTACTTGTACTTTCAGTCTTTCTGGCTTTATACTACTTACCATCTGGCACAGTCCTGAGACCCAGGCAATATATATGGTAGCCTCGGTCGCACTGTTCGCAATAAAGCATTTTTCCTGGCCGCTGACTACTCCGACACTTGATGCAACATTTGCACCCGGCGCACTGCCAGTTATAGTTCCTCACGCGACCCACCATTCGTTGGGGCATCTCAATGCAACTAGGATGAACTATAAAAAAAAAAACACATATTAGGACGGATGTGGAGCGATGAGAAACTAAAAGCTTACCGCGCCTTCGGCAGCTGTAACAGCGTATAAAGGCCTCCGGCATGTCCCTTGCATTGCGATGCTGACTTCGCAGGCAGACACCACAGTTAGATAGCCTGGTGGACGGTGAGGACTGATCCCCTTCCTCGTCGTCGCTGCCAGCGGCACTTGACGCACCAGTCGAACTGCAAAAACTCGAGCTGCTACTGATGTCGCTTTCATCGCCGCTGTCCTGTAATGAAAACCGAATTTGTACGTCATTAGTACGACTCTTTTACTCTGGCGTATATCTAATATGTATATTACAGATCATCGAGACTCGACTCACCGTATCACTGCTGCTTCCATTGCCGCTAGACGCGGAAGAAAGCGACTGGGCGGATGAGGTGCTAGAGTTGCTGGCCGTGCGAACCTTGTCTGTCTGCTGGCGTGCTGACCTTCTACTGCGACGAACGGGCGCCGCTGCCTTTTGAGATTTAAACGAAGATTGCTCTTGTTCCAGATCCGTGGCCAAAACGGACATTTTGATTTCATCACTGCTAATAGCTTCATTGCTGTTCTGTAGCAGTTGTTGCGCCAGATTGGTCGACGGCTTGTCCAGCGCCGTGTCCAATGGATAGGCCCTGCAGAAAGGAATTGTTATTGGAAGTGCAAATGAAAGTCTACACAAAGACTTACCGAAGCTCGGCGGGAGCAAACTGGCGATAGGCAAAAGAGAACTGGTCCGGCACGACCGTAAGCGGATAAGCGTAGTCTATGTTTCTGAAGGCCTCGTCGTAGACTCGGGGCGGCAAAAGATTGGGAGGTGCCGGAATATTCTCCGCTTCTGCCGCTGCCCGCACCACATTCACAATAGAACGCTGTAGGCACGTAGATGTTGGCGCCGTCCTTTGCACCGGCAGATTCAATGTAAATGTCTGCAGATCCAGGCAGGCCACGCGCTCGTCCTTACGGCTAACGGCGTGGGAATAATAAAAAAAATATATTACATAATTTATACTTAGTAACTTCTATTATATAACTCACGTCTTGTTAAAATAAACGTTCCATTTGCTAGCAGAGAGCATGGCACGGTCACGGGCTTGAAGGCCACGTCCGGCGCCGACCGTCAGTCCGAGAGCCTTCTGCTTAGCCTCGATCTCACGCAAGTGCTTCTGACGAATATACTCCTTATACTCTTCATACTTGTCATAGAAGTCCGCATACATAATGTCCAAGATGTCGGAAGCCCAAACAGCAGTGATGCCCAAGTCGCACATTCTTTCGCTAACCAATCCCTTCTCCTGCAGCCAATTACGCTCTTCCATATCGACGGCGCGACGTGGCAGATCGGGGTACTTGCGCTTAAAGCTAGTGATGCCCAGATACAGTGCCACTTGCTCTTGGATCATAAAGGTGTCTCGGTTCTTCGAAGGACAGCAACCTTTTGGCGGCGGCCAGTCGTACTCGGCAATGCTAGAGGCGGTGTAGTCAGTGCTGCAAATGAATTTAGAATTAGACCTGTTTAAGTGCAAGCTGATGAGGATGATCTTACTCTTCGGCCACGCAAATTTCCATCTTTTTCTTCTTTGGACGTTTTAGCGCTGAGCCCAAAATAGCGTCTACGGACTGACCCTGGTTCGAGTCAAGCATGCTTACATTGCTAACCATGGACGACTGTGATTCCTCGTTGTTCAGGAAGTCGGGTTGCCTGCAGATGAAAGAAAAAAGTTTGTAATGTAATTCTAACGGGTATTATTTAATCGTATATTTACTTCTGCGGCGTTAGCGGGGGTTCCATCAGACTGACCATCGACTGGCTGCTGTTGCTAAGATCCGCGCTCATACGCGTATCCTCCTCAAAAACTTGCGGTGACTGAAAAATTAATGAGATAATAAAGGATTATAAGCAAATCATTCTATAATTTTAATAATATCTATTATATTTTTTCACTTACAAATCTTAAATCTTTTGTCATACCGAAAGAATAATAAAACGATAAATACATACATATAAGAAAACTCTCTTAAAATTAATTTAAATATGGAAGTGGGAGTTATTTTTATAGAATTAAAAAAGGAAGTTCTTTGAATCGCTATAAATGATATGACATGTATATTAAAGCATACACGAGAAGGTATTTATTGGTATTGATAATTAAATTAAATTACTCATAATTAATGTTTGGAAATTAATGCTTTTGAACACGTTTAAGCGTGTAGCAAGAAAAACATCGAGCAGAGTTGCCATCTCTTAATAAATTTCAGATGCAAGTTTTGCAGAGAGAGCGAGAGTAAAGAGCAACTGGCTGCGAATGCAACAGCAGCAGCAGGTGTGGTGAAGGTGGACTCTCGCTAGCGAACGCACACGCACACACACAGACACATGCACAATTGGCGAGAGCCAAACAAAAACTTCAGCTGATTAAAATCGCAGGTGAAGCCAACAACAATCACAGCGACTGCGCTGCTAAGTTCGCAGCTGCTTCTTTTTCTGCTCCCCCCACAATTTTCCCTTCCCACGCCTCGATACTGCAGAAGCGGCTTGCCTTGTTGTTGTTGTAGTGGCTTTTGCACTTACATACACTAGGCCGTTGGCAATGAATTCACGACATGGCGCGCGCCTTTGTTTTTAATTACGACACGTTAGCCCTCGGTGTTTGTGTATGTGTGTGGGTATGTGGGCAAATTTACGTAACGAAACATAAACAAGAAGGCAATGTAATATACAATGCAAATTGTAAATGTCAGTAGAAGCTCCAACTGTACTGACCATCATTAACGCGTTGCCCCATATTTGTGGCACCGAGAGCTGGCGACTTTCTCGCCCTAATTATCTCTCGTTTCTTCTACTCGTCAATAGCAAATAACGGGTAAGCAATGTTTTGAACACTAAAATTTTTTAGTTGGTTATGATTACGATAATCAAACTCTTTATAGATCTATGATAATACACAATTATAATGAAAGATATAAATATATATTTCCTTTTATTTTCTTGTTCTTAACAAGGAGCTAAATAAGCTTTTGTCAAACTCAAGACAACAGCATCAGCATGCTCATATACTCGCTTATACTGAACGAGAACCTGTCGTTACTTATTTGCTCGTATAATACCCATAGCTACATATGTATGTACGTTTACTACTCTATAGTCGAAATGGAGCCTCACTTACCGGACTAAACAAGCCTTTGAGTCTCTCAGGATCGGGTTGGTGCTTTAGCCCGCCTACGCAGCGTGGTCGATTCATGGCGATGGCCTTGGCTACTGCACTAGCTCCACGGCTCATCCGCGGCGCCCGAGGCTGAGTTGGGGTTGTGGAAGCAATGCCACCGGCGCTGGCAGAACGATCTATTGAAGAAGAACCTCTGCTTCGCCCACCACCTCGCGATCCCCTGCCACGTCCACGTCCTCGCGTAGGGGTCACTATCGAAAGTATTGGTAACGTCGTAACAGATTCGTCTGCAAGAAGTTTATTATGTTTCCTTAGAGGTACAAAAATTTGGTGTATTATTATTTCCTTACCTCCGGAGTTGTCCAGCGCACTGTTATAGGTGTCCTCATCGTGTGAATCTGGCTGGCTGCCTCCGGCACTACCTCCGCTAATGCTTGAAGGGCGTGGTGAGCGCAACTGTTGGGTGACCATGATTGAAGAGAAATCATTAGGCTGGAAGATGACATCAGGCAACGGGTCCGAAGAAGACAGAATAGTCGTTGGAGGTAACATTGAGCTGCTGCCACTCCCACTGATCACCTGCTGAATTGCGGCAGCGCCGGAGGAAGTTGATGAGCTGGATGAGCACATGGTGAGGTCGATCTGCGCGGTCAGGGCAACAAACATGCTGCTGCTATTATTATTATTATTATTTGACTCGGACTCCGGGATACCGAACTGAGTCATTGTCGGTGGCGGCAACTGGCTATGCTGTGAATTAGCCTTGCTCTGGCGCTTTCGAGTGGTCTTGGGAGTAGGTTGCAGGTTGGTATTCGAGCTGGGATTGTGGGTCGTGGTGCGCCGCGTGGCTCTCAGCTGGCGATGCTCACGACTCTTAGGTGTTTCCAGAGCGCCTGCAATCTCTTCGTCTATCCTTGCACTTGGCTCGCCCACCGACGATCCCTTGGGTGTCATATCCGCTTGCTCCTGGCCCACGCTTACCATATCGATGGCCAATCGCTTGCGTAGCAATTGCACGCGACGCGATTTAACAGCACTGTTGGCTTCTTCTTGTGGAGTACCGGGCTTGGGTGTAACTGCCGCAGATTCGGATGTGCTCTGGTTCTGGATCCGTTTGGGCCGTCCCCTTTTCTTGCCTGTGCCCGCCGGCGTAACTACCGGTGGAAGCTGAATGGGCGGTTGTTCCAGCGGATCCTGTGCCTTAGCCTCTTCCCCGTCGACCTCCGAGGACAAAGCTCCATTTTGATCCGGCGTGGTAATAGCCTTCTGTTGGGTGGGTGGAAAGAGGGCATCCTCCAAATCTGTGTTGAGGATGCGCTCGTGCTTCTGTTTGCGCGATCGATGTGACGGCGGCAGTGCCTGCAGTGATTCGCCGGGACTGGTGTTGCACTTTCTCGCAGGATCGTGGCAATTTTGCGACTGTTGGTCGTTTTCGTCGTTGCCCAGACGTCTTTGTTTGATGGGAGGGATCTGTGGAAGGTGAAGTAATAAATATTTTAATCATCTGAACAAAAAATTTGCAAGAAAATTGCAGAGGTAAGTGCTTACGCCACTACTAGGAGATTCGTTGGCCTCGCCGCTAGTGCGCTTCAAATGGTTCTCGTTGTTGTTATCCAGTTCCTGCAGCTCCTGACTTTGCATATGCTGCTCTTCTCCAAGAGCCGCAGGATGCTTGTGGTTGGTTTGGTGATGGTTGTTGAGCATTGGGGGCTGGTCCTCGTCCGTGTAAGAATCCCTCGGACTGCAATCAGGCGTGTCCAGAATCTCGATGGACTCGATAATGGGTTGGGCGGAATTCACGGGCGCCAGAGGAGCAATAGCTCCCTCGCCTTCTGTTGCAACAACAGATCCTCCACCGCTGACGCCACCATTGGCCATCAGGCGTTCCGTTAGCTGGGGATACTTATTCGACTTGCTTTTAGGCGTTGTCGTAGTGAAGACTTTAGCCGGCGCAGTCAACTGGCTTAGCAAGATGTTTGAATTGGGCGAGGCGGGTGTACTAACGACACGTTCAGCCGTGCCGGTCGCAAAACCAGCAGTAGCATCAGATTGTGCCCGAAGGCACTCAAGAAGGCTCGTCGAAATATGCCCACCAGTAAAGTTATTGGACACATGCAAAGGCGATGATCCAGGAGACGGCGACGAGGTTAGGTCCACCATATCCACCACGTTGTGCTGTGGCTGGGCAGATTTTCCGGCCTTGTTGCCCTTGCTCGCACCACTGACAATTCCGTTGCTGGCTCCCAGGGGCGATAGATTGTGAAACATCTTCGGGTCATGCTCCTTAGACAGCGAATCGTCGATGACCATGTCATCGGAGTTCCGGCGACCTTCGTCAGAACCTGTAGCAGCCGTATCTGCATCTGGATCAGAGAATCCACAGAACTCTTGGCTGCTGCTGTTCGACTCGCCACCATTTGTCATTGGAGCCGGCATAGGATTGGGAGTGGGTTTTGGGACTGCCAATTTGGATGTTGCCGATAGTGGTTTCTCCTCAAGCACCGCACGCACTTTGTGCTTGGGCGAACATAAGTTCTTAATGGTCAACTTAGGCAGGGGCTGCAGCTGTTGCTCCATCTTGGCTCCAGACTCGTCTTCGAGCAGCTCAATGGACTTGGTCTTGATGGTGAGTTTTGGGATGCTCTGGGCGTTATTCAGGTCGTGCGTCATAATGACCGTGTGCATGTGCTCCTGACCGCCGCCCGTCTTGATGGTTAACTTTGGTATCTGCTGCTGCTGGTGCGGATGCTCCTCGCTGCTGCTAATACAGCTGCTTCCGGCTAACGTTGTCTTAATCATCAGCTTGGGCACTGTCTGCATCTCTGTCATAGAGGACGACGATGAAGAAGAGGAGGATGACGAAGCTGATGAAGACGAGGCAGAGGCGGGAGAAAGGCTAGACAGGTGAGCATCGTTCTTAGCGGGCATTGCTGACTGAGCGCCACTCACTGCCGACGAGCACGATCCGGTGTTAGAGCCGGAAGCAGCCGGATTCTCGGGCAACTTTATAGTCAACTTGGGCACCACGCTGCCCACACGCTTCTCGTTAGAGGCGCGGATGGTCAATTTTGGCACTATGTGCGGTGTGTTCCGCAGTTGTTGACCGAGAGTGCTAGCCACCTCGTCCTCTGCGCACGATGAGGAACACGAGGAGGCGTCCGCGTCAAAGGCATCCTGCGGCTTGGCCACCAGTCCTCCTTCAGAGCCGCCGCCGCAGGGCAACTGGATGCGCAAGGGCTCCACACGCCTCTCATCGCCAACCGGCTGAGATTCATTTGGGTTTGAGTTGGGGTTGACGTGCTTAGAGAGCTTCAGGATGATCTTGTGTCCGTCCCGCTCCTCTCCCTCTACCTCGAGCGCGGTGGCGGCCATAGCTCCACCTGCTGCTCTTGATGCTGATGCTGCTCCTCCGGATGCTGAGCTGACCGATGCAGATGCTCCAGTTGTGCTTGGGGCATCGTCGCACGGCGTTGTCAGCTGTGGTTGCGTCGGCGGAGGCGACGCTGTCGTACTGGTTATATGGCCGGGCTGAATGTGCTGGTGCTGCAGTGCCTCCTCCCGCTGCTGCTGTGGCTCCTGCTCCTGCTCCCGATCCGCATTCAGCTGCTGATCTCGCTGGGCTGGCGACGATGTGGAGCTAACCCGCTGCTCCTCCTCGCTAGTGCTGATCGCTGCCACTGACTTTGAGTTAGCGTTTGAGTTAAGCTGAAGGCGACCTGCTGCTCCTGATGTTCCTGCTGTCGATGTGGCGGCTGACGATTCTACCGCTGTTCCCGATCCTGATGACGATGTCGCTGCTACCATCTGCTGCTGACGTAAATCATTCATTGCTATATTCTATTGTCCAGTGGCCGCCAGCCTGAAAAAAAAAAAAGCGAATGATCTTTAGAAAATTGTGGATGTGGTGTTCTTTAAAATTCATTTTCATTATTATTTTAGTAATAGGTTACACTTTAAAGGGAAACGAAACTTAATATCCTGGATATTGAATCTAATTGCATTTGTCTATATTTCTTCGAACCAATAAAAATGTATTTGCTATTCCGACATTTGATGCCATATATTGCGGAAAACCAAGTATTAGCTGACAGATTATTGAAAATCTCAATGGATCAATTGTTTAATAATTATATATAAAAACATTTTCAGAAAACGTTATCATTAATATATTTTTTAAATTGGAAAATGTATGACATCTACATAATATCCTAGCCAAATACGCCTATATCTACGCATGCATTGCGTGTAATTGCCGCCCCAAGGGACGGATTTTTGTTTAGATTGAGAAGAGACAAAATAAAAGGGGAACGACCTGCACACACACTCTAACATACTCTAACGAACACAAACACATTCACATGCACACTCTTTGGAGCCCGATGAAAGAGGGAAATTGAATGAAAGCCGCTCAAAGTAAGGGATCTAATTTTAGCACATGTCAAAATTATTACTCCGCAATTGTATCCAATAGAAGCGCAGATTACAACACTCATCACCCTAGATTTTAGAAGATATTCTGAATTTCTTTTAGGCGGTGGAAAAACTATCTCGCTCGAAATTGCCGCGAAAAACTTTGAGCGTAATAAAAACAACAACAACACTTAATAAATAATAAGCGCTGCAAACATGCGCACACAGCTGTCGATTTGGGGAGAACAAGAAAGATGTACATGAAGCGGAATGGTAAACGGTGGTGAGCGCAAAAGAGAGCGAAGCGAAGAAAGGGAATAGGCAAATACTGAGAAAGCCGCGCCGCCACGAATTATGGCCTGTTTTTAATGTGTGTTGGCAACACTGGACGTATATTCACCATACTAGCTTGTTAATTCACCACATATCAGTCGCCGCTGCATGGAGAAAATACACACAAATGCAAGAGACACACACACAAACGCACGCACGCATATATACGGGTTGGCTGCCCTGTGTATATGGATGTATTATACTAACCAAATGCAAGCACCTCTATATCTGCACTATTATTATTAATTATATTCATAATTTATTTGGACAAGAGAGCCTCAAAGTGCATAGCGCAATATCAACAACTGTGCACTAGCAAATAACAACAATATCGACGACGCCGCCAAAGCCCTGACCCAACAAAAACAACAATAACGTCGACGAAGTAAGCAGCGACAAGCAAACGGCAAACTCACCATGCGGCAATTTCGTCGCTCAGAGTCAGACAAAAGAAGATGGTGGAGTAGAAGAGCGCCTGCTTTTGATTTGCGTGCACAATTCGCGATTTGCTTTTGCTTTGGCTGCTTTTCCTGGCATTGGCATGTTCATATTTCTATGCACTTTGACTGTTGTTGCTGCTGTGTAGTGTGATGCGTGTCTTTTTAGGCATTCGCCGTTGTTGGGCGAGAAATAAAACACATTTTTTAAACGTTTTTTTTTTTGTCGATTTCGATTTTAAAGCACTCGACCGCAGTAGGCACCACACGCACACACACTCTTGCAGTGCCAGCGGCAGCGGACGGCACACACACACACACCGACACACAACAGAAACACAGACAGTGACAAGCGCAACGAGCGCTCTCGGTCGCCGTTGTCCCACTTTCCGTGTATTGGTTTCGTTTCGTTTCGTACACTTTTCCACGCACTTTTAACGATTCGAATTCGATGGTACAGAAGGCAGAGGAGGGACAATACAACGCATTTAAAGATCTCGCAAACCTCAAAAAAAATATCCAACACTTGAGCCGCACGCACGATTCATATGCAGACTTGTTCTCGGCGCGCGTCGAACGTTCTTATGCATTCATTATTAAACGGTATGCTCTGCTTCGCCTGTCTGCTTATGTTTTTTTCTTTTCGATTCCGAGGTACTCGTCACGACAAATGAAAATCAGTGTGGCCGTCGCTAAGCTGCTAACTAGATACCCCGGTTACTTGGGAACACACTAAAAAATACATATCAAGAGTAAATGATGTAGCGGTGTTTCAAACCGCTATTGGATAACTTAGATGCTACCACTTCCGTTGTTCAATTTTGAAAACTTAAATCATGTATTCCTACCTAAAACATTTTTTTATTTATTTTAATTGGGGCTATATAAATAACATGTATATTATTATGTTATATTTATAACATAAACATTACATATATTACCGTAATATTATATTTAGTAACTTGTACGAGGGGCTTTTAGCTTTTCACTCAAAAAAGCGCGCAATAATTTTTAATTTAATTTTTCCAGTTTTAGATGTCAATGTCGATTTATTGTTTTTTCTATCATTCTAAACATTTCTTTTTTCTGTTGTAAGAGTGTTTTATAATTGTTTTATATGGAAAGCATAGTTCACAGTGTGGTGATTATAAGTCCCCAACAACAGCTAGGAACAATACCGATGCTGATGAGATCTACAAATTATAAAAAGTAGGCAATCATTCATGTGTCTAGTTTGTGTAGAAAGCTGTTAATCGTAATAGCTATTAAATTGTAGTGCTAAAACCAGAACATAAGCAACTAAACTGGTATTTTCCAAAGGTTTTGTCTGCGGCCACACTGTTCCATATAATATTTGCATCTTTGCATCTCGCCACTTGTTTTCTTTTTTTTTGTTCTTGAGCTAATAAGAACCGAATCGATTTAAGGCTCATCGATAATTATAATCGACGCCAGCTAGCGATCTATATTCTTGCAGGCATCGTTCCCAAATAACCGGCGAAAGCTGAGACCGAAATTTTTGCAAGTTTCGACAAAACTAAAATTCGCGATGAGTGCACAGCCAAGTCCGCTAATGAATCCCCAGCAGCAGCAGCAGAGTGAGCAGGAGAAGGTAAGTCGGTGATTCGGAACGCGTCACACCATTACTATCGTTAATCCATCTATTGCTATTTTTCAACTAGGTGTACCAGTGGATCAACGAGCTGGCCCATCCGGACACCAGAGAGACCGCATTGCTTGAACTGAGCAAAAAGCGCGAGACCGATTTGGCCCCTATGCTGTGGAACAGCTTCGGAACTGCATGTGCGCTGTTGCAGGAGATCGTCAACATATATCCATCAATAACGCCTCCCACACTGACGGCACACCAGTCAAACCGCGTCTGCAACGCCCTGGCACTGTTGCAGTGCGTCGCCTCGCATCCGGAAACTCGAACGGCCTTCCTGCAGGCCCAGATACCGCTGTACTTGTACCCCTTTCTATCGACCACGTCGAAGACTAGGCCTTTTGAGTACCTTCGTCTGACCAGTCTGGGCGTCATTGGAGCGCTAGTTAAGGTATTTACAATTGCATATGGCCTAAAGGCGTCTTATAATTATATTTGTTACTACTCTTTTCGGTAGACCGACGAACAGGAGGTTATTACCTTCCTGCTGACTACAGAGATTGTTCCACTCTGCCTTAGCATTATGGACAGCGGATCGGAGCTGAGCAAGACTGTGGCCACATTCATCATCCAGAAGATACTTCTCGACGAGTCTGGTCTGTCGTACATTTGCCAGACATACGAACGCTTCTCTCACGTGGCCATAACCTTGGTAAGTATGAGATTTCTCACAACAGAATGAGTTTACTTAGCGAGTCCAACGATTTCAGGGCAAAATGGTCATCCAATTGTCTAAGGATCCGTGCGCTCGCTTGCTCAAGCATGTAGTGCGTTGTTATCTACGTCTCTCGGACAACACTCGGTGGGTATTGGTCGACTTGTTATTGGTCGTTTGCTTTCTAATTTTGTAACTATCATCTTTCATAGCGCTCGCAAAGCCCTGGGGCAATGTCTGCCCGACCAACTACGTGACGGTACCTTCGCGCTCTGCCTGCAGGACGACAAATCCACCAAGCAGTGGCTTCAGATGCTACTCAAGAACCTGGAGCTCGGCGCTACACCGCAACAGATCGGTATGTCACCGCTGGGTTCCTAGACCATTCTAGTATCGCTTAGGCATCGGACTGGGCTTGGCAACCGAGCGAGTTCCATTTGGTAGTTAACTATTTGACCAAATATTTAGTGAGATTGCACGAGATTGCCTGTGTCTAACCTAAGCAAAACTGTAATATAACTATAAATAATTGTATAAGCCGATAAAGCTATGTTTAAAGTAAGTTTGTCTCTGATAGTAAATAAAGAATCTTAAACAGACAATATATGTATACACATTTGAAGTTTACTTTACATGCCATAAATGGTTTGGTTTTTGTTGATATTCGTTTATTTTGAGATGCAAACAAAGTAGCTGTTGTTAGCGCACTGAATGGAGGTTGCTCTCCTTTGTTCCTCTCGCTCATACCGACGCATTCCCCTATGGTGTCATCTCGCTCTGGACCATGTTGGAATGCAAACAAACCAAAAGTACCAAAAACACCCAAATAAAAGGCAATCGAATGCAGTAACGGCAAAACACACATTCAAATGCATATAATATGGACACTCATATACAGCTTGCGATAATTTCAATTACAACAAGTTACAATATACACACATGGAATAAACATTAACAGCCGCAGCCCAAAATTGACTCCTTGAACTGGCACACCACTGAAATTGTACTGTTTTAGACAATATGTTCTGCAGGTTTAAGTCCTGGCACATAGATCCACTTAGCATACTTAGCATAGTCGGTGCAATAAAAGGAGGGAGCGGATTAAATCAAAAACAGACCAGACCACATGATGGAACAACTGATGGATGATGGGATGGGGATGCGGATGCGTATGCTGAATTGAGACCTTCACGAGTTTAGAAGTTCCTGGAATCGCAGAACCGTATGCTTAGTACCGTTGTCAGAAAATTAAATATGTTTATTATAAAGACTCTCGAATTGAAAAAGATAAATATTTTTTGTAAGGGGATTACTGATTGCTCTAAAAAATTTAGAAAATTCTATTGCTGAATTCATTAAGGGCTTTAGGTGATTAAAACCAAATAATGGTTCTACAGAAATTTCTTTTAACCAAATTTTAAATATGATTTTTATGGATTATCGGTTTTTATTTGACTGAAAGAGACTTCTGTAGTATCCCAAATATAATGAAGTCAATTGAAAAAAAAAGTACCAATGCTATCTGATGCAATCGCAGTCGATTCCCTGTCAAAAATAAGAAAACTGCGGTTCTCCGATGGCAATTTTATCTACTTACTCGAGCAGGTCCCAAATGCCTATACATGCCTCCTTAATTTGGTGACTTGGCCGGCCCGGCGATGGCCGATGCTCGGCGTGCCACCTCCGGTGCCTCGGTCTCGGCTTCGGGGTCAGGATCAGCATCATCCTGCAACTGTAGGGTCTTCAGCTGCGGCAGGGCCAGCATCTGGTCCATCAGGTCGAAGCCGCTCTTCCAGATCAACAGCTGGGCTCGCAGCTTCAACTTGCTGCGGTTACGCAGTAGATGCTTTTCCATAGCGAATCCTTTGCGGGCGCAGGCAAAATCGCAGGCCCGCTGTCGCAGCACGGGACAAATGTCATTATTCCCGTCACCCACGTAAAAAACATGATCGTAGCGAATACTGCGGCGCAAGTCCTGTTCGATAACAAAGTGCTCTAGGACGCGACCCTTACACAGGTTACTGGCGCTCAGCTTGCAGTCCGATTGTTGGTGGTGGGCCCGGACGAGCAGACGGCCGGAGGCGTCGAATTCCGCCGGATTGGTGAAGACAGCTACAAAGCAATCTGCTATATTGTGCGCCCGCAGCCACTCCTCGATAAAAACGCTGTTCGAGTCGCTGATTATGATCAGGTCATAGTGAAGCCGCTTTGCCAAGTGTTTAATGAGACGTACGAATCCAGGAACCTCGGGTATGCCTCGAATGGTGTCCCGGATGCGAGCCTCCGGCACCTGTTGCTCATGCAATAGTCGGAACACCTCGGCCATATACTCCGTCCAGCAATCGTTTTCCACGAGTTCGTTGGCGCGAGCGCTGGTCACTTCCGTGGGCAGCAAGTCACGGACCACGGTGTCCGTGTTCTGGGAAACGATCGTGTGGTCGAAGTCGAAGGCCGCAAGGCGACGGCGCTGCTGCTTCTCCAGTTTGCAGCTGGCCACGGCCGCTGCTACCGCGGCGGATGACTGCTTCGAGGACATTCTGTTGACTCCGCTCAGAGCGAGTTCAGTTCGAGGACATCTCCATGCTCCGGGCCAGCAGTGTGACCGTAACACGGGCCTACTGGAATGGAACGCGCTGGAAGGAAACAGCGAAAATACCAAAATAAACCGTTTGACGGTTAAAATGTACCCTTTTATTCCGAATCACGAATTGATGTAGGGTTTCAAAGGAAAGAAAACCTTTGAAAATCTATTTACTTCATTATATACAGTTTTTAAACAGACAAATTAATTCTCCTTTTGCGGTAACAAAAAGTTCAATTCAACATCTGCGTGTAATGATTTTAAAGGATTTAAACTTCGTTAATGATTTTTTTTAAATATTAATCAATTAAATTAAGAAAATATAGCATAAAGAAATTCAAATTAGTTAGATAGTTTAGAACATAGTTTTTACGACATATTAAAAAAATATTTATAGCCTATTGCAGAAGCTGTTATAATATAGCTAGGCTGGATGCTCTGGCAATAAAAAACCGCCAAAAATTTAAATTTACCAAAGTTCACTTTAAATAAATTGACAACACTGTGACGTACCAACGATTTGATTAAAGCCTTATCAGTTTTAAAAAGTTTTAGTAGTAGAAATTAGCTTCACAAAACCTATACAAATATCAGAATTTTGGTATCCTCCGGGTGACAGCTCGAATTCAATGCAGCCCTGCCGTTTGACACTTTGACGTGGGGCTGTCATCGAAAATCGGACACGAATAGCAGGGTCGACGCGGCATAAACCGATTGCAACTCACTTAAGTGGAAATTTTTGATCGAAACGGAGGTGCGTGTGCCTGACTTTTTAGCTCCTAAACCTTGTCGTGTGTAATTTTTTATAAAATTACCACGTAAATAAACAAAAACCTCAATTTCAAACATCAACATTGGCTATCCAATCCAGTGTTATCCAGTGCTTTTTGTTATTCTGAAGCTTTGCATGTTTTGCTAACGTTGCTCTTCGCAAAATATAATTAATTCGAGGCAAATAAAAACTTTAGTGGAATATATATTTATGCTGATCATTTTCACTTTGAACTTTGTTGGTGGCTTGAAAACTGAACAACTACGCGAAGAGAATAGAATTTTGGTGAATGAAGAGATAGATTTCACCTGTGACATCGCCGACCATTAGCCACGTCACAGCTGACGTTGCTGTGAAAGTGCTCGAATGGCAACCAATAACTGATCAACACATTTCCCTCTCTTTCTCCCTCTGTAGAATACGCACAATACTTGAAACGATATGGACAAGGTTGTTAAATTCGCCGAGCCCGGACGAGCCTTTGCCAAGGACTCGATCCGCTTGGTCAAGCGCTGCACCAAGCCCGACCGCAAGGAGTTCCAGAAGATTGCCATCGCCACCGCCATTGGTTTCTGCATCATGGGCTTTATCGGTTTCTTCGTAAAGCTGATACATATTCCTATCAACAACATCATCGTGGGCTCCTAAGTGCAGACGGGATGGAAAAGAATCCAAAATTTGGGATATAAACAATTTTAAATCATCCATTATAGCATATGACAGATAAATTTTTTTCTTTAGTTAACATGCATAATATATATAGAATAGAGAAACTATGTGCATTCAACGAATGTCTTTCTTACAGAATTTTCATGTGCATATGTGAAAATGTATTGTAAATTTTCAAAATTCCATTCATAACTCTATATTGAAGTGCATGAACAAGTTAGTTAATAAGAGCCAATTGTAAAAATGGTAATCGACCTGCGTTTATAGCAATTGTTCGGCGGTGTGCCCTCGTCAATAAATGTTATTCCGATTTTCCATATAACATTTTTTCTTTCAATGCGTTATATTAATAGTTTTTGGTGAACATTTTATTCACCCGAGGACCTGGATAATCTTGACTAGATTGAATATAAGATTAGATCGTGATGGATATGTATTTTTTTAGTGCAAATAATAAGGTTCTTTCAAAGCCTTTTTAAATCTAGCATAGTCCATCAAAGTGGAAAAATACCAATACAAATTTTATATTTAAGCAAAATATAGAAACCAAGTCTTTTTTTTTGAAAAATGGTATAATTGACAAACATAGAATTTAAAGCACTTCATTAGAATCTGTTTGCCTATATATTTTCTATACTTTATACTTGAAGTTTACTTTAAGCCTATATAATATAGTACAATCATGATTAAATTATTATGCGTAAATAGTGAAGGCGCCTAGGAGTGTGCCCCTCCCTTTTTAAGACCTTTCCTCATACTTACGAACCCGTCGGACGATTGTCGCACAGGTTGCTCCAGTCGGGTACGTGCTCACTCTTTAGATACGTTTCCTTCGCCAGCGATCGGGTCTGGATAAGGTCCGTAGCACCGCACAGGGCGCCACCCAGCCAGGCGGTGAAGTTTTGCTTGCCAATGCCATTGAAAAATTTGAACTGCAGCTCCCCGTGGAATCGCTCGACATAGAAGGGATCCTTGGCGAGCAGATACTGCAGTTCTTGTTGGAGTCTGGCTAGTAGTCCCTGGACCATTGAGCCGCCGCCCACAAGAAACACGCTCTCTACAAGGGCGCGTCTTACGTCCAGTGTGCAATCGAGAATAGAGCGCAGAATGAGATGCGGCAGGCTGTCCCGTTCGTTGCTAGCCTCGAACATGATCTCGTAAACAGTCTCCCGCAGAATGCCGGGTACCTGTATGATCGCATCGTTGTCGCTGACGATATAATCCACGTCTGGCGCGGGAGTCGGTTGAACCTCGCCATCATTCGCGCGAGCTTGAGCCCTTTCCATGGTGGTCACGAAACACGTTCGCACCTTGATGTCCTCCAATACGCTCTCCGTCAGCAAGCTTTCCTTGATGCCAGTCTCTACCAGTTGACGCTTGATTTCCGCATGTATAGCCCTACCGCCGTAGTTCTGGTCTTTAAAGGCAGCCATGATCTGCACACCGCTAAAAACGGGCATAATGCTGGTCTCACTGTAGCCAATGTCCACCACAAGGGCAGTAGGCACGGCCAGCGTGGACAGGGCTATAAGATGTACAGGCACAAACAGCACTGAAGAGACGTCAAAGTGAACAAAGAGTACACGGGCCAATGTCTCCCGCAGGACAGTGGGTCCGAACACGCTTTCTACCAGCACGAACTTACGCTCCTTGGGGCTGACCAGCAGGTGTCTGAAAACAGATTATTAAACATAGATTTAAACAGAATCGAGCGGAAATTGGACGAGTACTTACTTGAAAAAAATCGTCTGCAGGAAGTCGACCAGCTGGTCGTAAAGCTCCTCCGTGGTGTTGTAGTCAAAGAGACGTTTTCTGAGCCCCGTCGTAGTCATCACCACCTCCGTGGGCATGATCTTACGGGGATACGCCTCCGCCGCGAATCCCAGCCTGAAAATGGGCCAATGATGACTTCACCCTCACTTGCGCCGCAGCATTTTTGTTTGCTTACTTTGTGTAGGCGGTGCCAATGTCGAGGACAATCGGAGGCTTTTCCTGCATGACGCTCTCGTATATAGGCATATTGATCAATTGGTCTGAGACGAATCGATCGGACTAGACAAGTTATTTACAATGTAGTTAATATTGGCCAAGCAATATTAAGCAACTATCGATGACAAAGTGCCCATGGCCAAAAACAATCGATAACCGTTATGTATTCACTAGAGGTGCATGAGAACTCTTCTTCTTCTCCTGCACTCGAGGGCGCCCTTTCAAAATGAAATATTTTGAAATATTTGTGTTCAAATTTTGTATTAGATTATTTTTAAAAATTTAAGCAAGTTATTTTATATAATTTCAATTAATTTAAACTAAGATTTGTTATATAAAAAAATATTTACGTTTCAGTTGCAGGCAGATCCATTTTCAATCTAATTAAGAAGATATATTAAATTTCGATTTCATTTAGAATTTGTAAATTTATTTCAAATTTATTAGCTTATTTCGATTTTGTGTTTTTGCGGGGTCTCCGCTTCGATTTCATTTAGTTATAAATAGTAGTATATAATTTCAGTTTGAATATTACATACTCGCGCAACTATAATTCATAGAATCCCGATTTGTTTTTTTTGGGAGGTTTTTTGGGGTATAATGCATACATATGTGGTGCGGGATGTGTGTTCATATACAGATTGATGTATTATATAATAATAACTTTTTGCTTATCAACTAAGCCTAAGCGTAATTTCAGAAATGTTTCTTCAAAGGATAAGTGTGTACATATATATAAATTACAGTATGCCTGCGCATAGGTAACTATACAAAACAGGGAAAAGCACAATCCATTAATTAATTATTTAACTATGTATAAAAGGGGCTTCAGGCGTTGCTGCTGCAGGGGGCCTAAGGACACGGGCTGTGGGGCTAAGGTTTGTGGGGTCGGAGTATTGGCAATTGTCGATTCTACTTCCTTTGTGCAAACAAGTTTAACAAATTCCGAATAATAAATAACAAAGCAGTAACAAGTCACGAGTCACCACTTTCCTGCAGGGGAAACGGGTTGGGATCGAAACGGGAAACGATGGCCGCGGTAGACTAATTTAAAATTAAATTGTTACATGCGGGGGTTGTAAATTTAGTTTTAAAATAAATAAATTAATAAATTTAACATCTGGTTGGAACTGGGATTGGGACTGGATCACGGGGATGGACATCGTCAGGGGCGCTGGGCGAGGACGTGAGATGCTCCTACAGTGCGGGCTCATCGTCTAAGCTAGTTTACAATTACTTTAAGTTCAGTCGTCGCTAGTTTGGCAGCTGAGGTGGCCATGGTCTCGACGTGATCCTGGTCCTCGACCAAGACCGTAGTCGTGTCGCTAGTGGCGCCGCCTCCGCTGCGACGCCTCCTCCTGCTCCTTTGTTTCTGTGTGTATTTCTGCTTCTGCACCTGTTGCGGTCCCTGTCACTTCTCCGGGCCAAAAAGCCGCGCCAGACTGGCATTCTGATTGCTATCCATGATGTCGGCGGTTGTGCCTATGGCTCCCTTGGCCTTGTGCGACTGCATAGGCGGCAGGTTGGCGATCTGCACCTCATGCCGAAACAGCTGGTTTACACTGCGCCCGACAAGCTGGGCGGTTAACTTCTTGAAGATGTCCTTTTTGGCACGGTCCACCTTGTTGCCCTTAACGGGCGCCACGGCGATCTTCTCGTCGAATTTTTGGATATCGGCAGCGTTTACACTGGGGATATGCTGCAACACTTCACTGAGAATGGGAAACTGTGGGCGCAGCAGCTCGTAAAACTGCACGCCCAGCGTTAAAAGTCCAGACTGGTTGGCCTCGTGCTGTCCATGCACCTGCATGCCCTGCAAGACGGCGGTAAAGGCTGTAACGGCCTTATTCTCATCCATCAGTTTCTCGGCAGCCAAAAAACGCATCACGGGAGCAGCAATGTTCACTGCCTTCATGCTGCACATGCCATCGTTCCAAGCGATGGCCTTGAGCAGGGTCATAAGCACATAGTTGCCGATGAGCCCGTTGCGTAGCAGTTTGCCGCCTAAATCACTAATGATGTCGGAGAGCAATGCCGATTGGATCGCTCGCGAATGCGGTGCGCTGTCCATCGAGTGCTCCTCGTTCTCCATGGCCACAGAGTTGCTGTTGGCGTTGGCGCCAGCCGCCACATGATCGGCCCCAATTTGCCCACCAACTAGCGCAATCTTCAGCACGTCCAGGTACTCGCGCGTCAGTGTACGATTAAGTTGGTCCTCCAAGACTTCCTGAGTGTCGTTGACCTCGCCGTTAAGTTGCCCGCTTTCATAGAGCGAAGCTATGTAAATCCAGCGGCGGGTAAGACGTTCGCACATCAATGGCGCCAGGTGGGCAAAAAGCGGCACTAGAACGCTGTCGTAGAAGGTTGGTGGGCACGAATAGACGAAAGGCTTAAAGAAGACCCGTATGATTGGGCGCAAACGGTAGTCAGGCACCAAGTCCATTCGGCTGAACACATTTGTTATAATGGCGTCGGAAAGACCCAGCAGTTGGTATAGATCACGTCCCAGCGATGGTCCTGCTGATCCCATCAAATGGTAGCAGCCCTCAGTGACCATCATCATAAAAGTCTGCATCTTCTCAAAGGCCGTCGGCTCGCTGCGGATGGTAGTGTCTAGCGGGTCGGTGGGCAGGGCGCAAATGCCCATTAGCAACTTCTTCTCATGCTCCAACATGCCGTGGATTCCACGATATCCTTCGGAGAGGGCGAGTAGAGCCTCGGGCGCAAACAGCTCATTTAGCACACGCATCAGGCTCAGCACATGCGAGAGCAGTGGCACGACGTGCTTGGTGGCCGGATTTCGGCAGATGGGGTTGCCCAGCTCCGTACAACCAATTACAAAACCTCCGCGCTGAGCGCGATCCGGATCGTCTGGCCAGGTGCAGCGTTTAACCACACCCAACACCACATGTAGTGCGTCCAAAAGGCGCGAGCGATTTTGGAGCGAGGGAGCGCCTTCTACGGCAAAGATAGGAGGTTTGTCCAGACCTACGAAGCTCATGAAGTCCAGGGGCGACTTGAGGGCATCGCCAAAGGCCAGCCATTCGGCCCGCTTGTCCTGCACAATGTGCTCGATGAAGAGAGTCTGGCGTTCGAAATCGCAGAAGTGGTTTGAGATGAGAATTAGTGCCTCCTGCAGAGTAGTGCGCATCAAACGGCACAGTTGATGCTGCCCAGGCTCCTTAAGTAGGAGCTCCACGTGTCCGTTGATTTGCTCGAATACGGGCAGCAGCAGCAGTGGGTACTTGTGAGCTAGTTTAACCAATAGAGAGGCGGCGTGCCGGCGCAGATTTTTTGCAGACTTGGCCTGCACCTTCTCCAGTTCGTTAGGGGGCTTCAGAACAAGTGCTCGGAAGATCTTGTCAAGCACTCGCGGCAAAAGGCTTACCCCGGTCATGGCTACGCAGTTGTTGGCTGTGATCTGGCACGCGGACATGCTAAGAAAAACGAACAGGGCCGAAATGCAGGACAGCAGAATCGAGTAGATAAGCGGGTTGATTGTCTCCAGTTTGAGGCACTCTTCCAACAGTCGTAGTCCCGCCGGTACCGAAGGTCTTTCCGATACGAGAAGAATGCGACTAAGCACACCGTCTAACACACTTACCAGTGCATCCCATTCCAGGTATACTGGGTCCAGTACGCTACACGACACATTGCCACTTTTCGCTTCCGCATCTGCTTCGGCTACCGCGTTGCGAAGTCGCTGCTGCAGCCATTGCTCGCAGTAGCCGTAAGTGACCAAAGGTTGCACAAGCGTGGCCAGGCGAAAAATCTCAAGGAAGTCGGTTCTGCAGCGGAAGAAATAAATTGCGAACTCCTCTTCGCTGTCGTACTCTAGTCGTATATAGGCCTCCGTGGAGAGGCTGGCAGGCGAGCTAGTGGAGGCAGGATATGGCAGCTTCACGATCCTGGGCGCAATCGTGTGAATGAGCTTGGGAATGTAGTTGACCGTAGCGAAATCCTTGGAGCAGGGCTCGTGCTTGAGCAACAATTGCCAGATTAGCGCGGATCCATGAGAGACGGTCAGAGATTGGTGCTGTACGAGGAGTAGAAGGCATTCGAGAAGGACTTCCAGATGCACTGGTCGCTGTGTGGCGTCGTCCTTTCCCCAAAGCGCCACTAGTTGCTGAGCCATGCCGTTCAGCACCTGCAGCAGCTTCTTGAGGAAGTTGTGGTGTTGCTCGATGGCCAACGTGGAGCTGGAGTCGGGTGGTATCTGACTGGCCTGGTAGATGTAGCGAAGGGGCTCCTCGTTAAATAATTGCAAAAGCGGCTTTCGCTCCTTCGCCTGGCCCTTACGGTTCGTGATCTGCGCCAGGCACTCAGCCGCGTTGCACTGGAATGCTTTGTCGTTGAGCAGAATGCAGAGGAATTGCATCAGTTTGCCGTTGCTTGACATGATGTGCTGAATGCTGACCCATTCGACGAAGCCGCTTAGTGTAAGCAGTACCATTTCGACGACCCGGCTGTGCGCGTTGGCCTTTGTGAAGTTGCACAGACGCGTAGTCTCACGAAACGCAGTCACATGCTGCTCCACCAGACGCAGGAAGAACTCGAAAATGTCGTTCATGTTGTTGTTTAGCGCCTGGTACATGTCCTTGCGACGCTGATTGGACTCAATTGTCTGCAACAGGGCAACATCCTCCACCAATCGTAGGAAGACCAGAAGCACCAGCTCCGTCTGCGCCTCGCCCTTGGTGCAGGCTTGGCTCAGCTCTGGCAGCAGGTCGGACCACTGCTGCGGCCATTCGCGCTTAATCATCTCGACGATGATGCGCGAAAGCGCGTCCTTCGTGGGCAGCAGCGAGCGGTCCTCCGCCGGGCCCACGCCCACGTTCAGCATCTTGATGGCATTGTCCTTGATGTACACCTTCTCCTCGTGCGTGATGCAGTTCCATCGGAACTTAATTGTGTATTCGATCAGTTGTAGGCCAAAATGTCGCACCTGCTGGTTGGACTGCGGTGAGCTGGCCAAGAATAGACCAACCTGTGCGCACAGCGGTGACTCCTCCTTGAACCGTTCACAGGCCATATAGGCCTCCAGGCGCGCCTGCTGCTGGGTCATCGGGTGCATAATCAGATCGACAGCCGTGGCTAGTTCGGCGGCCAAAGCCTCGGTGCCTCCGTGCTGGGTCATCGCTATCGCTAGCTCTCTATTTGTTTTCCTGCTGGAGAGGAGGGTGGTCAAATGTATGGTTGTGGTTCCATCTGGTTGCGCGACATGTGCTTCTATCCCAAAACACTTACCTCTGCTTGCCCCTGCCCACCGCTTAAGTCCCGAATCTCGCCTAGACTCTCGATCTCCTCCTCGATCCCCTCGTGCCTCGTCTTTGGCCAATGCGTTTTTGGAGCCAGCCAGACAACGTTTCCAAAGATTAGGACGGCTGCCTGTGTGCGTGTGCGGTGTGTTGTGTGTGGTATGCCTGTGTTCCGTGTGCGAAATGCGGAATGCGTGAGTTTCTGGTTGGGATTGTTTGGGAACTCGAATGATGATCGGCTTGAGTATCGCCTATTGCCTAGAACACAGCGTCGAGTCGAGTGTCTCACATCTGAATCGCATAAATAGATAGCCTGCTGAAACGGCTTTTCCGGCTGGGTTGTTTTAGAACAATGTGCAGCAAATCGCACGGGACAGGGTTGACAGGCGGTTAGCGGATGTTGCCAGATCTCGAAGTGTACCAAGGCGTTTTGGCCGGTTTTACAATAAGCTAGATGTGGGGATATTGATAACTTTAACTTATTCCATTTGGACTTTTGATTTGTTTCGATTGATTTGAATTTGTTGCTAACCCAAAAAAAAGAGGGGCGAACCGGCAAAGTTTCTTACGAAACTCGCGCGATATTTTCGCAATCCTTCAGCATTGCCAGACCGCGAAAGTTGTCAAGCTATAGTTGCCACGTATTTTTAGCTAACATAATTGCTAAAAGTTTTAAAAAGCCGGTCGTGTGGGTGGATTGCATTAAAAGGAGAAACAGCGCTTAATATATATTCTTATCTATATTTGCCCTATTTTTAAATTATCGGAATCTATCGCCGATATCGATGTTTTCAGTATTCCCTTCGTTCAGTTAGAAAGGTTTTGTTTTTGAAAAACTTGCAATTCTTAAATAAAACATTTTTTATTTTGAGGATATTAGATTGTTCCAATTCATAAATACAATTTGGCTGTGTCTTTTTTATGTTTTAGAAAGCCGGTTTTCGACCGCCCTCAATGTGAAAACAAAACAACCGTTTTTTAAATGTTAAATCAAAGCGGCAACGCCAAACAGTAGGAACACGCAGTTGCACTAACACTCGTATTAGCAATAGGCCTCCCAAATAATCAGTGTGAGCCTTCTTATATTTTTTGTAATTTTCGAACTGCAAACGGCAGGCTCAGATGAAATAGATATGGAGTGGCACGAAGTGGAGCTGGACGGCAGCCGCACAGTTGCGTTTCCAGAGCGCGCCATACCTGGAATTGGGCAGAAGCCAGAAGATGGGGATACCGGTAAGTGTGGACATACATATTTATATAAATACGGCATGGAATTTGCAATAGCATGTGCAATATTTCAACAATAATTTTGATTTTCAGACAAGTTTTTGGGCGGCATCATTCGTAGCGGTCAGTGGGGCTGGGTAACACGCCGGTATTCAAGTGATGCCAATCTAATCGTCTGTAACATGTCCACCGGTGATTGCGTCTCGTGGTATTCTTTCTGGAATGAAGGGCAAGGCCACGGGCAACGCAGCAGCATCCGCTGTGTGGAGGAACTTTTCACCGGTCAACCGGATCGAACTCCCCTGCTGGCTATTTGCCTGGAGTCGTGGGACAACGGGGAGCGCTTTCCCATTAACTGTCCAAAGGCCAGGACGCAAGTTCTCATATATTCAATCGCAAAAAGTCGGGTGCTACGCCATTTCGAACTGCAAAGACTTTACTGCAGCACGCTGAAGTTTCTAGATCAGAGCGTCTGTGGCGGAACGCAGCTGTGTCACTTCGACGGCTGCCTGGCCGTGGCCTCCGAGGAAGGCGTCGTTTTGCTTGTCGATCTCAACTATAGTAGTCTACTGGAGACGGCCGAAAACTCCAATCTCAGAAATCCGAATTCCGAGGGGGAGCCGGGGTATGGACAACTCCATTGCCTGCCCTGCGATGGCGTATCCCAGCTGGAAGTTTGTCGCTCGCAAGGTGCCCATTTGGCTGTTAGATTGGATGGTGAGTGTGCCAATGTGATTGATGTAAAGGTGGCTAATTTTGTAATTCCTTTACAGTGTCATCCAGCGGTATTCGGACCTTGATGGGCATAAGTTTGATATTCGGCTTTGCTGCTGGCCTTGAGGATGGCACAGTCTTAATATACGACTTAGAGCACTTCCAGGTGACCACCACACTGAAACCTGCGGGAAATAAAGGAAAGGTTAAAGGGGCCGTGACAAAAATGTGTGTCATCATGCCGCCGGATGACCCTAAGCCTTGCTTTTACATATGTGCATTGTACGAAGGCACCGACGGCCTCAACATGTTACTGCACTCCGTCAACTACAGGCGCTCTTACATGGATCAGGAAAGTTACGAGTTTCACGTCGAGGTGAGCCAATGCTATCCTCTGCTCACGAACAAAGTATTGACTTTTACCTCCGCAGCACTTCCAATCTAGTTCTGTGCGCAACCAACAAGTTTTTGACGGAGGTATCTGCTCCGTGCTGGCCTGCTTTACGGCGTCAACTTTTAGCTTTGCTGGCGACAGCGGGACACTGTTAATTGGTATCTCTTGGCACTCTATTTCCGAACGTAAAAACAAGTTCGTCTTGTTTGACATTAATCAGTGGTACAAAGATGAAATGCCGGCGTATGTCCGGCGAGGTGAAATTCCTCATTACATCGTCGGCTATGTTCTGAGTGGTCTACCTATGGGTTTGGATTTGCATCTGAAACCCAGCACCATAATGCACTACGTTTCTCTGCAGCGTTACGATGAGCATTTTTACCCCAATTCACTGACTTTTGGTAAGTTCCAGTGGTGATTGGAGGCGACCCAGTTACGTAAATAATCTCTACTGCTTCAGATTGCAAGCTGCTCACCTCAACTGGCAGCCGGTACTACGCTCAAGACGGAGTGCAACATCGTTTTCTGAATGCCCTGCGGTGGGAGCGCGCAACACTCTTTCTGCGTCCGCAACCTTACCATGAACATATTGTTAAACTGCGACTCCTGCCACAGTTTTGCGAACTAAATGCCACGTTCTCTAAGGTAGGAAAAACTTTTGAAAATATTCAATATTCAAAACATTTTTCTTTTTTAGACCGCCATGTACGAAGTGATACTCTCGGTAGCCTTGGAACACAATTGTGGGGCGCTGCTGAATGACTGCGCCCGGAGCTGGCTGGATGGAAGCTTTTTGTGCAACATGCTTGACCCAACAGAGCTCTCACCGTTGACGTTGACCAATTGGATCGTGAAGCGTGCCGGGCAAATTAAAACTCGTTGTGATGAGCTTTGTCAGGGAATCTTTGACTACGGGGGCTACTCACTGGACGAGAGGGAAAGGCGCGAGTTCCAGGTACTCTCCGACCAGTTGCGCGAACTATTGCGCCTCCAATCCTATATTCTTGAGCTGGGACAGCGCAGGCTAATGCCAAACACTTTGGACGATTGCAAAAATAACGAGCGGGCACTCAAGACGGTTGTCGAGTATCAAAGAGTGCTTTACTGGTTTATCGAGCAAGGTCTCCTGCCCGAGGGTCAACAAGAGGATCATAGGGAGCAGCGGGAGGAGCCGCTGGTTCGACTACGTCACGTATACTCTCAGAGAAGGGCGCAGCGAAAAAGACTTTATATCGACTCCCTGAAAAAGTTGACATCCCTTTCTGAACGCTATCCGCCAGACTCGTTGCACGCGCTTCTGCATGTGATGCTCGATCTTGACACAGAGCTTTCCAATAAGCATGCTCTCGTCCTGTACCTGCTGATGGACCTGGATCCAAAACTGGGCAAGACCTTCCAGACTTCCTTTCAGCTGGAGAATGATTTGGTGAAGTCGGTTCGATCCTTTTGGTGCTTGGACCGCGGAGATAACGAGGTGAGGCATATCCTTAATTTTTTTGTTTATTTTCCTTGAGACTTGCATAGTATATTTTTTGAATGTTTTTATTTACAGCAATGCGTTAAGGAGCTCTACGATGGTCCCACTCCCGCCAGCAACTATAAAGTGTGGCAGATGCGTCTATTACTGGATACTTTAGTGCAGAACGGCGCTGTCGTGGAAGCCATGCAGGTAGCAAACCAACCGCCTGGGCCGCTTTCTGCAGAGCTGCACTTGAAAGTGCTCTTGGCCAACGAATGCATGCCGGAGGCATTTATGATCGCCCGTAACAACGATGACGACGAGGGAAAGTCGCTTCTGGAGCCCTTTTTCCGTCACTGCATCAGTCGCAGGCGATTTAAAATCCTGGCCGAGCTCTTGCTGCGTGGACCTGAGGAACGGCTTTTGTACCGTCTACTGCGCGAATGCGGCTCACGTCAGACGGATTGCGTGCAGCTGATTCTGCTCCTTCAAAAAAATAAGCTAGTCGAGGCCGTTTCTTTTATGGATGACGCGGCCGCTGAGCGCGAGCGAGAAAACGAGGCTTCAAATAATATTATTGCTGCCTACCGCTCTACTTTGGCGCCGGTTGCGCAAAAAATTACAAAAAATCTTCGCATACCCGAAGCCCAGGATGATGGGAAAAGTGGCGGTCCTTTGCCGTTCAGCTGTCAGATGGTTAAACAGAACGCCAGCGGCCAGATAGCAAGCATTTTCCAGAGCTCAGCCATCATTCCCCCCTGGGCAACGTATATAGAGGAGTCTCCAACCTTGCCCGCCGTATCATCGCCGGGCAACATAAGTTGCACCAACCTAGGGTATGATAAGTACGGATTTTTGGAGTTTTCTCACCGGCGGCGCCCGGTAAAACCAGTTCCTCACCAGGTGGTGGAAAAGAGAATGCGAGAAGAAGAGCAGCAAAAGGAAGAGCGTGAACGAAGTCAGCAGTATGTACTGCAGCCCCGTAAACGCCGCCGTCTGTTGGCTGAGCAGTTGGTTGATGATGTAAAAGGCCATATTAGATCCATTCTAGACCACCAATCGGAACAATTAAAGCTAGAGCAATCGGAACGGAATAAGGCCAGCGATCTGTTGCAGCCGATAAAATTCTTTCAGCCTCGCCAGGCTGCAACACGTCAAAGCAGTAGTTCACCCCAGTCGATTCATACGATCCTGAAACGGAACTCTGCTATGGAAAATGTGTCAGGCACTCCTCCGGTGGCAACATCTACTACGTTAACGGGATCCAAAAGGTTCCGCTTTATGCCGCCGATTCCCTTGGAATCGAAGGAGGTGGACAGCGAGGACGCAGTCGAGGAGGATGATAGCGAGGAGGAGGAGGAAACCGATGAGATTATCGTAGAAATCGAGTCAAGAAGCGAGGCAAGGAATGCCTCTAGCACCGAGTCCGACGAGGATGAGGAGTTCCTTTCCCCGTTGGCCTCGGCCAATGTTTCGTTGGTAGACCAATTGCCACGTGAATCTCCTCGGCCTTTGGCCCCACCAGCTGGCCCACAGCCACGTAGCTCCTTGCTTTTTGGAAGAACCGGAATAAGTAGTGGGATTGGAACTGCAACTAGTAGCGGGAGCAGCAGTGGATTTGTCAGCTTTGTTACCGTGGAACCTACGCAGACGACCTCACATTCGCAGTTTGTGCCTACCGTTTGCTCCTCCAAGATGGGCGAAACACAGTCGCAAGTCTTCTCTAGCGCTAGTTCTGTGGTTAAGATCTCCGAGCGTACCACTATCTGTGGCGAAATGGAATCAACCGATCTTGGTTCGGAGCTAACAGCCGCACCAAGCTCCCAGTGGTCTTTGCCTACAGCGCGGCCACCTGTACAGGGACATCAGATGATGGACACCACTCTGGGCATGTCCACCTACGAATTGGCATCTCCCGAGCAGCAAGACACCCAGAATCAGGATGAAGAAGAGTTAAAGCTGGGAGATACGCAATCGCTTGAAGAGCAGCGGAATCAACAGGATGGACAGGAAACGAGCGACCAACTGACATTTCTCGGCAGCTCGGAAGCACCCGCCCAGGAGCCACTCTTATCGCCCGCCTATAGCCTTAGCAGTGAAGAGTCGGACTTGTCCTCGGCCGATATTCGAAATCCTTTATTGCCGACCCTACAGAACGATGATCCTATGTACTCTATTGTTGTAGAGTCGACTGGGTCCATCACGACGTCTAGATCAGTAACGCAGACGCCTACCTCCTTCTTACCTAGCGATACGAACGTCTCCCAAACCTCAAGTCCGCGGGCACCGCATGGTGGTGACGGAGATGGCTCTCCGCTCTCCTTGTACCGCGCCAATAGCCTGGAAACGGTTGATGATCTAGACACCACAAAGGGGTCTGTAGAGGAAGAGGAGGAATACGACGAAGATGACTGTGTTATTGCCCTGGACGGAACAGAGGTGCGTGGTTATGTTGCCCCTTCCCAGCAAACGGCGGCCTGCAGCAGTGCGGAGCTGTTCGCCTTTAAGGACGACTGCCAAGAGGAGGTAGCTAGTGGCCCTTGTCCTTCTCTTTCACTAGGCGCCACGGTAAATAGCGACTCGGAGGTGGCTGGAACCATTGCAATGGATAGCGATGAAGAGTCACCAAAGGCAAAGGATGATCAGTCAAAGCTGCAGAAAGAGGACGAGTGGCCTATGGAAGAGAACGCCGGCAGCAATGATTCTGTGGCTACGGTGTCCTTTAGTGAGTACAAGCAGTCGCTTGCTGTTAATAATATGGAACACGTGGTCAAGGAAGAGTTAGACCAAGGGATGGACCAAGAGGTGGAAAAAGATATGGACCAAGAGGTGGACCAAAAGGTAGACAAAACAGTGGACCAAGACGTGGACCAAGAGGTGGACCAAAAGGTAGACAAAACAGTGGACCAAGAGGTGGACCAAGATGTGAAGCACAAGGCTCAGCAAGTGATGGAGCCAGAGGTAGACCAAGATGTAGAGAAAGAGGTGAACGAAGAGATAGAGCTAGTGGTGGAAGAAGAGGTGGACCAAGAGCTGGAATTGTTACAAACAGGGCATGAAGTACACTATCTGGATAAAATTTCCGAGGAGGATGAAGAGGAAGCTGAAGAGCAGAATGATAAGAGAAAACAAGAGGCCGGCGAGGAGGCAAAGGAAGAGGTCAAGGCGGAGAAAAAAGAAGAGGCGGAGGCGAAAATCGATCCAGAGCCGCTTTTGGTTCAAGAAGAGGATTCTAGGGACAGCCTAATGCTTGTATTATCCGAAGATGAAGAGCCTGTTGTATTAGCGACTTCTTCCCAGCGCCGGCGTCGCAGCACATCGGTGCTCTCTGTTACTCCGCGTAACCTGCGACCACGTCGTACTTCCACAGAACACAAGGACAGTCCGGTTCCGGCTACTGGCCTCAAGATGCGTTTACGTAATAATGACGCTATAACCTCGTCACATGTAGCTACTCCACCAGTCCCAACGCCGAAACGCCGCTCGTTGGCGAATAAGCATGTGTTAGAAGTTATCAACGAACAGAGTTCATTGGATGTATCGCTACCGCGAACACGCTCACGCACGCGTCTTAGCATGGAATCAACGGAGGCAACGAATTCCAGATCCTCCACACCGACAAATACGACCCGAAGCAAGCGGGCTACTTCGCTGGCGCCCGCGACAGATAATCCCGCTGTTCGCCGATCATTACGCAGCAACAGCGAGCCTCGCGGTGTGGCGGCTGTACAGCCCGTAACTCGCCAACGGAAGGCTGCAGGTGCTAGATCCCGCAAAACTAGCAATTCCGAGGGATCTAACTCAGCGTCTACGGCTCAGGCAGAGGTTACCGATTTAGAAGCCAACCATTCTGGTAGCAGATCCAGGACCAACTCAGCCAGTAGCACTGGTAGCGCCACAAAGACCCGGGAATTGCGGCTGCGCGCACCTCGTCGTTCCAAGCCCGACGTTTAGATCCCACGATACTATAGTTAAAGAGAGCGTCCATCAGGCCGAAAACAATGAAGGGTACGTGGGATGCATTCAAATCCACTAAACAGAACTATAATTACATCTTACAGATAGAAGTGATACGACGTAACCAAGAAGAGATGGCCTAGAAAGGATTTCAAAACAACTAACTGAATACAAATCTTTTTACTTTTTTACGTTAAATACCAATACCAATCAGTTTCAAATATGTACATCAGTTGGAGTTAAAATAAAAAATTGCAAAATGTTGAATACTTTTAAATCCAGAAATGTCACTTAAGTCAGTTTGTCCCTTGTATGACGATCACGTACCTGACTGTACGAAATACTTATAAACCTAAAGGATAGTCATATAAACCTCCCACTAGGGAGATATAAAAAAGGTGTACGGCATTTTGTTGAGACTATACGTTATGGATGTGTTAAACCCGATCAGACGTTTATAAAAAATCTTCGAACAAGATAAACAGAAGTGAAATGTTTGTAGATTAATTTGTAATTAAATTTCATCGCCAACTGGTAAATTTAATTTAATTTAAATGGCAATAATATAAAACTTTGAATCATGTTAATTTGTTCGATATTTCGGATGAATATGTACAGATATTTACAATGGGAGTTCTTAAAGCTAGAGTTCGGCAAGATGTGGGCGGGCGGTGGATATCGTCTATCTATAAGTCTATGCTAGGTCTACTTAGTAGGTCTACAGTCTAGACGAGCGTGGAAAGCTCATGCAGCAGGACGGTGATGTTACTCATGTCTAGCGTCGGTGGAATGCCGGGACTGACCGATCCGCTGGCTTCGCGACCTGCCGTGAGGCAGCTGCTGTTCGCTAGTGTCCTGGGTGTCGGCGTTGGTGGCGTTGCCGTGGCAGGACGCACCAAAAAGGATGAATTTACTGCCCCCATTGTTCCTCCTCCACCTCCACAGCAGCCTCCGCCACCCCCTCCTCCCCCAAGAAGCAGTGGGTTAAAGCTGCCATGCGAGTGGTTAGGAGAGACAGCCGTCACAGAGGGTGGTACCATGTGACCCTGGTGGCTCTGATGGCTCCCCTGGTACGCATGGAACGGACCCGGCGGCAGTGGCAGTGGCATAGGCATGGTCACTGGCAACTGAGCTCCCGAAATCACGGACAAGTTGTGCGTCAGACCTGGCGGAGCACCTCGGTAGCTTATGGTTTTCTCCCGCTGCCACACAAAGACGTTGTGCACCATGGCGCCGCCGCAAAAGACGATGCCCACACCGATCAGTAGACTTGTCACGATTGCTGGCGTGGAATGAAAGTGGCTAAAGGTGTACAGGATCAGGCCAGTGAGAAAGACCGGTATGGAGATGAACAAGCCGCTGACGGCACAAGTGCGGCTGGCACTGGACTTGGCCAGGTACTGGTTCTCTCGTCCCTCGAAGGCCGGTTCACGCAGCTTTACCGCGAAAAGGAACTGGATGGCGCAGACTAGCAAGCAGCATAGGTTCAGCGACAGGGACAGTGCGCCTAGAGCCAGAGTGACATCGTAGACGACAATGAAGTCCTCACCGCCGGCCCCACGAACAACGGCGTCCTCCCGCCCGTTTGGTGAGATCCTCAGTAGGAAGATCAAGGAGAGCATTGCCAGAAGCAGGGAAACTGCAGGTTTATATTGATTTTAATCGATAATGTTGTGCAGCTTTAGCATACTTACTCAGACAGAGAAGACCCAGACTGGTAAGGGCCTCGCGAGGCGAAGGACCCGATTTCGGAAACTTGTGGCCCACTGGATTGGTGGTCAAGTGGCTGTAGTTCCTATAGTTGTGTGGCACCTGACTGTGATTGAGCCCTTGCGCCTGCGCATGTTGCTGATGGTGTTGTTGCTGCTGTTGTTGCTGTTGTTGTTGCAGCTGTTGTTGTTGGAGGTGATTACTGCTGCTGGCCAGGATGTGTTGGTTAGTGTACGTATGATGGTGAACACTCCCATTGCCCAGAAAGTGTCCATTGGGGGTCAGCTGGGTAAGCGGGGTTAGCGGTGTCAGTGGTTTCAACGGCGTACTGGGCGTGGCAATATTCAGTAGCGTAGAGGAGTTGCCCACACAGCCTCGACCCCCACCTCCTCCGTCGTTAAGGACCGTGCTCGATGCGGAGGCATTCAGGGCAGAAATATTCAACGGCTGCGGCGGTCGCAGGTGGATATTGCGCGCGGTGCTGGCCACGGCAGCTGCTGCAGGTGTCGGTGAGCCACCGTTAGTGGTGTTCGTGCCCGTGTTGCCGGTGGTGCTATTGGTGGTTGCAATACCCGCTTCCGTTTCCACCACTGGGGGTGTGTTTTGGCCACTGCCACTGCTTCCCGTGTGGTTGTTGCTGCTGCTGCTGTTGCTGTTAGTGTTGCTATTGCCATTGCAATTGATGTTGCTGCTGCTGTTGACGGCTGTGCGCAGCAGCTGGCCACCAAGTAAACTGGATAGGGGGTTTATAGCCACAGCAGCAGTGGCTGTTGCAGCGGTACTGCTCGTCGTTGAGGCGTGCTTTAGCATTTCCGGGGGTCACCTTTAATCCGATCACATTCTGAACGGGGTGCCAAAATTCAATTGCTATTGCTAAAACAGGCCTAATCCACCTACGAATAAAATAATAATCATATATATTTTAAAATACATCATGAACTTATCGAATTCAGAGAGTTTAAAACGACCTGAGGCCTTTCGTTGGTCTTTTATTTTTAGTTTACTTTTTGGTTAAAAAAGAAAAACGGTGTTCAGTACTGTATATTAACTAACTGTTATCTGTAACGGTATTTGTGCTAGAAAGAAAAAACATCGTCTTATGGGCACTTTCATTTCGCCAATGGCTGCGCATGTGCAAAACTTTCCCATGAATTAAGTGCATTATGCATCGCATGCATTGTGTAATTAGCGAATACCAAAGAACTTTTCACCGTCCGGCGATAAAAGCAAAAGCAACTAATTCTCTTTAAGTTCGAAATTCCACAGTTTTGTTTTTTTTTTCCTAATTATTTTCTTAACGAGTTTTTAAAAACCTTAATTCTTTTAAAATTAAGTCTATTTTAAAAAGAATTGTATTTTATTTTGCTAATTTACCATTTAAGTTTCTTGTTCTTAATATAAAAATTTCTACTATTTTAAGTGACTACGAACCATGCTTTGCTTTCAAGGACCCATGTATGATTTGATAGCTTGGTTCTCAGGGTGCTAGGCAGATTCCATGGAAATCTAATGGTCACTTGATTTTCGCTTACCTAGCGGTTTTCATAGCACAAAGAAAATAAAGTCCAAGGTGTCAAACAAATTGGAGCCATCGCTTTTTAGATATTTCATATTATTTTTAAATTTAATGATATATCATAAACGACACTATGGGTTTGACCTAGTATCTATACTATTGGCTTAACCCATTTTGTTTAATTTTTAGGCCCTTTCATCTTATAAAAGTACTTGTCCGATTATGCGATGTAGAAATGTACATATGAATATCATATAAATGAATTATTCGGTACTTCATTCACTAGTTGTACTTTATATTTAATGCATTTTTGTGCAATCTTCATCGACGACTATATGAAAAAACACTTGGTATCGTCGCAGATTCAACCAAAAGGCTTTAAAATTAACAAAAAAAAAAACTAAAAAACAAATTGCAACTGGCAGGTTGTAAAACGGGTTTACCTCCGGGTTCTTTTTTGGTATTTTAATTTCCGTTCTTGACCTGTGACCTTTACATGGTCGTCATCTCTGAGCGTAAATAGTGCCGGAATGTAATCGTTAATTGGCGAATCAATAAAGCGCGGGCCCAAATGCCGCAGGAGCTCCTTCCTCCTCCTCACCAGGTGCGCCTTCCTCATCCGCTCCTCGGAATCGAAGCCCAAGCCAAAACCCAAACACCGCAACCAGTCGATCGGATCGCAGTTGGTCGCAGCAGAGAACGGGCGGCAAGTGAACGACGCGGTGACCGATCGAGTGACAAAGTACGACTAATATCGGATCTCAAACTTCGGATACAGTGGTTCGGTTCTGGCCGCCGGCAGCTATTCGCCCAACCAGTTAACAAGTGAAGGGATCCTCTCTCTCTCTCTTTCTCCTTTTCCCGCTCTCACCCACTCATGCACACTGTGCACACGGACAGGTGAGCAGAGGAACGAGCCAATTCCAAACGCCGCTTGCCACAGTGGACCAAAAATGGTTTACAAAAAAAATAGAAATTCTAACTCATGCAAGCTTTACTGTTAGACGAAGTAGTTGTCTTATTTGTCCGACAATTTTTTATAAGCCGTATATTTCCAGGATAATTTACAATGTTAATTAAATATTTCTTTCAGTATACTTTTAGAAAGCTTTTTAGAAGGTTGCAATCGTTTAGAGATAAATCTTTTTAGGTTCTATTATCAAAAGTTCAATTTACCACAAATGGTGCTCACTATACCTGGCTGAGACTGGTGTTGTGATCTTGCCACCGATTTTGAAAAACAAGTAATGTGACCCACTGTAGCCCAAACCTGCTCAACTCACAAGCACACGCAACACACGCGATGCGATTGCTGCTGCTCCTGCCTCACACCACACACAGGTAAAGAATGGAGGCAACGGCTCCAACTTGCTGAGCCGCATTCCACGAGCTTCCAACTGGAAGGTTGTTGTGGGTTATTTCTGTTGGCTATTCGATTGTTGTTTTGACTGGGGCAGCAAAATTTGACTGTCCAGCTGCCGGGGATTACAGGAGCAGTAACATAATGCTTTCACGAGACCACGATTACAATTAAACTTTTTTAATTTAAATTCTGTTGTGGCGCTTTTCAAATTGGAATTTCGTGCGGTTGGATTCAAAAATAGGAATTGGCTGACCAATGCTGCCAGACAGTTGCAAGTAGAAGCTATCGATAAATAACACGTAAAATATCGACAAATAAAGTTGTAATCTACAGATTCCAAAACCTTTTTTAAATTCCATACATAGGTAATGCATTTTGTATTTAATTTTTATAAACAGATATATGTAATGTTGCATTAAGCTTTTTTTCTTTAATAACTTGTAGCGATTTCATCCTGCAGGATGTTTACCTCCGCGAGATTCAATGACTCGACTTAAGATCTGCCACTTGCCTAGTTACGTATTTAACATTTTTTAGGCTGACCTAAAACCTACCTAAAGATAATTATTTTTTAAATTTTATTTTAAAATTTATTTATATTTGTAATAGCAGGCGACCTATAGTTGGCAACATTTAAATGTAGTTGGCCACATCATTTTCACAAGTGTCAAAATTGACTAAGGCATATTTTCACTACTCGACGCGCGGTATTACTGATTCCTGATTTTTGCCGACTTCGACAGCAACGCACTGCCAAAGAGAAAGAGACATGACTGATCCTAGCAAGCTTTACGTAGCCGTGGTATGCTCTTCGAACATGAACCGTTCGATGGAGGCACACAACTTCCTGGCCAAAAAGGGTTTCAACGTGCGCTCCTACGGAACCGGTGAGCGCGTCAAGCTGCCCGGCATGGCGTTCGACAAGCCTAATGTTTACGAGTTTGGCACCAGCTACGAGGACATTTACTGCGACCTGGTGGGGAAGGATAAGGACTTGTGAGTTGTTTGTCTCCCGCAGTGATAGGGATCATTTTTGCTAACCCAAAGTATATTTCCCTCTCCCCCGCACAGCTACACACAGAACGGTCTGCTGGACATGCTGGACCGCAATCGACGCATTAAGAAGTGTCCGGAGCGCTTCCAGGAAACCAAAGAACAGTTTGACATCATCGTCACAGTGGAGGAGCGGGTCTACGACTTGGTGGTGCTACATATGGAGTCCATGGACTCAGTGGACAACCGGCCTGTGCACGTTCTCAACGTGGATGTGGTGGACAACGCCGAAGATGCGCTAATGGGTGCCTTCCTTATCACGGACATGATTAACTTGGTAGGATGGTCTTTATGACCATCTGACTCCCACTCTCTTAATTTGTTTATCTATTCGTCTTGTTTTATAGATGGCAAAGTCCACGGACTTGGACAACGACATCGACGAAATGATCCAGGAATTTGAAGAGCGGCGAAACCGAGTCATTCTGCATTCAGTACTCTTCTACTGACCACCGACGTCTGCTAACAGTTCGTGTCTAGCTCCAGCACCAACACCTAAAGTTCGTAGACTACCTGCGCTCCAGACGCGTTATGTGGGACGTAGGGCTGCGAATCACAGATCCCGGATTGGGAGCCTAGCATATAAGAACTCTGTAAATAGAGAGGGGCCAGCGAAAACACATACAGGCACATACAACACATGCACAAGCACATCCATATCCGATTCAAAATCCACACTTCACCTGCAAGCTGCTGGCTCATGAATATGAAATTAACACACAACAAATGACGACCAGTACAAGACACCGGCTCCGAAACTCTTTGTATGTAGTAAGTGTACGTACCCGTATTCATTGTAGTTCCGGCCGTGGAGCCGCGTTCGTTCTGCTTGTCGATTAGGTTTTATCACTGGCTTTCGTTTTCCCCAGCTGGCAATAGTGGCCGACCATCTGACTACCCATTCTCCCGCTCTCTTCGCCCGTTTCCGATTCATATAAACAGAAAACTCGCATCACACAAATCCGTGCATGTGTGAATGAGCATGCACACCAGAGAGCCAGTCAGGGGCGGATCGGTATTGGGTTTGGGCCCTCGTGGTCAGGGGCTTACGTTTTTTTACATTTGTTTTTTATATTGTTCAGACAGGGCTATTCGCCGGCCATTCTCATAGTTTAATTTGGTAAATGAAAACCACTGAGTCATGTGCTATAAGTTTTAAACATTAGCCAAGGGCCGCAGCGGACGCTAGCTCACAAACTAAATAAAACCAAGAGAATAGAATACTTGGATTGTGTTCACTAATAATTGGAATAAAAGTAGTCAAATATGGCGGGTTTCTTGTTAACGGTTGAAATTTATTCTCCCTGATAAAAGGCCGATATCTCTCAATGTCTCGTTAAGTTAATTTGCTATAAAGGAAAATATTGATTTGTTGAATATAATCATTTGATAAAAAAAAAACCTACCCTAACATGACATTGAGAAATCGGTCATAAACTTAAAATAACCAACGTTGAAATCTTTAGATTGGTTGAACATTAGATTTGCATTAAGAAACATTTTATTAAAAAATTGTGTTGTTTGATAATTATACTCATTTTTTAGAAAAGTGTAAAATTGTATTTCCTCTGTCACACTTGCTCGGTTGTGTTTTTCTGTTGCGCTCTGAATTTAAATATTATTAATTAACAATTATATTATTATTCTTATTATTACTTGTATAATTTTTTCCATATTAAGCGTACCCTCAAAATATGGGAAATATTTTTATAAAATTAAATTGAAAACCAAATAAAAATTCTCTCGTATTGTGACCACTAACATTAGGAATAAATTAATAAATTGCATATATAAATTATGAACTTCAATTATCAACAGTTGCGCCCCTTGAATCCGCTCCTGACACTGATCGACGTCGCAGTCGGGGTTACAAAGCGTCGTTTGGTGTTGTTGCCATTGGTAGTGCCGCCGCTTTTGCTTCATGCTTCAGTCAGTCAGGGAATGATCGTGCTTAGCTCCATTACTGTGCTACCAAGGCTCCGCGACTCTGCACTCGATTTCGATTGCTATTGCTAAATAAAATATTTACGGCCAAAGACACAAGACGCACCACTCTTCGTTAATTACATTGCCAAAGCCGCATAAAGGTTGTTTAAAATCCGACGAAGTCGAATCCGCTTAGCTGGTGAAATCGGAAATTTGAAGTCTACAAACCAAATAAAAATCCCTTGGTTTTTTTTGTCAGAAAGAGTCGGGGAAAGAGTCACATTTGTTGTTTCTTTGTGCGGAAATACATTCGGGTCAAGATGGCAACACAAAAGGAAGGTGAGTTTCAACGCTACTTTGTTTAATTATTATTGTATTTGAATTTGGTTGTTTGATTTACTACCAATTCGATTTTGGATAGCGCTTACTTTAAGCGATCACTGTCGCGTCAGGTGGGCGATTGCGATTGCGCCCTTCAAATGTGTTCTTAGCCTGGGGTCACCTACAAACGGACGCCAAGCAACGGACGCGGTTGCTTGTCTTATCACAGGCCTCTCATTTCGATCCCATACAATCTTCCCGCTCTCACTCTGACTCTTACTCTTACTCCCCCATTACCAACCGTGACGATGACGTGTGGTGTGTGGGTTGCGGGCTTCTCTTGGCCATCGGCCAGCAATAACAAACACTCATTCCATTCGCATTCCCATTCTCCAAGATTAGAGCCCGGCAATAACCTTTCGCGGCTGCAAGAGAGGGAGAGACAGAGAGCCCCGTTCTCCATTCTCCATTCTCCACTCTGTGGCAATGACATTGGAACAAACATGATTTTACATATGTATGAACGTTCTACGCACAAATAATTACCTCACCTGTGTGTTAAAGCCTTTCCAAATCAAATAAAAAAAAGTAAAACACGCTTGGCATTAACAATATTTAAACACGTTACCTTGCTCTCTTTCGCCCTCTCTTTCTCTTTCACCGCTCTCCAATCTCCACTTGCCGTCTCTCCAATCTCCATTCTCCTTGCCCCAATGCCTTCGTCTGTGTCAATGTCAAATGCGATGCGGCCGAGATTACAGTCGAGCTACCCTATGTCGAACCATCAACTGTCAAGAAAGAAATTAATTATGAAGATTTTGAGATCATTGATAAGGCAAAGTCAACCTTTAAGAACTTTTAGTTTAGAAAGTTCGAGTTGTAAAAGTTTCAGTAAAGGAATGGTGATCTATAGCAGTTCGAGTTACGCAAGTTCGACTGTAACCTTATGGGCTTCTGACTCACAATCTCGACATTTCAAGGAGCTTGCCAGCAGCATCTTAGTCACCATCCCCAGGTTTCAACTGGTTTGCTTTTGCTCCTCAGAAAACAACTCATCCCGATCTTCAACAGCCGAAAAGTATGCATTCTCGGCTGTGGAGTGGTCTTCCTAGAATTTGTGGTAAATCCCATTTGTTTCACATATTGACCGTTGGGAATCACGTGACACAGCAAAACCCATAACCCATACTATTCGCCTGACTTTTAAACGACTCACGATGAATTTCATAAATGAACGAATAAATGATGGTTCCAGAAGCTCACATTATCCATTAACAAATGAAATTCAAGTTTTATTACCCTTTTTTTTACTACCTTTTTCAACTGGTCCACCTTAGGACTGACTTTAGCAGTGTTAATATGAGTCGCAGAGTTTAGAAGTTGTTAAACAAACGTGCTGAGGGATCTTACATTAACATGTCCCCTATCAAAGTCCTTTAACACTCCAAATTTCGGAGATAACGTTTTTTATCAGAATAAATGTATCAACTGGGCTATGTTTTGTGATAAAGAATATTTATGGTTTATACGTTTGGAAAGTGTCTTTCTCTCTGTTGGAAAATGTATAAAAAGTGGTTATGTGCTTACCGCAGTAATAGTTCGATTCGTGTTAGCTTCTATTTTTTTGAGATTATGGGTCGTGGGTACAGATTATAGGTTTAGAAAGAAGAGCTTTGTTTTGAGTGATCAGATGATGTTTCGATTTAAAGATCAAGTTAATGGCGCGTGGGCCTATCTTGTGTTTTGTGTGGGAAAGTGAGAACACAGTGGGATCGTCCGATGTCGTGCATTCCCGCCACGCGATCAACTGAGGCTGCTTGCTGGCTCAGACTGCCCGGAGCTTATTCCGAAGCCAAGTTTGGATATATGTACGTATGTACGTAAAACTATTACATGTCACTTGCACTTTGTTCCGACGTTCGCGCCGTAGTCGACGTCGCTGCCGGGTACATCGCTAGCACCTTGTTAAAGTCAACCGCAGCGCAGCGATTTATTCGTTGTGTGCAACCGCATCGAAAGATACGCGCGCGCACCTGCCCAAGCTTCCGCACCACCTGTTCCACCTGGTCGGCTACGATCTGGCCATCCATTAGCACCCACCACGGAGGGTGACCTCTGGCTGTGCTCCCCATTGCGGATTACTTGGCTAGTCATCGGCATCGACATTGGCGGTGATTAGACAACGGATCCAGGTCTTATCGAGTGCTTATCGCTCTCACTCTTCCCTAATAAAGGTCTGCAAACGTCCGTGGACGTTCACTTTCCTCCAGGCCCTCAGTGAGTCCTCACTCACCTCACAATTCTCATTCGGATCCAAAGGCAAGTGTGTTATGATCACCGATCACTGGATCGCAATATATCCCCAGGGAATCAATGAACAATAAACAAAGTTCAAATATAAGGTCATTAAATATAATATATAATGTTGAAATTCGAAAATTCTCGAAAACCAGAAAAAGGATTAATCATGCTGGCAATATGATATTCTTATAAATCATGCAGTTAACAGCGTCCAAAGTTTTAATGGTGCTTACTTTATTATGTTTTCGAAAATATCTCCGGATATGTAAAGATGTTTTTCAAAATAAGTTTCCTTCGCTATATAGTGCTCTTCAGGCAAGTTTTAAACCAGCACTTAAACAATCACAATAAATTACTTCACTTTAGTGCAGTTTTAAGAGATATGCAAAGTGCTTTAAGTTTTCTATAGTATATCCTCTAATTAGGAACTCGGTTTTTAGCAGTCAAAACATGTTTTAGTGTTAAACATAAAAGAGGTAGAGTTTATAAGATACTTTTTTTTTGTATTGTGCCCACAGATCATACCGCCCTGGATCTCATTATTAAGTCGCTTAAGTCCCCGACCATGGTCTGTGAGGGCACCCACTTCGACGGTAAGATCCCGCACACGTTCGTCATTTTTGGGGCGTCCGGTGACCTGGCCAAGAAGAAGATCTACCCTACTTTGTGGTGGCTCTACCGTGATGATCTGTTGCCTAAGCCCACCAAATTCTGTGGCTATGCGCGCTCTAAGCTGACGATCGCCAGTCTCAAGGAGCAGTGCCTGCCCTACATGAAGGTGAGTTCGAATTTTGGTTTGTGGCCAATGTCCAGCAAATGAATCTATCCGAATTATTACAGGTTCAGCCAAATGAGCAGACAAAGTACGAGGAATTCTGGGCCCTCAATGAGTACGTGGCCGGCAGCTACGATGGACGGACTGGGTTCGAGTTGCTCAACCAACAGCTGGAACTGATGGAGAACAAGAACAAAGCCAATCGTATATTCTATCTGGCCCTGCCACCCAGCGTCTTCCAGGAGGTGACGGTGAACATCAAGCAAATCTGCATGTCGGTCTAGTGAGTAATGATCCTTTTGATAATTTCCATTGTAATAATAATTGAATCTAAGATTTAACTTGGTTTTATTTATTTCAAATTTATTTGCAGCGGCTGGAACCGTGTGATTATTGAGAAGCCCTTCGGACGCGACGATGCTTCTTCACAGGCGCTGAGCGATCATCTCGCCGGACTGTTCAACGAGGATCAGCTGTACCGCATCGACCATTACCTGGGTAAGGAAATGGTGCAGAATCTGATGACCATACGCTTCGCCAACAAGATCCTCAGTTCGACGTGGAATCGTGAGAACATAGCCTCGGTGCTGATCACATTCAAGGAGCCCTTCGGCACCCAGGGACGAGGTGGTTATTTTGATGAGTTTGGCATCATCCGCGACGTGATGCAGAACCACCTGCTGCAAATCCTGTCGCTGGTGGCCATGGAGAAGCCGGTTAGTTGTCACCCAGACGATATCCGAGATGAGAAGGTCAAGGTACTAAAGAGCATCGAAGCCCTGACGCTGGACGACATGGTACTGGGACAGTACCTGGCCAATCCGCAGGGTTCCACCGAGGATGCTCGCACAGGCTATCTGGAAGATCCGACCGTTAACAACGACTCGACGACACCCACCTACGCCCTTGGCGTGCTTAAGATCAACAACGAGCGTTGGCAGGGTGTGCCCTTCATTCTACGATGCGGCAAGGCGCTAAACGAGCGGAAGGCGGAGGTGCGGATTCAGTACCAGGATGTCCCCGGCGACATCTTCGAGGGAAATACGAAACGTAACGAGCTGGTCATTCGCGTCCAGCCGGGCGAGGCCCTGTACTTTAAGATGATGACTAAGAGCCCCGGCATTACCTTCGATATCGAGGAGACCGAATTGGATCTAACCTATGAGCACCGGTACAAGGACTCCTACCTTCCGGACGCCTACGAGAGGCTCATTCTCGATGTCTTCTGCGGCTCTCAGATGCACTTTGTCCGATCGGATGAGCTGCGCGAAGCGTGGCGAATCTTCACACCAATTCTGCACAAGATCGAGCAGGAGCAAATCAAGCCGATCACCTACCAGTACGGATCCCGCGGACCCAAACAAGCGGACCGGAAGTGCGAAGAGAACAATTTCAAGTACTCCGGCTCCTACAAATGGCACGGCGGCAAGCCAAAAACGTCCAATCTCTAAGCGATCTGGACCACACCATTCCGGGCTGGGTACACAGGATGCTCCTCTCTGTCCTTACGTATAATGTACATATAAATATATGTATTCTTTGGTTATTTGTAAATTGATTTGGTTTGTACAAGAATTTTTTTTATTAAATCTACAAAATAGTGTTAAACTGAAATAAAAAACGTGTATAAATTATTTATAAAGCCTTCAGTGAAGGTTCCTTGGTATGTAGCTCTATTTTAAGTCTGGTTTTCATTTTAAAATTGCACAAATGTTGACATCTTTTAAAAAAAAGATGTTTGGGTTTAGTTAAAAAATATTTCTGTTTCCTTTCGGAATACGTTTAAGAATACTTCTCTAAGTTAAAAATCACTTGTAAAACCCTTTCGATGATATAAATAGTACGATGATGAGCAAAAGTTTGTTCACTTCAAACTTCAGACAAAAATAATACAATAATGTCTACATGGAGGAGATTCCAGTTCAATGGGATTCGTTTTGAGTACGTTAAGTGACTGACTAATCGCGATTCTGGAGTATTTACAATGGAATCACAATGATGCGAATGAGCAAGGCAAGACTAGTGCGAATCCCTAATTGGTCATCGCGCTGGCGGTGGCTTAATATAACCATCGCTACTAGGGGATGTCATGGTATTCATTGTCACATATTGATTCCTCTGTGGTACGGGCTGTGTCTTTGGTAACTCTTGCAGCTCAATCTCTGGCATCCTAATGGGCTCTTCAAATGTTACGCATTTCGTTGGCATTTCTGCATAAAATTTTTCCGGTGGAACGGTGCCTGGATAACATTGCGGTTCATTTCTAAGCATGGCTGCAGTTTCAACCATATCTGGCAGAACAATACGAATATCGGCCATTTTTCGCAGCTTTTGGACAACAAGAAAGATTAACCCAAGCATTATTAGGGCGATGATGCCCTCCACATACCGCAAGCTTGCCATTTCCTCGGGAATTTCGCTCTTCCCTGTCCACCATCTCATACCGCTGCTTATACCGTCACTATAGTTGGCCGCCACTGCCATCCTAAACACAACATGTACGTGGGAGAAGTTATAGTTCGGCTCGTGGGTAAAGTTCATCTCAATGGGCAGGGCATCATCGCAAGATTGCTCGTGTTTTGTGGAAATTGTGCACCAGTAAACAATGTAGCCAAGTAAGTTTTTTTTATCCTTGGGCTCTATCCAGGTGAGTTTGGAGGTGGTCTTGTTATATCGATCTAGTAATAATCTTCGTTCCCTTATGTTGGCCAGATTGGGTATCTCCATTCGGCTGCTCTCCTTAGATTTCCCAAGGGAATTTGCACTCCAAATATATACCGTTGTCGGTTCATATTCATCCCAATTTTCAAATTCCGCAAACAATTTGTTCTTTGTTTTGGCCAATTTCGTTCTGGAATATTCAATACCAATAAATTCAAAAACAATAATGAAATTTCAATATTATGGACATTGACTAGTGGACTTCAAACTATTTGAATAGGAATTTTTATAACAACATATACTATATAATATAGTACAATATTAATTTTGGTTTTGCCCATCCATTGGTACACCAAAATTTGGGAAAAATCGAATTGTTCAGACTTTAAAAAGAATATTTTTTCAATACAGATTTGAATTTTGCATTGACTTTGACTTGGCACACCCGAATATAGGTTTTTAAAAAGCAATATTTACCCATTTCTGCTGGTCACTATGTATGCTTGATTGGGTCCGTTAAATTCTGTCTCATTCAGCTGCTCCCAGTAGACCCTTAGCTGCCGCGTATTGGAATTATAATGGAATCCATTGACCAGAAATTTCGGCGGACGAACGGGTAAGGAAACAATCGTTGTAATTGGGATATCGGTGTACCATTCCGACCACGGAGCATTCTTACGATTATATCGACGCCTTAAGTTTACATAGAACTTTTGATTGCCTTCAGGTGGATTTGGAAACCTGACTTCATCGAACATACTGGCTACCCTTTGTTGGAGAACCGTTTGATTCCTCGACAAGTTGGACAATTTCTCATGCCGATACTCCACATATAATTCGAATATTTCACCTGGATTGACATTTGCACCGTTCCATCTTACGCAAGTATCGTTACCGCAGTTTGTTACGTTGTATTTTCCATCTGTCCAAAGTGGCACTTCCATTTCGATCCTCGACCGATTAAACTCCTGAATCTGTGTGTCCAATTGGTCAATCATAACCAGCTTAAAAATACTCCAATCGGGACGTATGTTGTTTGGAGAGATAGGCAGAGAACACAGGATTAGGTTTTTATCCTTTTTGGACTCCTCACAGCTTTTGGACTCCTCCAAGCTTGAGTTTGAGCTTGAGTCCGAGTATAGTTTGTATTGGGTATTCCTCTTGAAGGTGGGATTGTCCACCCGACTGAAGCTGCAATTTATATATTCGTCGTGATAGAAGCACTTAAAGAACTCATCTGAGATATTCAGCGTGGGATAAACTTGGACACGGATAAATGACCATGCTACTTCATGAAAATAACACTCGTAAGTTAGCTCGGAACTTTCGACAAGATTTGAATCTTTGTGTATTAGTGTATTGTTAACAATATCCGTATTGCAGCAATCTTGTGTGGCCTGCCGTTTTATACTTAAATCCTTTGCCTGAACACCGTCACATGTGCATGATACCTCCCCAACGCCACCGACACGCCAATTGCTATCGTTGGAGGACCACATATCGCAGTTTATACTCTCCGTCCGACCACATGCCATCATTAGCATCACCAGCAACGTCAGCGAAACTAGCCTGTAAATCCAGAACGTCCTCCAGCCCATAGATTTTGATTTTGTTATATCGCCGCTTATCACTAAACGGCTTCCAATGCGTAGCTAGGGATTTTTTATAAAGTGCAGCTTATGCCCTGTAAGGAAAAGGTATGATTAGTCTCGAAAAACCGTAATCTAGAAAATAGAACGCGATTCCGCTGTTCCCCGAAAACTATTTTTTTTTTTTTTTTGATAAGCAAGCTTAAACGAATTCATTGCGGTAAATCTCTCTTGAGACTTAAACAAAATATACCTACTCTGAGCAATAGGATCCGATTGCTTCAAAGCGATCTTAGCGACTGAAAGCTACGATCGAAAAACGGGAGCTTGAACAATCGATAGGGTACAACCGCTGGCAAACCAGCCACAACTTATCAGCATCAGCAACTTATCGCTAAAGCCCGCGAGAAAACTAAAACACTCAATTTAAAAACTCATTTAAAATTAGCTTTATGTTGACATACAGCGATGTGCGTATGGTATACATAGGTTATTAATATTATAAGCTCGATTTGCTCGTCGCGCGGATGGTTAAGTTGGTAGGTGTACAGTACGAATATATAAAAAAAATACTATAGCGTTACAAATACTTTCTGCCTCACACGCATCGCAAAAGAATACAAAATAAATTACAAACGAAAGAACTACACATTCGTTGGAGAAGTTTCCACTAATTACTATAAACAGCTGCCCGACAGTGGTAAAATTATCCAGTATCCAGGTTCTAGGTTCCTTGCTCTGGTTTCCGGGTTTCGAGTTCCGGATGTGATCTAATCTGATCATGGCGTTGGAAGGGGGGATGCAGTTTGAGATGAATTGAATGATGGATGCGAACGCGAGGGATTGTTAAAATGTCACGTCGTGAGTGAGTGCGCATCTTAGAGGACGTGCCTATTGTGAGCCAAGGCATTCAGATCCTGGGGCGTCACATAGCCATTTATCTGTGGCTGAAGGCGAGTGTGCTGATTTCCGCCGGTTGGTGTCACTCCACCAGCGTGCGTCGGGGATCCCACGTTGGTGGGCAATGGAGGCTTTATCAGCCCAGTACGCTGTAGCTGCTCCATGGTGGTGTAGCCGATGTCGGCCATTTTAGGCGTGGGTGCAGTTGAAACGGTTGTTCCGACTGGTGGAAGCTGGAGTGGTGGCGAAGCTATTGGCGAAGATCCCGCAAAGACTGCTCCTCCAGTTGGTGACAATGGAGCTGCAACGAGGGGCTTCAGTTTGTGCAAATCCGAGGCCTGCACATAGTTATCCATGTTCAGCAAGTGGGCTGGCGGGAAGAAGGCGGACGCAGCGGCAGCGGTAGCCGCGGACGGTACGGGTGCTGGTGCAAAGGGTTGAACTGGAGCTGGATTGAGCCGTGACTGTGGAATGGGTACTGGCACATAGCCGCTGAGAGGAATCTGGGATAATGGCAAGGATATCGGAGCAGGTGACATCCCGGTTGAAGGAACAGAAAAGGCGTGATCATTATCGCAAGGGCCGTTGTCTACCCAACTCTTCATCTGGGTTGGCTTGATATACCCATTGGTGTTCCTTTGCTCTCGCTCCCTTTCCATTTCGCTTTCCCGCTGCTGTTGCTGCTCACGCTCCCTTTCCTGTTCACGATCCCTTTCCCGTTCCCTGTCATTTTGAATAAGCAGACCGTGCCGCATTGCCAAATAGCTGGTGGGGGGGCCAACTGCGCTAATGGGTCCATTATCCTGATGATCGTCGTATCCATCACGATCCGTACAACCACCGCCACCTGAGGAGGATGCTGTGCGCAGCAGTAACTTGGAACTCTCACTGCCGCAGCTGCTGAAGTCGTGCGGTAGATCCTGAGGCGTGTAGTGTGGTGAATCATCGACCCGAGTACAAACGATGCCTCCGCTAACAGACGAATCTGGACCGATGCTCAAGCCCATTCCGCCCATGTCCATCGGCTTCTTTAGGGTCTCTATAATTCCCTGCGGCAGCACAAGGTCGATATCAGACATCTTGCGGTACTTCTTGTACACTAGATAAAAGATAACGCCCAGCACAACGATTGCCACTGATACCTCTATGGTCTGGTACATGGCCTTCACGCTGTGCGTGTCTGGTGTACAGATGAACCCGTAGGTGCCCCAGTCGGATTTGTAGAGCCGATAGGCAGACATATTGCCAGCATAGGCCTCAAACTGCAGCCGCTCTTCCTCGCCAAGTGCGTCTGTCCTTGCCTTACACCCTTGACCAGTAGCCGACATCAGTAGAACGGCACCTTCCGCACCATCTGCTCCATCAAACTGCGCATGCTGCTCAACATTAATGGCCCGCACTGCCAGCTGGAAGGGATTGTGACTGGTGCAGCGAGGTGTGGCCATGACATAGGAACGGTTGTAGCCCGGCAGAATGGTGCTCATCAGACAGCTGGCGTTGTTGTCGCGCAGTGAGATCTCGTAGAAATCGACACGGCCAGCCGGAATCCTGGGCGGCCTCCAGTCAAGTCGTGAGCTCTGGTCCTGATTATTGGTCACCTGAAGCGATGGCGGCGAAGGAACTGCAAATAATTTAATTATTTATCAATTTTATTGCTTATTTAGAAAAGTTATAGGCAATTTTGTTTAGTTTTTACAATTATTAAGTTCCCTTGAAGTATATTGATTCTATTCGTGAACTCATTTTCTTGCCCTGTCTTATCTTAATACCAATTTCCATGGAACAGCCTATGGAGCAAAAATTCCCAAACGAAATGCAGGTCATTAAAACGTCCATGCGTCAGTTTTGTATAAAATTATTTTCTTGGGATTCCAATTTTACTGATAATACTTTATAGATAAGAATAGGCAGACAATGGCACACAAAGGATCACAAAGAAAATCCAAAGATTTCCAGATAATTGAATAAAATGGAATATAATTTGGTGACGACTTACCTCCGATAGCTGTGATGAAGTGTATCACATTGCTGGGTTCTGAGGGATACAGGGTCCGCGCTCGCACGCTCACCTCGTATTTCGTGAAAGCTGTAAGATTGCCCAGTCGGAAGATAATAGGCTTCTCATTGTCCACCAGCTCGTCGGCGGATGCAGCCCGGTGGAAGGTCTCGGTAACATTGTCGTGGAGCGAACGAAAAGAGCCTTCATAGGCGCGCACAACGCCATTGGCCAGTAGCGGTGGCTTCCAGGCTAGCTCAACACTGGCGCTTGTCACCCTCAGCAGCTGCAGCTCCCGTGGCTGACTAGGTGCCGCCTCACCGGTACGATTTACCAACTCGTCACTGTACTTGCTGGCCCGTGATTCCGAATACATGAGCATCTTGACACTGTAATCCGTATAAGGTACCAGGTTCTGAATGACATGCTTGTTGGTATAACGATCGATGGTCACTGTGGTGCAATTATCTGGACGTCCGGCTGACCGTTGACAATAGGTCAGATTGTAGCCGGCCAGGATTACAGCACAAACGCGTTCCGTGCCCCAACTGACTGTCAGCGAGGTGCTGGTAGCCACATCGATCGAGGGCTCCATCTTGGCCAGATCATCCTTTTTATCACTGCTGCAGATCAACCATCGTAGTCCTGTATTGTGCGATCTATAGTTGGCCGACACGGCCATGTGCAATGTTGGCAATTGATCCACCGCTGTGGTGAACTGCAAATGACCACTAGACACTTCCGCGAAGCGTATTGATCCCTCGCACTCTGACAATAGACCCGGTTTGGGTACACACCAAAATACTGTGTAGTTTGTTAGCTCCGCCTGGTCCTCCGGTGGACCCCAGCTGAGCGTGTAGCTCTTATTTGTCGAATGGTAAACGCTTCGAATATTTTTGGGAACTCGCTGCTTAAAGTCCCGGTTGCTTATTGGGCCAATTGTCATCGGTGTCGCATTTACCGACAATCCCTCGCTATTGCTACTGCGAATGAGGAATTGGTGGACGGCGTTCATGTTCCAGTGATCAATCATCGCTGAGTTCGATTCCACCTTAATAAGGCCAGGATCCCTGAAGGGGTTCAAGGTGGAAAGAAATGGGTTATTAAAAACGGAAAACTACCTGGTTATGTAAATATAAAGTTTTCTTTGTTCTACTTGTGCTAGGCATTTGAATAACAACTTTGTTTTTTGAAACGTAACATCTGAAAATCGTTTTCTTAGAATTAAAAATGTCAAAAGTTCATCAGTGCCATTAAAATTTATTTGTATAAACAGACAGACGGGGGATGCCTAGTGAGAGCTTCCTACATGGTTATAAATCATAATTTAAGAATCAAAAATCCCAGAAATTGAGTTGGAATGAAATAATAAACTTCAAAAACAAAACAAACACCTAATTTATTTTCATTTGATTTTAAAAGCCCAACAAAGTACTAGTTTTAATGGTCAATATAAACTAAATTAAAAGCTGAGCCAGCTTATCAAGTCTGACGCATTTCGCATTATAGGCAAATTTGTTTGTTTTTGTATATGAAATAAGCAAATTATATATTATATTAGTAACAAATTTAAAACTTCCGGAATTTGCAGTTTCTTGGTGTGAAAAATTCTTGTTCTAAAACGGATATGGTTAAATTTTTATAAGACATCCATTCAAAGTCGATTGATATTCAACATATAACTTACTCATATTTTTCAAAGAAATAAAATGAATAATAATCATATTCTTAGAAATTGAGAAATACACAATTTGAATGTACATATATCCTGAAGATATTTTTTAGAATTCTTTTGAATTTAAAAAAGAAAAAACCATTGATTCATTGATTGTATAAAAATTCCAAAAATATATTAATTAATAAAAAAAAATATTATTAATTATTAAAAAAATTGTATCTACTTGAAAACATGATTTTAATATAAACAATTGAAAACATTAAAAGCAAATTTGAATAATTAATTGAATTGCTTTACTCATTTAGTTTTAATGATTCAAAACAAAAAAATCTTATTGATTGATAATTTGCAATTTACTTGAAGAAGAAAGAGAGAACCAAAATCATTTCCATTCCTATTAAAATCCCATTAAAACATGTCAATTTTTAAAACCTTCAGAAGTCTGCATCACATGAAAGAAAGCATTACCCCATCATTATTAGAATCATTGTTTATATACATTCCTTATCACCACCAACTGCTGAGTCGATCTGTCCGTTATCATCAATTTCTACGCAACCTAGTATCTCGGTTTAATAGCTATCTGAACGATACTTTCCCAGAAATCTTCAACTATATAAGAAAGTTTTCTTGATAACCATTGGAAAATGTACAAGAAAATAAGTTCATATTAAAAAAAAAAAAAAAAAAAAAAGCCTTTAAGCTGAGATATGACTTAAAACAAAAAAGGAAAAACCGTTTTAAAAATCTGATATAAAATCTATTATAAAGAAAACGACCTTCTTGCTTTTAAATCTTAAAAATTAAAATATGTACATTTTGTTAAACAAAATTTAACTTTTGTATGTGATCAACATATATATTTTATGTATATTGGTTTTTATAATATTAATATATTTTTCTATTTCTATTGCATACATTTTGGCGAAATCATCATATTTGCATGTAAACAAATACGAACACTTCTTTATTTGCATATTTAGGACGCTTTGCAATTATTTTGGCATTTCTTAAGACATTTAATCTTAAACCTCTTATTTACAGAAAGTTTATATCAAAGATTTTGGGACTCAAAATTGCTATTGTCAACAGTTTCTTATCTGGCAAAGAGGTGTTATTGTTTGGAATTTTTAATGGCGGAGGCATACCGACACACCTACTGGCTGTTTTTGGCAGAGTTACTATATTTAGTTGCTTTTTGATAAGCGACATCTCTGCAACACCTTAAAGTAGGCAACCTATTGTATATTATAGGGACACTCAACTATAGCATTGCATTCGTATTTAACATCCATATAAGATTGAAGATTCGTTATATTAATATTTAACACTAAATATAAGGTGTAAAATGCCTCTTTCACAGATCAATTCAAAATAATAGCCATGGCTACAGCAGCTTTCGATCTTTACTATGGCTATCAGATAAATAAACTGGGCAAATTCCAGTCTAAAGATATATCTGTTGCGTCAGATGAGAGCAGGCTATCATTTGCTAGCGGACAACGGGTTTCCTCCGATTTCTCTGGAAGTGCATTCGCGTAAAACGCCGCCCATCTTCCCATTAATGAACGTGTTGTTGCCTCCGCTTTAATGTTTCTACTTCTGAATTTGCCTCTGCCACATCCATACATACATACATACATACATCGGCACTTCGGACGAATTGTTAAAAATAAACATTTTCAACGGAACCCCTACAATGGAAATGTGGCTCTCCGCGTGTGTGCTTGTGCAAATACTACGCCGTATGGCTTGCCTTACGTATTCGCAAGAAGTTGTCGTTCCGGCGAATCTCTACGCCGTGGCACATAGCACCGAGAGATTTGAGACAGGTTTGCCAATGACTAATTAGGTGCCAAGTTGCCAAGCTGCCAAGTTGAACTTATTGCTTATGTACTAGTATACCATATATCCAAATCCCGTACTTACACGGCAGTCCCGTTGATTCGGTATTCACTGATTATGTACTTGAAGTCCGGCCCATTGAGCTCGTGTGCCTCGAGTGGTTCCCAGTAGAAGCGCATGCCCTCCTCCGAGGAGTAAACGTAAAAGCTGCCATAGGTGACGCGGGGCGGACGTCGTGGACGCTCTGGAGCGGTGGCAAAATCATAGATTAACGGTTCGCTCCATAACGTATTGTTTTGGTTAGCGCGCACGCGCAAATGCAGCTTGTAGTTGTAGCCGGCATAGGGCAGTTCCGTGAGGCAGATTGTGTCCTTGATCGTCATGGTATTGTTTGGCCAGCTAGGCCTTGTGATGGGCTTAAAATTTTCGGGCGTGACGAGTACTTGCCAGGTCAGACCACGGTTGTAGTTGGATCGCCGGGGCATCTCCCATGTCAGACACACCGAGCTTTCGGTCTTGTTGACCAGGGTCAGGTTTTGGCCAGGTCGCGCCGGCACTAAGCGTTCGAAATGATTTATCGTTATTGGCTGTGTTTTTTGACCCAACGCATTTGAGATTAACAGCCTGAAGTAGAAGATCTCGCTAAATCGCTTATAGTTATCATCAGTCAGATTGCAAGTAACCACCGGCGCCGAATCGAAGTTGCAGTCCAGGGTGTTGCTATAGCGCCAATCTTTGTTGGTATTATAGCTGATGTTGTACTTGGTGATGACTTTGTTGGGCGGCTGGGTGAAGTTGCACACCATGAACTGGAAGTCGTAGTCCAGGCAATTAAAATCGGGTACCTCGAGCGGACTGGTGCCCACGTAAACCTTTGATTTGTTGATCACATATTCGCCGCACATGCACAGGTAATCATTTTCCTGCTCCACGGCGTTTGTGACGCTGAACATGATGGTGGTGTTGTTCACAATCCGGATATGATTCGCGTCGCGGTATATTTGACCTCCTCCCGTGAAGTATAATTCATTCACGGGACAGTGTTCCGGGCCTTTGCCTTTGAAATAATCTTCGTTGATGGTGCAGCTAAGGTTAAAGTCGCCGCCGATGAGCTCCTCCACCTTAGCGGGAATTACCCAGCCGGGGTCCAGAACGGCGTTAGCGCCGCCTCGGCATCCTGCAAGCAGCATTAGGAGCAGCACGAGCTGCGCCTGGGGCATCATCTTCCAAATCACGATACAAATCACCTCTAGATGCTGTTTTTAAGGTCCACTCTATGTTGATAACTCTCTCTCACTCCCTCTCTCGCTCTCACTCACACACGCAGGCACAGGCGCACACCGACACGCCGCTCTCTCACACACACAAGAACACCTTACTGGCCGTGGCACTTGTTGGCTCTGTATTGGTGGACAGTTCTCGGAAACCGTTTATACGCTGCGTTCCTGGAAGTGGCTCTTAAACATTTCACTACCCAGGTGTGTGGGCTTCTTTTTTGGGGCTTCACTGTTCGACACTTAATCACGAATATATCTTGTTAATAACTGTAATGTCACTTATTTCTTTTGCACTTTTAAATGTCTTGTCTCTCGCCACGCAAATGAAGAATCCTCAGTTGGCGAAGGACGGCGATCGCTCTCCTCCCTGCCCCCGCTCTAGTTATTTTCTGGTCTGCAGTGTGACCGCTTATCGAAACTTATCGCAGCCAGATACGCGATATGACAAGGGCTACCTGTGCACAACGGTCCTATTGTGTGCGATAATTACCACCGACTAATTTTTACATACTATTTCAATTTCTGTTTGCCATTAGCTTAAAATTATGTCATGGTTTCTTAGTAAAACTTTTTTAAATAGCGCGCACAGCCTAATTGGTGATAAGAAACCGTTTGATGGCTCAATAATCGACAATCGGTATACCGATAACCGATACAGTAGCCCTGGCGTGTGCAATAGTCAAAATCGAAACTGAACGTGTGTGTGTGTGTGAGTGAGAAAGTGACGAATTACTTTTCATCAAATGGAAAATAATTTAGTTTGAAAACACGTATCTATTCAGAGCACCCAAAAATTATAGTTCATACAATATTTTAGATACAATCAAGCTAAATCTGCACAGGAGACTATACGAAATCACAACAACTACACCATCGAAATGGCGGAAGGCGGCAGCAAGCGCATCAACGTGGTTGTAAAAACGCCAAAGGATAAGAAGACGGTCGAGGTTGACGAAGATTCTGGAATAAAAGAAGTGAGTACGGTGCGCGTGACCCGCTGAATCTCTCAGCCCTTCTGGTGGCAATCCCAAGGGCTCGTTACACCATTTAACCCCACCCCCGTCCTATAATCACGGTCAATTAATGACTGTAATCGCGGTACAGTGCACTTCGCCTAAACCACACCGAACTGTACAGTGCACTTTGTTCATGGGACTCACTTGCACACAACAAACGCACACTAAAAAGCTGGTACAGTGCATTCTGCCTTTGCAATCACCAAGGGTAGTTTTTTCTCATAACCCACATAAATACACATAGAAAAAAATGAATATTCTATCATTCTATCATTAACCAAATCTGTCATACCATCTTCGCCCTACAGTTCAAAATTCTGGTTGCACAAAAGTTCGAGGCGGAGCCTGAGCAGCTCGTGCTTATTTTTGCCGGCAAAATTATGAAGGACACGGACACGCTCAAGATGCACAACATTAAGGACAACCTAACGGTACACCTAGTGATCAAGGCACCGACGCGCAACAACGAGGTGCCGGCACGCCAACCAGCCGACGTGCGCCAAACGCCCTTCGGACTGAACCAATTCGGCGGTCTGGCCGGTATGGAGGCACTCGGAGCCGGATCGAATACTTTCATGGACCTACAGGCGCGCATGCAGAACGAACTGCTCAACAACGGCGACATGCTGCGCTCCCTAATGGACAATCCGCTGGTGCAGCAGATGATGAATAATCCGGACACCATGCGCCAGCTGATCACTTCCAATCCCCAGATGCAGGACCTGATGCAGCGCAACCCTGAGATCTCGCATATGCTCAACAATCCTGACCTGCTGCGCCAGACTATGGAGCTGGCCCGCAATCCCTCAATGCTCCAGGAGCTGATGCGGTCGCACGATCGGGCCATGTCCAACCTAGAATCGGTGCCGGGCGGTTACAGCGCCCTACAACGGATCTACCGCGACATCCAAGAGCCAATGATGAACGCAGCCACCGAATCCTTTGGCCGCAACCCCTTCGCTGGGCTGGTCGACGGCGCTGGATCTGGTGCCGTCATCAATCCGCAGCAAGGCACTGAGAACCGAAATCCGTTGCCAAATCCTTGGGGCGGTGGCGGTGCTAATTCAGCCACAAATGGTACAGGCACTGGCAGCGGCACTGGAAACCGAACTGGAGACTTGCCGCCGAACAATGTCTTGAACACTCCGGCCATGCGCAGCCTGCTTCAGCAAATAGCCGACAATCCGGCTATGATGCAGAACCTTCTGAACGCGCCGTACACGCGTTCCATGATGGAGTCCATGTCACAGGACCCGGACATGGCCTCGCGCCTATTGAGCAGCAGTCCGCTTCTTTCTAACAACCCCGCCATGCAGGAGCAGGTGCGTCAAATGATGCCACAGTTCATGGCCCAAATGCAGAACCCTGAGGTGATGAACATGCTGACCAATCCGGACGCGATGAACGCTATCCTGCAGATACAGCAGGGAATGGAGCAGTTGCGCAGCGCCGCCCCAGGTCTTGTTGGTACCCTTGGCATCCCACCGCCGCCACCCGGAGTTAACTCTTCATCGGATCCAGCAAGCGGCGATGGAAGCGGTGGAAACAGCGGCACAACCACCAACAACGTCTCGCCTAGCAGTGGGCTTAACTCTGGTAACTCGGTCACTGGCGGTCCAAGTTTGGCTCCGGGTGGTGGTCCGAACGCGCAACTCTTCAACGATTTCATGATGCGCATGGTCAACGGGATGTCGAACAACGCGGATGGCACACAGCCGCCGGAAGTGCGCTATCAATCGCAGCTGGAACAGCTGGCAGCAATGGGCTTTGCCAACCGGGATGCCAACTTGCAGGGTGAGATTCTTGAATCAGCACTAACGACTTGACAACCTTAATTCTAATCCAATCCATATCTCTTGTCATTCACAGCTCTGATCGCTACGTTTGGGGACATTAATGCGGCGGTAGAGCGATTGCTGTCCCTCAACCAATTATCTTTGAGTTAACAACGTTAAGCCATTTCCAAACTGTACACAACCTGTCTATATATCTATGAACTACATCTATATTTACCACTATAGCCCTGGAAAACGCGAATCAGAACACAACGACAACAAGATGAGAAAGGGGGACGAGGTCCTTTTCCTAAAACCCCCGCATACAAATTCCACGGTCAGAACACTACCGATGCATATTTAAATTGGAAATATCTTGAATCCTTTGAACCTACACAACACACCTGAGCACACTCATACACACAAACTGACAACTGCACACGAGAATAGGAGCCTAGAGATCGGAGAGATATTAGACAATATGTCGCCGGTGAGAAAGATAGATAGATATCGCATACCAAAGCGTCGGCACTTGTGTAGTTGATATCTTTTTTTTTTTTTTAATTATTAACATTTCGAGATTTCAGAAAGATCTGAAATCTTTATAAGACACCTGAGAACCATTAAAGCGGAAATGTCTTACCCGAAAACCAATTTGAATATGCATAAACAGAGCATATATCTGCACATCCATACACAATACACACAGACATACAGACCCATTTCGCGCATTTAACCTAATTGTCTTTCAATAAATTTAAAGAGGTTTGTGCTCCCTTTGTCATTTTAAATCAATTACATATTGTCATAAACGTATGTTAATTCCAGTTGTGTGATTGAGAAAGAAACGCGGTGCAAATCCAAACGATCTATGGTTTTATAGACAGATGTGCAATTCCTGTATTTCGGTCAGGTTCTGGTTTCCGGTTTAAATCGGGTGCTAATGGGTCAACGCCGCAGTTCTTCTATTTCCCCTCCCTTTCTCAAAACCCGAAAATGTTATGTTAAGTACACGACAGAAATCGGGACAAAGTGCAGTAGATATCGGCTATATGCAAAGCCGGAATAAGCAAAACTTGCTTAGAGAAAAATATATACATGATGATATGCAAACAAATTGCATAGAAACAACGCAAGTAGTCAAAATGGTTATAGATTTCTTGATATAAGAATAATCTCCAAGCGTTATTTATCCCATTTGTTTAAAAGAGAAAAATGTAAAAAATCGTTGCATATAGGCTTTAGTTGCACTTAAGCGATTTGCATGTTGAAGATATCTACTGTAAGTTTTATGTGTGTATATATTTATAAATATATATATATCAAAATATTCCATGGTGTTAACAAAAGACCTAAAGCTATTTCAAATTCCTTAGTAAAAGCGAAGAGAATACCCAACACTAAATTGTAATTTTACTTTAAGCACTCGTATGCATATAACCGACTTTTTGGGACTGGACAGTTCTAATGGGTCTCCTTTCCGATCGCATCCCTAAAAACACACTTTCGTAACGTTTCCTTTCGTGCGTTCACTGTCTATATAAAGTATGAAATCAATGTATACCATGTAAGTACTATTACTATATATCTTCGTTACTCGTCGAAGTGAAGAGTATGTAGGTGAGCCAACTTCAACGGGGGAATGGGTGGGTGGTCAGGTACTGGAGCTGGACCGATGTGAAGGCGATCGGAACTATGTTTATTTGTTTAGTGAAGGAAGTGAAACTAAGTAATTAAATGTAAATGATCACATGTTTTAAATCAGTAATAAAGCTACTTTGGTTTTAGATTATAACCCCCATCGTTTTGTTCTTTTTGACGGGAGGATTACGTAACTGATCCGAAGTACAAAAGTGAAGAAAAAAGTTTATAATATAATAGACCAGTGAAATAATTCCAGTGCATGTGAGCTTCTGCGATCTTGAATTAAGTAAGCAAGGATTATCTAGCTTACATAAAATGTCTTCTATTAGAAGAGCACTACTTTATCACAATATATGTTACTATTATATATACTTTAGGGTCTAAACACAGCATGTATATATGTGTGGTCCAGGCCTTGTAATAAGTTTTATTACAGCAGCGGCTTGAGTAAACAATCGAAAAACATTTATTATAGTATAGTACAACTACGGTTAAGGCACTCATACACTCTAGCACGCGCACAGGCATACACACCAAATATCGTACAGCTAGATGAGGGAGTTAGTCATGTTGAACAGGTGATGAAGCCACGCTGGGAGGCTGGTCAAAGCTCCTCAAAGAACGCCACGCGCGCCTTTGTTGAGCCGGATTTGAGCTTTTTGAGTGTGGAGTACTTGTTCTCATTGGCCTTAATTTGCGCCTCACTGAGAATGTCCAAGTCTCTCTGGTTTTCCTCAATCTTGTGCGGCGCGATCTCGGAGCGAAGTGTCTGCAGTTGGTTTTCCACTTGGTTCTTAGAGTTGCGCAAATACTCAAGATGGTTGCGTTCCATCTCGTTGGTGATCTGTTCCATCTCGTTATCGGTAAGGATGAACTCTTTTGGCTCGAAGTCGTCCGAAATACCGCTAGAGTTGTCGGCAAGATAGTGCGACGAGTGGGTGGTAAGCTCGGCACCGCCGGCGGTCTCCATGTCATTGGTTGAGCTACTGGTAGTAAGCGAAGGCGTGCTGATAGCCGCCATGCTGGATGCCGTGTTTGCCGCATGCGAGACACTTGAGGCGGTCAACAAGCTATCTGTGGAGGACTTGCGACCGCTATTAAGGAAGTTGAGCAGGCGGGCGGTAGCCTCGCGCTCGGCCATTTTGGCGCAGATCAGCTCCTTGCGCAGCTTTTCAGTCTCGGCCTCCCGCTTGTCGTTCTCCACCGTCAGCTGGTGGACATAGAAGTCGGCATCACGGATCTTTTTCTCCAGGTCATGTTTCTCGCGCTCAACCTTCATTTGTCGCTCGCGCAGACGGTCCATTTCTGTTTTGAAATGATTCGCCTTACACTCGGTCAGCTGCATCTGCTCTTCGTTGACGCGGCTCTTCTCGAAGTACAGCTCCTTGGTCTCTTCAGAACGCCGCTGAATATTTAAGAAAATACACAAAATCAGAAATCAAAAGAATTTAGGCATTAGGGGAAACTGTTTTACCAGCGCGTCCCTGGCCATACGCATCTCGTTTTGCAGGTGTTCCATGCTCTTCTCCATCTCGTATCGCTCATGCTCCGCCTTCTCACGCAGCTTTTTTTCCCTGATAAACTTCTTGCGCTCAATTTGGCGACGTTGCTTTTCCTCCTTGGCTTGTGCTTTCATCTGTTGGATCTCCATGGTGTCGGGCTTGCGTCGCCTCATGTACAGATCATGGTTGCCTTTGCACAGGTCAAGAATCTGCAAAACGGTACGGAAAAAAATATAGAGGTGATTTCGTAAAAATTATATTTTACCTTTTCACCCAATTCGTCTATGCTAAAACAAGAAGCATCGACTACTTACCATCTTGTTGATATGCAGGTCCTGTGAGTAGAATATAAAATTCGAGACCTTGGCATCCACCAGGCGAATGGTGAACTTGTTATCGTCAAAGCTGACGTGCCGTATCTCGTTCCACTGGAACGTGGTCTTTGGCGTTAGCTTATCGCGCTCGTCGTAGATGTTCAGGCCCACGGAGGTGACACCCAGCCACAATTTGGTTTTGTTCTTATTCTGATGGGCACAGAAATGATTAGAGTCACTAAGCATTAGATTCACTACTAACTCACTGTAATAGGAAAGTAGTTCACTCCGTACATGTCCAGGTCCTGTGCGATCTTCAGGTACTCCATCTCCACCTCATCGCGCGTCATTGGCTCGTGGTCCATATACCAAGTCTTGATGCGTTCCTCCCACATCTCGGGCGTCATCTGGTACTGGTCTGTCACCCCCTTTGGCAAAAGTTCGCCTCCGGCCAGCATGCCGTCCTTATAGGTCTCGTAGTCATACGGCCCGTACTGCACATGCACCGCATAGGAAGCCAGGAGAACGGACGCCTCTGGCCGGCAGTAGATGTCCATGGATAGTATGCTTTGTTTGACCTGCAGGAAGAACAGGTGCTGCGTGATCTCCTGGATCAGCTCCTCGCTGACGTTCTCCGGAAAGAATTTGGCGTAAAAGCTAAACACGTACACATTGTTGCTGGCGTGCAGCTCCACTCGCTGATCCCGCACCCGCTTCTCCATTTTTAACCAGGAGACATTGCTGCGCGTGTCGACATATTGCAGTCCAAAGTACCACGACTCGCGCAGCCCGATGGTGCGGCACACTAGGTCGAACAGATCTTGGCCGGAGGCGCGGGGCTCCAGTTTAAACTCCAGCTCAGAGTCGAACGTGCTGACCCGCACCGACAGAGAGCGATTCTTCTTGGAACTGAAGGGGCTCATTCTGTTATGTGATGTGGGTTTGGAATCAAGCACTTTTGATGGCGATATATACGCCGTACTGGTGGTCTGGTCTTTCTGTGATAACTTGTTGCGTGCAAAAGGACTTGTTGCTGTCCTCGCCCGCTTATCCTGCTGCTCCTATGCCAGCTAGCGGGCCGCTTCCTGATTGCTGCTCCTGCGGTCCTCTCTAATAGCGCACTGTCTCATTTTGCAGCCAAATCTGTGCTCCGGACAATGACAATTCTGGGCTGCAGGCTTGCGAGAGAAAGAAAGAGTAAGTCACTTCGCTCATGCGGGTGCTCGAAACAAGAATTGTGGGCCGTTAGGATTCTGATGAATTTTGTACACCAGATCTTAGCTTCTTTCTTATGGACAACTAACCAAGACGGAACACAACAGGTTTCACCTCTGGGGTTAAAAAGTGAAGGTTACTCATTCAGTTGCTTACATTGAATTTGCAAACGCATAACAAGTTCGCAATGTGTGCGGCATAAACGTTAGCAGTGTGACCATTAGCCTGGGATATACTGAATAATTCTTTGTCATATCTCCTTTTATATTTATTAAGGGAATTCCAAGAATATAATAGAAATTATGATTATTGAAAATGCTGTTTATTTACAAAAGAAATCATTTGTTTTGCGATTTTCACATACATTCAATTTGTGTTTATTGATAATAAAGATTTCAAGAGTTTTCCCTCCTTTTTTATGATGAATAATTGAAAATACTAGAAATCTTATAGAGTTGCCATACTGTCACAGGCTTTTTAAGTTTTTAAATGATCTTGCTGAAGATATTGAGTTAAATAATTCCATTGAGCGCAAAATTTGATTTTGGGCCTCAGGAAAATTATTTTTTTTTTTTAAATTTAATATGTATTTCTTTTAAGCTTAGAAACAAAATACATTTGTTATATGTAGAAAATAACCGTCGTTTAAAGAGCTTACATTGTTTATTTTGAGGTTGCTTTAGTTTGTTCTTTCAACTTCAGCGAATAAGCAATGTCCCAATGCGATACGAAATACCGTTTAGCCATCACATTTCAACCGAAAGCCGAGAATTTTCCAAACTAAACAAATAATATTAGTTTCTTACAGTATTCTTAGAATAAATATACATACATACATACATATAAATATTACAAATATAGGTAGTTGGGAAACAGAGGGCGACTTAGGCTATATTTATGTATGTGCGTGCTTAGGAAGTCTTGGCTTGATTTATAATTGCATTATCTATTTATCCAACGCGATATGCTGTGCAAGTAAACAATGTCTATCACACAACGCAAGTACTGAGAGGATTGTCTCCAGATTTCAGCACACAATAGAATGAAAGGACGTGAACTATGCTAAACTTGAACTACAGAGTTCCATAGTTCGGAGCTCGGATTGGCACTTGATTAGCGGTGCCAGGTTTCGGAAGCGACTTGGCTGACGGATTCCGGGTTACTGGCTGCTGCGCTTGATTCGCTCGACGTGCAGGTCGTACAGCATCTTGTTCTTTTCGTAATAAAATGGGTTTTGCTCTGCTCCCAATTCTGGGTTGTACTCGTATCCGACTGCTACACCGTTCCCCGATGCATCGTGGCCACCAGGGCCACCGGGGGCACTAGCTCCTCCTACTGGCAGGGGAGGAATGCTGCAGCTGCTGCTGCTGCTACTGTTCCCATCGTCGTAGTTTAGATGCAGGTTGTTGATGCGTTTCGAAAGGGGCGTCGACTCGCAGGGCAAGTCGTCCTCCCGGCTACGCTTCCTGTGGAAAAAATGCGAGTAATGTAAACTTAGTTCCTTGGTACAGATCGAGTCTTACTTACCTTGTCTTTAAAAATCCAGCCATTCCGAGCCAACGAGTTGGTGCCTATTAGCTTATTGTTTTGTTCTCTCTCGTTCTCTTCTTTCCTTGTTCAATCTTACCAGTGTGACCTCGGTATAGTGCGAATTATACCTAGAAGATACCGCAAATATAAGTTCTTGTTTTATTTATGTGTTGAATGATAAAAATAAAACGTTGTTAAAACTAGATGATGAACATAAAATGATCCATAAAATGTCAATGTATATATGAAAATATGTATAGAATGAACAGTCACCAGACATGTCGACAAAGTCACGAAGTTCTCTTATTTTAATTAAAAGGAAATAAAAACAATATTTATAAGTGGACATGAAAATACTTACAATTTTTAAAAACCTTAAGCTGTGGTAGTTAAACCTTTATACCATAAGTTCTAATCACAGAATTTTGAATTCATATTAGTTAAGATTTTTTAGATCTGACAGAAAGAATCCCTTGTGCCCATTTTTACCCGAAAATACCAGTTCAGCAAGCCGGGTGGAAGCACTTCGACTAAGTGGCAACGCTGCGCTAGTCACTCGCATGCAAACAGCTCGCTGGAGAGAGAGAGCACGAACACACAAAAGGAAATAGTAGTTTTCCGTACGAATCGAATCAAATCGAGCCCAGCCCAAAAAAGCGGAAAACGGTGCGGACTCGCCAGCGGTTGCAATTTTCAATTCGATAAACTGTAAGTAGCAAATGCGCTTGGACCGAGGGGGCCAAGAACTATTGCAAAAACCGAGCGTTATAGTTGAAAATTACCCCGTGAAAAGTGAATGAAAACGAATCGTCGATGACGGGTCTGCGTATGCGTGTGTGTGTGTGGACCGTGCGCCAGTGTGCGTGTGTGATAAATAATTGGTTCCAAATTTCATTAGTTTTCAGCAAGGAAATGACAAATATTATATGACTCTAACTGTTAATTGCGACGTAAAGCAAGTCAACTCAAGAAGTTGACACCTTAGCAAAGCTGTGGCTAAAATTAATTAGCATAAAGCTAGTAATAGTGCAGTAAGAACTGCATTCGAGCAAGTGAACACGCACCGCACCCACACTAATGCAGACCGCCCTACTCGCTGCGCCCGTGTGCGTGTGTGTGTGTGTCCAATCAGAATTTTCTGATGCCCGTCCGGCTTATCTGTGTGCGCCGTTGCTTTCCATTCTTTCCGTTCTTTCTTCGGCTTGAGTCATCGCTCGGTCTGCCCAGATATGTGGGGACGGACGTACAGACGGGCATACTTCTCCGCATAGATAAGGCGCTGTTCACAAACGGTCACTCTGACAGGAGCAAAGCAGGAGCGGGCCAGAACCGCACCCTAGTCCATCCCTTTTTCCCCACCCGTTCTGACAATCCGGAAACTAACCCTAACTAATCCACAGGAGTCACCCCTCTGCACAACATGCAAACCATCAAGTGCGTGGTCGTCGGCGACGGAGCCGTGGGCAAGACCTGTCTGCTCATTTCGTACACAACCAACAAGTTCCCCTCGGAATACGTGCCCACGGTCTTCGATAACTATGCTGTCACCGTCATGATCGGCGGCGAGCCCTACACACTGGGGTTGTTCGATACGGCCGGACAGGAGGATTACGACCGACTGCGTCCGCTCTCCTATCCACAGACAGACGTCTTCCTCGTCTGCTTCTCAGTGGTCAGTCCCAGTTCCTTTGAGAACGTCAAGGAAAAGGTAAGCTAAACTATCAGATGTAGACTATAATAGATATAACGAAATGCTTACATGTTACAGTGGGTGCCCGAGATCACACACCATTGCCAAAAAACACCGTTCCTGCTGGTGGGCACACAAATTGATTTACGCGACGAGACTAGCACACTGGAGAAGCTGGCCAAGAACAAGCAGAAGCCCATCACCATGGAACAGGGCGAGAAGCTGGCCAAGGAACTAAAGGCCGTAAAGTATGTGGAGTGCTCGGCCTTGACACAAAAGGGCCTAAAGAATGTATTCGACGAGGCCATCCTGGCCGCATTGGAGCCGCCAGAGCCCACAAAGAAAAGGAAGTGCAAATTCTTATAATTCTTCTTCCCCTACACGATGTATCCCTTTCATTCTGGCTTTCTACTACAATGACTCCTTCCCAGCCTTCCGACGTCGAGAAGCGTTCAATATATACCCATATATGTTTTGGATTATGTTATTCTGCAATCGTTTCTGCCGGAGCCCAGTCCAGCCCAGTACTTGAGAAGCTACTTCCTCTCCATCTGCCTATGTCTCTCCCTATCTCTAAATCTCTTGTTCCGTTTATGTGTCAGTACTGTCTATGCTCCTCCATTGGAGCCACAATTAACCTGTATTTTAGTCGGATTCTATGATTTACCTATCTGTCCCAGCTGACTGGGCAGTTGCTTTTAACTCGGGACAGTCTTCCGCCCCACAAACTTCTAATCCAATCCCAGCCAGGATCCAATCCCAGCCAATTCAACCCCGCCCAGCAGGTGAAATCAAATCAAAATCCAGCCGATTTCATATCTGCTCGCATTCTTGTTTTTGGCGCAATTTTCTATTAAGTAAAGAGAGAAAACACAATATCTATATAGCGAAACAAATAATTTATATATATTTCTTTATATATATACAAGATTTAAGGAGAAACAAAATATAAAATTATGATAAACAAAACAATCCAGAACAAATCAACAAAAAAGAAGCATAAAACAGAAGGGCAAATGAAAAGAACCATGCACTTTTTTTTGTTTTGCATCAGTCGATAAAAAAAACACTTGCAATCCAAGTCGATATATGTAGTCCCAAGAGCAACGTGAAAAATAAGCAAAGTCGCGAAGATTATATAAAATATTTATAATAACTGAGGGCGTTATGTTCAAACAACGGAGGTTGGAAGGAATTCGCTGACATGCAAATATGAAAGTGAAGCTTATTATGTAATAAAACTAAGAGTATGAGTATTGAAATATGATTAAAAATAAATTAAAAATAAAAGAAAAGGAAAACATAAACAAAACTAGGCGTTGCAAACACAAACACACATCTGAAATCTACAATCTATATAAATAAATATATATATATTTAAATATGTATAATCCATAAACATATAACAATAAAACAAATGGCCACAGCAAGAAAAATTTGTATTGTAGTTCAGCAAAAAAAAAAAAAAAAAACAAAGAAAAGAAAATACGAACTAATGCATTTTTTAATATTTTTATATGTATACATTATCAATTTTTACATTTTTTTTCTAGACCTTAGTGATTTAACATTATTGATTTCAGATAATATCTTATAATAAAACGAAATCCAAAACGAATTCATTTTCTGTCTTGTTTGTTTTTTCTGAAATAAAAAGGGTAAAAAAAAACCCAAAACTAAGTTTATAGAAAGATTAAAACCGGATATTATGTCCAAAACTATATGCTAATGATTTTTATCATGTCATCTTTATGTGACATCCATTAAAGGCAATCATTACATTTAAAAAGAGGCTGCAGTGGCAGTCTGTTTTCATTTATCAATCACTACCTATGCTACGTTAATTGAGATACTTTCTCCACCATTTCATGAAATGGTCATTATATTAACATAGTCAATAATGTACACAGATCATATCCCAATCAATGAGTTCAGTTTTCAACCAGGTTAAACCTATTTCAAATCAATTCTTCATTTTTTTAATGTTACACAATTTCTCTCAAATAACAAAATATTTAACTCTATTAAAATTACTCCAACTTTTAAGAATAAGTATATGTAAAACAGAACTTTGAGCTTTAACAACATTTGATCATCACCCCAGTGGCTGAATCCATTTACACTTGATGGCCGCCGCAGTCACGGCCTCCTCGTGGGACTCAGCAAATCCTGCTGTGCCTTGAATGTCGATCTGGTCGTAGTCGAATCGCAGACTACCCTCTCTGTCCTGCAGTAGCTGCTCGACTCCGTGCCATGCAATCATAACGCCGTTGTCGGAACAGTACCGCTTGGACGGCCGATAGCTTCTGCAGCCGTACTGATCTGCCAGGTGGGCGATGTTAGCGTAAATGGTATCGTTATTGGCCACACCGCCAGACACCACCAGGGTGGGCGGTGCGTCGCCAAAGAGTCGGACCTGCGGCAGGAGGCAATACTCAATTGCCCGTTGGGTGCGGTGCATTAAGTGACGGCTAACACCGCGCAGCAGGCCAGCGCAAAAATCGCCATAGTTACTGATGACCCCGTCCGGTGGCGTTCTTTCTGCCCGCTCGCGAGTTCTGATGGCTCGGAAGGAATTATTCTTGATGCCGGCAAAGCTGAAGTTACAGTTGCGTTGCTGGGATAGTGGCAGTGGAAACTCATAGGCCAGAGGATCGTTAGCCAGCTGGGCGGCGTGCTCAATGGCTCGCCCCCCGTTCCAAAGTCGATATTCGGGCAGGACATGTAGACGTAGTCGGCGACCGATCTTGTCGAAAGCTTCGCCGGGTGCATCGTCCAGCGTTTGGCCAAGGAGTGTCAGACGACCAGGTCCGTGGACGACTGCCAACTGACAGTGACCACCACTGACTAGCAGACAGAGGAACGGGAAGGGTATCTCTTCCGGATGCTCCATGCGGGCTTGCAGTGCGTGGGCTTCCATGTGGTGAACGGGTAGCAATGGTTTTTGCAGGCGACGGGCCAGGTGTCGAGCGAAGCGCAATCCAACTACCAGACTTAGCGGTAGTCCAGGTCTCGTGGTCACCGCGATGGCAGCCAGCTCTTCCGGCGCCAGATGCGCCTCCTTCAAGCAACGCTGATAGGCGGTCTCTATGCGGGCGCGGTGCAAGTCCTGGGCCCTAGGGGGTATGATTCCTCCATATCTGCAATTTAATCGGTTTACTTTCGGATTTGCATAAATAAGAATGCCCCCTGGTACTTACCTAGTATGGAACTCCTGCTGGGATTCCAGCACATTCGCCCTCACCCGGCCGTTGGTGTCCACGATAGCGATGCCCGTATCGTCGCACGAGGTCTCGATTCCCATGACATAACTGAGGCGGCGTCTGATTCCACCTCTAATGGCATTTCCAACTTCATTACCGGCTAAACACTTGAGAGCATGCATAATGACCGGGCGCCGGCAGTAAGCACCAGTAAATGGTGTGACCGTTTGCGCCGAGGCCGCCGCACGAGTGAGTTATTTTAATTCTACACTTAAAAATATTATAATTGTGTAATTTCTTTAAAATAATAAAATATTTATTTTTGTCTTCATTTTAAAACTATGCTATGCCACAAGGTTTTTTTTTTAAGTTTCATATAGTTCTGATATCAAAGAAAGGCAACTAGTATAATAAGATACCCACATTGAAACCCATAAAATTATTTTTTAATTTCTTGACTTAAAATTGATAATGGCTAAAGTATCTTTTCAGCTGAACGGTATATAAATGATTCATTTTAAATAGTGAATATTTACAATTGCCTTGTTATTGGTTTATTATTTTCAATTTGAATTTCGTACTTGTCTTTGTCGGCTACAACTAAATAATAAATATTGTTTTTTTTTATGAGAAAACGCCATCCGCCATATCGCAAAGAGATGGTCGTTTCTCTGGTTGTTTCCCGGAGAAGTATTAACGTACATGTAACACCAAAACCCACACGCACATACAGATAATTCCGGACTTGCACATTAGCCGGTTATACAGATATAGGATTCTTCTAAGTTATTGGATATTAAATACATTTTGGCCTCTTAACGCTCATAGTAGACGCGGTAATAAAGTGTCTTGGAGCGCCAGATGCTGTAGCTGTTGTCGAACTTCAGCAAGTAGACGCCCTCGCCCGGATAGGAGTGAGATCCCACGTATACTTCATTGTAGCACTCTCGCCGATAAATGGGCACTATTATGGAAATAGGTGCCTTGGGGGCGGCAGTCGGGTTGCTTACTGCACCGCGCTCTTGGGACAACGAGCCCGACTCTAGGTCTTCGGTGGTGGATAAATAGTCCTCGTCCACACAATCCTCGTCTTCGTCGGAATCGCTTACATGCACGGTCACTTCGTTGGTCACTGGTTTTGCCCACTCGAAGTAGATGCCAAAGCCAATGTCGTAACTGTCTGTGGCGAACTCCCAGAAGATGCACTTGCCGTTCATATTGGTGGGCACACGAACCTGGAAATTTGAAGAGTGAAAAACCACGCTATTCAAAATAGTTGTTCGGAACCTACCGTCACAGTATCGCCGTGTCCGATGGTAATAACACCGTCACCATCGCCGGCAGACACTTCAGTCTTAAACTGCTCAATGTCAGGACGAGTCCAGATTTTGGCCGGGCAAATCATCACGTAGTCGTCGTAGTCTTCCTCGCCAAGCTGATCCTGCACTATACCCTCAGTCTGCTCGACATGGCCATGTTGCTCTGTAACCAACTGCTGCTGCGTGTCAATCTCACCAAGCTTTAGACCCTCCATGGCGCCGGGCAAGTCGGTACTGCTGTTGTTGTTATTCGCTGGGGTGTTGTCCTCCAGCTCCCTGTCTTGGTTGCCTTTTTCCTCTGCGTTCTGGTTCTGCAGCTGATTCTGGTTCTGTAAATGAAGCTGCTGCATATACTGGTGATAGTGCTCGCGCTGCAGCTGGTGAATAAGCACAGCCTGCTGCTCAGGATTTCCCGGGAACTGCTTTTCGGCATAAAGCTGTGGAATGAGTAAGAAGTGGGTTAACAAAAATGACATGACAGACAATTGCTTGGGAACTGGGTCATGACCCCTTTTCAATGGCAGACACCGTCGCCAAGGCCCCAGCAATTAGCATGCATTATTGAACAGAACAACAGGTGCAGAGGGCCCGGCTTCTAGTGGAAAAAATCGATGGTCTACCTTAAATTGCTGGTACGTCTGCTTGTTAAGGGCGTCCTGCAGTTGGCGACGCTGCAGCTCTTCTTTGTAGCCCTCCTCGAGTAGCTCCTGCTGGGCATTTTCCTGTCTCTCGCGTGCCTCCTTTTCTAGCTCCATGTGGCGCAGCTCTTTGCGTAGCGTGTCGTCACGGTCCTGCCGCACTGCCTCGATATATGGTCGGAAGGCGCTGCACATGGTGTCTAGCAGGTCGACGAAACCCTCCATGGCCTGCTCCCGAGTGATCTCGCCCAGCAGCTGCCAGTGCTGCTGGCGGTCGCGCCCGATCACATCGAGGACACCTAGAGCTGGTGCACGGCTAGTGTTGAAGGGACCTAGGGCTGCTTGCTGCTTGAAGGCGATCAGCTTAAGATTATCCTCATACGATAGGTGAATGGCCTTGCCGGAGTTCCCTACAAAAAATGGGATTACGTGTTAGATCGTTTAAACGGCCAGAGAGCCGTGGTTCGTTCACTCACTCTTGTAGAACGTGAATGCCAGGCGGTAGAGCTCTAACAGGGGGAAGCCCCACTTCTCCGCCGACGGTGTCGCCGTGTCCGCCGACTGTACCGCTCCGCTGCTACTGATGCTGCTGTTATTCCCGCTTATCCCGCTCGCCATGCTGCCGTCGCTTGTGGTATATTCCACGCTCGCTGGCCTGCAAACTTTTCGCACAAAACAAAACAAAATAATTGTGACGTCTGCTGGCCAGTGTGACCAGGCCCAGGCTCAGGGTAGTCGTGTTGCTGGCACTTTTCAAAGTTATTGGTAATAATGTTTTATTTATCGATACAATATTTGTTAAAATTATGTTGAATTGCTTACGGACTCAAAGAAATGAGGTGGCACTGGTCCTTTAAGGGGACAGAAAACGATTATGGGTAAATTTAGTTCCAAATGCGAACAAACCCGCGGTCACACTCGTCAAACTGTTGCCGGAATTTGGATTCTACACGTGCCCTCAATCGTGTTGATTTCCATTGAATAAATACGAAATATGGGAAGTACTCGTGTTTTTCTGGCGGATCTGCCGACCAGGACCTCTGAGGCGGACCTTCACAGTCTCTTTCAGGACTACGGTCATGTGGAGCATGTGGATCTGAAGCGGAAGGAGCAGGATGGATCTACCAAGGTGATTGCCTTTGTCACCCTGCAGACGGAAGATGCCCAGTACTGTAAGTAAACCATAAAGACATTGTAAGAATCTGTAAAAACTCAGTTTTGCAGGCGTCAACGAACTGAACTGGCAGAAGCTGCATGGCGCCAAGTTGCGGGTATCACTGGCGAAGGAGTCATTTTTGGACCGCCTGAAACGAGAACGCGAAGAAAATCAGCGCCGGGAACAGGGCGACCCAGCCGAATCCGATGTGGTCACTCCGAGATCTCAGCTACTGGACCAGAGTAACCAGAACAAGCGTAGGGTTTTCGGCGAAGATGAGGAGATCGGCGATGATGAGATCGCTCCAGAGCTACTGATCACCAAGAAGCGCGCCGCCCAATCCATGCAAAATGGCAAGGTACACATCTACTCCAAGACGCACAGCTCATTGCCATCTAATCCGCCATTTCTATTCTTTACAGATCGTTATACAGAAGGAGCATGACGTTAAGCCACTGCACGTAATCGAGCAGCATCGCAAAGTAGCCAAACAGCAGTTGGATGCCAAGGTCAGCCAAGCGGAGCAGAAGCGCATGGAATCCCTCAACAAGATGCGGCAAGGACACCAGCAAAAAAAGTCCGCCATTCAACAGGCGCTATCCGCGATATCCGTTGACGGCGGCCAAGCAAAGAGGATCAAGTTCAGCGATGCCGAGGAGGAGGAGGCTAAACCTGTCAAGAAGTCCAAAGAAAAGAAACGAAATCTTTTCGAGGGTGACGATGATGAAGAGGAAGAGCCAGTTGTTCTGCCGCAGCACAAGGGGAAGAAGGGCGAGCGTCTCGTGGAGATGCAGAGCAAGCAAAGCTTAGATCCCCGCTTTCGTATCACATCCAACTTTGTGGATGAGGGGGAAGACGCGGAAATGGAGGACGCTGAAAATCAATCCGAACCAGAGGAAAGTGAGCGCAAGTGGCAGATGAACATTCTGGAGCAGGTAGTGGGACATAAGATTTCTGGTGCCAACGATAATGACGGTAAGCCAGCCAAAAGCAAAAAGATGCTGCGTTTCGATCCAGCTAAGGAGGATCATCAGAAGCTAATGCGTCAAAAACAGCCTAAGGAGGAGGAGGAGAAGCAAGAGAAAATTCCCAGCGCCAAAGACAACGAACATAGCAACGCACCAAGTTACAAGGTTTCGCAAAAGGCATTCTACATACTCAATGATAATTTAAAGGATGCGCTTAACACCCGAAGCGAAGGCTTCAGCATGCTGAACATGTTTGGAAGCGATCCACAAGAAGAGTTGGCCAAACGTCAGGATCAGTTAGAGAAGCTAGGGCAGGAGAAAATCTTGCTTGGCAAACCGTCCGCCACTAAGCTCGGCCTTGGCACTCTTAACCCGTTCTCGTACGACTCGTCCGACAGCGAGGACGAAACACAGCCGCCTAAAGAGAACCAGGAGTTGGAGGTCAGCAAAGAAAACCAAGCTCAACCAGTGAAGAAGTCCAGTCAAAAGAAGAACAAAATCAAAATGGAGTCCTTCTTTATACCCAAAAACGATGCTCGCCTCAAGGGTATGAATATAAATCGAAGACTTCAGCCACCGTTTTTTAACCAAACATCTCTTCTTGCAGAGGGTGCCAAGTTCTTCAAGTCCGCGAAACCAGAGGTTGAACATGCCGACTACGATCAAGTGAAGGGCCGTCTAAAGCTGCTGATTAGCAACAAGATCGCCAAGACCAGGAAGAACCAGCCCAGCAAGGACATTAGACAGTACCGGAATAAGAAAACTAAAAGCTGATTCTTCTAGGCAAATTTGTAGAATACATTTTACGGTAGTTAAAAGGCGTCCACTGTATTTCTCAAACAATTTCACCTTGATGTTCATCTAATTGGTTAGAGAGTGACAAAGTAAAGACCAGAGCACGCTTACATTTAGTTTTAAGTTTAACCCTCTGTAAAATAAACCACGCTTGTTTTTTTTAATCGTACATCTATTCATCTAGATTAAGAAAAAAAAAAGAAATGATTGTGCTTAAGTTATCGCACAAATGCATTTGAGCCCCGTTACAGCTCGAACTAGATTATCGTAGCGGTGTGAATCCTGCTGTGTTGAGATTCATTTGGCATCCGTAGGTGGGATTCCGGCTAACTAAAAGCTAATTTAAAGAATTAAAGGTAATGCTGCAACAAAAATTGCGGTGCTTAACGTTTCATTAAGTTTCTATTGTCCGCTAAGCATTGTCATTAGGCTCTCTAAGTAAAAATGGCAATCTCAATAAAAATTCGAGACTTGGCTCTTCTTTGGCACTGAGTGTCCTCTTCCGCCATCCAGGCAGGAGTGGTGGTAGGGAGGGATTATAGGTAGAAGTCTTAAGTAGAACTAATGAGCGACTTTATGTTTAAGTAGTGGGTTGTGTTGTATTCTACGTCTGCCTAGAATCATGTCGGTCTTCTTCTCCAGTTTTTTGAGCGACGTCGGCCTTGTTCTTGCTCTTAGGATCGTCACCATCATCAGGCACGTCAATGGCGCAGCTCTTATCCCCTACGGGAATGGAACTGCTGTTGCTGCTGGCTGCTGACAGAATACCATTGCGTTCCGAACCGGTGGGTTGATCCGCGGAATTGATTTGCGATGATGGTGGGGCTACGAATTGAGCTTCTGGTGGCGGAGAAAAGGGACTAGCTGCCGTTGGCCGTCTTACGGCCAGCGTTTCAATGGCCACCACCGTTCGCTCCAGAAGATTCATTAACCGGTCCTCTCGTGCATCCATCCGCTTGAGAAACTCCTCATCGCGCTTCTCGCGTCTCTTCAAATACTCAATCAGCTCATAGTTGGTGCTATCGCCATCGGTGGAGGTGGACATCTTGCGTTTCTTCTTCAGCGTGGTGGACGAGGAACAGTCGGATAAGTTGTCCGTGTCGACGATCACGTCTGGGTGCAGAATATTTGGATCAAGGCCCGGCGAATAGAAGTTTTGTGACCTGAAAGATCATTGATTAAATTAGTTAGAAACAAGGGCACCTTCAATGGCAAGCACTAACCCATTATAGTTTGTCTGCATCAGCTGGATGTCGTCCGGATTGAACTCGCCCTCAGAAAGTGGCTCCGACCTGTGGGCAGAAGAAAAAACATCGTGTTGGTCCCAAAACTTAGATAGACATCTAATAAAGTAACTAAAAATTTTCAAGATTATTAGACGTAATATAAATCTATAAATAAGAAACTACAATTGAATGTAGCTGTTTATGATTTGAATTTTGTACATTAAAAATATACATATAAAGATTTCAGATAAAATCTATAACATTCGCTAAAGTTATGAAAATCTTGATTTTAAAGGTTGTTTTTTATAAAGCAAGCTAATTTTGGGTTCATAATTGTACTAATATTACTTACTTCATGGATATGTTATTGTCATGGTGGTTGTTGTTCTGGTGGTGCATGTTAAGCGCTCCATTGCAATCCTTTTCGAAGTCGGGTGCCTCGCTTGGATCATCCATTGGATTGTGGGACAAGCCTAGGGCGTGGTTATGACTCAGGCCATGGATATGGTTTTTAAATGCTGTTTGCTGGGGCTCGTCCTCATCTTCGTCCTCGGGCGCCATCTGAACACTACTGACACTGGCCATTTGGAGCTCATGTCGTTTATGTGCAGCCACGGCGGCGGCAGCGGCGGCTGCTTGCACCACCTGCATTTGGAGTGGATTCTCGTCGAAGACGCCACCGGAAAGGCCAGTTACACCACCGGTTACGCCAGATCCGGACCCACCGACCGAGCAGTTCGCCTCGTTCAGCTGTGCCTCTACAAAGTGATTGGGCAGGAAGCGTTCCAGCTTGCAACCGCTTTGCGAGGAGTCTGTGGAGTGGGCGTGCGAGTGATTCTGACTCTGACTGAGGCTCTGCAATAGGCTGTGCTGGTGCGGGGTGAGATTGTCCTTGTTGAGCAGCACTCCCAGTTCGGCAGCTTGCCGCCGGCGCTGGTAGTAGGATAGCTCGTTGTGGTTCTTAGAGATGAGAGCTAGGCGCTTGCCATTTGATCCCCAGCACTCGCCGCGCTGCTCCTCGATCTCCTTGAAGAGGAACATGTACGGCCAATTTCGGCGCACATGACGTTCTGGGTTCTTCTTTAGTTGAGTGTAGATCTTCTTGAGATTCTCGTACCGATTGCAGCACTGCTTTGCCGTCCGCTTTCGGGCACTAAATCGATTAAGCACCTCGGCGACCATCTCCCAAACGCTGGCATGGTTCTTCCGGTTCGACTGAAAGGCACTTTGAATGCGTTCTGACTTGACGATGTTCAACAGAGCCACCGACTCCGGAACATTGAAGTACGACTCTGGTGTGCGCGGCGCCCGCTGGTGGTGATAGCTACTTGTCACCGGCGGCGGATTCTTAGTCTCCTGTGAGGATCAATAAGGCAGGTTAATTAAATGGAATAAGGAAATATAAAATTATATTCTCTTTTATATATTCTAGTTTATAAATTATGGAAATTATGATATTATATTAGTATGATTTATATGTCAGCTATCTGTACTTGGTACTAACAAACATTGATGTACTCGTCTAATTTTGGTTTTCTTAAATCTTATAAAACCATTTAAAATCGTGTATATGTATTGATATTTGTGTGCTATTACAGTACGCTCAAATTGTTAGAAAACTATTGCGACCAAATGAACAGTAATTATACTTTTAAATACAAAGGGTATAATAATTGCAACCTTATAAGATTCGCATTTGTATTTAACAACCAAAATGAATACGTTTCTATATATATATGCCTAGTTATTTAGAAAAATATTTAATTTTAAACAATTGTTGTCTTAATATTCTATGATATCAACTCTAAAAAATAATTAAAAGCTCAAACAATAAAATTTTCCAATCTAATTCATTGATAATAGTTTGTAATTATCCAAAAATAAAAGCATATATGTATGTACATATGTATGTACATAATATACAAAATATATATTCATTTCATAAAATGGATCGGCGGTTTGAAGTTGCCAACAGACTTGCTTCAGAAATAGCTATTACGATTTTGACCAGAACTTTTTGTGTATCATGCTGCGGCTGAAGACTCATTCATGACCGTGCTAAGTAGATTCTACGAAATATTCCCTCAGCGAAGATGAGATACTGGATGACTAACAGCGGCGAAAACGGTTTCACAGATTTTTACGGATTGTCACTGCTTCAGATGATCTATGCGAATGCCCAGGCATTCCTATCGAAACACTTCCGAGTCTTGGTGATCTCTCTAATTCTATGTATTTCTCAGAGACCTATAGCTCTATCTCCCTGGAAGCTGATCTTGAGATCTCCCAGCTGCTTACCATTTGAGAAATGTGTTTTGTCAGCAGGTTTTCTTAATTTCCCGATTTTGCTGAGAAGGCACAGTGCTGATATTGTCTCTTCTCTAGCTGACGATTCTTCCGAGTGCTTCTTCAATGGCGGATTCTCCTGCTATTGTTGCTCTTCTGTTCGTTGTTGTTGTTCTTCTTCGTTTTGTTACAGATGCTGCGAGCTGTCGACATTTGCATTTCAAATGTTACTAGTCTAAGCGCAATATAACTTTTTTAACATTCAACGGTTAATAGTTATAGCCCGGCGATCATGTGTGTGTGTGTGTATGTGTACACGAATGTTCATGTCTACAGAAAGAAAAATATAATTCGGATCAGAACAAGAACAACGTTTAGTTAAGCACAGAAACAGAAACCGAAACAAAAATCGAAATCAACGAATGAACGCGATTTGTGTACTTGTTCTTTGTTGTTTTTGGCGTTACTCGCATTTTGTTGTTGACAACAAACCGACAACGACTATTAATATTTAGAAGTTAACCTTTTAGCCTTAGACGGCGGCTCATCGGCTACGGCAACGTCGACAAAAACACGCAAAATAAAAAGAAAAAAATTGAAACACAAACCAAACGCCAGAAAATAATACAAAAAAAAAAACAACAAATCACGAAATCAGATGCACATGTGCCTTGCGTACACACTCACAGTTAATGTTGCCACTACTTTTCACTAGTTTTCCACCAAAGCTCTTTTTTGTCCCTGCTCACTTCTTCTTGTTGTTGTTTTTCTGCAGATCCTCCTTGTTTCGCGCTTTCACTCACTCACATAATAATGCACCAGTCTCTCTTACATTCGACTTTCTCGCTCTCTCTCACTGCTTCTCTCACCAACTCTCTTTTATTCAGGCTCGAGAAGCTTTTGCTGACCTGCATTTGCACTGAGAGAAAAAAAAAGTGAAAGAAGAGTACGCGCGCGCGTGTTTCTTTTTTGCCGGACAACGCGATTACCGTTTACCGTTTCTCCGTAGTCCGCCGTCCTGAGATTCCAACTAACCAACTAAAACTAACCAAACCAAACAACAACGAAACTGAAACTGAACTTTTTGTTTGCGATCCCGTTGTCGATACTAACGGCAGTCGCGCACACCCACACACACATACACGCGAACAGTGGCCCGAGCTCTCCCATAGGCATAGATGTACACACATATAGACTGCTACGATCGTTAGGCGGACGATTGCTCCTCGGGCACGGAACATAACAGAACATTACGGAACGGAACGAAATGGGACGGCGCTGCTCTAACCTGGTAGATTGCGGCGGAGAGCGATGGCAATGGTGGCGATGCCTTCTGGGGTGCACATGTGTGTTACACACATACATTGACTACTTTGGGTATATAAATATACACGAATATGTACATATGTCTACTTATAGAATCGGGCAGAGACAGCAACTACGGCGGCAGAGGCTGAGGCGGAAGACGAAGGCAGCAGATCCGATCGGAGCAAGCAAGATTCCAACGATCCCAACAATCCGAAGAGGGAAACAGTTACTCCGATTCGATTCCTACTCTAAAAGCCACATGCATACCACACTGTACTACACCCATACATGCATCTGCATGTGTTCGGTTTGGGGATGAGATGTGCTGCTATGGTTTGGTATGGTATGGTATAAAAGATGGAGATGGATCTAGATCTACGAAGGGCCAAATGGGAAAAGTCGTAGCCTAAATATAGATACAAGTATGTTGTGCAGTATGGTGGGCATGGGCACCCCAAGTGGATGCGATCGGTTGGCGTTCTGGCTTCTGTTTCGGTTTCGGCTTTTGGGTTGATGATCTCTGCTGCAAAACTGCATCTCGAGCGCACTGGCCAGATTGCACCAGGATACCAAATACCGCTATACTCCAGAAACATATTTGTTTAACATCTGTTAAAGATTTGAAATTCGTTTAATGTTTCGTGTACATGTTGAGAACTAGAACATTATACACATAAAATATGCAATTGCGCTGATGAGATATTTTAAACTAAGATGCTAGGTTGCAACATCAACTTGTATATGAAAATTTGTAATCAAGATTATAAATCATAAAATATATAGGAAGAAAAGGTTTTATATCCACAGTCACTACCTAATCCAGCACTATTAGTAGAGTTGTTAGCAAGACGTATTACCCTGTAGATTAGTTTTGGTATTTATTTTAAAATTAAAAGGTCAACGATTTAATCTTTCCTTCAGAAATGCAAGTATTTCAATATTATTAATAAGTGAACTAACAAGTTAATATCCTTCTGTACTAAATTATTTTACACAAAATTAAAATGTTAAATAAATGTTCAGAAAATAGGTAAAAAGCGCATGCAAAGACAGCCTCGAATTTTTCATCATAACTTATTTCATAGATATAGATTTAAAGATACATTTAACAGTATAGTATAACAAGCTCAATGAAATAGGAGTTATTTCCTGTGAATTGTAACAAAAAGTTAAAGATATTCCGTATTTAATCTACATAGCTCTTAGAATAAATATTTCGGGTCTATCAACATACATATGTAAGACTTATAAGAAAAGTTCGGCTGTTGTTGATAGTTCCGATGAAAAAGAAGGTTGCTTGCCTCTTGTTCTAAGATCGGAATTGAGTCGAGTCTACGGACCAACTACCAAGCTACAGTGATAAGTCATTGGGTTGGAGATAACCCCGCTCCCGACTAACACTGTTTTATTTTTGAGCGTCCGGAGATTATCGAAGCTACGCCGCTCGGCAACTCGATTTCATTGCTTGTTTCTGGGATTTATGCGCCTAATTCGAAATTCGGATCTTTTTCCTACAATCCAACTCCGGTTGCTTTAGTTCGGAAAATATTATGACTGTTAGCTATAGTGGGATATAGACGCTGCAGGCTGTACTACCAGGTCAGTAGCAACCTTCATACGGAGGAGCACAAAGAAGACATTTAAATGAAAAGCGTTCGCCGGCCGAGTGGCAAAGAGAGTGGGCGACGGCAACGGCAACGGCAACGAGAGATCGTAAAGCGAACCACATAGTTCGGATGCAGATACAGCTACAGATACGTACACTTATTTTGGATTACAAATAGAATACGATCGTTGCCAGAGCATACGTTGGTACGTACAACTGTATCGGTGTATCAGTATGTGTATGTGTGTGTGTGAGCTCCTCTGTGTGGTATATGTACTAAAAATTAAAAATAACGGCCGTGGGGCTATGAGTAAATTTTGTACGGCCCCAGCAACGCCAACAAAATCAATCCAATTTCTTTTCCAAATCCAACGAGAGTGAATCGTTTTGGTTACGATCAAGGCATTTTCCATGACTTCCATATGGTTTGATTTGGCAAACGAACGCTGATCGTTGATCGATCGATCGTATCGGCATGTGAGTCAGGCTATAGTAATCAATGAAAATCGGCAAACGAGGAGAGGTGTCAAAGGTGGGCGATCAAAGCCCAAAACCAAATAACGACGGCCTTTCGTAATGTTTTTTCCCCACGATAGTGCATATATCTGCATGTGCTTAGAGCGCCCAATGCATATCAAAATATATGGTCTACGGACTGGATAAAATCGGTTGGGGATTTTTACAAGCCAAGATTAAAGATATTTGATATCGATCGTTTGTTTCGGATACAATTTTTTCCAAATACTTCATATATTAAGAGGTGCTTTGGAGGGACTTAGCTTTCTATATATAAAGAGACAAAAAACTGCCAACTATTAACATATATTCTAAGGATAACTTTATAAATCAAACAAAAGGATAGACTTGACAGTTAATTTTGCAATTAAAATCGGAGACTTGTGCTTGCTAATAAAGCTTGGCTGATATTGATAACTTTTAAAGATAGAAAACCTTTCAAAACCTACCTATTTTTCCTCATACCATAGCTTACATAGCTTGCTCCAGTTTTCAATCAAACATTTTCGAGTTCAACAACCCAACGCATCTCATCCACTATGAGGTGTAGTACAATTTCCTTTCCTCGAACTAAGTGTTATGGATCGGTGGTAGTAGACCATTTCGGGTCCCTAGCCTACGGTTCTTAATACGCCGCTTTAAAAATAGCAACTATAAATCTTATGTACTCTCGTCGCTGGCAAAAAAAAAAAAACGTTTGTTAAACGTTCCCCGCTGATCTCGAGAGGAGATCTGGTTGCTGCCAGTGCTGTTGCAGTCTGTAAAAGTAAAAGCAACGTATCCAAATCCCATGTAAATCGGCCACATGCACTCACTCATCCGAACATCTGTCAGTCCATGGCACACACTTAACAAAATTGACCTTTCACGTCCTATAACGTCGAACAGGATATAGCTACAATGCAACTTGGTATTGAAAATAATTCCTTTATTATGTTAGATTAAATCTTTGTACAGTAAACTGTTTAAGCGGAGAACCCTTAATGGGAAATATTTGTATATAACTTTAGTGATTAACTTTACAATATCAAATACCGTTGATTGCGGAATATTATTTATGTTAATTAGTTTCAATGAAATGGCCTGTTAATCACTTGTTAAAATGCATTTATGTTAAAGTTTATAGTAACGTTTTTCTCAGAATATTAAGCAAGGATCTAAATTTTATCAAATACAATTTAATAATATTGATTTTATTCCAAGTGTACACACATGTTCCTATCTATATATGCGGTGCAGGGCTGAAACTATCGAAACTAATGTTACTTAAGTTGGCGTTGGTATTGGGGGAGGAAACCATCTTACAGTCTACGTTGAAGAACACCGTACCCAAAAAAAGAAACAGATTTGAATTCGGAAACAAATTCAGATTCAGATTGAGATTCAGATTCAGATACAGATACAGATACAGGCATACCGATACGGATGCACATACAGACGTACAGATACAGATTATAGCTACAGAGCTACATTCACGATCGTGACGCCAGCGGAGGAAATTTTCGAGCACGGGTAAAGAGAGGAGGGTGGGGCGGGTTTGGCTGCAGACGGACGGACAGCAACTACAGCAACGGAGCGTAAGCAATGTTAACGAGTAAAAATCAAGAAAATTTTAGTTCTAAAAATAACCCTTGTACTCATTTTTGTTTCAAAACGGAAAGCAGCAGCCAACAAACGACCAAAAACCAATAGCTATAAAGCGCAAAGATACTGAGATACTTGCACTCTGCGCAACGTTTCGAGATACAGATATACACAGATATATATATATATAGATATATAGATATACAGACATACGGACATACGGCTATATAGATGAGTTGCCGCCAGCAACAGATTCTTGGCAATGCCATTGGCGGTAGAACATACTGTTTTACATATACGATTACCAATAGGTTTCTTCTTGGAATTTAATTTGTAACGTTTTCGAAAAATGTTTAAATTATGATGAGTATAGTATTTGAGTGTTGTGACTATAAGATCTCTGGTACTCAATTCAGGAGCCACGCTCATTAAAAATTATATCTATTATTAGGAAATTTGACATTATTTTCGTTTTAAGAACACTGAACACAAACAGATGAAGCTGCAGTACATTACAGTAGAGTACAATTTTATATTGAACTGAATTTTATACTATTTTTATATTAATGTTGCAGGTTTTTGTAAAAATAAACTTAATAAAAGGCAATAAACTGATCTTAAGCTTTTAGAATCTAATATTGGTAATTTTTCATATTTAAACGAATCGATGATATTCTTAATGCTTTCCGTATTATGCTGAATCTTCAACGATCATTACTACTTTACTTAACAAAGAAAATATGAAAACATAAATACCCAATTATATCTTAGAAGACCTTTAAAGTGGCATTATCCTATGGCGTTCCATTGCATGTGACATTTATCGGATCCCAAAAGTCCTTCAGTTTGGTGCGCCATCTAGTGGCACAAGCTTGCGATTATCCTGTTAGATGGGCGAGCTTTAAGCAGCTTAAATTGCGATGCCAGATAAGCGGCACTGGCAACGGTGAATGGCAAATGGCAAGTGGAAAATAGCGGTGGGTGGTGAGCTGACAGGTAACAGTAAATAGCAAACAGCAGTTAACAGGTGCGCACACATATGCTACACGGGGTACCGTTACACAATTCCGATGAAAGCGGCGCCTCTGGGGAGTGTGTGTATTTGCATATCCTTGAGCGTCTCTCACACACAGACACAAACTTATATGAAGAAGGGGAAGGGGGCTGCGTCTGCGCTCTTGTTGCTTGCACTTTCCGTTGCCTACTTTCATGCGTATGAGAGAGCGATTGTGTATGTGTAGGTATATGTGTGCGTGCGAGAGAGCGAAATCGAAATGGAAAGTCGGGTAACTTGTAGCTTTGGAATGGCAACTACAACTCTGTTATAGATACAGGAAACTTCCTGTTGACGGCGTTGCCAGATTGTCGCCAATCTTCGTGGCAACTTCGCCACTTACCGTTAGCCCTTCCACCATTCGCCATTCACCATTCGCCGCATCGCACGCATGTAATGCTGTAAGGACGAAAAGCTCATCTGCAGGAGCGGGCCAGAAGGCAAACTCGCTGCTTCGCTTATGCTCCACACACAAAAAACTGATACACACGGAAAAATCGCTGACATTCATTCACCGAATACCGAGGCGAGAAGCGCAACCGCCTGCACGAAACGTGGTTACCAATAAATTAATACAAAAAAATAAAAAGAAGGGAAAATAAAAGATTGGTGATCAGGACAAAAAATTAAATAATAGTCCCTGAGTGAAAGACGTTAGCATTTGACTTTTTGTTTTGTGTGTGTGTCTCTGTGCGTGCGTTAGTTAAAAACACGGATACAACGGCGAAAGGATATAGGAAACACGTATATATACACGAGTGTGCGCGTATGTGCGTGTGTGTGTTGGGGCCACGTGAAGGCGAAGGCGAAGGCGCGCAACAACAGGAGCGGTTGGGATAGAGATAGAGATAGAGAAAGTGACAGTGACAGTGGCTGGCGAAAAACCGAAAGTGAAAATTGAATTCGAGCAGCAGCAGCAACAGCAGTAGCACTAGCAGCAGCAGCAGGAAGGACTCGCAATCAAAATCAGTATCAACGGGCGCGTATCCTTCAGCCGTAAACTGTTGAATATAGAATGACGCTGCTGACAAAAATCAATGTTAAGCACAAAGAAGCAGCAGAAGCAGTAACGGTAACAACAGCCAGGATCCATAGTCTGCACCGTTCCTCCAGATAAAGATAAGGCTCTAAGGATAAGGATAAAACGAGTGAGAGTGAGAGCGAAAGAGAACGAACACAAAAAGCAAGGACTAGAGGCACAAAAACCTACAGTGGCGGAAGGGCCCTTTCAAGTGCAACAATCGCCGAAATTCTCTGCAACCTTACCAGGACCACCACCAACAACACCACCACCACCACCACCGCTACCATCACCATCATCCCCTCTTCATCCACTTGCTGCCCCCCTGCAAAAAAAAAGTGTGCTATCCTTTTTATTAGTAACTGTTGAGGGCTGAGACAAAAGCAAAATGAAGCCATCGGATTTGTTGTTGGTGCTAGAGAAGGTAAGCAACAAGAACCGAAAAAAGACCAAAAGAAACCAAAAAACAAACAAAGTGAAGAGCCCCTCCTCCACAAAAAAGTGAAAAGTGTATTTTTATTTCTCCACTGAATCTGACACAGAGTTTTGGTCACTGCTAAAATTGGAGCCCCCTCATCCACTATCCACTCACACACATACATACACTTACACTTACCAACGGACATACGCAGTGTGCGTGTGTTAATGGGGCTCCGTTGTAATGGTGTGCCTCAAAAAGGTCATTATGATGCCGAACGCCGACGCACACTCACACACCCACATACACACACGGACAGTATAAAAGCGAAAGCATGCGAGTGTGTGTGTGTGTGTGTACCGTGGACTTATGCAAATCCATTTGACAACGAAGAAGCTCGCCACACACACACACACAAACACACACGGGCGAGTAAGTAATCGACGAACGAGCATAGACGTGGCAACAACTACACTTACATCCGAGCTTCAATGCCAAAGCATAAAAACAACAAAAACAAAAAAAAAACAAAAAAATATACCCACACACAAACAGACACATACAGCCATGCAAAAAGGGATGGCGAAAGGGGGCCACATTTTTGGCTCGGCTTTATCTTTATTGCCACTTCTGTTGCGCCTGGCCCTTTACAGCCGCAGCTGTAATTGGAGCCGCTCGTCTCTAGACCAAATCCCCAGTTCCACTCTGACACTCCACTCTACTCCACACCACATTCAATCCGGGAATCCGGAATCCCACTTCCAGAAGCATGTGTTTTGGCCAGGATTAGGTGCGAGCGGGATGGCCGCAGTCGGAGCTTTGTTATGACAATATCGCTCATACGCAGTGTATGGCTGACTGCAAGACGAGCTTAGCCGCCCAAAAAGTATGCTATAAGTACAGCTATATACACAGTAATAAAAATATTGTCATTAAGGGGAAATAAAAAATGATATGTACTTAACTTGTCTTCGGGAAAACATAGAAAGCTTTGCAATTGCATGTTTAATTATCTTCAAGTCAGTCACTAATTTTGATTTATTTATAGGCGTTAGCAATTTTCTCGTAGTATTTTTGTCTGTAAGGATTTCCTCAATAATAAAGAAGTTCTATTTGTAGATGCCATCTCCAATCGGACTTGGCTTATCTAGAAAACAGGGCAAGCAAGACTCCCCCGCGAGATGATTGTCCCCCAGGAAGTCCAGCCCCTTTCTTGGTGGGGTGACCTTTTCTGTTGCTGCCATTGCATTTGCTGCTCATCCCCAGACACTTGCGAGCCATTAATAACGCCAAATTGTTGAAAAAAAGAAAGAGAAAAGAAAGTCTAAGACACCGAAGTGTGTAATACCCTTTCGGTTAATTTTTACCTTTGAAGCTTATGGTGAATTTGACATGCTTTTATCTTTAACAGAATATTTAAGATTATCCCGTAGTCCACTCTTGGGCAGCCTTTCAAACCTCTAGCGATTGCGTTACAAACTTCAGAGCAAAACTGAAATGGACTCTGCAAGGTTATAATTTTATGGGGTATCTCGGTACTCATTGGAACACAAAGGGTGGAAGGACAACACTGCATATGGGTTAGGGGTTATGGAGATGCAGCGTTAAAGGATGCAGCGGGAAACGAAGGCGATTGCCTCGGATGCTTTGATTGCGACAAGGACTGGCCCGTTCTAGTAACCGGAACTGAGCCAAGGCGCCCACGCACCCACTTTGTATACCGCCACCATACAGAGCTGGCTTACCAGAAGGGGTGAATGAAGACACTCGTTGAGGAGACGCATCTGCGGTCGACTGCCTACCCGCTGACATGGCATTTAGCTAGGAAGCGGGGGAGCAAATGATGTCGAGCACTGCATCTGACATCAAAGGCTCTTCCTGTGATATATATATATACATATATATGTGCAACGAGGTCCTTTTTACGAGCCATTTCCTGAAATGGGAGCAGAAAACAGGAATCAGTTGTGGAGATAGTCTCCAGGAGTTCGAAACGGGGATCTTCTTCCGCTAACCAGTTTTAACAATGGTGATTTTTTTTTAAACAATATTTTAAATGGTTATTGTTTATTAAGTGTAAAATAGGTTAAAAAAAAGCTGTTGATGAACTCCGTAAAGTCTACAAAAAGTGTTTTGTGGAACCCTGATTTTGAAAATTTGTTAAACAATCATAGAAAATAAAGGTTATAATTAAATTCCACAAAAATAATTCAGGAATAAGATGTATATTTAAGATGTAAGACACAATCAAAACTTTGATTATTTTACTGAAATATAAAAAAAAAAAATTAAAGAGGTAACAACAAGGCGGTATGCCCTGTGTTAATTCCATTTAAAATCGAATTGGGTCAGTTTTGTGTTCATCTAATTAGCATTTTCCAATTACTTAGCATTTGCAATTGTCTAAAGCTTCCAATGGCAGGTCGAAGTTTTTATACTCTAGCTGATAAAATATTGAGTTTCAACTCTTATATATTAATCAAATTATCATTAATATAGTTTCAATAAAAGTGTTTTCCATCGTTAAAAATGTCTACCTTAAGCAGAGAAGCTTCAAATTTAGTACGTTTTGTGATTTATTTTTGGAGTGTAGAAAAACTCCTGGCAAGGGCAGGCAGAACTTGTTGCAAATATCGATTGCTAGGTCCTTGCCAGGACCTCTTCTGCCGCTCCGCTATCTCCTGGCATTCACATTTCCCCCCCTGCTTCAACATCGGTTATCAGTGGAGAGCACACGCCACTCGTGGGTGGGCAGGGTGGCTTTTGGCACTCATCTTTCAATAGCAGCTGCTCAAACGTTGGTCCTCGAATTAATTGTACTCCTGCTTCGCTCCGATTGCAGGTCAAGTTCAGGGTGCCTCTGCCGCCGGGGGTTAGCTCGACGACGCTCCTGCCCAAGCTCATCCGCACCAAAGATGTGAAGCAGCTGCAGGACGGCAACGCACAGCCACAGAAGCCCAAGCTAACGGTGAGTGGCCAATGATGGAATTTAACCTTTTAGATATCTTTAAAATATATTTTGCCCATTCTACAGAAATGTCTGAACACGCTCGACCTGACTTCGCTGGGCATCGGATCCTGCTGCGGCACGGGCATGTACCTGGTGGCCGGCATGGTGGCCCAGAAGATAGCCGGCCCCGGAGTGATTATTAGTTTTATTATAGCCGCCATAGCGAGTATTTTCTCAGGTAATCTAATGAGCTTCTACTATTTGAAGATGATTGATTGAACTAATTTTGAAAGTGATTCTTGGATGATGATATATAATGGAAGAAATAATTAATATAAATACTTACTTAAACTGATATTTCCCGAGTGATAAATACATTTTTGAGTCCAGCTAGTCAAAGTTTCAAGAAATTGGTACATTCTCTCAGTCTAAGTTGACTATTTCCAAGATATATTATATATGTAAATTCCATTTTCCTGATCCATAGGCGCCTGCTATGCAGAGTTTGGCGTTCGTGTGCCACACACTTCCGGCTCGGCCTATATGTATTCATATGTGGCAGTTGGAGAATTCGTAGCTTTTATAATTGGTTGGAACATGATATTGGAATATCTAATAGGTGAGTATTCACAGGCAAGTCTTAAGTCCCATTTGAAGTCTTTTCTTAATCCAACAGGAACAAGTGCCTGTGCCTGTGCGTTAAGTTCTAGTTTCGATTCCCTGACCGGCAATGCCATAGCCCGAACGATAAGCGAGTCCATCGGCACGATATTCGGTGAGTATTGAGAGATGGTCTTCAGTTTCCTTCGATAATCTATATCATATATCCTATATACTTAAAGGCAAACCACCGGACTTTATTGCCTTTGGCATTACGCTGCTCATGACCTGCGTCCTGGCAATGGGGGCCAGCAAGTCGGTCATCTTCAATCACTCCCTCAACGCCATTAACCTGGCCACGTGGGTGTTCGTCATGGCTGCCGGGCTGTTTTACGTGGACACGAAGACGTGGTCCGAGCACCAGGGATTCCTGCCGTACGGCTGGAGTGGTGTAAGTAGCTATCCATCATTCGAATTTGATTTTTTTGTTGTTTACTCTTATTTTTACAACAACAGGTTTTTTCCGGTGCTGCCACCTGTTTTTACGCATTTATCGGTTTCGATATCATCGCGACAACTGGTGAGGAGGCGCACAATCCGCAAAAAAGCATCCCGAAAGCGATCGTTGGTTCCCTGGTCGTCGTGCTAATCGCCTACGTTAGCGTTAGTCTAGTCCTAACATTAGTGGGTAAGTTTATTCTATATAATTAGGTTAGAAATCCCTATGCCATATGGAATGGCATCCTTGGATCCTTATTAAGTTTATATAGAGCTGTGTAAACATTAAAAATTGAAATGCTTCCTCGATCTATAGTTCCCTATGATCACATCAACACGGGAGCGGCTTTAGTCCAGATGTGGTCGTACGTGAATGCTCCGAAGTGCCGTGCGATAGTGGCCATCGGAGCTACCGCTGGACTCTCGGTAGCCATGTTTGGCTCGATGTTTCCCATGCCGCGCGTCATCTATGCAATGGCCCAGGATGGTCTGATCTTCAGGTGAGTGTAGAGTGGATTTTAAATTTCCATATAGCCCAATTTCATCAAATCCCCTACAGACAACTTTCACAGTTGTGGCAACGCACCAATGTCCCCGGACTAGCGACCATCGGCAGCGGTCTTGCCGCCGCCCTGGTGGCACTCACCGTGCGCTTGGAGATCCTTGTTGAGATGATGTCGATTGGGACGCTGTTGGCCTACACATTGGTGTCCACCTGTGTTTTGGTCTTGCGCTACCAGCCGCATAGTACCTCGCTGGTGGAGCTGCTGCCGGCCCAGCTACGCACTCCAGTGGCACCCGGTACCGCCAGCGATTCTCGATCCCATGTAACGCCCGCCGAGGTACTCGAGATCCCTGGCAAGCTAACCATCAAGCGGGTAACGCGCGGTATGTCCGACTCGGATGACTCCTTCATCGACGACAGTCCGGAGGGATTTCTGGGCGGTCGGGACGATCAGTTTTTGGTATCCGATCGATCCGAGAACAAGTTCTACGGCAGTGTACATGGCGCACCCACCGGACCCACCGGTCAGGCGACTGCCTTCGATGCCATGGGCTTGAACTTTGTTAGCCGGAAGATTCACGACTACGCGTACCTGTGCCCTGGCTTCTTTCCCTGGATAAATCCTGGCCAGGCCACCGCCGAGAGTGGTATGTTACCCTCAAATAGTTATCCTTTGTAGTTTTGGGTCAATCATGTCAAAGTCAAATGGTTAACCACTGAAAGGGGACACGGTTGACCCAATAACTATTCCTGCGCCCTTGGTTCCCGCTGATGACCCATTCATAACAAAATTGCTATTGAAATTGACTCTTTGCTTTTACTTTTCCAATCCAATTCGATTTGATCCACCACCGACGCACCACCGATCCATCGACATCGAATTCGAACCACCAGGCATGTACGTCACCAAGCTAGTGGGCATCATGTTCGGTCTCATATTCTTCCTGGACCTGTTCGCGGCCATTGGCTGGTCCGGTGGCCTCGCCGCCTTCATTTATTTCATTTTGTTTATCGGCATATTTGTGATACTATTGATTATATCGAGGCAGCCGCAGAATAGGTAATTAAATGTCGACCGATCTCTCATCTCTTGCTAATCCATCTCTCGTTTTCGTCTTCGATTTCCTACTCCGATCTCGTCCAGGTATGCGTTGGCCTTCCTCACTCCCGGACTCCCTTTCATTCCGGCCATTGCCATTACCGTGAACATCTACCTGATATTTAAGCTGAGCATTCTTACGTTGGTCCGCTTCACTGTGTGGATGTCCCTGGGATTCGTTATGTACTTCTACTACGGCATCACGCACAGCAGCCTCGAGCAGACCAGCGATGATCTGGAGTTGCACGTTGACTACGTGAGTTGTTTAATAATACGATGATCGCTTCCTGGTGTAAACCCTGTATTCGTTTTTTTATTTTCAGAGCAAAAACGTCGAAGAAAAGGCCGTGTGGGATCAGCAATCGTACAACCAGACCCACGAGCCCGTTTGGGCTAGCAAGGAGGTGAAGCAGCCGTCGAGTAAGTACAGAGTCTGACAGCCATACCATAATATCGCAACATGGCGGATGATAAATATTTATGAACTTAGACCTAAAAGTAGGAAATCAAACTTTGTATAAGATAGCTTGTTAGGTTCATATTAAGAAGACCTTCCCGTATTGAAAACTAATTTTATATATTCTGTCTAACAGAGCAACGTTATAACTATGGAAAGACCACATCGTCTTCGTCGTCGGCACAGGGCAGCTCGAGGAGTGGCCAAGGCAGTGCGCCGGAGAAGCCACCGGGCAGGAGCACCACAGGCCCCAACCGACCGGTTCCACCTCCCCCGATAGCTGGCCAGGCGAAGGGATCAGGCAGTGGTCCACCGATGGAACGCCAATACACCGGCCAGTTCAGCATGTTCGTGGACGAAGGCCAGTTCCCGACGTGGGAAGACTAAGTGGCAAGCTCTATTAACATATATCCCAATCCCAGTCCCCCTTTCCCATATCCCAATAATACCCTCTGATTCCTGAGTGATGCTCCATAAAAGAAAGATAACTTACATCGGCTCCGATCTTAATGGCTGGCGATATGGATCGTTTTCTAGATTTGGATTTGGATCTGAATGCGGTCTGCCGGGGGCAGCTCACTCACTTGTAAATATGATTAGAGATGTTAAGTTTATCCATATGGCGAAGTGTGTCGTTACCGAGTTGCAGATGCATACCGTATACAAGGCATGTGCATGTGTCCTGGGCGGCGGAGTTACTGTTCACTGCACTCTGCCCGACCCCCATCGAGGTCACTGTTATACACATATACCATATACAATATATATTATACATATATATATACATATATATATATATATATTGATTATACAAGCAAATATATATTTACATATATAGCGATGGGTTATTAGTTCAGCAAAGAGTTAAAGTGCAAAGTTGCCGAATTCCAATTACCCGAACCTTGATACCAAACCGACCGATTAGCGATAGGCGATAAGCAAAAACCATAGACAACAGATAACCGATAACCAAAATGAACGATTGTGCTCAACTCCGATTGGCAAGCGTTTTGGGTGACGTTGGTCAATCGGCTTTCAGCACAGGAATCAGGAAGGCAGACGAGATAATACATATGCATATTTCTGAATTATTCAGATATATCCTGTAGTGAGTTGGGTGTCGGGGTGCTACCATGCACAATTGTACATTTACGGCACCACCACCCCCACACTCACACTCACTCCGACACGAACAGAAGATTAACGAAAAACCCTGGGCTTGTGAAAAGATCACCGAAGTAGATCAGAGGTTACCTTTCGTAACCCCAAATGATATTGGACCTCTGACCCAAGACGATCTTTGCATAAAGTTGGGTTTTACTTACACACACACACACACACACACAGAGAGACTCACACATAAAAAAAGGACAAAAGAAAACTGACGATCTTAAATACTAAACCTTATGTACCTATGATTCTATATTGTTGTTTACATATTTATGCTATGCATTTTATATGGCGCCTGGACGCGAGGTTTTACAGTACAGTACGCTCTGCCTACGGCCGTCCCGTCTCACTCACTCTATCGGAATGTTATTTGTTTTTTATTCTATAAGCTCGCGCTAAACTAAAACTCATTTTTAAGCGGCATTTCGCATTCGTTGTAATACAATTCATTTTACTAATGGAATACCAAGCAAAAATTATACAAATATGCATATATATTTATAAAAAAAAAAAACTACCATATAGACAAATACCAAAGAATACCAAAATATTTATTGAACTATTCAAATTTAAACCAAGGATAAAACCAAAGCAAGCATAACTACAAATATGTATAAACACAATGATAACTTAAACCAAAAAGCAAATATGATAATGAAAACATTTATGTACAAGCATACTTTTTTCCACTTTATATACTATGTACAAGCAAACCATGCATAACTATTTTTAGCTAAATTACAAGTACATATATGGCAAACGTTAAAACGAAATCAACCTTTTTAATAATAATAATACTTATAATAATTTATTCCTTTTGTACTTCACGACTTTGTACAGGAAAGAATCCGAATAGCGAATATCAAAGATTGCAACAAGAACTCAATAACCTAGGGCTAGCTTTCGATTCGATCTAGCCCCGAAACAGAGAAAAACACTATTTATATACAAAACAAACAACTTACCGTCTAAGACATTCAATATATTTTTTTTTTGTTATTTTGAATTTCTTTCATTCGATTCTATTTAGTTAAATCCGTTAAATTTCGAGTGCCAAAAACAATGCACCATGCACTTCTTGAACCAGTAGCAGAAAACATATTGTAAGTCTAAGGACCGAAACAAAACTAGTTCCATGTTCCACTTACTCAATAATAGGGTTTTCGAAGAGGAGCTTTCCGGACCAACTACTTAAGATATAGTGCCACCCAACGGTCCTGCACCACGTAATGTGTACTTATCATTTTTGTTCAATAAAAAACTTTCTTGATTTGTTTCTTAACTCTTAAAACCGAACACTATTTGTACATACACAACCTACACATACACAGGCAGGCAACAAAAACAAACAGTGCGAATGTATATTTTTATGAACAAGACACGAAAATGAAGCAACTAAAGGGAAACGAAACTCAGATACAAAAGTAATAACTAAAGAATAACATATCCTACCACACAGCTTAAAGATGAGATATAAAAATAATGGAACTCAACAAGCCTACATTCATCAGATAGTTTCGAAAAGCGATCGTTTATCAGTTACCAATTCCATGTTTTTATTTCGTTACGAATTTGGGTCAAAGTTTTTATTTAAACTAATACGATTTGATTTGTGATCTTGTGAATCCCAACTATCTGTTGAGTGTTCGCTCAGAGGAGTTACCATCCGTACTTCTATATGTCGGTCCACTTATGGAACATATTTAAGTGACAAAATTTACAGTACAGGCAATCCAGTAACTGCGAGCTGAAGCAGCTTGCTCTTCCACCTTTCGGTTCTTTCGGTACCACCAAGTTAAGATAAATGTTATGGGAATATGATAGTTTTAATAGATTTTTCTACAGTTCCAATTTAAAGCGAATAACAACCAAATCAACATAACGTGCAATATATTGATAAGTGTAAAGGGAAAACCAAAAGCTTCCGTTAACAAAAAGTATGCATTTTACTACCACATATTATTTCCATACTTTTCTAATCCCTCAAATGGATAATAAAAAAACAACTAACTCTAAGGTCTATGCTCACTGTGACTGTAACTGCAATCTAAAATACAAAATCAGAAGCCCAAAAACAGAAGTGACGAAAAACCTAATCGCACCCACAAACACACATAGACACACGCACACAAAATAAGGAACAGAACAACAATAAGAACAGCAATAAGAGAAACCGCAATTGAAGATATTTATAATTCCGAAATCGAAGCAGACCGTTTACTTAAGAACCAAGCCTAAATATTAAAAAAAAAAACAAGAACATTTGATTGTTTAATTGATTGGAAATGGCTTTAGACGATTGTTTACTTATTGATTGATTTTCCAGCTGAATATAAAGTACCTAAGTTTCTGTTTATTTCATAAGACTGAATTACTGGAATATGATTTATTTTAAACGTGTATATAATTAAGGTGTAATAGCAAACTTTACAACTTTTACTAATGAAGCATCAAAATTTTTGAAATTATTCTGAACTCATTTATTAAAAAATTTAAAAAAAAAAATCAAGAAGAACGTGAGAAGAAACGAGGAAAACAAGTGATGAGATAGTCAAGAGCGAATGAAATTAATATGCAACTATTAATATACAACATATATGGGAAAATCCCGATATGAAGATATATATATATATATTTCAATGGATCGATAACAAAAAAAAAAACAGCAAACCAAAGTGAAATGAAAATGATGTTAAAATATAAGAAAACAAAACATTTTTTAATTCAAATACTACTCTTGATTTGTTTTATGTGTTAATAACTTATTAAATGATATTTCTTGAGAATATTACAAAATAAAATTGTTAGGATATTCAATTTTTACCTTTTTCGTGGGGGGAATCGTTAAGTAATGTCGTTAATTATAGTGCTTTCCCTAACTAACGGTTGGAAATTTCCCCCTATTTTAAAGTAGTTAATTTATCACTTTCAATTCATCCTTCTACTCATTTCATAGCCGTTTGAAATGTCCCCCTATTTTAAAGTTTTTAATTATTCACATCATTCTACTCATTTCATAATGCGCCTCGAACATCTGTTATTTGAAAAGAATAACATAAAGAAAATACATTTTTTAGTCTAAAAAAAAGCTTTTAAAGCATAAATATTTAAAGATTTCTTTTTTAAATATGCACCAGTGGAATACAGTTATTTAACTCAAAAAAGTGCAAAACGGAGTATTTATTGTGCTGCTCGCAGTATTTTATGGATTGCAAAAAATACCAAATGATGTAGTATATATTTTTGCTCTCCGGTCGAGTCACTCCCTGGCAAACGGTCGCACTAATTACGCAGAGAAAAAAAAAGCTAACAATTTTTTCTGTGCCCGAAAACTAATAATTTAAAAGGTAATCAAAGGAGAGCTCTGTTAGAAGAGGTCTCTGTAAGACATATTTACCGTATCCCAGCTGATGACCCATTTACCGTAATCCGTTTCGAGTAATTTCCCAATTCAGCCCTCTTTTGAGACGTGTTCAAGCTGCGATAGGGGCGAATGTGTTGGTATTCGGGTGATTCCGCCCACAAAAGGGGATGTGGAGGGGCCGTGCAATCAATAATCGCACTTCTCAAGCCGGAAACTCATTTTCGCTCTTCTAAATTTTAGTTCGCAGCGAGGAGCAGCAGCCACGATGACCGATTCCAAGTACTTCACCACCACCAAGAAGGGCGAGATCTTCGAGCTGAAGTCGGAGCTGAACAATGACAAGAAGGAGAAGAAGAAGGAGGCGGTGAAGAAGGTTATCGCTAGCATGACCGTGGGTAAGGATGTCTCCGCCCTCTTTCCCGATGTGGTCAACTGCATGCAGACTGACAACCTGGAGCTGAAGAAATTGGTCTACCTCTACCTGATGAACTACGCCAAGTCACAGCCAGACATGGCCATCATGGCGGTGAACACGTTCGTAAAGGACTGCGAGGATTCGAATCCATTAATTCGGGCGTTGGCCGTGCGCACCATGGGCTGCATCAGGGTGGACAAAATTACCGAGTACCTATGCGAGCCGCTGCGGAAATGCCTCAAGGACGAGGATCCGTATGTGCGCAAAACAGCCGCCGTGTGCGTGGCCAAGCTGTACGACATCTCGGCTACAATGGTGGAGGATCAAGGCTTCTTGGATCAACTGAAGGATCTACTGTCTGACTCGAATCCCATGGTGGTGGCAAACGCCGTGGCAGCGCTTAGCGAGATCAACGAAGCTAGCCAGTCTGGCCAGCCGCTCGTGGAAATGAATTCGGTGACCATTAACAAGCTACTGACGGCCCTGAACGAATGCACGGAATGGGGACAGGTCTTCATTCTGGACTCACTGGCCAACTACAGCCCGAAGGATGAGCGCGAGGCGCAGTCCATCTGCGAGCGAATCACACCTCGTCTGGCCCACGCCAATGCCGCCGTTGTTCTAAGTGCCGTTAAGGTGCTGATGAAGCTTCTCGAAATGCTGTCTAGCGACAGCGACTTCTGCGCCACACTCACTAAAAAGCTGGCTCCCCCACTGGTCACGCTGCTCTCTTCGGAGCCGGAGGTTCAGTATGTGGCGCTGCGTAACATCAACCTAATTGTTCAGAAGCGGCCGGACATCCTTAAGCACGAAATGAAAGTATTCTTTGTCAAGTACAATGATCCCATTTACGTCAAACTGGAGAAGCTGGACATCATGATCCGCCTGGCCAACCAAAGCAACATCGCTCAGGTGCTCAGCGAGCTAAAGGAGTATGCCACCGAGGTGGATGTAGACTTTGTCCGTAAGGCGGTGCGTGCCATCGGACGATGCGCTATCAAGGTTGAGCCTTCGGCAGAACGTTGCGTCTCTACGCTTCTGGATCTTATCCAGACTAAGGTCAACTACGTGGTGCAGGAGGCCATCGTTGTTATCAAGGATATCTTCCGCAAGTACCCCAATAAGTATGAGAGCATTATCAGCACGCTCTGTGAGAACCTAGACACCCTGGACGAACCGGAGGCACGCGCATCTATGGTTTGGATCATTGGCGAGTACGCGGAGCGCATTGACAACGCCGACGAGCTGCTCGATAGCTTCCTTGAAGGTTTCCAGGTGAGTCTCAACTGCATTTGACTACATTATCAGAAGTCTAAATTTCTTTTTTGTTTCCAGGATGAGAACGCACAGGTGCAATTGCAGCTCCTCACTGCCGTTGTCAAGTTGTTCCTCAAGCGTCCATCTGACACCCAGGAGCTAGTGCAGCATGTACTCTCGCTGGCTACCCAAGATTCGGACAACCCTGATCTGCGTGACCGTGGCTTCATATACTGGCGTCTCCTGTCCACAGATCCAGCCGCTGCTAAGGAGGTAGTGCTGGCCGACAAACCACTTATCTCAGAAGAGACAGATCTTTTGGAGCCAACGCTGCTGGACGAGCTCATCTGCCACATTAGCTCGCTGGCTAGCGTGTACCACAAGCCCCCAACTGCCTTCGTGGAGGGTCGCGGGGCGGGAGTGCGCAAGTCGCTGCCCAACCGTGCTGCCGGAGCTGGAGCTGGTGGTGAACAACCCGAAAGCGGAGCCGGATCAGAGGCCATGGTCATTCCCAACCAGGAATCACTTATTGGCGATCTTCTCTCCATGGATATCAACGCACCTGCAATGCCATCCGCTCCGGCGGCCACCAGCAATGTTGACCTTCTGGGTGGCGGCCTAGATATCCTTCTTGGTGGCCCACCTGCAGAAGCGGCTCCCGGTGGAGCATCCAGCCTACTAGGCGACATTTTCGGTCTGGGCGGTGCCTCGTTATCAGTCGGCGTGCAAATCCCCAAGGTCACATGGCTGCCAGCAGAAAAAGGCAAAGGTCTGGAGATACAGGGTACCTTCTCGCGACGAAATGGCGAGGTGTTTATGGACATGACCCTTACCAACAAGGCTATGCAACCAATGACCAACTTCGCCATTCAACTGAATAAGAACAGCTTTGGTCTGGTGCCTTCCTCACCCATGCAGGCTGCTCCCCTTCCACCCAACCAGTCCATCGAGGTGAGCATGGCGCTGGGCACCAACGGACCCATTCAGCGTATGGAGCCGCTCAACAACTTGCAAGTGGCTGTCAAGAATAACATCGACATATTCTACTTCGCCTGTCTGGTGCACGGCAATGTGCTGTTCGCCGAAGACGGTCAGCTAGACAAGCGCGTATTCCTCAACACCTGGAAGGAGATCCCTGCCGCCAATGAACTGCAGTACAGCCTAAGCGGTGTCATTGGCACCACTGACGGTATCGCCTCCAAGATGACCACCAACAATATCTTCACCATTGCCAAGCGCAATGTTGAGGGCCAGGACATGCTCTATCAGTCACTCAAGCTAACCAACAGCATTTGGGTGCTTCTGGAGCTTAAACTGCAGCCAGGTAACCCTGATGCCACACTCAGCCTCAAATCACGGTCCGTGGAGGTGGCCAACATAATCTTTGCCGCCTACGAGGCCATCATCCGTTCCCCATAAGCGTTCCACGGAGATCGTCGGATGGTTGACGAGGAGCACAAAGCAATCGGAGCGATCAATTTATGAGGGAACCAAGTTGGATGTTCTCTGCGGATGTTGAAGATTAGCTCAACAATAAGTTGTAATTTACGTATTATTATTATATATTGTGTATTGGCGACTTAGCCACTTACATACATTATTTATGCATAATGCACACATATAAACCAATCAAGTTTGTCGAGAGAACTGTTAATTGTTAATCGGAGCTGCATGTCCTCAATGTACTGTAACGTATGACCGTGGTGTAAGCTGCGCGTAAGCTAACGTTGCGTAATCGCATTCCAAAACTCTGTAATCCCATATGCACGGCATCTATGTATATGTTCGTGTTCTAGTAAAATGTATGACATAACACACTAAAGATTTCAGACATTGTTTTTTTAATGGTAGATCGACAGAAGGACATTTTAGCATCAACTAAAACCAACCGATCTTTAGCAGTACAAAGTTTTATTTTTAGAAATCCAGAAATTCTTAGTTGGATTTGTAAGATCAAATAGGTATTATCAAAGAAATGTTATTTAAATTTTCAAAGTCATTAAGTAAATTAGGATTCAAAGATCTTCTCAAGCATTAAAGACAGGAAAGTTTTATCTAGAATTCGGTAAACTTATTTAAAAATTCAATTAATTCAAGATAAGAAAACGCTTTCCCGCGCTGATCAAATTTTTCCAATCCTCAGCCACACCCACTTTTGCCCCCGTGAAATAAGCATTTTTATAGCAAGCACATTTGGAAAGATAGAGATTTTTAACCTAAATAGGAATCCCTTGCTTTTAGAGTTCCTATGCAAACACCAAAAGCTATTTTAGGTACCAAAGTAACAAACCCTACTTTGTAATCTTTTAAGGTTTTCATTACAAACCGCAAAAACAACTGAAAAACGAAAGCTTTTTGGTTCACCTATTAAAGGACAGTTATTTGTTTCGTGTAGCTGGATTATTTTTAACATAAACTGTACTGTAGAGATATGCAAAGAACTTTCTCGATTTATGATAATATGGGGTTTGCCCAAAAACATCCTATATCTATTGACTAGCTTATAAATTAAGTGTATAATTTGTGTGGTATACCTGGTCAGGGTTGCGAAGGTGGGTCGCCGCGGCACTTCGGCTTATGGAGCTTTTAGAGCTTTTAACTGCGCCTTTCGGGGGTTGTTTTGATTCCATTGTAACCCACAAGAGCATAAGAGAGGACAGGCGCCCCATCGCCAACGCCGTTGTGTAGCCATCCCTGTCTTGGCCGCAGGACGAATTCACTGTTTTCCTGTTGTACCACAAGCTATTCTGGCTTGGCCCCGATTGTAACAAAACCAGTTCCCACGTCGCAGTGCGAAAATGTGTACAAATACTGCAATATACCCGCAGTAAATTGGCCGCAGGATCGGGTATATATTTATGTTGTGTGCGAAAGGTTTTCTGACACAACATCCAGGTGCTCCGCCCTATTTTAAGTTGTTTGGTGGCGAAAGGGAGGTACAACCATGCCCGTAATGCCAGTTAGTGCAGGAATGTGGATCCGTTTTGTGTCAGTAAAGTAAAAAAAATTAAACGAATCAGATTGGTAAAACAGGATACTCCTGTCCTGTTGGCAATAAAAAACAAACAACAGATTCGATCCTAGTTTCATAGCCAAGTGTCCGCCGGAATGAGGGTGGCGGCGGATATGGTGTACGACTACGGCAGCGAGGACTCAATGGGCACCACCCACCTGGACTGGCCGTTCCTCATCAAGGTTCGTAGCCCCTCATCCCTCATCTTCCTTCCCCTCCCCTTGCCGCACTCACACGACATATTTGCACGCTTTTTAGGTTAAGTCGAGACAATATGCAAAGTGTCGAGTATAATGTGTATAAGTGGGGGTTTGTGTGTCAATAGCTTTGTCACTGCGAGAACGAAAATGAAGCTTAATCTGTGCTCCTGCCATGTTGCCAGTGCAAAGGCTTTAAGTGTCCTTATAATTGAATTTTAAAAACACAACTCCTCCTGATGTAAACAAGCCAGAGCTTAGGGTTTTCTCATAACATTGTTAGGTATGGATGTTTCGTATATTTTCAAACATTGAAATATACATATCAACTTTTAATCAGCCTTAGTATAACGAAAATTCAATCAGTTTCTCACTCCATTTAAAAGATATGGCACCGTCTTTTCTATAAAACCAACTACAAAGTTTTTATTTCAAGGAAATTTGTAATAAGTTAATATACTATAATTTGGTTGAAAAATGTTTAAAAAATGTTCCAAATACTTAGTAAAATTTATGAAAATCTAATTTATAAAAAGGAGAGAGAAAAGGACGTTATTGGTCAGAACAAAGATTGATAGATACAATGGGATTCCATAGCCTTCTTATGAGATTAAAATAATTATAGGTGATGATCCCCACACAAGCTTTTTAAAAAGTTTATGTGTCTTTCCTAAGTGGCTAAATTATGTGATTAAAGTAGTCACTTAACTCGTCAGTGACCAGAAATTAGCAGAAATGAGCAAAGGCAAGTGGCGCCATCGTCGCGGCCCCTTGATAAGTGTGCCGTGTCCTTGGTCGCATTACGGTGACCCAATCTCAGCTTGCCCTACACCGCGTGACGACATCCTTTGATAACCCATCTGACCTCCTCCCGCAGGGCATTTTGGAGGGCCAGACCTGCACACCAACTGCCCCGGAACCGTTGGCCGCCATTCTGTGGGCCATCTTTGCTGTCTTCGGCATCGTATATGCTTTATTAGGTTACCGATGCCTCCGCGCCGTGGGCTTTCTCAGCGGGTTGATGGTGGGGGCCAATGGCATCTTTATACTGCAAGACTTCCAGATCACCTTTCTGGGCAAGCCGGCGGACTCGGCGCTGGCCATTGTGGCCGGACTGCTGGGCGCGGTTCTTGGCTCCACATATCCGGTGGCCTCAGTACTAATTAGTGCCTTTGCCGGTGCCCTGCTCTCTGGCGCCGCAATGGCAGTGTGCGTGGCCACTTTTCCAGATAATGAGTTCGGGGTAAGTTACTCCTTTGGGTCTACCTTTCCTAGGTTGACCATTTAGCTAACTATCCCTTCCTATCTTGTAGTACCGCGAGATCTATGTGGCCGTAGTGGGCGGCGCTGTCATTTGCTCGGTACTGACCTTATGCTGTGTCAAATACGTGACTATACTGACATCCAGTATTGTGGGCACTGCCATGATCCTCAGCGCCATTGACTTCTTTATGCACGGCCTGGAGACCATCAACTGGGTGAGTATAAGGGTAATGGGAAAGTTTAAATCAGAAAGTTTTTCAGCAGTATTAAGTATTACCCTTAAATATTCTCCACAGATAATCGGCATGCGGCCACATCCTTCGCCACCACCCTGCTATGGAGGCCTCCTTATCGCCGCCTGGCCCGTTACCATCGTCCTTAGCATAATGGTACAGTGCTTCATAACAGCCTGGCGTGTGGATCATCGCAAACGGGTCTATATGCGACACCACAATCACCCTGGTCACGCCCACGGTGCCCACCTGCCGCACAGCCAGCAGCAGGCGGGACCAGGCCACGCTCTTGCCCCCGTCCGACGATCCCAGTCCCGTACTCGAGAGACACGCGAGGAGGCCAGGCAGCGCAAGTTCCGTTATCTTTACCAGGTTCGCACGGCACGCGGCGACATCATATCACAGGTGAGTAAATGCAAAGAAATCGGAAGGTGGTACCCGAATTATCTTATGGAAATCCCCTCTTTCAGAACTTTGTTTCGGCCCTGCAGAAACGCATCCAGTTGAGCGGCACGGAGACACCCTCAGAGCGATCAATCAAGAGTAGCTCGAACGAGCGAAACACATTCCGAAGCGACCGCACGCATTTCACCACCATCCATGATCCGGATTCGGAGCTCTGCGATAAGATTGAGATCGTCCGTGACATTGGATAACAAACAAGCAATAGCTACATGTAACTATACCCGTAAGGGGGCTACGGGCTGCGGTACTTGGTCGTGGATGGGATATGGGTCGGGGGTTAAAGCTGGATAAGCCAGAGTATAGGAAAAAGGATCAAGGACTCTAAAGAGTTCTACGAAGAGAGACGAGGGTGGACGGATGACTCAAACAAGTACGGTTGCATGTAGACTTTGTAGATGAGGCACAAAGTGCCAGACACACCGGAAACGGAAACGGATAGACAGAGTGGAAGATCATTGGAAGCTTTAAATATCAGAGGATATACGGATCTGGAGCTGGTTTCTCGCACATTGGAGAACTTTCAAGAGATCAGCGGGACAAGTAATAGTTTAGGATTAATTGAATCGTGCACAGCTAGAATCTAAGACAGACCGGATTGCCCAGTGACGATGGCAAGTCCCTTTTGTTCTCTTCACTTATTCGAATGTTACTAACGATACAAATACTTACTATGTATGATGATAACAGGGAGAAAGAGTCGTATATAAGCGAGGGCTACTTACATATAAGTTGACATCTGCGATGATGAGTGATGAATGATTTATTGTGGATCATGGTTACTTCGTATTCCTGTAACTCAAACTATACCTAACCAAGTACTTGTAACGCTTCACCCACTTCGAATATAGCCAGGCAACCGCAATTAACTAATCAGTTCATATCTGTGTTATAATTATACGATTCAAGGGTGAACCACGGATACAAGTGGATCATGCTCATGAATAGAGCGTTGATATTTCGTTCCATTAAAACTATCTAGTGAATAGGTCTAAGAATTGTGTTGTAAACTCTCTACAATTTCCCCCAGCCCTATCAAGACAGGCAAGAAAATATGAAACAATACAATACCTATTAAGTACAATAAACGAAGGGAAGTGAGGGAAATGTTTATGACCTATACTCAATTTAGTACGACTGCCGACAGTCCGGACAAATGCATTTGAATTATATTATAATATAAACCTGTACAGTTGGAACGGAACCATAGCCACTTAGAGTTAGACCTAGCGTTAGCAAGTCGATAAGCCAAAGCTAAAGCCATTTAATTGTCGATATATGTAACTCACAATCGCTGCAAGGGAAGGGAATTTAAGGTCCGACCAAGTCAAAATTCAGCATTGAACACCCCTTAACTATCCGCTCGATAAGCCGTCTTAGCATTATCCATAAGATTAACGTTCAAAAAAAAATATATATATATTATAAGATTATTAGATCCATGCAAACAGCGGTACAAACTCTAAAAATTCACGCGATAAATGCTAGCCGAGACATATGTACCAAGTTAAGTGATATAAAACAATTTTTAATTGTCTAGTTAAAGGGCCTAAACTCAATATTTGCTAAATATAAATCTAAACATCTTCAAGATATTATGTTCTAAAAGGTCTTGGCGGTCTTCCATAGTTTTTTTTTTTTTTTAATAATTTTTTTAGTACATGATTGATTTTATCCCGCAAATTAGCTTAAGCTCATTAACTGGACATTTACAAAGAAATAAATAAAAATAAGTAAATAAAAACCGAACAGAAAGAAAGTTCGCCAAACCTTGAAGGATTGGACATTGCCAGGCAGAAACTTCCATATCGAATCGGTTGGTTTCCAAATCACAGATATATAACTCAAGTTTCTTGTTATGTTGATTAGCACTTAGTTTTTAGGAATTGCTGCCGTCCGCAATTGTTGATTTAAATACTATCCAAACAAACTGAAAAATTACAACAGAAACCTCACACATTTTTGGGAATTTTTCAAATTGAGTATAAACATTCAATGAGTTCAAAAGTTCTTTGCTTTTTAAATCACCTAAAAAATGATTAAAATGCAAAAGTAACTCGAAATATATTTCCAATTCAAGATATAAAACCCCATAGTTTGTGACTGTTTCATGTGGTTTGACTCTATAATTTACTATCAGTTGTTAATTCTGTTCCTCTTGCGGTTTTAATGTTCAACAGCAATGTCCAATCGGGGGATAATACCATAGGATATATAGTATGTTGTACATTTAAGTTTGGAAAATAAGAGAGATTTTTGTAAGGCAAGACACTTAATTCCATATAATGAAAAAAGATAATAACTGCAAACTAAAGTAGTGGAAATCATAAAACAAGTTGCACATACATTAATAACTGTATACATTAAAAATAAAATCCAAATAAAAAATATATAAGAATTAAAAGGCCAAAACCAATTAAATACAGTGCAATGCCAGCTTTGGTTATTGCTTTGGTGGAAATATTTATAGAGAAAGGTCTCAAGGTCTTAACCAATTAAAGTCCAAAGCGAAATCAAGGCTTGGAAAGTATATACTGTCAATAAAAACAAAACATCTTGTAATAACCAAAAAGAGAAAACTTATTAAATAAACGATGCAGGCCAAACATTCGTGTTGTTCTTTAAATCGAAAAGGAAGTCTAAGCTACATTCTGATTTTTGTAATTTCTTTATGGGATTTGGTGCCTCCAAACCAAATGAGCAAGCCATGACGTCTTCGTGTCTAATATTTTATTAAGTAATAACACATCGGAATACAGTTGCGTGTGGATCTGTTTCGAATTCCTTTTCGGCCAGCAACAAGATCAAGAAGAAACAAACGATCGATTCAGAATTCAGATAATTGAACATTTGTGTATTTGTATTTGTATCTACGATGATCTGTATTCATCGCTGGGGAAAGCACAAACATGAACTAGTCTCTGTTGCAATTGCCGGATTCTGGTTGCCACGCTCCTCTATGTCCGTCCGCCCATCGATCGTGTCCTGTGTGTTTTGGTTTTTTGGGAGTTGGGATGCGATGCGATGGCCAATATTTAGATACGGCCAGGGAATGTACCGCTCTCGCGCTGGTCATCCCATTTCTCCACCCAGGCGTTAGGGCACATCGACTTGTACACCTTCTGGAAATAGTTGCAGGGCGCAAAGTCCTCGCCGCGCTTCTTCTGGCAGCGGTGGAAGTCGATGTACGACTGGTAGCAGTAGCGGGTCACGTTCTGGTTAGGGAACCGTGGATCGAAGGGTGCAGTCTCCAGCTTATAGGCGGACATGTTGCTGCTGTCTGACGATTTGTCGCTGCTTTTGTTTTTGGACATGAAAAATTGCATATAGACTTTAGTTGGGAAAGGAAAATAAAAAGAAACAAACGAAACCGAAGGGAAGGCGAAAAATATCGATCGAAACGTAACCAAAATCGTAAACCAAGGCATTGACATAGACAGAGAGAGAGATAGAGATGGATAGTTATATAGTCGTAATGGAAAAGAAAGAGATGGGTGAATTAGGATTGCATGAGGTGAAGTACATAATCAAATGAGAATGGAAACGATACGTAAAATACAATTTCAGTGCATAAACGGGAAGGAAGAAATAGATATATAAATCACAAAGGTTAGTTTTTCAGATTCGTGGCTGCTTAATGAGCGGTATATATCATATTTTATATAGAGAGACACATCTCTTATGGATCATGTATGTAAAACTTTATCTTACTATCTAACTATTATTATTTTATTATGTGTATATCAATGCTGCAGCTAGTTCCTTGGCCCTTGTGAAAAAAAAATACAAATTACACAGCTAGCGCTTGCAGCTTAAAAGCCCTTCACTATTACTATAAACTATGTATCTGTGCTCGCTTATACTCGTGTACAAAATCTTCTGGAGGTTGGGGTACTGGGAAATCGCAGTGTTTTTCGAGTGTTTGGAAAAACGCTTTTGATCGAATCAAAATCGAATATGTAGCTGGGGGGGGAGTTCACGTTTGCTGCTCTGACTGCGTTCAAGTTCATGTTTCTATGAGAAGCGGGATTGTTATTGCGACTACTTGACCAACGGACGCTTGCCGTTATCCGTATCGCAGGCGTTGCTCTTGTACTTGTTGACCTCGGCCAGATACAATGACCAGAAGTCCTTTGGGTCCACGTCACTCTCATTGGTCGTCTTCACCTTGGCCACTACGCCAGTCTTTAGGACTTTTCCTCCACGACGTCGTCCCACGAAAGAAGGAGGCGGCGCTAGTTTTCCGGCAGCAGCAGCGGCTATATAGGGAGCAGCTGAGCTGCTGGCGGCTCCTACGGCAATGGCCGGCAATGCGGGAACTGCGGAGGCCTCAGCAGAGGCCAAATGCTGCTGGTGCAGGAGATCCTCCATTGCTGGCTGCTGCATCTGGAGGCTGCTCACTTGCTGCTTCTGTCCCTCCTGCATCTTTTTGAACAGCTCCATGAACGAGCCGTCGTTAGCGAAGACGGGATGCGAAGGTGGTTCCGGCTTCGGTGGAGGGTACACCTTACCCTCTCTGGCTAGTGCTTCTCGTAGCTTTTGCTCCATCTCCCGGTGGATACGTTCCTTGTCGAAAGGCTCGTCGGTGTCCAAATTGTAGTAGGCACCCACGGAAGCGGTGACATTGCTCTTGCTGGCCAACTGGACCTGATCCGTGGCAGCGGCAGCCGCAGCGGCTGCCTTCTGTACGGCGGTTAGCTCTGACCTGCCGGCGGATGATGAATGGTGGCCCCTTCGTTGGCTGCTGCTGGATCCGGATATAGGGCCAGGGACAGAAGGTGATTCTGAGCGGCGGTAGTGATTTGAACGTTTTGAGTAGTCACGGTCACGATCCCTGGAACGGTCTCGGGATCGATCCCTGGAGCGGTCTCTTGAGCGATCTCTGGACCGATCTCTGGAGTCGCGGTCCCTGTGGTAACGAGAGGACTTTTGCCGCTGATGGTCCTGGCGACGGCGACGTTGGCTAGAACGCTCATTGGAGCGGCTGCGACTACGGGAACGCGAACGGCTTCGACTGTAGCGGCTGCGCTCCCGCCTTGAAGATCCGCCGGACCCACGCTCGTTGTAGCCGCGCTTATAATCGCGTCCACCACGTCGCTGCTGATGCCGGTCCTCATGATCCTGCTGATAGTAGGGCAGGCGGGCCGCCGACATGTTGATGCGGATGTAGTGATGATCTGCAATTCGAAACTATGCCGCGTTAAATCGAGCAGTTGGCAGAGGCGCGTTTACGAAATACCTATACACAATATCTGTATGCTTTCTGTATTCAGTTATCTTTTTTTGATCTGCTGTTCGGTTCTTTTCTGTTCGGTTTGGCGCTTGTCAGAATCGAAAATCAAAAATCGAGAATCTAACGTAATCTTGCGCTAACTTGACTTGCCTAGCACTGGCTCCTTGACCTGACCGAATCGAATCGAATGATTTAGATTTTGGGGGTCGGATTTAGGAGCCAGAGCTTGAATCAAGTGGGTGGGCTACAAGAAATGCTTGAGGAACATGGTTTGTTCACAGCGCATACGTGACTCTTATGCAATTTGGATACTTTGACTTTGACTTGGTTTTGTACTTGTACTTGGATTTGGATGGATTGATTTGATTTGATTTGATTTGATTGCTTTGTTTGGTTCTTGGCTTGAAGATTTCTTTTTGATAAAATGAGAAATGGTAATTTACTTGTTTGCGATGTCCGCTGCGATGTGGTTGTGGTTGTAGTGTTGCTCCAACGCTGTGGCTACGTTACGTTATCATCCGTGGTCGTTGTTGTTGCTGTTGCTGTTGATGTTGAGGAGGTGTCCTTCCGTGTGGCTTAGATCGAATCAGTTCGATTCGGTTTGCTTGTTTTTCTTGCGTTTAGTGCTTAACTCTGATTGCGACTCTGAAACGTATCGGATTTTCGGATTCGCCTGCATGGAAAAATGACTTGAACGCATGAATACAAAACGTTACTCGAACCAGGTCGCGCGGTGCAGGGGGTTTGTCTTTCTGGCTACAATAGTGGTTATATTATGGGGACTGTTTCTCTTTCTTATTTCTTTCCACCCCCTTTATGCGGGCGGTGACTTATGTAACCCTGGGGGATACGGATCCAGACTCAGATCCAGATTGGGTCAACTTACGGATAATGATGCAGACGACGGAGTCCGTCCCCCACCCCTCACAACTCACCCCAGCAATAATTACTACCCCGAGAGCACCAGCGAGTTATGTAACTTGTACTTTTTTCTTTCCTGCTGCCCGAGGAATTCGCCAGCGGAAGTGTGTTAGTGCGCTAGTGTCTATGTGTGTGCGTGTTACGAGTTGCGAAGGTACGATTTTTGGCCAAGTACTTTCTTTTTCTTTGGGTGGCATCGATCGGTGCCTTGGCTTACGGTCTGGTGTACGTGATAAGGTGCGAAAAACATACCTTTGTTGTTCCGAGAGTACGACGAAAAATTTTCAACTGCCGAGAATCTCACGAGCGCCTGGCGATAGAAATAGCGATGGCTGAACGGTGCTATCGACAGCTGTCAGAATGACAGCTAGGGCTAGGTTGCCAGATCTCCAGCAGCCAGTGTTTGCCAGCGCTCGTTTCGGAATCTAGTCGCAAGTCCGAAACTGTGACACGCGCAGATGAAAAACACAGGTCGCCATCTCCTTTGACGCCGCTGTTGATGATGGGAAGCAATCCTCCCGAGCACGGGACCAAGCCGAGATCCACCAGACACCACAGACAACAGAATCATCGAGTGGTGCGCAAACAGCCACCGCGTCCTATTGCCAGCGACCGCCACAATATCTACATTACCAGCAAGACAGACTTCAAGGCAAATAGAAGATAATATTTAGAGTATTCCGGAAAATCCCTAATGTTACCTTGTTATCTTAACAGGCCCAGCAACGGCGCTGCGAGGAGCTGCTTAACTCTGGTGCCCGCGAGATCTTCCTGCATTGCATGGGCTTCTCGGTCACCCGAGGCCTCAATCTCGCCCTGCGCCTCGTCCAGAATTCAGACGGTGCCCTTAGCTACGCAATTAACACCTCCACCGTTCAGCTGGTGGACGAACTTCATCCGCTTTGCGATGCTGAGGACGTAACCTTCCGCCAGCGCAACAACTCGGCCCTGCACATCAAGATCTTTAATCGCAGCCTTTTCGACATCGTCGTGCCGCAGCCATCGCAATCGCAAACGCAACCACAATCCCAGGGAGGGTTCCGGGGAAAGCCAAAGGCCAGACAGTAGTATGTTCAAGCTCTCAGAGCTAGTGCGCTGGCTCGGGCTCACCGAGTTCGAGATCCTGGTCAACCTGTGCGGCTTGCTGGTTTTCACCATCACGCTGGCCGTCAAGCTGCATCTACAGGCCAGAGCCGGTCCCGGTGGCATCCTGCCGGAGCCCATGGGTGACTGGTTTACAGTCTTTAGCCCTTTGTTCTTTATCGACATTTGCAACGCGTACTTCTGCGTCATCGTGGGCATCCGCATGTACCTAGACTCTAACAACAAGCGAAAAGCCATGCATCGCTTCATGTGGAGCACCTACTTCCTGGTGCTGATAGCCATCTTTAAGTACCTGCTCTGCCTTAAGCTTTCCAGCAAGACAGGTCTCGAGTACTCGGAGGTCTTTTCGCCGATCTTTGTCCTGCTGCAGCTAGTGGCGGTGCGCGCTTGTCAGTTGCCCAACTCCATATGAACTATAGACCTAGCATATTCATAGCCCTAGTATGATACTATACATACATATATTATTTCTGATTTGATACGAAGAAAGTGTTGATATCTTTTAATGTTTGGGTGAATCGCAGATTGGAGTTTATTTAAAACAAAAATATTATATCTGATTTCTTTTAAATTTTTAAAATAATATAGTGCCTTTTAATCCAATATATATTTTAAGTGATCTGTCACGAAAGATATTTTTTCAGTGCCATTTAATTAAATATTAATTTGATTAGGCTATTTCTATCGGCTTAATTTGATTTTAAAATATTTGAAAGTTACCGTTTTACTAACATACAATGATTTAAGAAAGGTAAATACATATGTATTTGAATTTTAAGAATGATTGCTTAACAGTATTTTCTGTTTCTTCTTTCTGTGTATTTCCTTCCAACAATATTGCTTTCTTTTTAAATGAAATAAAATATTACCAATTAATAAATAAAAATATTTTTCGGAATTATAGTGTTGGGCAACGCCAGTGGTGGGTCAGCGATCAGGTGGCAGCCCCAAGGGAAACTGATTGCTCAGCTCCGCCCGAAACGAATCGAAACAATAACACAAACTGTTGAGTTAATCCGGTACTTTCGGAATCCACTAACACAGATTCGTTAGCGCCATGTCCACTTTAAACCGCCCCAAGTCCCCACACACGCCCACTGCCATTAAAAAGGGCGAGAAGGAGGACAGTTTCTGGGACAAGTTCAGTACTTTGGGTCGCAAACGCGGCACTCGCGAAGGTAGGTAGATCGCTTGGAGCTTCGTAAATACCTCAATTTGGCAAGGAAGTGAAACGGATCCTACTGGGCTTGGTTCTTGGACCTCCATACCGTCAAATGGCGGCCAAAAGTTACAGGAAAACTCCTCCCGTTTCTCCCAGGAAGCTCTTCTGGGAACAGATGTGCGGATGCTCTGATTAATAAGAACATTGCGTCATTGATGACGCACACAAACAAACAAAGCTGTCACTCGCGAGTGTATGCGTACGATGGCCTTGTGTCGTCATGGTTTTTGTTTATCTTGTAGATGGTATCTTTAAATACGCCCTATACTTGCTTAATTTACAGTGAAAAAGGTTCAGGAAGAGGGAAAATACGCCATTGACTCACCCGGATCGCCCAGCCAGTATGACATCCCGCCCGAAGATTACGCACTGCGTAAGTATATTCCAACTAAAGGATAATCTACATTCAAATTTCGATTTTTAAAATTTCATTCCATCTGATCCTTGCAGGCGAGCACGAACAGCGCGCCGTCATTGATCCGCAATCCATCAACGATCCCGAGGTGATCAAACTGCAACGTATCCTCGTCGATTGGATCAACGACGAGCTGGCCGAACAGCGTATCATTGTTCAGCAGCTGGATGAGGACATGTACGACGGTCAGGTCCTCCACAAACTTTGGGAGAAACTCACCGGCAAGAAGTTAGATGTCCCGGAGGTTACCCAGTCGGAGCAGGGTCAGCACGAGAAGCTGAACATCGTCCTGAAAGCTGTTAACCACGTGAGTATTTGTACTATCCGAGTGGAGCCGAAATTCTGGGAAAGATATACTATCCCATTTTAGATCACATATTATATTAACCGGCCCAGTTTTAATCAAGTTTTATGTTTATCCCTTAGACACTTGGTTTTCACCAGAAGATCCCTAAGTGGTCGGTGGCCAGCGTGCACTCAAAGAATATTGTGGCAATCCTGCATCTGCTGGTGGCTCTAGTGCGCCACTTCCGTGCTCCCGTTCGTCTGCCGGAGAACGTTTTCGTGACCGTTGTAATTGCTGAAAAGAACGCGGGAGTGCTAAATGCGCAAAAGTTCCAAGAGCAAATTACTTCAGAGTATGATGACCTAGGCATGCGCTGCGAAAAGGATGCCTTTGATACGCTGATCGACTGTGCGCCGGACAAGCTGGCCGTGGTCAAGAAGTCCTTGATCACTTTTGTAAACAAACACCTTGCCAAGTTGAACTTTGAGATCAGCGACCTAAACACCGACTTCCGTGACGGTGTTTATCTTTGTCTCCTAATGGGTCTGCTTGGGGGCTTCTTTGTCCCGCTGCATGAGTTCCATTTGACGCCGCAGGACGTCGACCAAATGGTAAGCAACGTGGCCTTTGCCTTTGACCTGATGCAGGACGTTGGCTTGCCAAAGCCAAAGGCGCGACCTGAGGATATTGTCAACATGGACCTCAAGTCCACCCTGCGCGTCCTTTACAGCCTTTTCACCATGTTTAGGGACTACGCCTGAGTGAAAACCACATAAAGCTAGCCGCAATGGTGCAGAAATTGACGCCAATTTTACATTTTATATTAACTTTTTGTAATGTTTACACGCTTAATTTATGTGCGTCCTGAAGTTAGTCGTAAACGGTCCGGCGGTTGAAGCAAATGGACCAAAATTAAACACACTTACTGTCCATACTACACAGAGCATTATGAGCAGAAAAGTAGCATTACCGTTTACAATTAGCTTAAAGGATGTTTATATATATTTATATTTATGTGTCGTACGTCTAACCACTGCGATCTGCTCGGACCCAGATTGTTCGAAGCAGAGCAGAGAAAAGCTAACCCAAACCCAAACCCGGCGGCCAGTTGTTAACTTGTCTTACTCACGTGCCAGACGTAGTAGTTGTTACTAAGTGAATTTACTGTATTAATACACAATAACCGAGATTGTGCCTTCAGATCACACAGACCTTTTGCAAATTATGTCACAGATCCAACCAGTAAATGTAAAAGTTTACGGAAAAGTTTTTAAAAATTTTGTATTGTGTACGTTAAAAATTTGGATTAGAAAAATCAATAAATATTGCCAATAGCACATGTGTTTTTCTACTTAAAGAGTTTCAAGGCGCAAAATTTATCTGGGGCTGCAGCACAAACAACCGCCAGCTTCCATCAAATTCACACGTAAGTAGTTATATAAATTCTCCTTTCTTAGTTATTTGTTTACCACTCTGTATTTTGAATTTCGACGGTTGCGCGCAATTCGCAGAGACTTGTTATCGATCAAAGTTGAGGTCAGCCTGCCAGACTTCTGCTAGCATCGAAACGACTAGATATTGAACAGCTGCCAGATTATTTGCAAACCGGTAGACTTTGAATAAAAACTCAGCTATCCGGACCACAAGTTCTAACCAAAAAAAAATTTTTTTCAAAATTGTCCAATTTCCCCCTTTTAGCAACTGCAAAACTTACAGCCAATCGTGTCCTAAAGTAATATGTCGTTTTGAAACAAGGTGGCAACCATGCGCATGCTTTTTATGATTTTCACAATAGCCGAACGAAGTTTCAAGATTCTAGAGTTGTCCAACGCCACAACGCTCCTGCTACGCCGCCAGTCCCACAACTACGGCTACGACTACAGCAGTCCCACACACATAGAACTCAGTCGTGAGGCAACCCGCCTGGTAATACGCCGCCTCCAACGCACCGTTCTTCGCCTGATCCGCGATCCTGACTTTAATATGTCTGCTGAGGCGAATCCCGATACGGAAAAGGAGCCACAAGAGTCCCCGTTCGCGGCTAATCGCAAGGCCGGTGCCACCGCCGGCAAGCAGGACTCCAATTGTCGCACCTGCAACGACTTTAAGTCCTGGTCCAAACAGCAACGCCTCATCTCCAACGTGCAAAACTCCAAGGTGACGTTTCTCTGCAGTCCACCCCGCCAACGCAGCAAATCCGTTATCTCAAGCCTTCCCTTCTCCCCCTCCCTTCCCAGGTTAAGCACATGGCCGCAGCCGAGAAACTGACAGTAAACGCTGCTGAGAATCCTCTGCCTCGTGAAGACTGCCCGCTGGACAAAGTACGGCTGGGCATCTCCACCTGGGGATTGTTGCACACTATGGCCGCATTCTATTCGGACAACCCCACGGACACCGAGAAGCGAGACATGAAGACCTTCTTTGAAGTCCTGTCGCGACTCTATCCCTGCGAATTCTGCGCCAAGGATTTTCGCACCGAGTAAGTCAATTTTTGGCTTTGCTTTCTGTTTACTATTGATCTGATACCTAAACTCTTATAGCCTAGATGTTAACCCCATCAATGTGAACTCCCAAAAGGAGTTAGCCTTGTGGCTGTGCAAGTTCCATAACCGGGTGAACGATAAGCTCGGCAAGCCGCTCTTCGACTGCAGGAAGGTGAACGAAAGGTGGCGCGACGGCTGGCTGGACGGCTCCTGCGACTAGGTGCCCCAGCCACATTTCATATAAAATTCCCAGGGACGTGTTGCCGATTGCCATGTTGACCATACTTTCCCCCCATATTGGTCGACATGCCCACCACAACCACGGAAAACGGGACACCCATTTGGCGGCAATCCGCCAACCAAACTGTTCCCGTACCTGGTCAGAAGCACCGTCTATCTGTCGGAATCTGTGAAATCGGCGTGACATTAAGTTGTGTTAAAAGTTGTTAAATGCTTTGCTGGCTATGGACCTCTCAGAGAATACACACATTTTTTTGAAGATCCGTATTTAATATTCTCACTGGCCCTGCAGATTTCTTAATCTTTGATATGCTGATGGGCTATCATAAGATAAGATGGGGGCGGAGCGGAATTACCTATTTATGTTGACTCATGGGCGAAGGAAGGCAAACCTTCTGGTACCTTCGATAAACTGGAAATATAAATGAATTTAGACCAATTCATTGTGCCGTATGAACCAGGTTGTTTAGGATAATGATTTTGTGTCGAAATTTAAGCTATGATATTCATTCTTATTATCAAAAAAGTATATTTAAGTTTCGATTTTTAAAGGTGTTTACCTGATACTAACATAAATATGGTTCTGATTTGTTGTTGTTTTTATACATATTTTAAAGAACGTGTACAGCGCCAAACGATTTAGAATTTCTCTTTCTCCTAATTTTTAAAAAGAATGTCTGGTTATGTACGAAATATTCAATTAACGTTTTTTATTATTATTTTTTTTTAATAAAGTGTTTTACTTTAAAAATATGATGAAGTTTTAAGCTTTTATAAGAATATTAACACCCTGAGAATTTCTTCAATTGAAAATGATTTTACCCCACCCAAAAACTATTGCTCGCTTGAAAGCATTAAAAAAACAATGATTTACAATTCCCGCAAGTAACAGAAAAATTTCTGAAAGTTTGATACAACATTTTCGGTTATCGATATTTGTTCGATAAATCTTATTGGAGTAGTTTCCCTTTGGAAATAGCCAGATATGTCTAGAAAATCGATACAATGTCGGCACCGCTACCCACACTATTCCGATTTAGCCAACACTGTCGCAGATCGAACTACAGTTAGTTGCTTGCTGGCTTTTGCGCGTCGCATGTTTCACCTCGACAGATTTCTTGATTTAGCCGAGCTGAGTAGAGTGTAATTACCAAACAAAGAAATGCGCCTGGCTGAAATTGAATAAATAAAAGCGCCCGCCGTGTGTGACAATCACTTTGCCCACCCCCTTTGGCCAGAAAAGGAGCGACACCAGCAGAAGAAGAAGAGCCAGCAGCAATAGTAATAGTCGTAGTAGAGGAAGACGAAGAAGCAGGGCTGCAAATAGAAAGAGCGAGCGAGATAGGACGAAGCAAAAACAGGGCTGTTTGGCAACCAGGTGTTTACATCCTGCTCTCCGTCATCTGTGTGTGTGTGTGTGTGTCGTCATCGAACAGCAGTATAAAATATTGAAAATTCGTGTTATAAACAATTGTGACAGTTTCTCTCGATTATTTATTTTATTTTGTTTTTTTTTTTTATAATTTTTTCGCTGTGCCCCACGTGCGTTCTTTTTGTATTGCCGAATCCCAACCACTTTAATCCAACTTGAAGTGCGAACGCGGAAAGCGGCTAAAACACGCGAATTCCCAATTTCCAAACGAGGAAAATTGCAAAAGCAGAATAATGGCCCCGGCGTTGAGCAAGTTGGCCAATAACCAGAGCGCCATCGTCGGCGTGGCGGGCATGACGGCCGCCCTCTGGATAATTGCCTATGGCAAGATGTCCAACAAGAAGAGGTGAGTTTCTGTTTCCATTTCTGTTTTTAAGGTTACTATAAGATCTGCCTATATAGATATCAATATAGCCAACATTGAGAAAGGTCTCGGTCTTGGCCATTGAAATTTCCATGATATTGAATTTGAGTTATTTGCACACACACGCACACACTCTCTCGCAAATCGCAAAAACTCGCAAAATGTGTGTGTGTGTGTGCGTGTATGTTTGCGGAACATACGATGCCGTAGTGGGTCATCATCTGGTGGATTTCAAACTGGTTTCACAATTGGTTTTCCTTCCACATTGGATGCACTTCCCCTTCATTGTATTCCGGTTTCAATTGATCCATCCATCAGCGCACAGTGGGCCAGATAATCCGGTTTTGGACAAAAGGGTTTCCTACTTACCTTTCTTTCTGATGATTTATGGTTTCTATTTGAAAGATTTTACCCAACTAGTGCTTTATGACAGGTTCTTAAGAATTCCTGGAAGATTTGAAGAAATATGTGAAGAAAATTAAAAATTAAAATGATATAATTAAGTCGTCGTTTTAATAGCTTCCCTTCAAGATTCTGAAATATAAGAAACAATTATCAAATTTTTGGCCACAAAAACTACCTGTTTACTCCACGGCACAATGGTCAACATTCCAAGGATAACCAGCGGAAAGCAAGGCCGCCAATTACCTTGATTAGTGCTCGATTATATATCTTAACAGATATGAGAAAAACATCTTTAAAATATTTTTATAACTTGATTAATGCCGGCTTCTTCCTATCGTTAACAGTTTTTCAAGCTAAGGGAAAGATCAGGAAATACAATCTTATAGATTAATATATTCAATATGAAGAGTAGATCGCCGGAAAGTACCACTTTTGGCATAGACATTACTACATACCGATTAGGGAAACGTTTTTCACACTCGTCATTCAGAATTTCAAGCACCACTCCTAAGAAGCCTGATCTGTTGTAAAACGTTCAAGGCTTTCCCAATAAAGCACTTGCGCGATCGGATTCAAACCAAGGGCCACGTTTTGATGTTTGGATGGACTTGGTCTCCTCGACTAATCTAATCGGTATCACGCAAGTCTGAAATACTTAACAACATAGTATATCCCCACACCTGCACTCGGCACTTGTGCCGATTATGCTTGTTGTTAACGCAACCGATATTTGGCTATATTTGATGACCAGGGCTTGGCCCGGAATGTGAACGTTATCTGTCTATTCCATCTAATTGAATGAAAAGGGGTGAGATGGGGAAATGAGACTTCGACTATTTGCATGACAGAGCCAATTAATTAGAGAGATTGCGGCGGACATGTCGAGTGCATTGCAGCGTATTGCCTGTGGCTTCATGTGCCACTCGATAATTGCTGGCATTATTCCGATTATTGCGATTATTCCGATATCAGGAACCCAACTTGATGGCCAGCTCTTTCCACACCTTCTGCACGCCAGCGTAAAATATATAAGTACAAGCTGCACTTTGGAAAGCAAACGAAATTAAAGATTTTTAATGGGCTGTCGGCGGTTGTTTTCGTTGTTATTGTTATCCATGTGTAGCCACTTGTGGATGGCCGGTAAATTTATGCACCATTCCATTATTCGATTCCCCTACAGTGGATGGGGTGACTCACATCGACACAATGGATGCAGTGATTGGACACTCCAGAGTCCAATTCTTGTTTAAATCAAAATATTTGCGATAACATTTCACCTTTCGACCTTTTGTATATCAAATTTAATATGGGTTAAGCACATACCGGAAAGTAATTGCCATTTTACTTTCAAGCTATTTTATATATACCTAGTCTAGACTTACCTTATCTATTTTATAAGTTTATATAAAATGAATTAAACACAGGAAGGTAGTCCAAAAGTCATAAAGACCCTACTACTTACATTAACAAGATCGTAAATTACAGTTTTTCAGAAATGTTTTATAATATCAAATTGTTTACAAATTGTAAAAGCCTTTACAGAAGTCTAAAGGTTGTGAAACGTATAGCTTTTATAGACCCTTATCAAGGTTAGGACTTACCAAAAAAAAAAAAAATTAATACAATAATTATTGGTAACTGATATGAGTAATGTTGGTACTTGAGATGGGTTCGAATTTGGTCTGGTCATTTTATGGCACCGCTTTCGAAGGGTATCCAAGTCCAGGCCCAACGCCATTACATTTCCATTAAGGGTTATGAACGAAACACCTGTGCAAATCTGGCTGCCCGAAAGTCCAACAGAGTCTTTGACATCCAGCAGCCTGGCCTGCAATCGAACACGTAATAACCGGTGGGCAGTTTGCTTTGGTGTGTTGCAACATACTCGATCGTACTCCAAACCATGGGTGAAATGATGACACCTCGACTATAAAACATAAACATTACAGCCGTACCTTTTAATGACTTGCGACGGGCGCATAACACCAGAAAAAAAAAGAAAAAGAAAGAAGGAAAAAAAGCGTTGGCTTCTGGTTTCGTTTTTCCATTTCTTGGGGCTCTTTTTTTTTGTGGGGGGAATAAGTGTTAATTTGTGTAAACCTTGCTCTGTTTTTTTTTTCACATGTAGACACATTCTCGCCCTGGCTGTGTGTTGTTTTGTTGCGCAATATGTGGGCAGTTCCAGAGTTCCAGACGGCAAAGAAGAGAGATTCATTCATTTCGTGCACCTTGCCCCCGGTAAACGCTTGGCCCCTGATAATCGGAGGGCCCTCCGAGAAGCGGATGAATACTGCTATGCAGTGTAATTTGTATAATTCTCGTTTTAACCCAGCCGGTGCGTGAAATGAGATCGTAATTTCAATGCAGATTCACAGCCGAGCTCTGACATTTGCATCTGACAAGCGGCTGTAACTGCGGCTGCGGATGCGGATGCCACGTTGTCAAGGCCTTCCTCTCTCTCTAAATTGAGTTGGTGTTAGTTAACAGGTGATGAGTGTGTCTACCTACCTACCAACCAACCTATCCACCTGCCTACCTACCTACCTATCTGATTTGGCTAGTGTTTATCAACCATTAGCTAGATAACAGTCGCTATACCCCGATCGACGATCGTTGCAAAAGAGCCATTGGAATTGCGATTGGAATTGGCGGGTCCCTATCTGAGTCAGACACTAACCGATCTTCTCGTGTTTGGGTTCAATGTGCCCCCCTATTAGTAGATCGCCGGCGATTAGAAAAAGAGAGCTTTTGATGAATTGAATAGACAAGGGGAAAGGGAGGCCATCGGAGTGACCTATGGACCCAAACACATGTTCCACGCCGAGGCGGTGAAAACAAGTTTAATATACGAATTAAAAAAAAAAAAGGGAACCACATGAGAGTCGGACGAATAGATGGAAACATATCATATATATATATATATATATATATATAGTATTAGTAAATACAAGAGCACTATGAATAATTCAAAGATCTGCGCAGCGATATCTAAGAAATAACCAAGTCATCACGACTCGCCGCTTTTTTTTTTTTGCTTCCACCCTGCAGATAACCAAGGCGCGAGCTTTGTACTTTGTTTGGGCTAACTTATCACCACCACCGCCCTGCCCACTGCATCCATCACCCACATCATCATCATCATCATCGTCGATTGTCATCGCCTAATAGACTTCGAACCGTGGCAGGCTGTGATGTCCGATACGATCCGATTAAGCGATCCAATGTCGGATAACCGCCAAGTTATGTGTGGCGTTGATCGGGTGAGACCGAAACGTTCGTGTTGAGCTGGTCAGCGTTGTCGGTGCTCATTATTGGGCGCTAGCTTTTTATTCGAAACATGATTCCATATTGCCTACACACTTCAATTACTTTCCTTTTCCTTTCTTTGCATTTCTGTATCCATAAAGTTATGGAATTCAAATGAGAAATTTTGGGGAAAAACGCATTAGTTTGCGATAATGTTAAGTTAGGAAATGGTTTATCTTGAGCAAGTAGATAAGAGTTTTTGTTTTGTAGGCAAAAGTATAATATGCTTAATACTGTTAAAAGTTAGTGTTTAAAACTGCTTAGATGATTTATATATTTACTTATATGGGATAAAGGAGCTACTTTAAAAACAACCATTTTCATAAATTGTTTCCGCTGGTAATTTGATATTATCAATTCAAGTGCCAATTTCTAACAAAGGCCGATTTATGTTCAGCATAGAAAGGTTTATACAAGGAAAGAATATTCACAAAATAATAAGCTAGCATTTCATTAAATTTACAAAATTAAAACATAAATTACTATGAATACATGACATTACGATTACGGTCTACATAGGTGATCCAGCATTTTTTTTTTATTAAATTTAACCTATTGACGTGCTGTGTAAAATGTCATGGTGTATCTCATCGTTTTAATTGTTATATTTAATCACACGCCTTCATTGCATATTCGAGAGTTTATGGAGACATTAAACACGTAGTTCGTTCTTTATTTGCCAAAGCCACGAAGCCGACGTGCTAGCAAGAAGCAAAGGTTGATATTCAAATTTCCCATATTGACAGGGGGAGTTAAACAATTGTAATTTATTTTATAAATAAACAGCAATCAACATTGGCAATTTGTTGAGTATATTACTGTGATAATGATCTCATTGGGTCATATAGTTTTGTTATTAAACAAATAACCCTAAAAGTTTGGTCCTAAAATCTGTTATAAGCTTCTTTCTGTATTTATAATATCATAATTTCAAAACCATTTCTACACAATGGATGCTCAAATGATCATATTTATCATATTAATATCGAAGTTTACCTTTTAAGTTAGTTAAATCAGTTAATCGAAACTAAAAATCGGTTTTCCTTCTTGCAGAAAACCAGGCTATGAGGACAAGATCCAGTACACAATCGCCGAAAAGAAGGAGAAGAAGGCATCAAAGGCACACGTCAATTCAGTATTCTTTAAACAGCTTCGCCAGCTTCTCCGTAAGTCCAAAATTATCCTTATCATTAGAGAATAATCACTAACAATCTCGTATCTTATAGCCATTCTCATTCCTGGTTTCTGGAGTGTTGAGACTGGCCTGCTCTTCTTGGTGGCCGCTGCACTGATTGGCCGCTCTGTGAGCGACATCTGGATGATCCAGAATGCGACTGTCGTGGAGAGCACCATCATTCACATGAACCGCACCAAGTTCAAGACGGCGCTGCTTAAATATTTGACAGCTCTTCCAGCGGTAAGATATGATTACTTTTTGCCGATTAACTGATATTTATCTTATGGTTTTCATGTTGCAGATCTCTGTAGTCACCAATGTCCTCAAGTGGAGTTTGGGCGAGCTGAAGCTGAGGTTCCGTACTAACCTTACACATCACCTTTACAGTCAGTACCTAAAGTAAGTATAATATTATTGATTACGTAGAGGCAATATTAACAATCATTCTTACTTGCAGTGGCTACACGTACTACAAAATGTCCAACCTGGACAATAGGATAGCCAACGCCGACCAGTTGCTGACAACCGACATCGACAAGTTCTGCGAGAGTGCTACTGATCTGTATTCCAACATCAGTAAGCCGGTGCTTGACATCTTCATTTATGTTTACCGCTTGACGGTGAACCTCGGTGGCAAGACGCCATCGATTTTGATGCTTTACTTGCTGTTTGCCGGCGTTTTCTTGACCCGCCTGCGTCGTCCCACTGGCCGTTTGACTGTCGAGGAGCAGAAGCTGGAGGGCGAGTTCCGCTATGTGAACAGTCGACTGATCACTAACTCGGAGGAGGTGGCCTTCTACCAGGGCAATGTCCGCGAGAAGCTTACGCTACTGGCCAGCTACTCCAAGCTGCGTTCGCACTTGCGAAAGTTCCTCGAGTTCCGCGTCAGCATGGGCATCATCGATAACATCATCGGCAAATGTATGTGTTAATAATGCAGTCCTTACCCACCAGAGTAAAAATAACATCAGTTGTCTGCTATAGATTTCGCCTCCATTGTTGGTTTCTACGCTGTATCCATTCCCTTCTTCGCGGAAAATCATCCACTACTGTCCGGGGAACAGAGTGGCCAGCGTCTTCAGGCTTACTACACTTATGGGCGAATGTTGGTCAAGTTGGCGGAGGCCATTGGCCGCCTGGTGCTCGCTGGACGTGAAATGTCCCGCCTTGCTGGCTTCACCGCTCGCATGACGGAGTTGATCAAGGTATTGGGTGACCTCAACAAGGGCACCTATGAACGCACCATGATCAACGGCAATAACATCACGCAAAACGCCGGCGGTTCAGCGTCAAGCAACTTTGGGCCCAACAAGGGTGTCATGTGCTTCGAGGACAACATTATTCGTTTCGAACAGGTACCGCTGGTGACGCCCAACGGCGACGTCCTGTTGCAGGAACTAACCTTTGAAGTGAAGTAAGTGAAAATGTGTCGATTTTCTTCTATTTCCTAAAATTATACACAACATCGTGGCAATAAATCTGTTCACTTTAATTTTAATCATAATTTACTTCTTGCAGGTCTGGCACAAACGTCCTAGTATGCGGACCCAACGGCTGTGGCAAGTCCTCTCTGTTCCGCATCCTCGGTGAACTGTGGCCCACGTGGGGTGGCAAGGTCACAAAGCCATCTCGTGGCAAACTTTTCTACATACCTCAGAGGCCCTACATGACACTGGGAACTTTACGTGACCAGGTAAGAAGAGCTTTATAAATCCCCAATGGTACTTGTTAACTAAAATAATATTTATCAATAGATCATTTATCCACACACACGCGAGGACATGCGTCGCCTTGGCCAGAGCGATGAAGATCTCATGCACTATCTGGATATTGTGCAGTTGACCTATCTGGAGCAGCGCGAGAACGGTCTGGACGCAATTGAAGACTGGATCGATGTGTTGTCCGGCGGCGAAAAGCAGCGTATCGCCATGGCTCGACTATTCTATCACCGTCCACAATTCGCTATTCTGGATGAATGCACCAGCGCCGTCTCCGTGGATGTAGAGGGCAAGATGTATAGCTACTGCCGCGAGGTGGGCATTACGCTCTTCACTGTCTCGCACCGCAAGTCTTTGTGGGCGCACCACGACTACTATCTGCAGTTCGATGGACGGGGCAGCTATGAGTTTGCGACTATCGATCAGGATAAGGACCACTTTGGCTCCTAAATTCCGCAACTCTCATTCCCCCATCCCCAAGCCTGATGACCAGAGCCAAAAGCTGCGCAACATTGCGGCCAGAAAATCTTCCCGATTCATCTTCGGTGCTGGCCACTCCTGCTCCGTCTCATCCCGTTCTGCCTCTTTCTCCTCCATTTGGTGCATTGTATATACCGTGAAATGTATATATTGCAAGTTGGAAAACCTTTCTTGTTTCGTTTGTGATTGTTTCCTTTATACGCTATTCCACATTTTATTCCGTTTTAATGTAATATCCCTTCGCTGGGATTTTAGATGTTTAACTCTCTTTGAGAATCGAGCTGGTGTTAGAAATGTAAGCGTAAAGTAATTGGCGATAGACCACAAAACGACGAAAGGCGTTTAGAAAACCTTTTAGTAAATAACACACTTATACCTGTAGATCGCACAAGTCCCAAATCGCGCATAGACAACTTATAGTAATTTGTAAACTACACTTGGCTTATTCAATTGTTTTGTATTTTTGGTTGAATTGGAATTGGAATGGAACCTTGCACGGCAACAATGAATTGCATTATACAGTGCAAGACGCAATAAATGTATATAAATATAAACATAAATGTTTTTTGATATTGGTTGCTAATATTGCTTAAGGTTAGTAACTTGGTATTAACTATCCTGCTCCATCCCAAAGTGTTTTGATGGCATTGTGATGTATGGTATAGCCTAAGCATCTCCAGGTGCTTGGTTTTTGAACAGTTCAGCGTAGGCCCACGGCATATCATCAAAACGTAGCAATCTATTCCGTTTGTATCTGAAAGCTGAAGCAGAATATAATTTCAAAAATTGGCGGTTAGGTGTCGAGTGACAGATCGATAACAAGCGGTGAAATCGATTGACAGGTAATCGTAGCCCTGGTCGGCTACGGCTAACGGTTTTACAGTGTTGCACAATTTGAACTTTATTTAAATTTAAAATGGTTTGACTGTTTTTATGTATGAATTACTAATTACTTACTTAATTATTTAAATAGTAACTATTGTTTATTGTGAATATAAAGACATTATTTAGAATTTCTAAAGAAATTTGTAGCAAAGAGTTTAATCCCCCAACCACTCTTAGATTTGGAATTATTATATCTTCTTGAATATTTATCGGTTTTTTTTTAAAATTAAGTATGTGCTAAGCAGACTTTACTATACATATATTGAAAAAAAATAGCTAAAATTAAAGTATTGAATTTCACCCCCTTCAAGAATTTCCTTGGACTACTTTCACTTACACATTTTCTTCCAGCAAGTGACTTTGTTCTGGCCTGCCTCATTCTCGAAACGATAAAAAAAGCTTAAGCTTATGCTTTCTGCACAATATGGGCTCAGCCCAGTATCCATGTCCACCCTCCGCCCAATCAACAACAACAATGCCTAGAGCTGAAAGCATGCGTAATTCCAAGGAAGGGGGTGGAGTGTTTGTTGGGCAGCGCACATGTGGCCCCGCAGTGGAGCACCACCCTCAATTCTCCTCCTCCGCGCAAAAAAAAAAAAAAAAAGAGGGATGCTGTCCAGCGAGGAAAATTCGTTTTGATTTTGCATGGACTTTTCAAAATTTATGCGCTATTTGAAATGTAACGCACGTGTGTGTGGGTGTGTGTCTGCATATGTATTGGTGCTCTTGTGCCCATGTGTAACATACATGTGTGTATATTTAAGGGAAATTAAATATCCAAAAGGGGCAGGGGAAATGGAATTTAAGGCTTTTGCTTGACTGAAAGTAGGATAAGGCCGGAATTTAAGAAGATTTCCAAGACTAGTTCTCGTTCAAGTTTCATCACTTTAGTTTTTTTAGTACGTTAAAATAATAATTAAATCAAAAGTTAAAGTTAAACAAGGGTATAGACTTGTCATAGAGTTTGTAAAATATTTGATAAGAATTAACAAATATTCAGATTGCTTAAAAATACACAAAGACCTGTATAGCTAAGAGCCTGAAGTAGTACACTGCAATTAAGATCAGAATCATTTATCTATTCTTTAGGCAATTCCTAAACTTAAAACTCAAAAGAGAAACCTTTATATATATCCTTTAAAATCTATTAAGTAACGACTAAAAATATAAATTTTGAACTATAAGTAAAACCTATGAACTTTCCTTTTTCTACCAATTTATATAAACTACTTCTTTAAATTCTTCTCAGTGCATAAATCCAGCCTCCACACACATAGCAAATTTTGAATTTTGTGTGTGTGTGTGTGTGTATATGCAGGCCTTGTATAGTGGAAAGTTTCAATATTGGCTCACCCAAAAGTTGTGGAGAGTGAGAAGTAGGCTTTTTGGTAGGGTTTATAAGGGGAGTGGGGTTTTTTTTTGGGGTGGTCTTTGCCCAACTGCCCAAAAAACGCCCACAGTGACAGCACATAAGCACACATACTTACGTGCCCATGTGGCTGTCTTTGTATATATATATATATATATATTTACATTATTCATGCACACACACACATTGGCACTTTTGAAAAATGCGTTTTATTCAAAGCGGAAGCATCAGGCTTTGACCAAGGGAGTGGGCTGTAAGATGGGTGGGTGGACGGATGGGATGGCTGGTCGGCTCCTTAGGGTTTTTTTTTGCCTTCAAGGTCTCGTCTTCCGTGCTCCCAGCAGATAGATTCAACGTTGCTCTCGTTTACTCAACTCGAAATTTCTTTTGGATGGCTTTAGGCTTTTGTCTAACTTTTACTTTCTACTTCTAGTTAAAAACAGTTTTATATTACACTATTATTTTAAAAGGAATTAATAATGCTTTTAAGGTTATACTTTATGTATAAATTCCTCTAAGATTTGTCAAGAAATTTTATATACAAAATAGTTTAAACTGAAAATAGTTTCTGCGTCGAATATACCCCATAATATTCTCTATAAAAATGTAAAAATTCTCATCCGTTATTTGCGCAACCATCAGCGGTGTTTGTTTTGGAATGTGAGTGTGCTTGGCATAAGTCTAAGCTGTAAGCTCCTTTTAATCGCAGCTAACAGCGAAAAGCGCTTTAAATGGTTTTAAATTCTGGTCCCCGAAGGCTGGAAGTTAAACTGCAAAAAAGGGGTTGTAAGGGAAAACCTTTACGAAATATCTTTAGAAATAAATATAATATATGTACGAGGTGTGTTCAAAAAGTAAGGTGACTCTTCAAATTTCGCGAATTTCAAATTTTTCGATTATCGATTTTTTTGTTTTGTTATATTGGTACACTCTTCCCTAACATCTGTACCAAGTTTCAATGGAACATCCTCTTTTGTTTGGTTGTGAGAGGCGTAAAGTTACAAGTTGTTTTGCGAGCTCGGCGATTTTTTGCTATCGAAAAATATGGATCAAAGGATTTGGATTTTTTGGCCAAAAACAACACCACAATAATGCCTCAGCCACCATATTCACCGGATTTGGCCCCATGTGACTTTTTCTTGTTCCCAAAACTGAAGATAATCGAAAAATTTGAAAAATTTGAAATTTGAAAAGTCACCTTACTTTTTGAACACACCTCGTATAACTTCTAAAAGGTTTCGATAATCGAAAAATTTGAAATTCGCGAAATTTGAAGAGTCACCTTACTTTTTGAACACACCTCGTATGTAGTTTCCATTCTAAGAAAAGGTAATAAATTCATATATCAGAAGTATTAAAAATTCGCTGCCTTAATCAACAATATTCTTAAACTAAGATATCAATCTTTAAATCTGCATAAAGCATCAAAGCAACCTTTCTATAATCCCAAATTTTCACCTTCTTCTCAATGAAAAGTATATACGAGTATATATACCTAATGATAGGGTTTGGAAATGCTGCCGATCAAGGAACCTGCTCTTCCCCCTCCACAGACTTTTCAACTTTCACTCGTCTGCGCATCTGCGCTGGCTCATCTCCCTGACCCGCCTCAATTTGGTTTGCCTTGTGACTTTCCACTTTCCACTCCCTGATTTTCCCTTTATTAACCAACGAGAACTGCAGCGAATGCAACCAAATCGGATTGTTCAATCAAAAGACTGGCACACACCCGCACACAAACTCAAAAATGATTTGGACAATGGAAAACGGACAGGAACATGATTCGATTTTCGGTCTGTGTTACCGGCTTTACCTGAAATCCCATTATGTTTTCTTGATTTTCCATTGGATTAACTGCACAGGCAGAGAGAAAAATCTTAATTTATATTTACTTTTTAGTATATTAATATTTCAAGTTTGCTTTATCATTTTAAGTTTAATGTATATTCAATTTAGTTTTATTTTAAACATAAAGAGAAATCTCTCATATAAACTTTTTTAATATTACTCTTACCATTTTTTCTAAGTGCAGAAGAGGCGTTCCTCTGACTGTGTTAAGGTGCACCGAGAAATCCCGTCTCCTGTGTTCCTTATTCTTCCCACACACACACACAAAGCACCCACTAACTTGCCATGCAACTATAAATTACAGCCCATATGACAGACACACAGCGCCTTTGAATGGGCCAAGGGAAAACTATTCACTCGGGTGTCCTTGAGCTATTATTTTCAGTGTAATTGTTTATGCGGCGATGGAAGTCATGATAAGTGTGAAGTAAGATTAAAATCAAGGAAACTTTGCCTACATTGAGGGGTTGGTTATAACCAAAAACCACCCTTTGCCATATTTCTAGAGTCTTAGAAGCTTCTTGGCCTTGTAAAATGTGCTTAAGGTTCTTTCGAAGTATCCGAGTATTACCATAGTTAGTCCTTTATAACATATGTTTGCATAATCTAATATCCTTGAACTACAAACATCATGAACAGGTCACGCATAAACGTTGTTCCTTTTAGCAGCCCACCTGATTTTTCATTTTCCATTTTCCACCACCACCAACAATCAAGCAGTGCAAGTGCAAGTTCTTTCTTCGTTTATCAATTCTCGTCTTCTCTCTCTCTCTATTGTTTTTCCGAGCTCAGGAGGAAACTCTCGGTCGCCGGGACGTCGCCACTACCTGTTGATTTCATTTCCCCCGACTTCGGCTTCGGCTTCGATGGCGTCATTCCAAATGATGCACGGCGCCTTTCAGTTGGACACGGTCTGCGTGATTCCGCCCCAGACTTTACCATTCCCATCCCCTGTGTGTAATCGTTCCCCGTACCTGCTGCGTTTGAAGTGCGCGTATCTACACTTGGAAAAAGTCTTTAAGGCGATGGTTTCAAAATATAATAAATCATAAAATGTTTACTACAAATATTAGGTGAAAAATCATTTTCTTTAAATTTCAACTTAATTTCCAATAATTTGTTCTTTATGAATTCTTGTAAAATGATTTTGACAAATCAGGACTGACCCAGGTTTCATGTTTGGCATATAATTAACATCATGTACTTTTGCCAAAAATGTTGACTATAGATCTATTAGGAATATAAATACAATCTCAACGAGGTATGTCGTTACATAATTGGATTATTATTGGTTAAGGATAAAATCAAGAATAATCGAATTTTGCACTTTTTATAAGGTGTTCCATAAGTCCTGCGTACTCCAGAGCAGTAACTGATCTCCATGGCCGATGGACTGGAACTGGCACTGATCATAGCTGGGCAGTATCTCCGTCTGAGTGCTCCATAAGTCTGATGAAGTTTCCAGATTCCAGCGCTGCAATACAAAGTTGACAGATTTATGCTTAGCAAGCGAAGTATCTCCATGCGTCAATAAGTTTATAGGTCCAAGAAAATCATTACCTGGTCTCTATTGCTAATGGACTGATACCCACAGCCTAGCAGTATCCACAAGTCCACAGTGTCAGCAGTCCATAAACGAGAAGATCCAAAGCAGAGGAGTACCTAATCTCGATGGCCAGTGGAATGGAACTGGCAGTGATCCCAGCTGGGCAAGCTAAGCTTAACTTCCTTTTAAAAGATCCACATTGCACTAATCCACATTGCATTAATCCACATTACATATGCCCCTCGACTTATGCAGTAAAATTAAAAAAGTTTGCCACTTACCTTGAATTTCCGGCTTGCCGAAGTCCACTCATGGTACAAAAGGCATCGTCATCTATATCCAGTACCAGAATATGGATTCACCAAAAAAAACCCATGGTGCACTGCATCCTCCATGGAAGCCATGTCCAGGTACCACCAATAAGGTAGTGGTGGCTACCACTACCACATCCTGAGTCCAGAATATGGATTCCCAAAAAAATTCATGATGCACTGCTGCCTCCATGGAGGCCATGTCCAGGTACCACCACTACATCCAGAGTCCAGAGTATGGATTCCCAAAGAAATCCATGATGCACTGCTGCCTCCATGGAGGCCATGTCCAGATGACACTACCACAGCCAGAGTCCAGAATGTGGATTACCAAAGAAATCCATGATGCACTGCTGCCTCCATGGAGGCCATGTCCAGATGACACTACCACAGCCAGAGTCCAGAATGTGGATTACCAAAGAAATCCATGATGCACTGCTGCCTCCATGGAGGCCATGTCCAGATGACACTACCACAGCCAGAGTCCAGAATGTGGATTACCAAAGAAATCCATGATGCACTGCTGCCTCCATGGAGGCCATGTCCAGGTGACACTACCACAGCCAGAGTCAAGAGTATGGATTCCCAAAGAAATCCATGATGCACTGCTGCCTCCATGGAGGCCTTGTCCAGATGACACTACCACAGCCAGAGTCCAGAGTATGGATTCCCAAAGAAATCCATGATGCACTGCTGCCTCCATGGAGGCCATGTCCAGGTGACACTACCACAGCCAGAGTCCAGAGTATGGATTCCCAAAGAAATCCATGATGCACTGCTGCCTCCATGGAGGCCATGTCCAGGTGACACTACCACAGCCAGAGTCCAGAGTATGGATTCCCAAAGAAATCCATGATGCACTGCTGCCTCCATGGAGGCCATGTCCAGGTACCACCACTACATCCAGAGTCCAGAGTATGGATTCCCAAAGAAATCCATGATGCACTGCTGCCTCCATGGAGGCCATGTCCAGGTACCACCACTACATCAGCCAGAGTCCAGAGTATGGATTCCCAAAGAAATCCATGATGCACTGCTGCCTCCATGGAGGCCATGTCCAGGTACCACCACTACATCCAGAGTCCAGAGTATGGATTCCCAAAGAAATCCATGATGCACTGCTGCCTCCATGGAGGCCATGTCCAGGTGACACTACCACAGCCAGAGTCCAGAGTATGGATTCCCAAAGAAATCCATGATGCACTGCTGCCTCCATGGAGGCCATGTCCAGGTACCACCACTACATCAGCCAGAGTCCAGAGTATGGATTCCCAAAGAAATCCATGATGCACTGCTGCCTCCATGGAGGCCATGTCCAGGTACCACCACTACATCAGCCAGAGTCCAGAGTATGGATTCCCAAAGAAATCCATGATGCACTGCTGCCTCCATGGAGGCCATGTCCAGGTACCACCACTACATCCAGAGTCCAGAGTATGGATTCCCAAAGAAATCCATGATGCACTGCTGCCTCCATGGAGGCCATGTCCAGGTGACACTACCACAGCCAGAGTCCAGAGTATGGATTCCCAAAGAAATCCATGATGCACTGCTGCCTCCATGGAGGCCATGTCCAGGTGACACTACCACAGCCAGAGTCCAGAGTATGGATTCCCAAAGAAATCCATGATGCACTGCTGCCTCCATGGAGGCCATGTCCAGGTGACACTACCACAGCCAGAGTCCAGAGTATGGATTCCCAAAGAAATCCATGATGCACTGCTGCCTCCATGGAGGCCATGTCCAGGTACCACCACTACATCCAGAGTCCAGAGTATGGATTCCCAAAGAAATCCATGATGCACTGCTGCCTCCATGGAGGCCATGTCCAGGTACCACCACTACATCAGCCAGAGTCCAGAGTATGGATTCCCAAAGAAATCCATGATGCACTGCTGCCTCCATGGAGGCCATGTCCAGGTGACACTACCACAGCCAGAGTCCAGAGTATGGATTCCCAAAGAAATCCATGATGCACTGCTGCCTCCATGGAGGCCATGTCCAGGTACCACCACTACATCCAGAGTCCAGAGTATGGATTCCCAAAGAAATCCATGATGCACTGCTGCCTCCATGGAGGCCATGTCCAGGTGACACTACCACAGCCAGAGTCCAGAGTATGGATTCCCAAAGAAATCCATGATGCACTGCTGCCTCCATGGAGGCCATGTCCAGGTGACACTACCACAGCCAGAGTCCAGAGTATGGATTCCCAAAGAAATCCATGATGCACTGCTGCCTCCATGGAGGCCATGTCCAGGTACCACCACTACATCCAGAGTCCAGAGTATGGATTCCCAAAGAAATCCATGATGCACTGCTGCCTCCATGGAGGCCATGTCCAGGTGACACTACCACAGCCAGAGTCCAGAGTATGGATTCCCAAAGAAATCCATGATGCACTGCTGCCTCCATGGAGGCCATGTCCAGGTGACACTACCACAGCCAGAGTCCAGAGTATGGATTCCCAAAGAAATCCATGATGCAGTGCTGCGTCCATGGAGGCCATGTCCAGATGACACTACCACAGCCAGAGTCCAGAGTATGGATTCCCAAAGAAATCCATGATGCACTGCTGCCTCCATGGAGGCCATGTCCAGATGACACTACCACAGCCAGAGTCCAGAATGTGGATTACCAAAGAAATCCATGATGCACTGCTGCCTCCATGGAGGCCATGTCCAGGTGACACTACCACAGCCAGAGTCCAGAGTATGGATTCCCAAAGAAATCCATGATGCACTGCTGCCTCCATGGAGGCCATGTCCAGGTGACACTACCACAGCCAGAGTCCAGAGTATGGATTCCCAAAGAAATCCATGATGCACTGCTTCCCCCATGGAGGCCATGTCCAGGTACCACCAATATGATGGTGCGTACCATGGGACCACTTGGAAGCACTGAAAGAACACAAACACAAACACACAAAAATGACTTGACTGATTTCACCGGCCAGCAGCGGCGTAGTCACAACTTTTCTGCTATAACCAATTGGGAATTACAAGTTTCCCCGAGTGGACAAAGTTTCGTTTAGCCTGGACTCAAACAATATGGCCGTTAATTGGTTTTTAACTTAACTTTCATTTTTTTTTAAATTCAAAACACTGCCGTTAGCAAACAAATTTTCCGTTTATGTTTAAATTTTAAAATATTTTATAAATTTCTGTTAATTTATAAATTTGGGGTTAATATTTAAAATTACATTGGCATGAAAAAAATCTAAAAATAACAAAAAATTATATATTTTTCATCAAAAAATTTCAAAAATTGCTAACCATTTTTAAAGTTCTGAGCAATGTAAAAGCTTTTTTCCCTTCAATATTTCGGCCAAAAACTGGGGCCTATTTTGATCATTTGTAACCCCGAAAAATAAGCTGAATTTCTCCACTAGGAGCTATATATCGACTAAAATTTTTTAAAAATATGAAGTTTTTATTTTTTATTGTTGAGAATTTTTACGATTTAAACCTGAACAGGCTTCATACTTTTCAAAGTATGAATGCAGATACATTGGGAATAAGAAAACGATCTCGACTAGGTATGTAATTTCACTTTTGAAAAATTATTGCCAAATTTATAGACAAAACACTTTCATTTTGGGGCTAAGCTCTGGATTAACCAAATTTTGCCATGGCTAACATCATCTATTTTTACAAAACGTGGCCAAAACATTATTTCTCAGGGCTTTACCCAATGCCATCCCATTATGGATTCACATAACGACCTCCAGGATGCATGATATTCCATATTTTGACAATTTTTCACTTTGCTCCGCTCTACATACTGATCTGGTTAAAGACTTTTCACCAAATTTTCATTGCATTTCCTCCAAACAAAAAAAAGCCAATTGAAACTTCAAAACTGTAGTTTACATTCTTTATTTCGGTTCAAAAAAATTCATTTTTTCTCTGTCATGTGGCTTGTCACTTTGTTTTGTTTCCAATATTTTGGGTTTTTGACAATTTCGGTTTCTCCAACTTTTGTGTAAAAGGGTAAAGGGGGAGATGGGTCGTTTATATATGTATGTACACATATATCTATATATATATATGTACAGATTTATTATAGAGATACATATATATATAGAGAAAGAGAGAGACAATTTCGCATAAATTCATTCGGTTGCAGGATATTTTTTTAGGGTATTACAACTTTTGTTTCGATTTCAGTTTACAGATTTCCGATTTTGGGGTACATTGAGATTTTCTTATTAGAGAAAACACACACATATATGTATATATGTATGTGTGTATATGTCCATTTAACACTGAGTTTTCCTAACTTTTATTATATAAAATCTTTGTTTAAATTCCTGATACCTGGAGTTACGAGTTCGGTTTCTCTTGAGGTTGCTTGGTTGGCCTGTTGCTATAAGTTTTTCGTAAAAATGTACAAATATCAATGCACACACACGCACACACACACACACAACATACACAAAAAAATGTTAAACTTTGTGCTTTTTTCGATTTCTTCCTTGTGTATTGTTTGGTGGAGAGAGGGTGAGAGAGAGGTACATGGTTCCTTGTCCAATTATTGGTTACTTTTTATACTTTTTGTTTTTTGTTTTTTATTCGAATTACTACTACACACATGTGGGTTATCCTTGGACAAACCGAATAGTTGTCAAGTTTTCAGGGGTTTTCTTAAAAATAAAACACTTTTGACACCATGAGAAAGGAAGTTGATATATTGGCTTAAAAAATAATTATCAGAAAATCTTAACTTGAAAGATATTCGGTTTGTAAAAGCTTAACCCATATATACAGACAAATATCATGCTTTTTGGCGATTGTTCAACTTTTCCTATAAACTTTTTGTTTAGTTTTTTTTTGGCGGTTTCAGTGTTTTTTTTTTTTAGTTTTTACTTGGTGCTTCTTAAAAATTTCCTTTAATTTTATACCCGTTTATCATGTTCGTATATATGTGTGTAGATTTCATGCGGGTTTTGTGCTCCCATTTTGTGTTTTTTTTTTCTTTCTTTTTTTTTTATTTAATAATTAATTGCTAAAATTTAACATGTAGTTGCTACATAATTCAAATATGTTTTTAGTTTCTCTCGTTTTTTTTTTCAAGTTTCTGCTTTTTGCTTTTTGCTTTCAAGAAATTGCATTTAGCTTAGATCGAAAGAGTCGTTAGAATCCGAACCAAAATAGTTGCCTGCATCAAGTATTGCTTAGGTGTTCTGCATTTAAGTTTTAAGATTTTGTTTTTAGACAAAAAAAAAAAATAACTATATTTACGTATAATTCTAAACACAAACAAAACTGCTTTCGAGTTCAGGGGGAAGGGAAGAATAGATTCCGGTTAACCGAAAGTAAGTAATAATCCTGCGGGGATTTTTCAAGCTTAAATCTTTCTTTCTTTTTTTCTTTGTCAAATATAATAATAGTTAGTTTTGAACTTGGTATAAGGACTAACGGACATTGATTAAGGTTTAAATTTCAAGTTTAAATCCCCGCAGTACCATCGAAATCACTTGTTTCGCTTCCACTTCCTTGTTTCTAGCTCTCAATTGGATTTTCGTTGTTGAGTTAGACGTTGTAAGGTTGTGGGTTGTGGGTGGTTGACAACTACTGACCCCTTTCTGATCGCCGCCACCCTGCTCTCCTTAAGCCACCGCCCCCCCTAAAACAGGTTTAAGATTAGTTTTTAGGGCGTGGTTGCGTTTGTCATGTGAGCAACAAATTCATGATTAGCTGGCCAAACTGTAAAGATTCAAATTTAAACTGATGACAATGACGCGCAACGCGAACAGGGGGGGAATGGGTGGCAATGGTGGGTGATGGCGGCGATTCAAGTTCAATATTAAGCCTAAAATATATCCTTCGTATATAATGTTTGGGGTGTGTATATAAATAGCATATAAACAATTATATATTTAAAGTTATTTGTTTTAGTTTTACGTATAATTAGTTGACATTTTCTTCGTTATCTTTTGGCATTTTCTTAAGCCTTGGTTTTTGTTTTTGTAAAAGCTTTCTCTTTTCAAAAATTGAGAATCAAACTAAAATATATATAATATATATTTCTGGTGATTTTTTGTAATTTCTTTTATTTTCTTTCTTTATTTCTTTTTATTGCTAACGAGGTAGATTTCTATTACTTTCTGAGCTGTTCTGCTGAGGTAATCAATTTCCTTAACATTTCGTTATTTTCGTTATTTTTAAAAAAAAAAAGGTTTAGTTTTATATTGCACAGTAAACACTCCCAACTGACGGATGAAATGCGTTTCGCAAAGCGATTTATAGTAATTCAATTTTCAATTTCAACTAAAAGTATTGCCTCTCCTGCTTTTCCTTTCTCATCTCGTTTATTTTTTTTAACCTTTTTGCTATTTAAGTTTAATTATTGTTAATGTTTTCCATTTTCCTTTTTTTCGTTATTTGCCCAATAAATGATATGCACAATGTTGATATATAGGAGACAAGATTCTTCGTCTTCGTTTTCCACATCTTCAAAATTTGTAGTCCTTGCCTATTTACATAGCTTAATGGTTGCATTTGCAGTTTTAGTTAGTTTGTGATTATGGCCAGGAGCAGTGGTTAAAACAGGGCTAAAACTCGTACAAGATCATTTAGTACAGTTTCTACTTCTTATATATATATATAGTAGATATATATATTGGCTGACAAAAAAAGAGTTCAACTAAATTTACACTAAAAAGTGAGAATCCTTAGTACGTATTTCGTTATAAACAACAAAAAAAAACAAAAACTATTACATTGATTGCACTAAAATATTTTGTCAAAAAAAGAAAACAAAAGAGAGGGAGTTCCTGATCGGTTTTGGGGTTGGGTTAAAGTGTACTTAGTAAATCCATCATATTAAAAGTTTTTTTTGTTAATCCTTCTTTCTTTCTTTAGTTTTACCCTCAACGGCTGTGTCCGAAATATTTGAATTCGCTTAAATTTTGATCCGTTTGTGGGCGTTCGCTGAGTACATCGATGGATGATACGATCGGGGCTGCCTCCTGGTTGCTGCAATGAAACGAAAGTGAGGGGTTCGCTTGGTTAGTTCGAAGATTAATGTCAATTTTTTTTGTTTTTTTTTTGAAATGGTGAAAAGGCCAACCCAAAAGTTAAGTCAACTTAGCTAATTAGTCAATGTTCCCAGCAGATAATGATGACAAGTACGTATCTGTATCTGCGAGTCTTAAACAAAAAAAACATCTGTTACTGTTGCTTATATATATAATATCTTTTTTTTTTGGTAATTTTTATATCTGGTAATGCAGCTGCGGGATCGGATTGAAATCGTATCGGAATCGAGGAATAAAAATCAGGGGTAGTCGGTTTCAGGTTCAATGTAAGACTTTTGATATAAAGGAATCACAATCACAACTCACATCAAATCCAATAAATCTCTAATCCAATTTGAACTCATTATGCTTATATGCACACACGATCCCACAGCGATCTCGCTCGCACTCGTTCGAAAATTATTAGCTATAAGGCCAGCGCTCTATAATCTGATATCTAAGATGTTGCTCTTTTCTTCATCGCCTCCTTCTCTCTCTCTCTCTCTATCTATCTTTCTCTCTCTTTCTTGCTTCATCGATTCGGTTTCGGCGTAATTCTTATAATTCGTATGATTCTGCTTCTTCAACGCTGGCTTTGTTGTTTCTTTTTCTTCTGTGGCCCACAATCCACAACAACAACAACAACAACAACAACAAGGGGAACGCCTTTATTTTTTTTTTTCTTCTTTTAATTTCGGCTCGGCCTTCTTCTTCTTCTTCTTCTTACATTTTGATGTGTGTATGCGTCACACGAAGGCTTAGATTATACACAGCGAGAAATGGAGGGAGCGAGAGAGGGATTAGGGATTTGGAATTAGGCAAGGATTTTGATAATTTTTAAACCCATAAAAGTTGTAATTATAAGCATTTTTCTTATACTTTTTATATTACTAATATATTTAGAAGGTTATAAAATTTTATTATTTGACTATTCTTCTACTTCTTCTTCTTTAAAATACAAGATTTATAGGCTAGTATGGCTGTAAGTTCTTTATGAAAACGATAAACTGGCAGAAATGCAACTCAGCTCTTACATCTTTCAGCTTAAACTAAGCTTAATAGAGATAAAACTGATAAGTAGAAGAATAAGAACTTTATAAACCCCAAAGTTCTGATCTTTTCTTGAAACTATGTACATATAGTAGACCACATCTTCACAATCTCTACTCTACTCTCTACTCTTTTCTCTACTCCCAATATAAGAACAACTTCATAAACCCCAAAGTTCTGATTTTTCCTTCTAACTACATATAGTAGACCACATCTTCACAATCTAAAACCTTCTGTTTTTCTCTACTCCCAATACAAGAACAACTTCATAAACCCCAAAGTTCTGATCTTTCCTTGAAACTATACATATATAGTAAAAGATATTTCCACAATCAAAAACCTTCTGTATTTCTCTACTCCCAATACAGTTTTCCTTTAGTAAAAGCTAATATAGTGATTTAATGTGACAGCCTCCCTTTTGGTTCGTGTAACTTTTGTAGTTCAGAGTTTGGCGTGTTGCAATGTGTACGTTTCTAGCCTAAAACCAAGTCGAAACTTAAACAACCCCCTACCCCTTCTATTCTGCGGCCATTTATCTTGGCTTGCTTGATTTCTGTGGCTGGATCTCGGGGCTTCAGTTAATCTGCAGCGCATCAGCAATTAGCGGAAACTCGTCATAAAAAATACGAAAAAAACAAAAAAAAAAGCAAAGAGAACAGCAGCGGCAGCAACAGCAACAACACAAAATCGGATAAAGCGCCGACAGCAACAAGGCACAAAAATATATACAAAACAAAAAAATAAAAAAAAGATTTTTGGCTATAGTTTAGTTTTGTTGTTGGTGTTGTTATTGTAGGTTGTATTTTGGTTGAAACTCAGTTCGTTTCGGGGCTCAAAAAGATTTATTTTGTTTTACTTTACTTCTTTCTGTCGTCTTGGATTTTTTTTCTGATTTTTTTTTTGATTTTTTTTTTGGTTTCTAACTGATTGTGAGACAAAATTTCGGTTGAATTGGAATTAGGACACACACATGAAGTGAAGCTTTGAAATGTAGCAACAATTTCTGGACAGTCGAAAAACACGCTCGACGCAGCTGTGCGCCATTTGATGACGCTCCTCGTTTTTTGGTTTTGTATGTTTTCATCTTTTCTTTTTTTTTTTGCCATGCGGCAGCACCATTGCCCCGCCCATTCAGCCCCGCCTCCTGCCCCGCATATATCATTTGAAATTTTGAAATGCTCCAAAGTTCGACACCTTGTTCCCTTCATCCCGCTGTTCCAAGCACAAATTTCGCAGAGGATTCGCAAGTTTGTTAGTAAGTTCGTTGCCTAAGTCTTTTGTTTTGAATACCCATTTTGGGTTTATATTTTAAATACAGTTAGTTAGCAGATTGACTTGGAATGATATGGTGAAGGTATTTGATGGTGACATCTCAGGGATTAAAAAGGATGCAAGTTAGTTAAGGAAAAGGGGTAGCCATGTGGTATGTTTTGGGATCCCCTGAAATGTGGGAAAATATTCATTTTAAGTTTGTTCTTAGAAGATAGAATTTCCATAGATATCTATCTACATATCAAGTTAATTTATATATATATATATAACTATAGCTTCTATAGCTTCCTTATGATATATGCATTTATCTGAGATACTTCAATAGATTCCAAAAATAAGCAACTGAATAGCTCAACTAATCTGTTGGATGAACTCAGCAAAAGCCTTCTCAGAAAGAAATAGTAATCCAAAGTAGTAGATAGCAATCTATGTTAGAATATTAGAATGTTAGAAGGTCTTTAATCCTAGATCTACTAGGAATAAGAATATCTTTAAGATTTTTATATCTTCTAAATAATTATTATTGAATAATTTCTATCTTGTTGTCGTTAAGAAAAGGTTTTACTGCAAAAGTAATTAACATCTTTTGCATCCTCAACTTTTAGTTAATACATAAAATTATATAATAAAATAATCCTGAATGAGATAATCCTTATCAAATAGTATATACCCCTCTACCCTTTCCCACAAAGTCATAGTGCCCTTAGCACTTGACAATCCTTGAACACTAGCCAATCCCTTTCCCTTCCTTGTTACATCTTCCGCTTTAGGACTACTCCTAGAAGATACATTTATCGAATCTGTATTCGTTTGTATCTATATCTCTATAGCCATGGCCATTTTCCAAGCATCGTAATTAAGGTTCTAGACAGACACTCGGAATCTTGGCCAGACATGGCAGATGCTCGAAACAATGTTTAGCCGAGCCGAGCCGAGACGATAATGATAATGATGCCGATGATGATGCGGCCGCCATGCTATCCTGTCATCTTGGCTGGCTGTTTTTGGTTCTTGGTTGTTTGGTTTTTGGCCTTCGTGATGCTATTATTGTTGTTGCTGTTGTTGTTGTTGCCGTTTGTCATTGAATTTTGGAAATCAAATATCTAAGGCCATAGCTCCGGGGGTTGATTTCTTCTAGCGCTCGCATGCACACATGCCCGAAATGAAAGCAAGAAATGGTTAACAACCAAGCGAAGATGGTATGGTATGGTATGGTGTGTGTGTGTGTATGTCTATCTGAGCCTTGTATACCTTTAGATACATATATATATGTATGTATCTGGAACACAATAAGCATTTTAGGATGCTGTCAAATGTTTGGTAATTAAAAAAAAATAGAAGAAATTTCTCGGTCTAAGCCAAAGTCAAATGGAGGGAAAAACCTATCAAATGAAAACGAAAAAAAATTAAATGGAATATTTAACAATTTCTGGGAAAGAAGAACATTTCACATTGCCAGATTGGGAGGGTGTGAATTTCCATTTTCCGGCGGGCCTAATTTGATTGAGTTCCCGTGTTAGATGTCAAGTGAGGCTGAAGCTTTCTGGGTTGTTTTGATTTAACCCCCCGCCAAATTTAACCTTTTCATCTCATTCGAGATGTGAAATTAGCCATGAACATTTTTTTTTTTGACAAAAATTGGTGTGATTAGTTTGCAGGTCTCTTTTTTTGAGAGGGGGAGGGGGAAATAAGCAAGTTAATTGGTTAAAGATTAAGAAGATGTTAGTATGAGTAAAGTAACTTCAGCTGGTTACGAAATGTGTCTCTACTTAAGCTTGAAAGATTGTGTTTTAAAGATGAGAAAATCAGCTAGCTTTGTCACCAAAGAAAGATTATCTTATCATTAAGCATTTTTAAGAAGTTAATATCTTATCAATATTTTGATTTATTAAACTAAATCTTAACTATCTTTATGATTTCCCCTGCACTTTAGTTCCAAAAATAAACCCGCTTAGTAAGCTGAAAGATATTTACAGGCTTCTGGTTTCTAAAAAATTGAACAGAATTCCGGAATTCAAGAAATCGGGAAGGAAGACAGAGATGGAGCTGAAGCTGAAGCTGACGCTGGAGAGAGGTGTAGTGCGAGGTGGAGGGGTGACCCTGAGAAAAGCAAATACAAAAGAACAGTTATAAGCAAAGGAAACCCAAATCCAATCTTCGGCCAGAATGTAAACACAGGCATACAGTCGGCGAAAAGGAAAAGGGCCAAGGAAGTGAGCACAGATCACACATGTTCGAGAATTGCGTGGGAAGAAGCAGGAGAAGAAGGAGGAAGACAACGGAGGAGGTCTTCAAAGTAGCAGAACAAGAAGAAGAAGAAGAAGAAGAAGAACCAGAAGTAGAAAAGAAAGAGGTTGGCGAGGTTGAATGCCAAATTTGCCAAACATCCATCATAGCACAATTTTCGTTTTGTGGTTTTTCTCTCTTTTTGAATAGTTTCCTTTAACCACTCTCTTCCTCTTATCCGCTAGGCTCCCCTCTATCCTTCTGCTATGCCTTATCCTCCTTCTTCTTCTCCTTCTGCTTCTGCTTCCTCCTCCAAAAAAACAAAGACACAAAAGCCTGTCAAGGCGAACCTATTGTGTTTTTGTGCGATATATATTTTTCCTTTACTTTTTTTTTACTTTTTTTGCTCTTCACAGGAAGATTCTTTCCTTTTGCCTCGATCTTTATACATATATAACTATGAATCATGGTAAGTGCTAACGCTGTACATATGTACATATACTTATATAGCTGGAGAATCGGTAGAAACAGGCAAAGAACAGCACAAAAGGAACAAACGAAAGAGAGACAACCGAGCGCACATTTCAAGGATTACACTATCGTGTGCGAGCGGGACAGAGTCAAGACCTACTGTCTTTTTTCGAGGGTACGAGTGTATCTACAAGACACACACACACACACACGCACACACGAAGGTAGACAAAATTTCTACCTGGATAACCGATGATCAAAATCTCTGCCGAAAAAAAAACAACAACAACAACAACAACAACAGCACACACAAGAAAACGAAAACGAATACGAAAACGGCGAAAGAGGGAGGCAGAGCGGCAGAGCGCAACATCTTGCCGAAAAATTAAAATTACAGATGGTTTGTTGCTGGATGAGCATATGTACAGGAAACCAGTTTTTATGTTCAACAAACAAACACAGAAAGAAAGAAAAAAAAAACGGAGTAGAAGATACAGATACACACACACGTACACCAACACTGATGCGCGCCAAACGCCGCAAGAAGAAGAAGACGGCGGCAGCGTTATGATGACATAGCCACAATTGTTGCTGCTGCCGCAACTGGTGTTGTTGTTGTTGCTGCTGCTGTTGCTGTTGCTTTTGCCTTGCCTTTGCCTTTGCTTGGAGTGTCGCGCAAGCGCAGCCCCAAAAAACAAAAAACCGCCACAAAGCCGGCAAATTTAGAGGCACTTCTTGAGATTCCAAGTTGCTAAAGCTTATGGAGATATTCCGTTTTCCTTACATAACTCAGCTTCTTTCTAGCATCATTCAAATCCATATTAATTTAGAGATTTTTAAGAAGTTTTTCCTTAAGAATGATCTTAGCTTTAGGTCATAGCTGAAACATCTTTGGGCAACTATCCTAAGCGAGGTCTTTAGTCTTAAAAACCCAAAAGAGTCTATAAGCTAATCAGTAAAGACCCTCTAAGCCTCTAGTATTAGATGTTCGAACTTTTCCTAAGAATGATTTTGTACTTTCTACTTCAAAACTAACTTTTATATTCCTGTTTAACATATAACTTCCTTAAATATATTTTATATACAATCCTTAAAGTTGTTCCCTTCTAAGATAATCAAAGAACTGCTTCAATAATTCTTCTAGGAAATTAAAGCGAAGCGATATTAAGATTCCTTTAGTTGAAGATGAAATATTGTGGTTAGATATAAAAGTGAGATATAGAAGTGCCATCCTATAATAGTATATTGCTAGTAAAGGGCATAAAAATGGCCTTTGAAGTCAATGTAAACCTTAAAGGCTTTCATTTTAAGAACAAATGTAATGATTTTTAAGAATTTGAAATAAAAAATGTTACAAAATAAAGAACAAAATCAAAGACAAATTTGAAAATCCTAAAGAACTATCAAAATATTCCCTAAGATACACAACTTCTTTATAATTTTCCATAACTTCTTAACAAATTTGTAGAACTCAACTTTCATTTTAAAACTAAATCATAAAACCTTCAAGTATTACATAATAATTTCCAAGAAAGGGATGTTAAGATATCTTCTAAGCAAGCAATAACCACATTTCTCAGCTGTTTGCCAAATCTCTGGCATATTCCTGCCAACTTCCACATCTGTAAGAATATCTTCATGTATCTGCTTCTATTTGCAGCCCCTGGTTGCCTTGTACTTTCCTGATCCATACCCCCTGAGTACCGCATCTTTTCGCCCCCGGGGAGAGAGAGAGCATACAAAAAAAAAGGAGGGAATGCAGAGCAGAAGATACTTTGTGTTGAACATGTGTTGGCGCGATGTTTGCGTGCTGCGAAAACACATTGCCAAAGGAAGGATGGCGAAATCCATAGAGAGCGGCGAATGGAATCCTTTGTGCCGAAGATCCTTGGAAGCCAGTTGTTGCCACACAGAAATATATACACACACACACACATACACATACATACATAGATAGAAACACGTCCTCCAGCGGCGACGCGTATCTTTGTATCTACACATGTCTTGCTTGTCTCTCATTCTCATGCCCGGCTTCATTCGGCCTCTGCTTCGCCTCTTTCTTCGCGAAAATTGAGCCTCAAAGAAAACAACAAAAAAAAAATGTCTATCTTGAATTCGTTTTCTTAGCCTCAAAACTAAAACTGAAATCAGAAAACAAAAAAACCAAAAAAAAAAAACAGAAAGAAAGAGGAAAAAACGGCGTTGAAAAATAAATATTAAAGACACGCACGTAGTTTCCGAGGAACTAGCAGCGAACAACAACAACAACAACAATGAATTTCTACAAAAATAATTAAGAAAATGGAAAGAGAGAGAAGAAAACATACATTTATTTAAAAGTTTATGGCTTATGCGGTTTATGGAAAGAACCAAACAAAAACAACACAAAAAATATGGCCAAAAAGGAAAGGGAACAAGGTCTGGCAAATTAGAGAGGAAGTCCAAGGGCAACTCAAGAAACATTCTTTTCGAAAACAAAAAATTCGAAAAATCTGAATCAATCTGAAAAATAAGAGAAAAATCAAATCAAATAAAAAGCATAATTTTTGTAATTTTCACTTTTTTTTTTTTGGTTTTGTTTATATTTGTCATTTTAAAAAAAATTGTAGGCGTGCCAAAAGGGAAAGCGTTAAATTGGTTAACAATAAAAATAAAAAAAAAATATAATTACAAACAAGATCTAAGGGTAGGTAGGCAGAGAGAGAGAGAGAGGGGGGGACACATATTAAATGAAGATTTGAAATAATTACAATTTGTTTTATTGGCGGAAAACATAAGTTAGGGGCAAACTAATCGTAATAAATATATAGGCATTATAATAATAATAATACGCGATCATAAAGTGCGTCTCGTTTGAGGCTTAGAAACATAATAATATCCCTGATTTTGCATTTTCTTGAGTTTATCTTTTTTGTTTTTTCTTTCCTTTGCTATGACAATTTGGCATTTTTAAGGCTAACATATATATATATATATATATACTAATATATATATATATATAAGGATTGTATATATGCGTTTGTCTAGTAACTAGATATAGTATATATATATATATCAATTGGCATATAGTTGCTGATTTTTAGTTTACATATCGTGTATATGGCATTTGTTGTGTGTTTCTTTCTCTCGATTACAAAATATATAATCAATAATCAAATAATAATTAAACAAGTTTGTTACAAATTAAAATTCGAGCAAAAAAAAAAAAAGTTTATACTAAAATCTAGTGTTTACATAGGTAAAATATATGGAATATGTATAAATAGGTTTTATATATGCATATATATATATATATAGGCGCCCTGATTTTAAGCGTTTCTTGGACTGCTGTTGCTGAGGTATACTTGATGGTTTTACACATACAAAATAAGGCTTAATCATAATAATAATAATAGTTAAAGTACAGATAATAATAATACAAGTTTAACATACAAATAAAATTAAATAATTTGCTGCTACAACAATTAGGAATTCTTTCGGTCTTTCAATCGCTTCTTCTCCATACACATTTTATATGGCAAACTCAAAATACAAATTACAGGAATGGTTTGTGGTGGTGGCCCCCGGTGGGTGGCATTCCCGGGTATTCAGAGCCAAGGAGTGGCCGCTGCGGCTGTCTAAGTTATTGAAATGCTGCGGCTTTCTGATCAATTCTAAGTACATTCGTTTTCGTTTTTTTTTTTCCCCTCCACAAAAAAAATACCAACAAACATCGAATTATTGCTTGCCAGGCAATAAAATGTGTTTTCTTAACGAGCAAGCTTAATAAAACTGGGCGAAAGCTCGTTAAAAATTTAATCGAAACATTTAAACTGCTTAATCGACTGACTAACTCTGATCAACCCAACTCCCCCCGCCCCTTCTCACTCAACTGCAGAGCCACTTGAACTGCGCCCGCAGCCCAAACCGCACTCAGTTGCCCACTGATCATCCTCCTACTACTACTACCTACTCCCTTCTCCTTAAGCTCAAAGCCCTGGAGCATTTCATAACCCAGATCCTGGCTGCTGCTGCTGCTACTGTTTTAGTACAACTCTATGCTCTTCTCGATCATTTGATATTCCTCCTTCATTATGTGGTGATCGCTCAGCTCCTCCTCCTCCTCCTCATCCTCCTCCTCTAACATTTTCATCTCCATCTCATCCTCGTCCAACAGACTATCATCGTCCGCGGCCAAATCATCGATATGCCGCTTCAGACTAAGTCCGGGAATGAGATTTGGATTGACAACCTGGGCTAGAGTAAGACCAGGAGAAGAAGCTGTTGGCACCATAGATTCCTGTTTCACAGCCGTCACCGTCAGCGAGCGGGCAAAGGCCGCTTTAATGGATAAGCCGCCCGGCACCCCTCCTCCTACGCCTAATCCCGTCGTACCAGTTACAGACGCTGCTGCTGCTGCTGCAGCGGCTGCAGCCGCGGCGGATTTCTTGCCCACTACCCGCGGTCGATTGTGCGTCTCAAGATGCTTGCGCAGATGATCCTTGCGGCAGAAGCCCTTCTCACAAATATCGCACATATGCTGCTTCAGCCCCGTGTGGATAGCCTCCACGTGTCGACGCAGATCCGTTTTGTGATGGAACTGCTTGGGGCACAAGTCGCATTTGTGCGGCTTGTCTTGGGTACGATGGCGACCCAGATGCGTGGTATAAACATCCTCGCTCTGGAAACGCTTGCCACATTTCTGGCAGCGAAACGGGTACTCACCGGAGTGGAAGCTCTTGTTGTGCTGCGTAAGGTAGCAGTTCTTGGTGAACTCTTTGTCGCACTCCAGACACTTGATCCGTCCGGAGGGCAATGTGGTTGAGTGCGGCGACGTTGATCCAACGCTGCTGTTCCGCCGTCGTTTCGTAGTCGATGGTGTTGCTGCTGCATTGTTGCCGCGTCGCTTTTTGGCCAACGGCTGCTGTCCCAGAGACTGGACCTGATCTACCATTATCTGTTGCTGCTGCTGCTGCTGCTGTTGCTCCAATTGTTGCTGTTGTTGCTGCTGCAGTTGCTCTAATTGCTGATGCTGCAGCTGGTACTGCTCCATCTCGTAATCCTGCTGATGTTGCATAAGCGTGGCCATGTCCATCTCCAGCGCGGGAGTGGCTCGCGAACTGCTCACCGTGGGCGAGTACGGGGTGGAAAGTACCGTTAACGTTGGCGTTTGTGCCTCCTGTTGCCCACCCTGCTGATGGGCATGAAGCGCTGTGGTCAGCGTATGCACCGGCGGCAGATCACCCTCCTGCGGCGATCGCTGGGCGGCCACCGAGTACGGTGAAAGTGGGGCATAGGGTGCAAACAGGGAGGCGGGCATCAGCTGCAGGATTTGGCCATCACTGGTGGCGATCTGGTTGCTACCATATCCTCCGGCCGCTGTTGCCGAATGCGCCTCCGTTCCACTACCAATAATAGTGTGATAGCTCATTGTGGGGTCCAGCGGCTGCAGCTGCTGGTAGCATTGCGGCGGCGGCGGCATGATGGGCATGTGCATGGTGGGCGGCATGGGCATGGTGCTGGTGATGTGCGGCGGCGGCGGCTGCAGCGGCAGCAGCTGCGGCGCTGTGATGGTGGTGAGCGGCATGGGCATGGCCATGGTGGGCGGCGGGGAGCTGCTGGTGGGCGAACTGCTGCTGTGCGGCAAATTGTCCGCCAGGATTAGCGCCTGCTGCTGCTGCTGCTGCTGCTGCTGCTGATCCAGTTGGAGAAGCTCCCGCTGCTGCTGATGATGATCCTCCTCCTGGCCCTGCTGATGATCCTCCAGATGCTGATGGTGCGGGTGGAGCACCGGTTGGTGGTAATGGTGCACCAGCTGCTGCTGCTGCGGCTGCATAGTGTCCGGCATACTGGTGGTGGTGGTAGTAGCTAGCGGCGTGGTGCTGGTGTTGCTGCACTGCAGCATATTGCTGTGCATGAGCGTGGGCATGGGCATATCCAAAGCCAGCATGTTGTAGTCCATTGCCATATGCGGCAGCATTCCCATAGGCGGCAGCGGCTGCGGCGGCGGGGTGGTGCGCGAGAAATCCGTTCCCTGCGGCTCCTGCCGGTAAATAGTATGGGGCGAGTTGCTGCTGGGCGTGCTGGGATTGGTGTTGCTGCTGTTGAGCGTGTTGGGCGTGCTGCTGTGATAATGGCGTGCCGATAGCAGATATTGTTGGGACGCCGCCTGCTGCTGATGCTGATGCAGGTGATCTTCCCCCTGTTCCGCCTGATCCCGCAGCTCCTGCTCCTCCGCCTCCTCCGTGGCCATTGAGCTGCTGCTGTTGCTGCTGTGGCTCCCGTCCTGGCTGTGACTGTGATTGGGATGGGTGTGGTTGCTGTCCTCCATTAGCTCGCTCTTTATAGCTACCGTGGTGGCCGCCGTTGTTATTGTTGTGATTTGTGGTGCTCGGGTTGTTGTTGTTGGTGGCGGCGTGGTTGTTGTTTCGTTCAGCAGGCCCCTCATTTGGGAGGACGGCATTTGGGTGGTGTTGTTGTTGTTGTGTGGGGCGGAGGGACCTGCTAGCCCGTTTGGGTGACCGTTCAAAACGGAGTTGTGGTGCTGCGGCATCTGCTGCTGCTGCTGTTGCTGGTGGAGCTGCTGCTGCTGTTGCTGCTGCTGCTGTTGTTGTTGGTTGTTGGAAGCGTGCTGTGGTGAAGCGTTTGTCGTGGATTGCACTTGTTGCTGCATGTAGCCATAGCCGTTGGCGGTGCCATTAGCATAGCCATTGGCCTGCTGCTGATGGTGGTTGAGGTGATGCTGCTGCTGCTGGGTGGGCGAGGGTGAGGCCGAGTACTGGGACATGGCAGCACCGCCCATCGCTCCCACGCCCAAGCCACCACCTCCGCCATACTCGGGCGGACTTCTGGGCGGCTCCGGCGGTGGCACATTGGCCGGCGGTGGTGGCGGCGGCGGTTGTTGTTGCTGCCCTTGACCATTGGCCGAGGCGGCAGCTGCAGCAGCAGCCGCAGCGGCTGCGGCAGTGCCACGGCGACTGGGTTTCGTAACCGGATCGCGGGCGGGATGATGATGTGCCGAGATGGGTAAGGTGGCTGGATCCGGTTGACCGCTCGACTTCACCGCGTTCTTGTGCAACGTTGTGTTGTAATGGCGCTTAAGGTGCCCCGAACTGGTGAACCACTTGTTGCAGGCCGTACAGTTGTATGTCTTAGGGCGACGTGCCTCGTTTGACTTCCAGGTGGCCGCCTTAGCTGTCAGACTGTTGGCCGGCAGCACAGAACTGGAGCTTGGCGGCTCGAAACCGCGATATCCACCTCCTGGCCCCGCACCAGCCGCGCTCTCCTGCCCGGGTCCGCCCGTGGTGGTGCTAGGGAACTCCGCAGGACTGGTGGCAACATTGGCGCACAATTCAGCACCGCCACCACCGCCGGCTGTCGGGTCAAAGGACTTGTCCACATAGTGTTGCGAATCGGGATACTCGGACTTAATCAGTCCATGTCCACCATACTCCTGTTTGATCAGCGTGGCTCCGCCAACGCCGGCCGATTGGTGATATGGCGACTGTTTGGGCGAATAGTAGGGTGACTTTTCCACGCCCACTCCCAGACCTACGCCCAGTCCTTGCTGCATGTAGGGTGGCAGGCCTTCAACTGAGGCCACTGTCTGTTGCGGCTGCTGCTCCCAGCTGTGGAGCGCCCGCTGTTGCATTGACTGCATCGAGTGCAGTGGATCTGGTAGAGCGCCCAGCGGCAGACCGGCGACCGCATCGTGTTGCTGTTGTTGTTGTTGCTGCTGCTGTTGAAGCAACTGCTGGTGGTATACCATCTTTTGGGAATCCAAATCGAGCAGCTCACCAGGATTTGCCGCTGAGGATCCACCGCCGGGTGGTTGTGGCGTCGGCATCTCCTCCTTGATGTACGGCGAACTGGCGTAACCGCTGCTACCATATGGCGACTCTCCATGCACGTTAGCGATATGCTCTTGCAGTTCCGATTCGTTGGTGGTAAGGATGCCGCACTTCTTGCACTGCAACTTGCATCCACCACTTCCGGCGGCACCGCCCGGGGAGCCCGGTGTCTGACCACTGGAGCTTCCCAGTTGCATATGCGATGATGTCGACGTAGGACTGCTGCTGCTAACCACTCGCGGACTCATGGCCACCGTTGTGGTAGTGCTAACGGCGCTAGGCGCACTGCCTGTCTCCTCCTGAGCCGCGCTGGCCGTTGGAATGCCACCCAGTCCGGATGTGGGAGTCTGCAGGTAGGGATGATAACGCACACCGGCGCTCTTGCCATAATCCACGCCCACGGCGCCAAAGGCATAGTCCGTGCCCTGCTGCTGCTGTTGTTGTTGCTGGTAGAACTGTTCGTAGCTATTAATGTAGCTGCTGGCGTATCCCTGTTGCTGTTGCATATCTCCACCGTAGAGTCCACCGTAGATCTGCTGCTGTTGCTGTCCGCCGGTTGCCGAGTACATGTGATGGGTGGCATACGGCTGATGGGTAATACCCGTGACCTGCTGCTGTTGTTGGGGATCACCGCCCATGGCCTGCTGTTGCTGTTGCGTTTGTGGCTGCTGCAATTGTTGCTGCGTCGGTTGCTGCTGCTGCTGCTGTTGCGGGGGCTGCGGCGTACCGGGTTGATTATCACTAGAATCGGCTGCGGCACTGATCGTGGCATTTGGCGTGGCTGGCGCACTGCCGCCGTTACCTCCATTGCCTGCTCCACCAGCTCCTGGTCCGCCCGATCCTCCACCTCCTCCTGCTCCACCTCCTCCACCACTATCGGTGGCACTGCTGGCGGCTAGCGCCTCTGCCGCATGCAGGGGCGGCATCTCGGTCTTAATGCTCGTCATGGACCGCTACATAAGTCGATGCTAGCGATGCTGTTTGGCTGCTACTTCCAATGCTTCCGCTTCTCATGTCTTGCGCTCTCCGGGATTAGTGGCGCATCCTCTGCTCCTCTGCTGATTTTGTTCGTTGGCTCTGCTGAGCCGGATCGTTTTGTTTTGGTTTTTTGACGTTATATGTATAATTTTTTTTTTTTTTGCGATTTTTAGTTGTATTTTTTGTTGTTGTTGTTGTTGTGTTTTTGTATTTGTACTGAAAATAAGCCAATTATTTGTTTAAGCTATTATTAATTTGAAGTTACTCGAATATTAAAAAAAAAAAAAAACAAACACAAACACACACACACTCAAAGATTTGAAAAGCTTCTGGTGTCTAACGGTTCTTGGTGTCCATTTCACTTTGATTCGGCATTCGCCTGGCACTTTGATTTGATTTCGATCTTGAAATTCAATAGCAAATGTAGTGTCAACTGCAATTGTTTGTGGAATTTACACATCTGTATGTATGTGGAATCATACACACTCGCACACACACACACACACTTGAAAAAAATATATAGGATCCTCGTTGAAGATCCCTTTTTTCGTATTCTTTTTACGTTTCTTACTTATATCTGCGCCTCGCTTTTGGGCACTTCTTCGTTGGACTTGGACTGCTTCTTTGCTCCTTCTCCTTTCCTGCTGCTTCGCTTCGCTCTCTATGCTCTTTTCGATCGCTCTCTCTCTCTCTCTCTTTTTTTCTTTCGCTCAATCTTCAGCGAAACACAAAACAGCAGACTCGATAAAATAATACGAACTGAACTGAAGAAACCAATATCGGGAACCGTAACGAATGCTGGTTAATTTTGAATTTTGAATTTTGTTTTTGCGAATTTGCGAGGGAAGCGAGAATGGCAACGATCTCTCTTGCTCTCTCACGCGATCTCTTTACCACTCTCTCGCTGTTTCTCGCCACTTTTTTTACCGGTGAGTTTTTGAGTTTTTGTCGCCTTTTTTCCAAAAAGATCACTGGAAATATTCGCGTTTAACGTTTGTTTTTTCTTTCGGGGATCGGTTTGAACAGAAAAAAATTGTTTACGAACACAAATATTATATGTGGAATATATAATATAATATTCCCGCGTTTAGTTTGTTTTTCTTTTTGTTGTGTTGTTTTTTTTTTCAATTCTCAATTTGTTTGCCGAAAAGTTGTTGCCAAAAATGTTATGCTTTTTTTTATGAGTGGGGAAAATGAAACAAAAAAGGGCGCTAAAAGTAGCCGCTCCACTCCGTTCGCACGCTTCGTCGCTTTTTCACCCGTGTCCTTCTGTCTGCTACGGCGTTCCAAATACAAATGACCGACAAATACACCGCCGTGCATGCGGCACATTCTCGTTCTGTTGGCAGCGACGTCGGCAGTGGCGGCGGCTGCGCTGCCAGCCGTGCTAGCGTCTCTGTCGACGCACATGCGTAACTGTGTGTGTATGTGTGATGGTGTGTGCGTTTGCTATATACACTGCGCGGCGGCGGCGGCATTTCGTTTATGTGTTTATGTATGCGTTTGTATGTGCGACCGCCGCTGTCGCTGTCTCTGTCGCGCACTGCCGCCGTTGCCGTCGCTGCATTTGATTTTGCTTTTGACTTTGGTTTTTTGCTTTTGCCCCTGCCTTTGCATTTTCTTTGCGTTATTTTTTGCGTTTCAATACTCTTTGCTGGGAAGTATTACGATTTTGATCGGAATTACGACGTTTTTAGTATATAGCTTTAGTTATTCATGGAGTTATATATGTATTTATTTAAAATTTAATGTTAAATATAAAGCTGATCATGTTTAAAAACTCTGTGGAACGAAATACCATATACTTTGTCGGTTAGTTTTTAATCGGAATCGGAGGAATATTTATATGTTTAAGTTTAAAAACTATTATTATTGAACTTTAAAATCCTATCACTAGATTATGATAATATTTACGAGCATTTTATCATTTGTATGTTCAAATAAGGTATATATTCCCTAACCATAGGAAATATCGGAGCAGAATGTATTTCTTAGATTTTATATGCAGATGATCTGGTAAAACAATTTTTGATGCTGTTAGAATATTACTAAAATTTAACGACTATATTCTCCTATGTTCTCCTTAATTTCTATTCAAATGAAAAGGTTTTCTTTATTTTTCTTCACTTTTCCCATTTCATAAGAAATCATAAGTTAATCTAAACAATTAATAGCCGCAATCGAATGTCTTTGTAATAAGATACAACCCTCGCGTTGCATTTTTATCTGCACTTTTGTTTAGGTGAAAATCAATAGGTGTATTACCCGTTTATAAGTATTCGCATTTTTGTTTATAAACAAAAGTTAGTTTAGGTTTTTATATAACATACAAATATCAAACATTTTTTCTTGGAATTAAAAGGTTTCAAATACAAGTAATCCCAGAAATGTTGCAGTTCCTAAAAGCAGTTAACTTTTAAAGCAATTAATCATACTAAGAACTAAAAAGTATGTTTATTAGTAATAAAAATACAACGTTCAATCAAGATTAGGACTTCTGGGATGAATAAACAAATGATTAAACGTTTAAGTAGAAACTAATTAACTGTTTTAGTAATCCGTTGATTAGCACATGGCTACTTAGCTAAGTTAAAGCTGTATTGCATTTAAGTTTGTTTGTTTATTTTTACATAATGCCTTCGATATAAAGACGCGGCCTATAAATAGCCAACAAAGTCTGTATTAGTCAGTTGGTTGAGTCACCGCCGAACCCCGGCCAAAAACCAATTCGCACTACTAGCCTAGTTTCTGAGCCGCGTTCCAGCGATTATCGGCGTCACAGGTCTCGTAAAAAGTGTGTTCAGCGCTTAAAAAATTAATAAACCAAACTTTTATTACGCTGGGCACACGAGAGAGTGGGCAAAAGATGAGGGACAACAAGAGCTAATATGAATTTTAAAAGGAACGTATTCAGTGGGTGTTACGACTGTGAGATACCCTCTATTAACAATTCTGATATATCATATATAATATGAAAAAGATTTTTACTAGTTCCTTTTTAAATTACTAGCTCTGTTGTTTTTTATTTTCTCTACTTAACCAGTCTAGTCTTACTCTAACCCTTAAACTACCCAACATATCTATAGCTGTGATCATGATCTCAACACAGTACTAATATACCTTTTTCTTCTATAACTAATGGGTATAAATAGCGACCGAAAGGGTTTGTGCTTTGGATTTGGAAGTAGCTATGGTTTTTCACGTCGTTTTTTTTTTTATATCTTCATTTTTTGTTGTTTTTGTTGTTGCTGTTCTTTTGGTCTGGGATTCCAGCTCAGCTGAGAATGGCCCAAAAGTATTTAAAAATCTCGTAAGAGAAAAGACGAGGGCTAATGGAGCCCAGATATAAATACATATGCACATCCAACCATACCATTCGCACACAGATACCCAACGACTCCGTGATGTCCATGTTAGTGTGTGTTAGTGTGGGGCCTTGAGGAAGAGTTTAGATTGGAGTAGTGGAGAGCCGTTGAAGAACGAACGAGAGAGATAGAGAGAGAGAAAGAGAGACAGAGGCGAAATTTACATACATGATTGTCATAAAAAATCAGCAAGCAAATTGTCAAATCCCTAAACTGACAATAAAACAATAAAGAAAACGAAGACGGAGACCGAGACGAAGACAACGACGAAAGTGGGTGGACGTGTAGGGGAAGAAGGGGAGGATGGGAGAATGGGAGGTAGGAGAGTCAACGATGATGAAGTGGAGGGCTCGAGAACGGATGGCGATGAGTGATTGTTGGCACCGCAAAAACCGGCTGTAAATCGCGAACAGATCTGCTATTTCATAGATCTATGAGATATAAAACCCTGATAAAAGCGAATTTGTAAACTTTAAAAATGTTTTTTAAAATAATATACATTATTTTTTTTATGATATTTTACTAATATGTCTTAGTTTTTAGTTTTAATAAGCAAACTAGGTCAAATAACAAAATGATTTAACTTTTAAGATATTTTTTCCATGGAATATAGGATATTATAACAGTTTTACGATTAATTTTGAAATATAATACTAACATATATTGGTATTATATGTTAGTTTTAAACCAAATTAACATTTTAAGATCCCCTCTTATAGGTATTAGTAATTACAATCATACCTATTAAGTCCTTAAAAACACATTACTTTTGGCATTTTATAAGCACTTGTAAACCAACCCCTTTTTACTTTGCGGTCCCCCGTTTGGCAACATGTATGTACGAGTACATAAGGATAGGCATATTTATAAATTATCAGCATATGTTGCAAGTGCAGTGGCAGGGGGATGAGTGGCAGGTGGCAAAAAAAAAGGTTGTTGCAGAGGGGAGAACATTAGCGCAAAAGCTGATGCAACTGTTGCAGCCGCTCGACCTGCATCGGGATTAGCTCATTTTATGGCGCATTTATGGGCACGCAACAGTTGACCTGTAGTTACTGTTGTTGTTGCAGAAGTTCGTGCCCCAGGTAGGTCATCTTCACTTTCATGTTTCCACATACATAGAAAGAATTAATTAACCCCTGTAATAGAGGTAATTACCATGAAGCAGCAGTGGAAAAAGTTGTCAAACTTAGATTTGTTTGTATTAGAAATTGTTGGATCAAATAGATTGTCTTTTTGAAAGTTAATTTTATAAGGCAAAAAATAGTGAATAAATAGATATAAATTTAGATACCTTAATAATAGATCTTATGTTAAGTGACCTGGAAAATCAAGATTTATCTATGTACATACCAAGATTCCCGATCAATCCTCTCAAAAGGTAAGCAATTTTTTCGTTTTTCTTTGTACTGCTAAACCTTTACTTTAGCTTTACTTTGCATTGTTAAAAATCAAATTAAAAATGTTTTTATCTACTTACTTAGTGGTTAAAATACATAAAAAATCACTTAAATATTACTTTTATAAATAAATATTTAAATATTATTTTGACAGTCTTAGCTTTCCATTCTGATGTGTTGTGTTTTTTCTGCTATTTAAAAACTTTTTAGTAACTTTTAACTTTCTTAAAATCTTTTAAAATTTCAAAACTAACAAATTAAATATTAACTAATCCTTAATATAACCCAGCAGCATTCACATTGCAAAAGTACCTGAATTTTCAACCTTACCACCTGCAGTATTTGGAAGTACTAGTATGTCATCCCTGCTACTACTTGTGGCATTCAACGTTGAGTTTTCTTCTCCACATGCCCCGATGTCCAACCGGGGTAATTGCAAGGTGCGTGCAGCGATATACCATATCTCTGCCATATCGCCAGCAGATATATATCTTAGGCCAAAGGAAGGGAGGGTGGAACGAGGGTGGATCTTGCGTGCTGGTGTCAATCACAGTCCTTCTATCGGCTCTTTCGGCTTTTTGGTCCCTTTGCGTGCAACACACTTGTGTGCTGCAGTTAATGACTTTTTAATTGAGCGCGTACAGATGTCAGTGTCAGCGCCGTCGATTTGTGTTTGGTTTTTGTTTTTCACTAAGTGAAGATGGAAATCGGAGGCAGGAATATGAGCCTGTTTAAGGGATTAGTTAGAGTTGTAATTTTGAAATTTCCCAAAAAAAAAGTTTATTAGTATAAGTAGTTCAGGATTAAGATATGATTTCATCATCTTTTAAAAACTTTGTTAATTTTTGTAAATATATTTTTAAGTTAGGAAAACCTGAGAATGACTCTTGAGTTAAGGAATTTAGCGCTTAGCGTCTAGTATTTTATATAAAAAGATCGAGAAGATTTTTAAGACACATTTTGTAGGTTTTTAATGCATACGAAAAACCTACAAAATGTGTCTTAAAAATCTATTATGTAAACATAGATACTAACATATTGTATAACCTATACCTTAAAATATAAAAGTCTTAAAGCTTTTGGACCATCTAGCAAGTGGTCGTCAAATGGGTCATTGTGGGAATAGGGTATATAAAAGTATACCATTATCTAGTATTTGCTCTTCACACGACAATTGTGAATTACACAGCAAGAATTTCTCTTTTTTACCCTCTCCTCTTCTCATACCCTTGGGGAGGGTAATATGGTTTTGTTAAAGTGTTTGTAACGCAGCTCGTCTGTTACCCTATAAGGTATAAAGACCT